ATGCCAGATTGCTCACACTCGTCAACGTGTCGGGATGGTCCATCCCCAGCACCTTCTCCCTCCCCGACAATGCCCGTCGATTCATCCCTTCCGCCTCCTCGTACTTCCCTTGATCTTGTAGCACTGACGCCAGATTATCCATACTGGCCAAAGTTCGAGCATTATCCAGGCCGAGTATCACTCCTCGAACCTCCAAGCTCGCTCGAGCCATCTTCTCCGCTACCCCGTACCGCCCACTCGCTTCAGCATACCACGCTCCATTGTACTGAATAGTCGCCCATGCGAGACGATGCTCCTTACTCATCGGCCGATACGATGCCATAGCTTCGACATGTGGGAATAGCACCTGACACGTGGGCCAATTGGCATAGTCTCCCGTCGGAAAGGCCTCCCCCAAAATATCAACATATCGTGCTTGCCACTTTGAGAGTTCGTTGTGAACGTCCAGCCAATTTCTCATCGAAAGCTGTACGAGTCGGTGCATGTCAAACAGGTCGTCGGTGATTCCGATGCCAATCAAGCGGTACGCTTTCAATGTTGCGATGTCTTCCTCAAAATCCGTTTCACAGTCTTGATCATCGAAATACCGATCTCGAAGGAGGTTTTCGGGAATCCCTTCGCGATCAAAGAGACTCATGAGCGCCAGAAGCCGCGCTGCCGAGACGCGCATTTGCCGGAGATACTCGAATGAAATGTGCCATGTCGTGATGATCGAGTTCGACACCTGACCATCCCGCCGGGGATCACGAATGTCTGTCTGTAACAGTTTGGTCCGTTCGCCGTCGCATCTCTCCAACATGTCGAGGTATTTTACCACTGTCATGCGGGGGGCACGTTGATTGATATACGCGGCTGCTTGGGTAATAGCCAGCGGTAAATAATCTAATTGTTGGACGAGGTCCACCAAGTCGTTCGAAGTGCGGTCGTCCCCTTCATACTTCTTGAGCTTCTTCCTGAGAAGAGTCACCGCCTCCTCTCTCGCCATGGTTGTGACATCGAGGATGTCTTCCTCGTATTCGATCAGTCCCTCCACGACTCTCCGACTGCGGGTGGTAATCACAATAGATCCATTCGCCGACGACGGAAGATAGTCCGACAGCGAATGCCCCGTCGACGATGAGGTAATTTGTAGCGGTAATTGACCACGGCCCAGGCCATCCCGTGGCTTAAACATCACGTCGGGGTTGTCCGCATTGTCCACCACCATCGCCCATTGACCGTTCGCCTCGTTTGACAGCCATCCGTGCACCATTGCCAGAATGTCCGCTTTCACTTCGTTCCATCCGGTTAACTGTAGGCGCTCCGCAATCTTTTGGTAACTCTCTTCAAATCGTGCGGCATTGCTGGCGTGCACCCAAAACACCCATTTTGCAGGATCAGCTTCTCGGACTCGGTGCGCATACTCGATGGCGAGCTGCGTCTTTCTGCTGAGGCTTTAGCTGGCGCGTGCGTATATCAACGTGGAAGCTCTTACCCGACTCCTCCAAGTCCCACGAGTCCAACCCGCGCCGCCGGTTCGAAGGCTCGTTGCCAGATGTCACCGAGGACTTCGCGTTCGACGAAATCGCGGTCACGGCGAAAGGGGATGACGGCCGAGGGAGGAGGACAAGCTCGTGGCTTTGTCCTTGAAGACTTATCAATCGCCTCTTTTAGCCGAACAAACGCGTACTCTCCCTCGCCGTATATTAAAGGTATAAAGACGTTAAAAATCCCCAAGAGACAGTACGCCCGATCCTCTTTCTTTTTGGTGTCGCGTCTCGCGGCCCATCGCATTCGCTCATCCACGCTGAAATCAGACAAAGGAGTGCCGCGGAAAGCCGTAACAGGAATATCCGTGGCCTCCTGAATCTGCCGCTCGAGCGTATTCTTATTGCCTAGGCGCTCTCCTTCTCGTGAAAAGAACTCGACCGACGTCGGAGCAATTAGTTCTTGAAGAGTCCAGCCTCGCGTGAACCATCTACTTTTCCGAAAGGCTGATTCCCACGTCCACTGAGTCTGGTTATTGTCGCTGCGTGCCGAAACGTCTGAGAGGTACACGTAGCACTTTACCGCATCACGGTACCAGCGGAACATCGAGGCGATGGCTTCTGAGAGCGCAGTGTGGTTTGCCTTATCGATGCAGCATGTGTCCACCCAAAAATATTGTAGACCGTCCTTGTTGGCTTGTTTCCCACAGAACAGAATCTTCGCATACCCAGCCTTGTTTCTGCTGGACCCAATTTTCAGATCGTCGAAAGTAACCTCCTCATCATCCGCTCCCCAAGTATGCGAAAGTATCGCATAGCTCGGTATATCCTCAGTCAAGTCCTTGGTCAGGCTCAGCTCGCCACGGCTGTCAAATTTCAAAAGGCGCATCGTGTCAACGCTGAGCTTAAGACACGACGAAGAGCATGTACTGGGTAGGGAAGAGCATCCTCGCCCGCATCATTCGAAAATGTTTGGTCGCATATTGTGACTTTGTCGTGTGATGGGGGCAATGCGAGATGGGCTGTGTAGGTAGGCTTTGGTCGACGTTCGGCGGTCGTCGTAGACAGAGGGGGAATTTTCGTGTCGTGACTTGTAACTAACACAGCTGATACCACGCGGTTGAGAACACTCACATCTGACCTATGGCCAGGCTGTCTAGATGAATGCGGTAGAAGCATGTTGGGTATGCTCAATCAGGCTGAAGCACATTTGAGAACCGATGTTGGTGAGAAGGCAGACATGGTCTTGGCGCGGCTGAGCCGCAGAGTGCCAGTATGTCAACATGAATGGTCTCGCCGATGACAAAGGTCTTCCGGTGTCTTCGGCCTGCTATAGTCAAGTCGCCGCAGATTCAGCCATGCATGGCCACTTCACGTTGAGCTGGAGAGCACTGTACAGCATCTCCATGTGTTGGAACTGGTGGCATGGGAATCGACGCGGGGTTACCCGATGCGATTACATTACACGTGACTTACAACGGGGACTGCAACGAGATCAAGGAGAAACGAACAAAAAATTTCTCTGACATGATTCGTGATCGGAGTAATACTGACTTTACCCATACGTGGGAAGTCTCAGGCAACCATATCTTAGCTTCTGGATTGGGAATGTTTGATGTCTTGAAGGCAGGCCGATTTAGAGATCTACTATATCAATCGCTTTTCCTTTCCATAAAATCCTCAAATTGAAATTGGCAGATAGAATGCGCAAAAGCAGGAATGTGGATTCCCCCCCCCGAAACAGCCTACTGATCGGCAGTCACGCAGGAGATATTGTATATCTCAGAACTCCAATCCCAAATTTTTTGGTATGCGGTATTTTTGCCATGTGGGTGTCAATATTTAGGACAAGGCCTGTGGTTTGAGAGGGGGTATGTGTATGGACTCTGGGATGATGCCTGACTGCTCTCTGCCAACTCAGCCACGTTTTTGCCTTACACATTCGTATTTCTTTGGCATCCAGACCAAGTCTCGCAAGTCAAGGATTTGCCTCTGGATGGAGGGGATGGAAAGGAACCAAACGTTTCTTGCGCTGCCTACTACCGGACTAGGTTTGGAATAGATACACCTCTCATCAGAAGATACATGGCTCCTTTGGGCATGACACAAGATTTGGGAAAGCAGCAGTGATTGGTAGTGTATTCTTACTCCAACTCCGTTTTTCAACTAGTCCGGCCCGCTTCGGATGAAGTGGTGTCCTCGATTGGGCACGGTACCAATCCGAAGTTCCCATGGAGAAATTCGAGAAAGGTCCACCTTCCCATTTAAAGTTAAATCCATCTCGCAAAAGATTCAACATACTCATGAACTGAATAATGTACTTCTCTTCGTGGTGTGTGTATGATGGTGGCTTTGACAACTTTGTACCTCACCACCAACCATCAGCCGTAAACCAAAGGGTCGTGGTAGCGTCGGGATCGCTAGGACAGATAACAACTTTTGAATGAGTCGACAGATTGTCACCCAGAGTCTCTTACATTGCCATCGTGGGGCGCTGACTTCAGCGCATGGAAGAGTTGTTCTTGCCAGCCGTACGTCCCTCTGCAATCCGGACTAGTTGCATTTGAAACAAAGTTCTTGAGATGGGATATTGGGCAATGATGAAAACTCCCATGGGCAAATCTGACACTGGGCCATCGCATTATTGGACTTTGACCATGATCGGTGACACAATGAAAGAGAAAAAGGAAGGGGGGGGGTTCACTCATGCTGCCCAAACGTTGGTTATGGGGGGGCCGTTGCATCTGTACTTCAATGGGGCCGGGCCCCTGTGGTGCCGCAACGTTTTGGTTGTTTGGAGAAGCAGAAGGTCGGGCAGGATGAGAAAAACTGACAGTCAGTGCCACAGAATACGCCTGACCACGTTGCGTCTGTAGCCGAAACGGATCGCTTGCGGCATGGTCACGGTTAGTTTGCTGGAGGTTAAGTTGTGGCCCATCACATCCAACATTAGTCCTGCGTAAGCTCCTGCATAAGCCCGTGGTGAAGGAGGGTCGTGGGGCAGTGTGATGGGTGTGATATTCATGTCCGGTCGATATGGGTTCCTGGGCGCGTCGAAGAAGACCCAGAGATCGAAGGGGTATTTCCCCGATAGACTTTGGACTTTTAATTAGGAATATTTTCCTCCTCTGTCACTCCCTCGGTCAACATGGATCTGGTTTCTCCTGGGCACCCAAACAGGGACGAGTGGCCCCCAAGGAGCGGAAGCCGAGGGCAACCCCAGAAATTCGATCAATCATTCGACAAGCCGCCAAAGTTGAGAATGGGGGGAACCACCTGCTGCAGGTAAGGTGCAATGGCGGGTGGCAAATGGTTCAGGACGAGCGAATGGCAAGGCCCAGGTGTGTGAGAGAAGGCGGGGCAGTGGGGGCAGAGTAAGGCAGCCAATGCATCCTAGCAAAGTCGACGGGCTGACGCATGCGCTGTCAAAAGCGAAAGGCTGGAACAGAAGGTTTGCATTAGTTTGGAGAAAAACGGCAGAGTTGGGGCGAAAGAGGCAGAAAGGCAGCATTGTCTTCAGGAATAGAATCGCGGAGAGGCGGCCACGAGTGTGCCAGCTGAACGGGTGGGCATGCATGGAGATGGAAATCGGAATGGAAATGGAACGGGAAGGGACTGGTCTCTCAAATGCTTTCGTCGACTAAGGCAGGTTGGCCGATCGACCGACATCACGTGATCTACGCCGGAAGTCAACGTCAACTTCGCTTGTGCCCAAAAAATGGCGCTCTGCTTCACAATCAGAACACCGACGACCTGGGAAGGGACCGAGAATGGATTGATGCCCAACTTTCGGGATTCATCGGTGTTGATACTTGTGTTTTCACAAACTATTTACAGGGGATACGCAACAACATCGGGGCCACAGATCAGAGGACCACGGGAAGCTAAATCCAGGATAACTTTGATTCTGGAATTCCGTGAGATCCTTGGGGGCACCATGGTCCAGGAGGCTTTTTCAAACATCCGACAGTCTTTGATCCTCTGGGTATTATGTGGAAACTGACCAAAAAAATCGACTAGATCCTCTCCAAAATCCCGGTAGATTGTCGTCTCGCGCCAGCACTTGGTTTGAGGGACAGGGGACAACGTTGCGTTTTTGCGCCTTTTCTTCCTTTTTTCTCTTATCCATTTGCTTTCAACGATAACAGTCTCTGCCACACTAGAACAACAGCTCGCTCGTCTATCTTAGACTCCAAAGCAATGCTCCCCCAATACACACATTCTCTCTCGCGCGCGTTAGATAAACCAGTAATGTCGCCAAGGCTTTTCGGCAGGAAATCCATTCAATCCAGTATAGTTAAAAATGATATCGTTAGACCGCCTGGGTATCCAGAAGGAAAGATAAAAAACATAAGGAAACTCCAGTCGTTACACCGTGACATCGTGACAGCGTCAACCAGGTTGCTGCTCAACGTATGTAAGAAAAAAAATGTCGAAAGATTAAAAAGCGGCAACAGCAGGGACAAAGGTTGGTGGCGAACAGTAAGACTTCTCATGTTCGTTCAAGGGAATAACGTTGCCGTAGAAGTTGAACACTGTGGGCTGAAGTCGTTGACTAGTATCGGGATAGGAAGCCTCGGATTCATAGCCAGAATCAGTGGAAATAGAAGAACAAGATGAACTCTGCTTGGACGCAGGTTCAAAGAGAGAACATTCCGAAGGTTGAGATTGGAAGGGCTGTTTAGGAGAGGGAGACGCCGGTGGGGATGGTGGCAGAGCCATATTGGCACAATCCATCGGATCCACGTAGTTGTAGGGTGACTGGGGAGGGGAGGGAGGGAGAGTGCTGTATGAAGTCGTCAACCTGGGGCAGTTGATGATCATCTCCCGAAGTTCCTGGAGGGAAATCCTCTTGTGGGGGTCACACTCGAAGATGCGTCTCAAGATCATGTTCAACTCGGAGGAGATGGGCAAGATCGAGCTCAAAAACTTGGGATCCTTCAAGAAAGCCCGGAAAGTTGAATCATCCGGCGAGGCCTTTTTCCAAGGATTACGGCCACAGGTGAGGTTCACAAGGATGACACCAAGGCTCCAGACATCATTGGGCGCGGCTGCATAACGAGCATATGGCCTTGTCGGGGCTTGTTGACATTCTATAGTTGGTTAACACGAGCCAACAAAATTTGGGTGGGAGGTGGGAAACGTACCTGGTGACATGTAAAATGTCGATCCACATCCAAAGTCGGACGTGATTGCGTCCGTGGTCGCCAGTCCAAAATCGGCCAATTTGACAGTGTGGCCATGGTCGGTAACCAAGACATTCTCCGGCTTCAGGTCGCGATGATAGATCCCCAGGGAATGACAATATTGAACGGCATCCAAGATTTGCAAGAAAGCATGCTTGGCCAGTTGATCGTCGCCGACAAATCGGCCTTGTTCGGTGATGTTGGAGAACAAGTCGCCCTCGGGACAGAATTCAATCACAACAAAGGTGCAATCCGGGCTGTCCAATATACGGAGCAACGAAACAACATTTGGATGCTGACTGGCTTGATGATGGAGCGCGATCTCTCGACGTTGAAAACGGCGTTGTCTGGGATCCAATCCAGTTTTGGGCAGTGCCTTGACCGCGTAGGGAATGCGGGTTAAGATGTCGATGGCCTGGTAGACCACTCCATAGGCTCCAATTCCGATGATAGAGACAAGTTCCAATCGCCCGGCTAACACACACCCCAGTCTGTCCTCAGGAGCAAGACAGGTCGAGAGTTGAGGGGATGGTGGTGGTGTCAATAGCATTCTTGGGAGAGCCCAAAAGTACGAAGTACTTGCTCAAGGAAAATGGAGTAGTCGGTAAAGACCAAAAAAGACTGAAACACTGCTCAAAACATGGGGTCCAGGAAAAACTCCAGACTTTATGTATTGAGGGGAAAAAGATATGAGAATAGGAAAAACGGTTCCGGATATCCTTCTGGCCAATATGTTCCAATGGACTCAGTGGCGGCTTCCGGGAATGGTAAGTTGGGGTTGTAAAGGAAGGACTCGAAAGGACAGACGAGATGGGAGTATATATGGTGAACAGAAGGTGTGGTGTATGGAAAGATGGCTGCTGTGTTGTGTGAGAGGTGGTGAGTGGTAATGATGGTGATCTGAAAGGAGGGGAAGGGAGGTATAGAGGCAATATAATGTTCATTTAGACTAGTATGACGGTGTTGGATTCGAGAGGGTCATGGCGAGCATGGCGGGCGTCGACGCACGGACCCATGTCACCCATGCTGGTGGGGCAAAAACGCCGCCAGAACCTGGTCAGAGGGTGCTGCGAATAGAACGCCAGGAAGAGAAGAGGTCCACTACGATGCGTCAAAGTGTGGAAAAAGTTCGCAATCCCTGGGTCCGTGGTCTGACGCTGGATGACGAGTCGGCCATGAACGGTTTCGGCTTAGGCGGACTAGACGAAGCAAGACGAAGGCGCGCACGGGTGGTCTGGCAAAAAAGGGTGGGCTGCATACCTTTTTTGACCAGTTGCAAAGAAGGACGGATCACCCCAGTGGCCGGGCGCATTTCTCGTCACCATAAGGATAGATCAGCATTCCTTGCGAGAGCCAGCGCTAGCAAATCGACCAATGTCCTGCCAGCCCAGCAGCCTCTTTCAAATGGGGAATGCCTTTGGGTCTGAGGTGGTTTTTTGCCATCACCCAACTCACATTTGGTAGAGCCGGCTGCCTGCAGAACAGAATGCTGAATGGACGCCAGCATCCAGGACCGGGAGGGGATGGGAAATTCGAGATGGTCATGCCGAAGCACAGCTTTTTTTCTTTTCTCAGCTGGCTGGCTGACCCCGCAGCGCGTCCTATCCCAATTCGCCGCCCTCCCTTTCCTATGTTTACCTTTTCCATAGATAGTGCCAATAATATTATTGGGGGCAATGGAAGGGAGATACCAATACTTTCTTCTATTGCCGAGGGAGCCCCTTTTGGCCACCTCGTTGCATCTGAAATCTGAACAAGTCGCAAAAAAAGCGGAACAGCCGTCGTCATTGGTAGAATCTGGCGCCAGCACAGACGGCGGTGGGCATGAGACGAGAGTGTTTTGATCGACTCGCCCCTTCGGCAGGTCGGGGAGTGGCCTGGTCACTGAGGAGCTTAGATCGTGTTGCTTTTTGCGCCTCGCGACTAGCATAGTTTGGAAAACGCTGGTCCTTGGTCTGATGGCCTGTCGCTGCCATTCGCTCGTGTTTCAAGAAAATCTGGTGGATGGGTGGGCTAGACACCTAGAACATCGAAATGGCAGGACGCATGACTGCGGCCTGTCGGACTGAGAAGTACGCAGGGTGTGAGCTCCGCGATGCCTGAGGCACTAAATCTGCTCTTTGCTGCAATTCATTGCGACCAATCACGCATATGGCCAATCATCTGCAGCCCCGCATAGCCACCTTTGGGTGTGCTCGAAACCTGCCGGACGAATCCTGCAAATGCCTTTCCTCCAATCCCCCATTCCTGCCCGATTGCCCTCAAGTTATTGCAGCCCATCCGTCTGTCGGCCTGCCTGCACAAGGCTTTCACCAAGGAGAATCCTATCTCTGACGAAAGAGCCACCCTGTGGTCAGCGCTACAGTGCAGATTCCAGGAGGCAGTCCACAAACTTAGTCACTCCTTGACCCCTGCTTCCTAGGAGGAGATAGGATACTCGGCCACTAATTCTGAAGTGATGGTTCCATTATCTGCAGTGGGTGCGAGTCTGAGATCGAGCAATTGCAAGGCCATTTAGCGAAGAACAACCTGGCGAGGTGTGCAGGATGATCGCGCCTCGCCAGAACACACAGAAACTTCTCCAGGGCCTTCCCTTTGACCTGCACCAAATTTGCCTCTTGGACCTAGGGGTGACGCTGCGGTGCCAGCCTCGGCGGAATTGTCGGCTGCCGACTTTTGACTGCCTTTCGCCACAAATAACTAGCAGCAAGCGGGTCGAAGTGTTTCAGTACCAATAATGCTGGAACATATACGATCCGCAGGACAATTTGGAGATTGATGCAAGTGTCCGCCCATGTGACCATCATGGTAAGCCGCGATCAATACGAATGGAAAATCAAGGAGTAAGGTTCATTGGTTAGTAGTGCAGATAGCGAGGGAATAGCGCAGCCACCACGAGCGTTGCCGAAATTGATCAAAGCGTAGGCTGTGGAACTTTGAGTGTGAGAGTCATCGCGTGTCTCAGGATCGGCCGTCGATAACCAGATCAAGGCTTGTGGTATGGGTAATTCTTGGACCGTTGTCCAAGCCGGGATCTGCTCACTTATGCTTGAAGGGACATGCGGGATAGGGTCCAGCCAACAGGGGCGCATAGAGCACCTCCCGTCCGTAGTGACACCAGATTACGTCGGAGAATACTGTACACCGGCGAGCGGCCCCTCTGTGTTGAAAAATGAGACTTTTTGGTGAGAGGTGAGATTTTTTTGGTGCTGAAGTCTGACTCTGGGGCTTGCCTCCCACCACTTTCAAACCAACGTTGCCTGACGGAGGAGTTCCAACGTTCGGGGGTAGGCGAAGAGGTTCGAATTAGGAGACACAGAGGCAGGGATGGAGTGACACATCAAAAGAGGCAGAAAGAGAAACGGCTGATCACGAGGCTGCTAGCCTCCGTTTGACGTTTGACCCTAAGTCTAGCCACAGTGATCTACAAGGAAAAAAATTTTGCCCAGGCGTTTGGGTTTGTTGGGTGATGGAAAATCCTGGTGGAAGACAAAAATATGATGTGAATAACCCGCCGTACTTTATACGCTATATAGTGTAGACTTGACCGTAGGAGTGAAAGTCACGTTACTACCAAGCTTCTCCTACAGTAAGTCTCTTCTTCCCTGTCATCGACCCCAGAGGCCAACCAGAACCGTTGGGCCACGACGATCTCTTCGTCGATCCTTTCACCGAAGCGCCGATTTTCATTGGAGTGTTCAATGTCCCCTTTCTGACATTGCTCTGGACAGGACATTAGTAAAGATCATCCGAATATCTGTTGTCGTTTTCGAAACCAATCGACATGTCGATGAACCTTGTAGTAGCGCATTTTTCGATTTGCTGCACATTTATCGATTCAACTTATTCGCATCCTAACCGAGACAGTCCAGTCTCAACTTCGGATGTTTGTTGGTAACGACCCTTCCAGTTCTATGCTCGAATAGGTATCAAAGGCCGCTGCACGAAGTAGTTGGCAACTGACAAGACTGATGCATCAATCAACACGAGGATGTTGTTGCCAATTGCCAACCAATTCGGGATGTTGGCCTCGATCAGGACAATGGATTGTCCTGCACTACGAGAAGACGGCTCACCTTCAACTTTGGTCTTGCCTAGACTCGCCAGTTGAACTCGATTGGTGGTGCCACTAATCTGAAATGCGCCGACATTCTAGCCTATGGTAAGGTGACGTTGTTTGAGAAACATTTTTCCGACATTTTTTCGGTTGGAAAATTCGGGACAAGGCGGACAAGAGACACAGACTACAGGGACTCTTTCACGTGATCTACTACTCTACCACTGTCACGTGAATACACAGCTGCTGGGTTACCATTTTGCTCTGACACTTATCCACGGCTTTAGACATGATTTTTCCCTTCTGTGTCAGTATGATGCTGAAACTTTGACTTGCGTTGAATGACATGAAGCGGTGGATTTCGCTTTGATCGTCTGGCAATCGGCCCCATCCGCCGGCCATGTGGTCGGTGCGTCTGTCGCAATCATGAGACGACTCTGAGCGATATCAGACTTCTCCTTCCTTGGCTCAAACGTTCCAGAATTTCAAAAGATCAGACCCGCGACCTTCGCCGGAATCTGATGACTGAAGGTCCGAGTCTGATGTGACCTCGAAGCAGCAGCCCTGCCACAGGGTGCCAAGTGGCGTGCTTCGTTCTTTGAGCCTAACGTCACGAATTAGTTATCCAAATGAGCCAAATATTTGTCGTCTTGCTTTTCATATGCTGAGTCAGAAGATTTCCCGGGAAGTGCTTCCTGGTTAGGTGGGTACGGAGGGTCTTCCATCGCTTCAAGGTTGGGAACTTCCGAGACGGTTGAAGCCTGGATGAAATAAGGTGTGTTAAGCTAGAGTGTTCCCAGAATTTGATTCTTTCATCTTGATCATGCCACAATTACAGAGTCGATGTGATTAATACCTTCCGCAGGAGAACGTTTCCTTCCCAACATAATTCGAAGAGCCATACCAATTTGGGGAGGATCACGTTCGCCGGGAGCCTTCAAGAGGCAGCATCAGATGTGATTTTGAAGCATATGCCTAACATGCTAAGGATGGCTCGGTTGCAAATCCGTCTCACAGATCATGGATGTCCGGCCTCTTCTATCTCTGTTAGAGTCGAGCGACGGCAGTCAGAACACCACCCTTCCTTTTGGCCTGGTTCCGTTCTGCCGCCGAAGAAAAAACTCCGGTCAATCATACTTGTCGATCAGAGCTCCACTTCAATTGAAGGCCCTTATCCCTACCAACAACCTCCTTGTCTTGACAACCTCAACCTCATTGCCCTTGCTATTCATCGCGACTCTCCGACCAACAGTGAAATCTGCTTCGGAATATAACACGTATCACGGCTTATTCTGTCACCTGTTCATTGTTTCTTACTAACCCGCTGGGCCTCCCTCTTGGAAAAATCCAATCCTATTCCCAATTTCTGAGAAGGAATGAAGTGTATTGCGAGCAGCTGAAGTTTACTTGAAGTGGGCGTTGCCCGCGCCCTCTCAAACGTATTATCTGTATCCGGAGGAGCTGCCGGCAAGGTTCCCCTGAAAATTCGAATCCTTCCATTTTATGCAATTTCTCCAATATAGACATACATCATTTGGACAACTTGCAAGATGCCATGCTTGAGGTAACCAACTTGACCCGTTCGTAGAGAAGAGTGAGAAAAGCGCCCTTCCCCATCTGGAAATTTCGCTTGGCGGTCTTCCGGCTTACGATTCGTCTATAGACGCTTTCAATTGCTGCTTCACCTTTACATACACTTGAAAATAATTTGGGTCGCACACTCACGCCCGCTCTGACTGAGAGCTAGGTCGTATATACAGAGCCAGTCGGCAGGAACCATCCTTCGATCACATGCAACGGTTTTCAGTACATGACAGTTCGACGATCACGCGCCGGCACAATGAGATTGCCAACACCTCGTTTCCAGTCGACTGCCGCCATGCAAGGTTCAGCCGCATCCAAATCTGCCAACCTCCTTCGACTATGCCTCCTCTACCGACTGAAGAGCACCAGGTGGGCTGGATCAGCGCCCTCCCTGAAGAGCTGATGGCCGCCCGAGCCATGCTGGATGAAGAATATTTGTACACTGTAATGGGATTTTGGATAAAATATCCTGCCTCCATGGCCTACCGCTATGGCCCATACGTGGTCTTGAATTCACATCAAATGAATCACTTGATTCGGCATCTCCTCCATAGTATCGAACCGGGAACCGTTGAAGACGGATATCCCAATCCTCTCCATCCAATGCGGACTGTCCCATCCTTCGATAGTATCCAACACCTCGGCTGTGATTTTCTCTGAGCATGGCCTCAAGATGAGGCAAGTTTTCGCCCCGCCTTCAGGATATTTAAAGAGGGGAAGTAGGTAGATCCTCGAGTTATCAGGAGGCAAGTCGTCACCGGCATCAATGCAGTATTCTTTTCCGTATTTTCGCGCATCGTCCAGGATGTCTTTTGCAGCCCGGGAGAGATCCCATTTCCTCACAAAGTGATCGGGTACAGCCCATGCATATTCCTTTTGGCATAGGGACATGCTCACATTGAACTCGAACCCACGTCCACACGTAGAGAAGTGCAGGCATGGGTACAGTGAACCTCGAACACGAAGATACCGTCCACAAGGGTCTTCAGGCCAGTTTTCCGGAATCAATCGACGTACCTTGAGAAAGGGATTTTCCTCATCCATCAGACACTCAATACGTTCGATGAATGCCGCTTCGGTGCTACCATTGAGCTTCCACGAATCGTATACAAACTCGCAAGGACCAAAACGGGACGCCCATGAAAAACTTGGTATGGGCTCGTCTCTTGTCCATGGAATACGTCGGGGATGTGGTCGACAGTTCTCGCACGCCCAGGTACTGGCGCGGGCGGACACCCATTCCTGACTTTTCCAACATAGCCACTTGATCAAGTCCTTTTCCCATAACCCAGCGATGTATCGACCTAGATCACGCCTCTCGCTAAACCTTTCGGCGACTCCAGCAAATCCAGGCAGAAGATCGGATCTGCGCCCAAACATTCGCTGCGTGTACTGCTGTACCAAAGTGCTCCATGCGTGATGTGTGCCCTCCTGCTGAGTCGACCATCGTGGTAAAGATCCAGCGAATCCTAACCCCCATCCAAAGTGCTGGTTGCATTGGCACCTTCTCACGCTCCCTCTCTCCTCATACAGGTACTCGTGATCTGTAAAGTGGATCATGCGGTGCGAAAGCGCGCGTTCCTGATAGCACCAACCCCGTTGCGAGACTGAGCTCCAATGTACATTGTCCGCCACCTCGTACACGTTACTGACCGCTGGCGCGACAGCTCTGCTTTCGACTATGTCCTTTAGCTCGGGAATGCGCCTAACGTGAACGACAGCTGATTGGCCACCAACTCTAAGCCGGACGTCCTTGAAGGGCATGTGCCCACGAGTGGAGTGGTGTATTGCAATAGTGAACCACGCATTTGCATAGACATTGTTCATATCTGCGGCTTCCCTTTTCCAGTCAGCTGAATTGTCCTGGATGATACAGAGAGAGTCGATCCATAAGTATTGAACGCCGATCCGTCGACAGACGGATATGGCCTGTCTAAAAGTGTCTGGGAGATCGGGCAGTGCCAATTTTGCCAGCCGAGTCTTGACATTGTGGGACATGGTCTTGGTAGTCTCAATGTCTTCCCGAAGCCAGCAATGGCTTAATGCGGCATATAGTCCCCGCTGTGCTGCCGCAGGGCTCTCGAGAATACGAATATTGTCAAGATTGTCCGTGCCAATCCCTAGGTCGAGGACTCGAGTGGGCAATTTCGCTGGCTGAGGAGTGTCTTTCACCAGCCAGCCTTTCAGAATCTCGATTTCACGCGGGTCATCCCAGATTGAACGGACATGTTTGGACGAGGAAATGGAGCTTGGAAGGATTGGCGATCTCTCTTCTTCTGTCCAGCGGAGTTGTCAGAGCTATGGAGACCTGATTCCGCCGGTGACAGTTACAGTACTTACCCGGAGTTACATAAAACTCAAGCTGGTGCTTTCTCCCGTTCTCATCTCCCATCAAAACCAAGCCATGCGTAGCTCTCAGCTCCCAGGGTCTACCGAATAGTGGACCAATATCATCAAATGCCCGTATAGCATTTATGATGAGGTTGCAATACGGACATTCGATACTTTTGGCGGACATCATACGGTAAGCGGAGAAAGGGAAGGGTTTATATTGGTAACCATTTTGTACGAAGTTGTCTCTTTTGAGATCCATACAATATTGGCACGGCCGTCGGTTACCTTCTGCGCCGTTCTCGAGCCCGTATTCCTTTTGTTGATTAAATTGATTGGACTGTGTGACGGATGTAGCGGTTCCGTGGGATGATGCTTGCTCTGAATGTCGATTCCGTCTCAGCACAGGAGGACGTCGGAATTTAGCTGGGATGTTGGAAAGCAAATGACGACCCATGGCCAAAAATTTTGGACACGATTGCATCTGTAACCGTGTGCAGAGAGTTAGAGTTAAAGTCATCACCGTGGCGATGATCTCACGGCCTAGACAGATGGGCCAGACTCAAGTTGAAGAGAATTAAGCCAGGCAGAAGTGCGGCTGCCGGTCGAAAGCCGGCCAGGACGCAGGCTGAGCGCGGCTGAATCTTGCATCGTTAGCTGCGCAGACTAGCATGTGACGGTCCGTCCAAGAGGCTCAGTTTCGGCTCTGCACTGGACCACCTATGGCTTTCCTTGCGACGAATCTCATACTTTAGCACCGCTTCACGAAGTCTTCTTTGCGTCATCAGAAAACTTGTGTTGAACAAGGACGGTTGCTCTGCGTAACGACGTAGTATTTACACGTCTATAAAGAAACCCTCAGCAGCTCAACAAGTAGATAGAGAACAGAGCACTCCTTCAATTCAAGTTGCGCAAGAAGTTTGACAACTTGGTTGGCCCCTACCGATAGTGGTGCTTTGTGTGATTTGATAGCAACGTTCCTGGATCTGTACTGTACTATGTTTAGTCCAGCGCAGGTGTGCTGGACACGTATCCGTATGTGGGCAATCGACTAATGTATGGTTGGTGTAAAGTGAACGTAAGTTTTGCAATCGACTGCATGTAGCATTTGTGGGAGAGAAAAAATCAACAGTATTGATCCGAACTATCAGCTTTCGAGGATCGACGGTGTCACGGGACCTTGCCAAGGATCACGTGCTAAGGGACTTTTCTGGTAGCTCTGGTCCTTAGATCGATAATCAGTCAATGCATTGAAGTACTGAAGAACCATCCAAAACATCTGCGAGAATATCCGCATTATGAGCTAATATCAGTTACATCAAGAGATCTTTAGCAGTCAGACCAACTGAACTTGGTCCATCAACCATGACCCGTCATAAGGCGATCGTCTCAACCCCTTCAACTTCAACAACATGCTCCAACAACATGCTCCACTAACGCCGTCGCCAAATCAGACAACATCTCAAAATCTGTCAAAGTCCATCACATCGTGCAGACGCCGATTCAACGACTTCAACCCCTCGATCCCTCTCTACTCCCTTTATCAAGCACCGCCAAACTACCCAGCTAATCCACACCGACCTCCTGATCCCAGGCCGGTGCAAACCCCCCGCGCGAAATGTTCGTGATCTTCCAAGGCGGGAAAATCACCTTAGCTCTACCACGTCATTCGCTTTCTCCACCATTCAAACACCGCCCCCTCGATGACCACTGTACCTGTCCTTCTTCCAGGCCTCCAAGACTGCCGCACGCACCTTCCAGGCAGCAAATCGCTCAACTTCGCCGAGTTCTGACGGCGAGCGGACCCGTGCTTGCCCCGGTTCAGCCAGACGGTAGATCACCAGCATTATATATCCCAGCAGCGTAATCTCCACTAATGAGGATTGTTAATATCGTAAGCAATTTTTCCTCTCGTCGCCAACATCTTCCGCTTTGCCGGCAAGCATTGCATCGATGAGTTCGAATCTTGGGACCGTTTGTTCGGAATCAGTTGTAGGACTTCGATATATGGATCGTTGACCGCGAACGTTTAAACTATAGGAAGTGATTTCGTAATTCCTTTTCGGTTATCGCGAAAGGCGTCGCACGAGTATTCACATAGTGCAAATGTGTCACGAGGGGTATCACTGGCCCATATTACGTGCTGCGACTTTGTGCTGTCTTTTGAGCTTCATCGATGTAGGAGTGTCCGAGATCCCATCGTCGTTGCCATCTTTGTTGGAGAAGTCGCCAAAGGATGCTCGCAAATAAGGCAGGATAGGCGGGGGAGAAAGGACCTGGATTTCGCGTTCGGGAATAGAGAGTTCAAAAGGGGTCCTTATATGGTCGTCAATTTCAAGAGGGAACGTGATGCCTCTGCATAGTTGGATCCCTGCTTGAAGCGAAGACATTCATCTTCATGACTGCATTTAGTGCTGATTAGCCTTGCTAAGGTGCTCTTCGAGTGACCAGAATGTTTCAAAGAATTGAAGTTTGTTGTACCAGGCTCAAGATCCTGAGAATTCATCGAGATCGTTTCCAGAGAAAAGGACGGAGGCTCCACTCAAGAAACCTTTGTCAAACATACTGGATCGGAAAGACCAGGCACGATGACAGCAGTGTGATAGGAAGCTCCAGCGTTACGGTGTCGACAGTACCAAGAGGTTGGCAATGGCACAGCATTACCTGAACCTGCCGAGAACGACAATGGTGATGGAGACCCAATCTGGGATGGGTGTAGTTACACACGTCTCCCTAAATGATTGCACTATGGCAGATATCATCAGCATGGTCAAGATCTTGGGGCGAGATAGAAAGACGAATCGATGGGCGTCAAACTTAGAATTTTCATGTGGTGTGGTCGTCTTCACGGTGATTCAATTGCAAGGGAGAGTCTCCCACCAATTCAGAACTCTCCACAAGTCCAATAAGCGCTGCTTGAACCCGGGGTAGCTGACAGTCTGGCATTCGCAGTCTTGGATCCATGATCCGCCCAACGATTGCACAATACCAATTTCCTTGTTGAAAGAGGGGACGATCAAAAAGCCACTGGACGACCTTCTCCAATGCCCAGAGAGATACCGACAAATCCCACTAGCTGTGGTAATGGATTAAGGTGAAATTCTGTTGATCAGATGTCGGGCTGATGGAAAGCGAGGCGCCATTTGGCTCTCGATGAACGTGAGCTGCTCTTGGTTTTTGATGATGGTCACCAGTATAGGTGTGCGCTGTAATAACTGGAGCGTCACCCTGGTCGCTGTTTTAGTTTTATGGCAGGACAACGTCGTCGGAGCTTTCTTTCAGCATTATTTAGGGCCAACCTTAGATGAGAGAAAGCAAGGAGTCGATAGAACATCAAGCCGACTAACCTCCATCTATCCGTAGAGTCTACCATCACGTGTCTTGGCGACCACACTTGAAACTTTTTTGAATATTGAGCACGTCGATATCCTTCCTCCTGATACATACGATCTGGACTGAAGGATCCCCAATTAATATCTATTGGAAATCCTCCATGGAAAAAAAAATAAAAATAAAAATAAAAAGGATATACGAGTTACTAGCAACACACATCTTGGAAAAGAGACCAAAGTCGTAACCACGAGCCCATTGCCGCACAGCGGAAGAGTTACCATCCAAAAGGTCCTGTCTAATGTCTATTCCATCAGCCCGAACATCGTTCATCGAGCTATTGATCATCATGGTATCGTCGCAGTCGTCGTTCAATCATCTCATGAGCCCACGAACTTTTCTCGTCCAGAAAAGGCTTGTGAATTTGCTCCAGGACGCTGTTTTGACAAAGTCGCGTTCAGAGCGGCGGTCGCTCATCTTGAGGACTTTCTTGTTTCCAAAAGAACCAACCAAGAGTAACGGCAAGCTTCAAGCCTGCAGCAGTCCAAAAGGCTCCGGCCATGCCAGCGGGGGATTTGTACATTTCTCCGCCAACGATGCCCCCCAGGAAGAGTGCGATGATGCAAGCCAGTCTCTTCTCTTGTCTTTTTTGATGTACCAGAATAAAATCCCATAAGCTTGAGCTTTTTCGCCACGAGTCGCGGATGGAGTACAAATCGGCGACGAAGTCATGATAAAGTGCGCTGAGAACGATGGTAGGCAGCTCCAGCAGAGAAAAGATCCGTGATAAAGTGACCTGACCGGCAGCCTGGAATGAGAGTAACGCCACAGGGCAGAGGTCCAGAAAGTTGATCACCGTTGGAGGATCGTTATCGCTGCCTGAAGAAAATGAGCCAGACACAAAGGGCTGGTTCGACACCAGATTCAGCGAGCACAAGAGTGCCGGGATAGTGATAAAGATGGTCTGAATGGAAAAGGATGTGATGAGGAGGAGTCGACGATGAGAGATTGACTGTGTAGAGAGTCCGGTCGGGTATCGATGTAAAGCATTGAAAAACAGGGTACCCAAGCAAAATGCCCCAATAGCGGTGAGAGATTTGTAGTATTGTTGCGCATGGCTTGCTCTGGGCTGGCCGCCGATACCAAGGGCTGCAAAGATAGTGTTGCCTATAGGAGGATGTGAGCGTTATTACGAGATGGAAAAAGTGAGCTGACGGGATGAACGTACCCGTTTGCATGTTGACGAAACAGTTCCACGAGTTGAAAGCCACACTGTCAATGAGACCGGAAACGAAAAAGCAGATGATGATCACTAAATCAATGTACGAGGCATCAAGTTCATGACAAAAGTACTTTTGCGTGCTCTTCGCCTTCCTTGACAACATCTCGATATGGTATTTTGAGGCTCCTCTTTTCTGTCCGTCGATGCCCGTATGCCTGGAGGACTGAGGAGTTGGGAAGATTGAATTGGTGGAAGTGAGAGGCGGGTTGGTTCTACCAAGCCTAGTTTCCCATTTCAGCGCAGGACAAATCTGACTTGATGGTTGCCGGAGAGGAAGGGGCTGGGAAGGTCGACTCTAGGGTAGCACAAATACAAAACACACAGCATGAGAACTCGACAGGCTATGTTGTCATCGTGTAGACAAAGGGTGATTTCTATCCCACATTCTAGGGGTAATATGGGAGCGCAAGCCAAGTGACCAGCAGACACCAAGATGGCCCACGTCGACATCGACATCGTTCATCCCTTCACAATGTCCACTTTGGGGTGACGCAGGTTGAGTTGGGGAGATTGGAGGCTGAGAGCGCTGGGATTTAGAGGTATGCATGCAGCCTGCTTGCGTGGGATGACGACTGAAGATGTCACATTAAGGATATGGGAGTTTCCGAGATGCATCGACCCTGGCGACTTGGAGTCCGAAATTCCGCGGCGAGTCAGATCCGAGAGCTAAGGGAGGACAGGTTGTGCCCACTGGGTATTTTGGAAAGGGGTCATGCATCTCATTTCGGTGATGGAAGCTGGCTCAGCGTGGATTCGTGTGGACCACAAGCTTTGAAGAGGAGGTTGCGAAGACGGGGACGCGCTGGGAGATGGCCATGGTACGGAGAAGAAGTCAAGCCGTAGCCAGGATATCAATATGAAGAAGCAAAGCGTGAAGGAGGACGATGGCGGACACCGGTGACAGATCCAGATTCTTGTTCGTTGGTCTGGTCAAGGCTGAATATTGACTTGGCATTTCTCAACCCCTGCGTCGATCAGGGCAAATGAGGAATGGCCTCCTGGGTTAAGCAGACATCGTGCGAGGTCCTCGCCCTTTCTGTGGGACAGGCTAACAGAGCCGGATCCACTTTCTGGAGTGCCAAGCCGAGGCTGTACTCCACGCGGCTCGCCTTTGGGGCGGAAGTGGCAATTACAGAAGTGTGTGTACCAAGGGTCGTGACCGACCTAATTCGCATGACAAGCATTCCAAAGCGTGACAATCTCTTCTAGGCATTACCTAGGCGGTCTCGAGAAGAACCACTAGGCGTCATACTGAAGGTGATTGAGAAATATATCCGATCTCTCCAAGAGCTGTTGTGGAGGGCAGCCAAAATAAGCCTTGTCATCAGTACACGGTACAGGAGAAGGGGAAGGGGAAACCGTCGCCCGTCAATGTGCATTACCCAGCTCAACGGGCCGTTTGTGCGTCACTCCCCAAGACTTGGCTGAGAATCCCTTTCCAGGCCAGCTATCACTTTCACATGCTGTTCCATTTTGAAACGAGACTGGGTCATGACGTTGCCGGGCATGTTAAGTGCTCGATCAGCATGTTTCACATTGCGCCTTTGGTCGTGCCTGATGACGACTACTTTGACGCCTCATCTCACCGAGATTATCGGGCGGGCTTGGCACAGATTGCCGACAAACGTGAATCCCCAAACATGAATTGTCCAGAAGTATCTCGGCCGCTTATGACGATAATATCATGGCGGACAGCCCACCCTTTGTTATGCTGGCAACAATTCATTGCAGGCAGTTGTTTATCTCATGTCGACTGTCTCGTTTTCTGTTCTCTGGCTAACTATGGACCACTGCCCCCTGTCTGGAGTGCCTGGAGATATCTAATTTGCCCTCACCGAATGATATAGTAGGGGATGTTACCCCCAACGGTTTCGTGCATGCCTTTTTGGATTGCGTCTAAGTCTTGACATCAGGCTCGGTTCGGCCAATGAATTTCTGTAGTTGTAAGAGTTCGATCGCGAGTCCCACTGGTCCTTTCAGGTAGGTCTGAGTGTCCTCGCCCAGTTTGCTCTTGTCCTCCTCAAGCTTCTCAACATAGAGACGGATGGTTGCACCACTGCTGCCTGTACCCGACAATCGGACAACAATTCTCGTCCCGTCGTCGAACTTGAAGTAGATGCCCTGATTCTTCGACACAGAGCCATCGAGATCGGTGTAGGCAAAGTCATCAGCCTCGATGACCTTGCGACCCTGCAGCTCCGAACCGACAGTCTCCTTCGCGGCGATCTTTTCCCTGAGGTACTTGACCATGTCTGCAGCGCCCACACTGCTGACATCCTCATAGTCGTAGCGGGTGAAGTACACGCGGCCATATTCATTCCAGAACTCCTTTTGAATTTCGGAAATGGATGGGAACGTGCCCGTATCCTGGCCCACGCCAGCAATGATGTTCAGCCAAGCGGTCACGGCCCACAAGCCATCCTTTTCCCGGATGTGATTCGACCCGGTGCCAAATGATTCCTCGCCGCAAATTGACATCTTGTTGGTATCGAAGAGCGAGCAGAAAAACTTCCATCCGGTAGGTACGACATAGATCGACAATCCCTGCTTCTTGGCCACCAAATCCAACGCTCCTGAGGTTGGGAAGGATCGCGCCAAACCGTAGACGCCTTGCTTCTTGAAGTAGGGAATATACTTCTTTGCGTAGTGGGCGATAATGGCCAAAGAGTCCCCCGGTGAGACGAATGCGTTCTTGCCATAGATCATGTTTCTGTCACCATCCCCGTCCGAGGCGGCACCGAAATGGATTCCCTCTGCGTCAACTCTCTCCACCAAAGAACGAGCGTACGTGAGGTTCGGATCCGGGTGACCACCATTGAAATCAGGGCTGGGCTGGCAGTTCTGAGTACTCGAGGGTCCCAAACCAAGTTCTCCTTGGAAGATGGCAACCCCGTATGGACCCGTGACTCCCGAAAGAGCATCAAAGAGAACCTTGAAGTCAGGCTGAGACTTGAAAAAGGAGCGAATGAGATCAAAGTCGAAGATGTCCTTCAACATGGCCACATAGTCCGCCACCGAATCAATGATCTCGACTTCCAGATCTCCATATTTCTTGGTGCCTATGGTGGAGAGATCCACTTCTGGAATGTCTGCAATCTTGTAGGACGCGAGGGCCTTGGACTTTTCGAAGATCTTGTTGGTCACCGACTCCGGGGCAGGGGCGCCATTGGAGAGGTTGTATTTCATGCCGAAGTCGGCTTGAGGACCTGTATCTGGTCAGAGAGATATCAATTTCTTCTCCTCCCTTTTGACACACCTCCAGGATTGTGGCTGGCAGTAAGGAGGATGCCACCAGTAGCCTTTCGGATACGAATGATATGGCTGGCAGCCGGCGTGCTGAGGATACCATTCTGACCGATGAGAAGTTTCTTCACCCCATATGCAGCTCCAATTTTGGCAATCAGCTGGACCACTTCAGGGTTCCAATATCTTCCGTCACCGCCAATGACGAGAAAAGCACCTTCCGCACCTTCGGGAATGGAGAGGAGGATGGAGGTGATGAAAGATTCGCTGTAGTGAGGTTGCTGGAACACAGTGACTTTCTTGCGAAGTCCCGATGTACCCGGCCTGTAGAGGAAAAGGATTAGACAATGGTGATGTGAAGGAATCGTATGGAAGACCTACTTCTGGTCGGTGAAGGGCTTGAACTGGACTTCTTTGACCATGATGATGGCGAGGAGATTCGTAGCTGGAGTATTACTTCTTTGTTGGCGTGGACCAAATGAGATAACTCATAAGTAAAGAATGTGCCGGGGTATTTGAGACAATTGAAACTGCTTTGTGAAAAATGATCGCAGGACAGTGACAGCGCGGGGCAGCCAAACAGAACTGCATCAAGCAAAACAATTTTTGGGGGGAGCTTCAACGTCATTGCCGCCAACTCACCAAAACAACTTTCCCCAATCCACGGATCATGCGGCCGGGTTATCCTGATTGGCTGGCGTCAATCATATCAGCACACACTCTCACACCACCCAATTACGAATTTGTGCTTTGAAGCTTGCTTGAGACAGAAGCGTTAGTAATAATGGTGCCCACAGCTCCTTTGCTATCAGTGGTGCGTTGACACAAACTCTTCACAGTCGACATCTGGGGCCTCAAAGAAGGCCAACCCTTCCAAGTATAAGAGCCAGTATAATATCCGATAGGAGAAGAGGAGCCGTCTAGACTAGACTATTCTCTGGAAATGATGCCCTCAAGCTAGCCAAAGCCGCCTCTTCCAAACCATCACAAAGAACCTCGGCGACCCTGACACCTTTGGAACTTGAGTCGAAATTGAAGATAGAGCTGTCAAGAGTTGGTACATTCTGTTGGTCCACCTGTCACGATGACGCGAATTTGGATAGGTTCCCATCCCGTACATCGACATTCATTTGCACCAACGACACGTTGGGTAACCGGGATGGTCAAAACGTGGACTTTCATCTTCTTGCTGGTATTGGTGCCTTTCGGTCGGACAGAGGGACATATTCTTCGCCAAACTGCCTTTCCGTATGGTTCTTCAAGTTTCCATTCCTTCAACCCTTCGTATTCCTTTTTCTTTTCTTTTTCTTGGTGGGGGGAGGGAGAGAGAGGGGAACCCTTCATTATATCTAAAGCAGGCATAGGTTGATACAAGCACCGAGAGTAGACGAGGATAGTAGCTCGTTGGTATCGTCTCTCTACTGTTTATTGCAGCCTGGGCATCTAGTGTAGAGATCGGGTTATCGTCGATATTGGAAAGAACAGCTGCTCTCATGGACAAAGCCCATTGTTTAGGCAGCTCAGGCAAATTTTCCTGTGCTCCGGTAGCAGGTATTCGCAGAGAGTAGATCTCTGCTGATGATCTTATACCAAACATGTTGCGTAGAATTCTTAATATCCTTGAGTCGTTTCTCTCTCCACATTCTTTCGATCATAAAAGCACTGAGGGAGTGGATTGATAGAACAAAGCAGCCTCTCCGCAGACTCAAATTGCACCCCCAGGGTGATGGCCGCCTCTGAATACGGTTAGCGTGCGTCGCATCTCTTGGCACAGCCGAGTTGCCTTCGTGCAGGCGGTTTCAACAAGAAGATTCCAGGTATTATTTCCTCGACATCACCTTCGCTCATCTCTTGTTGCAACTGACGCCGTTTTAATTTGGGGTCGGCTAAGACATTTCATGCAATTCCCGATCTTCTATCCTCAAGACCCTTTTCCCTCTCGTCGCGCGTGCCCTCAAACCCAAGAGCTCTCCGTCTCCGCCCGAGTTGACTTGCGCTTGTAGGCAAATCCGGGCCTGCTGCATGCCCCACAAGACTTTGACTCTTCACCAGATCAGGCGTGTTCCGTGTGTGGTCACCATAATTCAGAAAGAGCTGGGCTCATACTTATCGATCACCATTTGTTGGCTTCCACATCATCTTGGAGATTCTCTCCGCCCACTCTGCCTTCCAGCGCAGAGAGCGGAGAATTAACAAATCCGCTCGAGAGCTAGAGGAAAGATCTAACGCTCATCATGCCTTGCTTCAAAGGTCTCGCCGTGAGCATACATACTCCTAACGGGCCTCTACCCGAATACTCGGTGCAAAAGACCTCCCGCCTATCGAGAATCAGTGCCTACATCCCTGTCCCTCCCGCACGAATTCCAGCCGATTCCCTTACCGGCAAACCTGAACAATCCACCTTCGCCATCTCGATAACACTGCTCACGCCGGGCCAAGAAGTTCCCTATTCGACTCCCAAGTCGACTCCCGACAAACCGAGTCCCAAACCCAAGATCGTCGGCGAATTACCGGGTCACACGAGCGAACGAGGCAAGAACACAGGTACCATCGGACCTTATGTTCCTTTGACGACGTCACCCAATGAGACCATTGCCGCGTACATCTATTTCGATGGCCGAGCAAAAGAGGAAGTGGCAACACTCTTAAGGAAGGGAGAGGAGACCTGGGTGAATTCCAGATGGGTCAGTGTCCCAGAAAAGGAAGGGGGCGGTCTCGCGGAAAGAGAATTCTTGTTTCGTGAAGTGGGCCTTGAACGTTGGCTGAATGGTCTCGATCTCGACGGCAAAGATGCTGCTGCCACGATCGAGAGGCGGAGACAGAAACTGGAAAAGAGAAGAAGAAAGCGGAAGGAAGTTGTAGGAAGTGATGAGGAGACGAATGGAGCCGCCAAAGGATCGAGGCGCAAGAGCACACTACGGTATGGCGAAGACGGCGAATTGCAGGACGTGTCGGACGACGAGGGTTCGTTCAGTGATACTGGAATTTCAGAAGACGACGATGACGACGACGACGACGACGACCCAATACCAGAGGCGGCGGGTCAAATCAAGATTGCCTTGTTTCGTGTCTTAGCATCTGGAGAGATCAAACGTGGAGAATACTCGCCTCAGTTTGATGCTCATGATGACGATGAAGATTCGGAGGGTGGAGAAGGGGGTGCCAATGCCAAGGCCAATGGTGAAGGCAGGAATCGAGCCGATGTCGACCACACCACCAGTTTCGCAAAGCCCAAAACCCTGGATCCCAAAACCATTTCCACCCAGACGGTAACGGGTATCGATCCCACCGACAAGCCTTATGCGGTATTCACATTCCTTTACCGAGGAGAGCGCCAACTGCAAAAGATGGGAATTCTCCCGGGACCCAAATCGGATAAAGCAGCTTCCAGTGCAAAGAGACGCAGTATAGCCGCAGATCTCCCGAAACTTGGACCGCTCAAGAAAGAAGGCACTGCGGGCTTTTCCAATTTCCGAGATGGAGATGGGCGACGCCATCGCCGAGGAAAGCGAACCAGCGATGATGAGATGGACAGTGACAGCGATGACGACGGCTCCGGCATTATTGGCAAGATGGAAGACATCAATGATGCGGATGCTAAGAGAGAGCCTGGCATGCTTTCTCCCGAAGATGCAGAGCAGACAGGCCAAGTTGCAGAGGGCATTCGGAAAATGAAGGTAAGAGACCCTTCGCCGCCGAAATTCCGGCATGGGCTAAGGTATTATCAGCTCAAGAGGCAGCATTCAGCGGAACCGCTGAACGGCAACGGAGTGGCCGAGGCGCGTAAGAGCTCAAAATCCGGCAGTCCTTCAGCAGCCTCGACCCCCAAGGTCGGTGTCGACGAATTGGGAACCTCACCTTCAGGAACGATGAATGTTGGGACCTCGGTAATGGGTACCGCTCTCGATGTGAAGAAGGAAGACGAAAGCTTCATGGTGGGCAGTCCGATGAAGCGACAACGTGCCAGTGTTGCCGAGTTCGACGAAGATATCAAGAAACGGTTAGGCGGTGGGGTGTCGACATCTTCTAATACCATTGGGGAAATTTTGGGGTCTTCTGGACAGTCTCAGCCAACGGCGGCCACTACAAATCCATCCGGCCTTCAATTTGGAGGCGCTTTGGTGAAGGAACCAATGGAGGACGACGACGAATTGTGATTCCGAAACAGAACTGACCTTTAGAACTCGAGATCATTTTACCGGCGTGCGGACGGCCCGATTGCTTAAAATAGCATTCAATTCTTTGTTACTATTCTCGCCGACAAACTGGCCCCAAATCCTTCGAAGGGCAAAAGACTGGGCCAATACAAGGCATCACGGTCAGCATTGGGATTGGAGATTCTCCTCTAACTTTCTTTCTGTCGAGCGCACAACCGTCAGAGATTGGTTGAGAAAGGAGAAGATACATGAGGTCGCGATTCGATCGAATTTTTGTTTAGCTGTGCAAACAAAACCAGACTCAGTATTTTGGTTGGGTTGATGGTGGATAATTAGGATGAAAGGGCCAATCAGGGCCAAGGGCATGAAAAGGCGTGCATCAATCATCAGGAATGACTGTGAAGGACTCGGAGCATCGAAAATTCAAAGGTCGAGGGGTGGAAGCTCAACGAAGACAGGAAAGAGTGTGGGTGTGCGTGGAATGGCTCGTGGCTTGTCAACGTTCAACTCCACTTGCCGGCTCGAATTCGTTGGTCTTTGTACCACTATTACCAAACTCAAGCTTGATGTTCGCATGTTCGACTAGGAAAGCTGATCCAATCAATTCAATCCAAATCCATACATTTTCAATTATGTTTGTGGTCTGGAGCTGAACAAGCCTAGATACCGGTATTAGTCTCCCATGTCGCCAGTATTTTTTTCTGATTGGCCAGAACCCAACGTCCTCCCTGAAGATTATCCTCATTCATTCTTCGTCATTGGAGTCCTTGCATCCCATTCCCGGGCACAGGCCTTTTTTGGTTTAACTGCATCAGATCATGCCCTGCGGTGAGTTGTCATTGCCACTGCCATTGCCATCGTCATCATCATCGTCATTTAATGCTCACTAATTCTAGGAAGTACAATCATTAAAGAGACGTCACGAGTCACGACAGCCTGTTTTGACCTTCCTTGTCCTTTGACTCATATGGGTTGAGGACAGCATTTCCAAGAATTCCAGACGAAAACTTTACAACCATTACTGGCAGGGAAACAGGCCAAGATAAAGTTAACCTGCGAACGATAGGACAAGCACCAGGCGAGCAAAGAAGGGTATCTTGCATTTGCAGGATGGCGTTGACCAGGTCTACGGATCCGCTTGTGTGGATTGATTGTGAGGTAGGTCATGAAACGAAGGAAAGGTAGCGTTGTCATTCTCTGAATCCGATTCCTATGCAAAACTCTCATGATGTCGGTCTGGCATGAGCCGGGGAAAACAATGAACACCGTTACCTTGAACTGATTCTCTCGACTTTTCACCCCGTTTCCGCCAAGTCCTCGAAAAAAGGAAAACGAGACAATTTCGTACTAATCCATCCCATGAAAACTCAAGATGACAGGCCTCTCCCCCACCCACGACACCATCATGTCCATCTCGTGCATCTTAACGGACTCGGACCTCCAGCCTCTCTCGATCATCGGCTTTGACGCCATTATCCAGCACACGCCCACCCAACTCTCCCGCATGTCCGACTGGTGCGTCCGCACGCACGGCGCCTCAGGCCTAACAGCATCATGCCTCTCATCAACGACAACGGCAGAAACCGCTGCCCACTCCCTCCTAGCCTACATTAAACAATACATTCCAGAATCGGGCCGTGCGTTGCTCGCGGGAAACAGCATCCACGTAGACAAGACGTTCCTGATGCAGCCGCCGTGGGATATCATACTGGAGCACCTGCATTATAGACTGTTCGACGTGAGTGCAATGAAGGAGATGGTACGGCGCTGGGCAGGTGAGGACGTGCTTGCGGGAGTGCCGAGGAAGGAACTCCGGCATACGGCGAGGGAGGATGTGCTGGAGAGTATCGGGGAGGCAAGGTATTATAAGAGGCTAATTGAGGGAATGGCCGCACCGGGGCCAGTCGAGCCGGTACATGGAACCCTTGCCGTCGGTGCCGGCGGAGGCGTACCGGTGCCAGGGAACGGGATCTCTAATGCCCAAGCCTATGCCCCAACAGCAAGCAGAGAATGAAAATGGAAATAGAAACGGAAGTGGAGCTGTATTCGTAACCGCGTGTGACCGTCGGGGTCGGACGAAACCGATTCAGGAGGGACTGGACATATGAGGAGAACAACGGGACTCGAGAGGAAGATTCAGAACTGATGTGCCGTGACACTTGGGGAAGATCGGCATAATACGACGTGTTGTGGACAAGATTCTTGCACATTATTGGCGTGGGATGAGATTTCGCACGTTGTCTAGGATGAAGATTGATTTGGGGTATCTCGATGCAGCGACAGGAAGATGAATAAGGGAGCACACCGGGGGTCAGGAATTATCTGGAAGACAAACAGGATGATTTCTCCGAAATCCATGGTGGTATTGAGCCATAAAGCCATAGAAGCCGCTTTTATGACTACTCTCGCATTTCTGTCACTCTAGGCAGTCGACCAGCCAAACCCTGATGCAATTAAGGGTAACGGGGCAAAAAAAGCTCCTAGAAGGGGTACATGCCTCCAAATGAAGCTAATCCTTCCACAAAAACACTCGCACATATTAACTCACCGAGACACAAGCGTCGGCCTGATTCCAAGGCACCATATTATGTTATGGACATGCTGCGTCGAAACTGCTGCGCTGCCCATTGAACCCGATCTCACTCAGATATCCTGTCCTGGGAGGGGGTTAACCACTAGAAACTCCTGCCATGAGGTCCGAAACTGCCGGAGCCAATGCCTCCAAAGGTAGCTGTGTGCATGTGCGGAGTGTGTCCCAGTACCGGACTGCCAATCTCGCCCACACTGCTTCGTGGTTGGCCTGATGTATCTTCGACGAATTTGACGACTTGTCCTCTCCCTGGGTCAACGACCACCTCAAATGAGCCACCGCCATTTTGCGGGTTGCCTTCCGTATCGCAAATGCCCAGCATCTCATCCATGGAAACGGGTGGTTCACCCGGGGTTTTCAGCACATCCACTTGTCGCAGAAGGGTCTGTACGGGATAATAACCATCGGCACTGATGGCAGGAACTTGTGACAACTGGCGACAGGCTTGAACAAGCATGAGTCTCACCGCAACCGGTCGAGGAAGATGGGGTCTTGATATCGGCTGAGATCCGGCGCCCATGGCTCCAAAGGGTGGTTGAGACCAGCCAGGACTGGGCCGTTGTGTTGTTGGTGGTCCCCACCCCGGTGCATTCGACATTCCAGAATTGAAACTACTCCAACCAGGTCCACCCGAGCCCAAATATTCCTGCTTGGGCTCGGCGAAGCTACTGGCAAATGGCAATCTCGTCGATCCCGGGGGCCCAACTGGCGGCAGATTCACCCGTGCGTCCGTATTCTCCAAGAATGACGCGTCAGAATCGTCCAGCAATGCTTTGCTACCCAGCTGTGTGGTCAGCAGCTCAACATCAGAATCTGGTGATTGTTGTGGCTTCTGCTTGTCTGGTGTGGTACTGGACGGTCGAGCAATTGGTCCTGGTCGAGCAATTGGAGCTGGCTGCGAACCACTGTCGTTGGATGGTTGTCTGGAGTGCACTGGTGGTTTGGATACCGGTTGTTGATTGGCCGCCGGAGGCGCCTGAGCCGGGGGTTGTGGGGCAAATGACATTTGATGACCAGGCTGGAATGGTCGAGGAAATCCTGGAGGATATGGCATACCGTTCGGGGCGAATCTTGGCTGATTCGCAATGGGAGGGCCCTGATACATTGGCATCGGAGGTACCATATTGGGCACCATGCCCGGGGCGCCCATTGGCGGACCACCACCAACCCCCAGTCCAGGCAGTCCATTCATGTTGAAGGGAAATTGTCCACGGCCATGGTTGTTCAAAGGTGACCTTGGAGCTGATGGTTGTGGATGATGTAGTACGGGAGGTTGTCCTTGCGCTTTGGCGGGCTGTCCCGGCCCAGGAGTCTGAGGCATGGCCACCGTCGCTGGAGACGCCGAGCTTCGCGAGATTTCGGTGCTGGCCTTCTGGGATCGCGGAGATGAACCATGAGAATGCGGTCCTGGCTGTGAAGATTGCCTGTTTCGCGCCGGAGTGGCGATTTTGGGAGGAAGGATCGGAGTAGCCACTTGAAAATGAGGCGACTGGATACTCGAGCCACGAGATGGGGGATGTAAACCCGGTGGAAGAGCAACGGGCTGCTGCTTCGTACCTGGTTGGGCACGATCCTTGGCTTCCTTTTCGGCTTTGAGAGACGCCTCCTTGTCCTTTCTCGCCTGTTCTTCTTTGGCTTTTCTCTCTTGCTCTGCTTTTGCCTTTCGCTCCCGGGCCTCCTTCTCTTTGGCTTCTCGTTCTTCACGCTCCTTTTTCTTGGCATCCTCACGCTTCTGTCGTTCTCGCTCCTTGGCCTCGCGTTGCTTGCGTTCCTGTTCGGCTTGTCGGTCGCGCTGCTCTTGTTGTTTTCGGTGCCTCTCGGCTTCCTTTCGAAGTCGCTCTTCTTCCGCCGCCTTTTTTTCCGCCTCACGCTTCTTTCTTTGCTCTTCTCGGCGTTGGCGCTGCTCCTGTTGCTTCTTCTCCTCCAGCTCTCGCGCAGCTGCTTCCTGGGCGGCTTTCTCGGCCTCCTTCTTCGCCCTTTCTTCCTCCTTTGCCAGTTTCTGCAGTCGCTTTTTCTCCTTCTTTTTCGCTGCTTCTCGGGCCTTCTTGGCTTCTCGTTGTGTGTCAAGGCGGCTTTCTTCATCAAGCTCTTCGAGCAATTTCTTCTGGCGTTCCGCTGCTACCTTTTCTCGATAAGCGGTCAATACACGCTGTTCGAACATCCGAGCAGCAAAGATCTGAAACATCCGTCGACCTTCTTCCATTCGTTGCTCTTCAGTCATGGAGTCCTAAGACACAAAGTCGTCAGAAAAATCATCCTCACACTCCCCGACTCGACGTCACTGACCATATCGTCTCCCTCGAAATCGTCTTCTTCCTGACTGTCATAGTCCTCATCGTCTTCCTCGTCGTCATAATCATCATCGTCGTCTATCGGAGGATGATTGTGACCTTCATGGATATTTCGATGAGCTAGGGAAGAAGAAGGGTAACGAATTTCTTCCTCACGTTGCATGCGTCTCTCCGCCAATTGCTCCATCATATCAATGAAATGCTTCCCATCGTTCTTCAGTAGATCGTCGGCTACTGTGAGGATGCCATCTATACATATTGTCAGTCCATCCAACAACCGTCAAGGAAATTCCACTCAGACCCTTGACAGTCAAACTATTGCCAAACTGGAAGAAATCGGGCGGACCCGGTGGTAGCCCGTGGCCGTCGAGCTCGCCTTCTTCGCTGTACACTTCTTCCTCTTCGTCGTCGTACTCTTCATCGTCCTCGAGATCCTCGTCGTCTTCGTCGATTTCGTGTACTCGACTCCGTGAAGGATATGAACCGGCCATGAGAGGTGCATGTCGTTTGAATGGAGGCCGAGGTGGTGCCATCATGTGCGGTACGTTGGAAAGATCGGTGTTGTGGTTGGCGAATTGCTCCAGCTCCTCATAATAGGCGTCGTAAAGGACTTCGAGTTCTTCCTCGATCGCTGTCCGCTTTCGCCCACATACCGAACAACTACACGAATGCTTTTGTTGTTCCTTCATCTTTCGCAACACGGCCTCTTTCTCCACCTTTACCAACGATCTCCGCTCCTCTTCACCCAATTCCAGCCAAAATTGCTTGATATTCTCTCGTTCGGCTTGTGTGGAGGTGTTCCAGATGTGTTCGTTGGACAATTTGTGCGAGGCTCGCATGGCGATATTCGATAGAGGCGGCATATGCGACCTCGACATCATTGTCGAGGTTCGCGAAAGTGACTCGGAGTCGGGTGCATGAGTCTTTGTGTTCTTGGCCTTTTTCCGCTTGCTCGTATTCAGCCACGAGCTGTCTGGCATCCCGTCTGCACCATTGCCGTAGTTAGGATTCTCGTCCCCGCTGTAGAAGGCTTCTTCCGGGCTTCCAATTCCAGCGTACGCCGGTTCCGAGGGATCTGCGTAATCGGCTTCTTCTGTGAAATATCCTTTTACAGGCCCCCGACCTTGCTTGACAGGCGGTAATTGTCCATTCTGTTGCGGGCTCGAGTGGTCATGCCCATTGACCAGATTCTGCTCGGCAGCCCGCTTTGCCGCCTCCTTCTCACGTCTCTTTTGTTTTTTCCGGTTGACGGCCGGCGCCCTCGCAGGCTCTCCGGCAGACTCTGTCGTGTCCCCGGTCTTCGAATCTGAGTCGGGTTTGGCATTTGATTGTTGCCCGTTCACAGAACGGTTGATGACTGGAGCAGAGCCCGGTGTCGGTGGAGGTGCAGGCACGCTCTTCAAAGATTCGTTTAGAGGTTGTGGTTTCGCGGCATGGATCTGCGTGCTGCTGGCCTTCTTCTTAGAGGGCATTTTGTTGACGGGTTTTCTACAGTGTTGGGCCTTGCCAATGGTGGTGTGCCAGGGCCAACGCCGTTTCTTGATCCGGTCAGGATTGCATCAAGATCCCTTTTATTGCTGGTGGGGGGGGTATGACAAATTGGAGGGAAAGAGGCGGTCGCAAAGAGTCAGCAGGGCGTTAACCAAGGGCCGACCAGGGGATTATCAAGGACGGGAAAAAGATCAGTAGTGGTGTTGGGCGTATTGCAGCGGGAAGGGAGTGGTCGAATGTGAGGAAGTTCGATGTTTGACGGTCGTGGGGCGGCGTTATACTGTAGGTTAGAGATTACATGTTGCAAGTCACATTGCGGTTCGTACCTACTTCTACCCACCGTAGCACCTATGACCTATACCCCGTACCAGGCCCTGAGAGAGCCTGAGGATGTGCTTCGCTGCGGCTATGCTTCTTTGCCTCTGAGCGCCACCTATTAGTCCTGTGCCTTTGGACAGGGATTGCCATTGCTATTGAGGCTTCCAATATCTACATCAATTATTGACCGCGTTCTTGGGTTCACTGTTGCGAATTGACTCTCAACTCTCCACCGTTTCTTCTCTTCAAATCACACGAACCTCACACCACTTCCACCTGGACCGCAGCTGTATCTCAGAACTTCTTCTACCTAGATCTACCATTGCATCATAACTCCTCTGACCCGGACCGGGCCTGCGGTGTCTTTTGTTATCGCTGTTCCGTCCCACCAAGAAAATCTATTTGTGGCTGCGCCTCATCGCTCCGGTCCCCATCACCCTCGCTTTGCAGGACAGGCTTCGTTGGAACCCCCCACGGAACACCTTCAAGCCTCAGTCTCTCAGAGATCTTCTAGCATCTATCAACTCGATAGGCACTACTTCTTCAATCCGCGTGTGAAAGTTCAACGAGCCCCGAGAGTGCAACCTATGATTTTGTCGCTGTATGCGACCTCGGGGCCATCTTTGTGACGCTGAGTTACACCACTTTGATCCACCACTTCAGCTCTGCCGGTCCATAAGAAGAGCCGGACTTCTCTTCCTTTTTTTTTTTTCTTTTTGTGCCGCCTCCCCTCAATCCATCCATCGACCTCGTCAAGTGCTCGTTGCAGTTTCCTATCTGAATCGATCCCTTTTCCGCCGTCGCCCGTCTGCCAGCTGGGCGGAGTGACAAGACAACCGCAGACATGGCACAAAATCAGGCACAACAGAATGTGATGAGAAGGTTTGGCCTCCCCGACCACATACCCCATTCCCTGTCTTGATGAGGCTTCAACCCTCCTGAGCCTTGTTCATTTCTGCCGGGACGCGCGTCATCCAAGCGGGGAAAATGATCAACGAAGATAATCTAATAGTGGTACAGGAAACTTGTCATAATAGGCGACGGTGCCTGCGGCAAGACATCTCTTCTATCGGTCTTCACCCTGGGCTATTTCCCGACCCATTATGTCCCGACGGTGTTTGAGAATTACGTGACGGATTGTCGAGTTGATGGCCGATCAGTACAGCTAGCCTTGTGGGATACAGCGGGACAAGAAGACTACGAGAGATTGAGACCACTCGCGTATGCAAAATCGCACGTTATCCTCATTGGTTTCAGCGTAGACAGCCCCGACAGTCTGGAAAACGTACGGCACAAATGGATCGAGGAAGCGCGAGAACGATGTCCGGATGTGCCAATCATTCTCGTTGGATTGAAAAAAGATCTTCGAGATGACCCTCTGGCAATTGAGGAGATGAGGAAGAAGAGCCTGAAATTCGTCACACCGCGAGAAGGCGCAGAAATGGCACAGGCCTGCGGAGCCCGGAAATATCTTGAATGTTCTAGCCTGACTGGCGAGGGAGTGGATGACGTTTTTGAAGCTGCAACAAGGGCAGCGCTTCTGACGTTTAACGGTAAACAAGGTGGAGGTGGATGCTGCGTTATCCTGTGATTTTTGACCATGTCAATATCATTGCTGACGATGGGGAAGGCAAACAAAAAGTCAGTGGCACTCATTTTGGCTCGGGGTCCGCGAGCATTTGGAGTTGGTCCTCGAGACACAAAAGTTTTAAAAAAGAAAAAAAAAAAAAAAAAGGCAAACAAAGATGGCGAAGAGGTGCTATATATTGGGACTCGTGATTGGCATTTTCCTTCGGAGTCGGGATCGTTTGCATCCTGCTTCACTTTCAGACGACATTTTCCTTTCTTCCGACTTTCGTGCTGAAACTTAGCGAATAGCAAATGACGGACTCTCCCTTGTTTCCAGCGTCACCAAAGAACTATTGAATCGGAATCAATGTATCATGGATGGTGGAACAGTTTCCGTAAAGTTTTATGTATATAAGCGTTTAATTTCCTTTGAATTCCCGATACTCGACTTGGACTCCCTCAAGCAAAGCAAGAAAGGATTAATTAATCCCGATCCTAGAGTAATGATCTTTTGTCCGTCTGTATTCACAGCTTTCGGAATCTTCATCATCACGGGACAGCTGGGAACTCTCTGATCCTGTCATCTTTTCCACCCATAATCCCAAATCTTTGCCTTTGCGCCTAGCCCTGTCCCTCCACTCCCTAACCCGCCCGTACTGCCCATCCACTCCACCAAGCCCCTAGCATACTCAATGGGTACACCACCTCCTCGTTCGGGTATACTCCAAATACCCGTCTTCATCTGTGCCTTGCGGAATAATCTGCCGCCATCGCCCACGCCGATGCGCAGCTCCTCATTCGCTGCGTTCATTGCGTTGTATTGCCTCTCCAGCTCCAATTGGCGCGCCTGCTTGAGTTTTGCCTGGTACAGGTTCCAGGCACGATGGATCGTCCAGTGTCGTAGGTATCGGTTACGCGAAAACCGGAGCGGTCGCGGCGTCAGGGTCGTCGGGTGATGAAGAAAATATCGAATCAGAGCTTTAAAAAAGTAGTTGTTAGCAAAGGCGGAACAGATAGACGAATACCAAACGATGCCACAAGATTGAATGATCAGAAGGATGTGAAGCAATGTAAGACTAACTGATTCTTTTCTCAGGCTTGCCGCCTTTCTTCTTCTTCGCGAGAATCGGGCTGGTTGAAAAATGGGAGGATGAGGTTTTGGTAGTCGCGGATGAGATGGCTGGCAGGGCATTGCGCAACGGCGAGAGTCGTAGGGGGATTTGGAACACGTTCGCCAGAGCGGTGCGGATCGAGGAGACGTGCATGGTGAATTGGCAAGGGGAGATGCAACGTCAAAGGTAGTGGAATAATGTACACATTTCTCAAAGAGAAATGATCCCCTGACCTCAATTGATACTCAAAATGCGGTCGAGCTTTGGGGCGAGGCCTGGCCTTGGCGAGGATCAAACTCTGCTATAGGTCCACTCTGTACTCGCCCGGTTCGCGCAAGCTAGATGAGTGATCACCGGGGACTTCTCCCTGTGGTAGTGACCTTTTGGATCAGGACATGAATGGTAACGAGGGATCCCAGCGAGGACTGAGCCTGTGGTGTTGTGACTCCCTAAGCAGCACGTGATCTCTCGTAGTCACGTGTCTGTAGTATGATGCGAGAGGGAAAAAGGGACTACTTTTGGGCGGCTGGAGATTCCAACTTCTTTGGCATTATATTGAGAACTCCTTGCTCAATCATTGTTAGTATCATCTCTTGCTTTGCATTCGGCCGCATCTGCGTAGATCTTTCAATATACGAATGAGAAAGAACTCAGGGCGGTTCATGCGGTGTGGAGCTCTCCTAGATACGGCGCTGGCCGTTCAAGAATCGTCTTGCCCATTCCTGAGGGGTTTTCAGCACCAGAGATTGATCACGCATCAGCGGAAGATGAATGGTTTGAACATGATGTGTGCCTCGGCAATAAGTATCTTATAGAGTATATGTTATGGCGACATGGAGATATACTTTGATGTGTTTTGTCGGGCCAATGTAGATAAATCCAGTCTTGTGCTTCGACGTTCCAGACAAATCCCGGCGGGCGAGGTCAAGTTGACGTATAGGGGGCTTCATCCCTGGAACGCCAACATATAGCTGGGCAGCCCCGGCCGCGTCGACATCGCCCGTATTGGTGACCCTAGCTGTGGCGGTGACAATGTTCTCCCAAATAGCAGGATTTCCACCCGGCAGTATAGGCCTCTGCTCTGGTCGTCCTGGAGTGTGGTAACGATGCAATTGACGGAAAGATTGGAGTGCTCGAAAGTGGAATAGGACAAGCCGAAGCGCAATTCTAACCGGGGCTCAATGTTACCCTTATCGAAATGCTTACAATCGAGGTAAATGTCTTCATCGAAGTTACTCTTGGGGGAACTTCGAAGATTTCCCCTTGCCGTTATGCCTCAAAGTCTCGTAATCAGACTCATTTCTGGCCGCGGTGTATGGTAATTTACCTGACGGAGACACATTGCCATAAAGGATTTCCACGAGAGCACGGCCGCTGTCTTGACTAGGGAGACGGGCGAAGATCACGACAGTGACATTCTCATGATCGATCCATTGGTCTACCAGACGGATGCCAGCAATGTGAATAGCCACGATAGTATCTGAACAGTTGGTGGCAACGTTTTTGACAAGGGCGTCAGAGTGATCATCATTAAGCGAAGACCGGTCGGCACCTTCGCCGGAAAGGCGTTGATGAAAATGAGGCATGCGTCGCCCACGTCGTTGGCGGCCGGCTGTACAGACTGAAAGTCATGAAATATTTGCAAAAATGGGATTTCGGCACTCCGGTGGAAAACAGTCATTCCGTATCTCGAGAACTTGATAACTCAAAATGGGAAGTTCTGATTCACAATTCTCAGAAAGTTGAATCTCAGCCCAGCCACGTCCATAATCCATTCGCCGTCGGAGTAAATATTTCTAGATTTGGACTGAGGATATTCTCGACGCGTCTCAGAGCGGCGGTCTGAACAGCAGCACTAGCAGCCATTAGGGGAACACGGCCGGTAGTATCCGGTAAGCATTGTGTGATCATAGTCGCGACGATATTGACAACGATGTTACAGAAGCCATGGTGAAGGGGTTGACGGTGCCGATTGACTTGATGAATATGGTCCCGTAGACCGATGAGAAATTCTGGCCTGTCAATTGTAGGAACACATCGACTCCGACGACGATCAAGGTTCGCTTCATGTTGACTGTGAAGATGGAAACGTCCTGTACAAAATGATGGTGTATCGCTAGAGAGACTTACAGCCACGGAAAATTTCCACAATGCGGCCCTTCCCCTCGTCAATGGCGAGGATCAGCTTTTGCTCTTCCAATTCGGCATCAATCTGTGTCTGGGTAAATTTGCCTTCGCGAAGAGCTTGGAGGGATGCCCTCGCATCTTCCTCACGTCCCTTCATCAAGAGCCAGCGGAGAGACTCGTCCATGAACCACACTCCCACAGCAGTAATGCTGGGAACAATGAAGAAAAGGCCCAGGGGAATGCGCCATGCCCTGTCATCTTGAATTCCACGTGGGCCACGGCAGATGAGAGATTGGACGAGTTGACCTAGCTAAAGCTCTTGTAAGCTTCTTTTCTTCTCCATTTCCGGGGGCTTCAACAATAAAACCCATCAAAAGACCTGACTGGTAAGTACCAACGACGAGCCCTCGAACCGGGGCTGGTGTTATCTCCGATTGTAGAACAGGCATAAGAGCCAGTTCCATTCCTATATACACATATGCAACAATTTGCCTGCTCTTTATGCTGCGAGGTCGTCAGGATTATCGCGCCGACAACGGCCCAGATGCACATGGTAAACATGCAAATTTTGCGCCCCCATCGCCGAGAAATATAATTTCCAGTAACCAGGCCGAAAGCGAAGCCGATATATGTCAGCGAGTTGAGGAGCGAGAGGAAATAGGACTCGAGAGCGTATTTGCCAGTTTTTCCTGAGTAGACCCCGAATTTTCGAGTGAAGGCATCCATGGCTTGAGTCCCGCTGAAGGCACCTCGGTCCATGCCAAAATTCAGCCGGGAAAGGGCGATGAGTCCGCATGCATATAGCAGTCGCCCGTTGAAACAACCGGTTACATGACGCCATCCCTAGCCCTTGTCGGTGCTGTCCACCACAAGTGTGTGATTGTCAGCCATCATGTTGGATTGACAGGCGAGAGAAACAATGACAACAATCCCCGGAAAGCAGGAACAATAAGCATGATGGAGAAAACTTCGGGAGCTGTCTTGGAGTATATAAGCTGTAAGTGATGTCCAGACTGGCCACCAGTATCGAGCTAGTTCTGTCCCCAGAATCAAATGGTCTTTGTGGCTTATGAAACCTCGGATGGAGAGGCCTTGGCCACGTTAACCCTATTTGAACGCGGCGATTCTTAGCTGGTATTGTCACTGCTGCAATCTAAGAGAAGGGAAATTCACGGCTACCTCACCCCGTTTTGGGACGAGGATGATGCCGCCCTGTGCTTCACCCCTGGCTCGCGGCTCACTGGTATCTTACGGCTGAAATCCTGGCCGCCCAGGCCTCGCTGCGCATCACGTGATTGAGCCGGCAACATTAATCTTGGCAATTCTTGGCGGCGCACACATGCGCCCTACAACGATTCACGCGATTGGCCAACTCCTCGGGATCCAGAAAATCTAGAATCCGGAAACCACCAAATCCTTTGCTCTGATTGGCTGGCCCCATCGGATCCAGTCCATGGGCCAACCCCCGGGCCTCTCGTATCACGTGATTAACCAACCCTCGCTACTCCGGAAAGTCTATAATCCGAGTATTATGTCATCCTGTGCTCTGATCGGCCGGTCCCATCAGATCCAGTCCACGACCGGGTAGAGTGCCGCCGTAGCCCGGACAATCTATAATCCGACACTTAATCATGTGCTCTAATTGGCTGACCCTATCGGATCCAATCCACGGCCCACCCCAGGAATGAGTGGAATGCCGCCGTAGCCCAGAAAATCTATAATCCAACGCCTAAACACATGCTCTAATTGGCTGACCCCATCAGACCCAATCCATGGACCACTTCGAGCGGGGCGCTGAACACGTGATACTTGGCACTTGATCACGTGCGATTAACTAGAGCACTTAACTAGATCCTGTCAACTACCCCCATCGGATCCAGTCTACGGACCTCTTTTCGGGGGGTTGATTAACCAGAGCATTTAACTAGATCCGCTCAGCAACAACCCCCATCGGATCCAGTCTATGGACCACCCCAGGGGCCGTTGGCACTATTAAAGGCAATTACCAACCGGGGGTACGATTATTAGAAGAAATCGACGGGGAAAATTAGTGATTTGACCGTGTCAGATATTCTCACTCGAAAACGCTCGAAATCAAAAGGCTCTTCGAATAGGATACCTCCGAGTGACTTGACGCGAGACACCGCGACGTAGCTGGGACCCGCCACAAGCCGTGAGGTTAAGGACGGCCTTTTTCACCGTCATTCCTTGCGCCCTATGACCGTGATCGCATAGGCATTGGTGATGGGGAACTGTGTCCGAGAACAGCTGACGGCACCGTAGTAGAAATCTCGCCTCGAGCGAATGATCGGCACCAAAGAATGGCCACCTGCGTCACCTAGAGAAGGCCTCTCGTAGCCGTCAAAGTGGACGAGAATCGCGAATGGAGGGTCCTTCCGCCAATTCGCATCCGCCTTCCAAATGATATCCTCCACCGTCCCGAGAGAGCCGTTCACCAGGCCGCGTTCGGTCCAGATATTCTCGGTCAACATAATTCGACAGTCCATTGACAGTGGAATCGCCGTCTGCAGGTTGCCGGCTTCTTCGGTCGTCGCATTCGACGCCTGGATCCCTTCATGAGACGCATGGACGACGAAAACAGGCCGTCGAAGATCTCGCAGGCGATCGTGATTGAACTCCGCCACCTGTTGCTTCGTGCTATAAGTGCGGAGGGCGTCCGCAAATGCTAGAATCTCCGACGGCACGACTGACTGAACACGAGTCGACAGGAGTTGCCAATCGTCCACGGAAACCGTGTCGTCCCGGAGACTGTCCAGCGCCTTTCTGAACGCCGAGGCTTCTTCATCCTGTCCCTCTTGGCGGCGAATGACGTTGAGTTCGATCGTCTGATTAAAGGCGCGAGCGAGGTTCGAGCCGCGATCTCCTGCGGGTCCTTTAACGGCCCATCATAGTACAGGGGCTTCATCATCACCGGGGGCAATTGAAAAAAGTCGCCCGTCATCACAATATTGAGACCACCGAAAAGCATATCTGATTTGGCGGGAAAGATCTCGCGAGAACGTTGATCGAGCCACGATAGCATCTTTAAGCCAATCATCGATTTCTCGTCAATGAATGGGGGTACCGCACGTCGCGGAGACTCGCCTAAGTTGCCTGTAAGTTCTGCGGGCTCAGTTTCTCATATTCCTTGGTGAACCTGACCGGAAGTCGGAATAGAGCGTGCAGGGTCCGCCCATTAATTGCATGGGCCGCCACACCCGTGGGAGCGACACGGAGAATCGGATTCGGGAGATCATGGGCACTGGCCATCTCTTGGAGGGTAGTAGAGATCAGCATAATCACGTACGACTTACCAGTCCCGGCCTTACCGTCGAGATTGATGAGGAATTGGTCCGGATTGAACCCGGCAAGGACTCGACGGCGGCCAAGTGAGCCGGAGATGTGGGCCTTCATTTGCTTCCAAAAATCCAGGTGAAGATGACTGGGAACCAAGAGAGATAGAGCTCCGTCTCGAAGAACGGCGGATTGTTGCAGGGTAGTTGGCCTCTCGCATGTCTAAGCATCGATGCCACTCACGTACTGCCGCGTTCTTTGTTCATAGATTGGCTTAACCGATAGGCAACCAGGAAGCACTGTTATCAACGATACTTAAGGTAATGTCGTTGACAGGGAAATCGGCCTCCGGTTTAGCCTGGGCCTGGGCTCCCCATCACTTTTGACCTCGCTATAACAAGTGCCCTTCCATCTTCCTCCCCCTCTCCATCCTAGCCTTCCTTGCACTTTTCAATGGCACTATCGAAGCTCTGCACTTTCAGTCAGCTGTTCCCTCTTCACCAACCACCCACCCTTTTTGAAAAAAAAAAAAAAACCCCCCTTCATGCCCTATCCAACTGTGCTGTTCATGCTCGATGAACATCTCCCTGCACTTCTAGCTAGACGCATCACACATCACAGCCTGACTGGCTGTGCAAGACATCCAAGGCGGAGATACTCGAGCGATGAATGATTCCGATCAGAAATTGCATAAAATCTGGGACATGGGATCATTCTTGCGGAGACAGAAGGTCCGTCGATTCCTGTGCAGGTTGAGCGACTGACTCCTGTGCAGACTGAAGGACTAATGACTCGAACCATTGTTGGAAGTTTGTCGTACCCCATTCGCTGAGAATGCGAATAGCTGTGATCACCTTATAGCAGCCAAGCACGGTACTGGTAGTTCCAACGAGGAATCTTGACAGTATTTTCTGTTGGCAGTTGTAAGAATCTGGAGTCTCGACATCAACGCGCAACTCACCGCGCCGTCCGCTGTATCGCAAGCGAACATGAGGAACCACTGGTCACCATACACGTACAAGAGTGGTAAGGCGATCTGGACAGGACCGTTTTTGCAAAGCTTGCGAATGCGTTTGAAGTACGCCGATGCCCACACACCAAGTTGTATATCCGCGTCCTGCACCGAACCGCCTGGTCCTTTTGTTTCAACGCTGACAAAGGCTGGTGCAAATCGAAGAGGGTGATACATGGACTGATTGATGGTTCTGAGATTTGGATGTTGACCGTCAAGTAGCTCAATGATGCGACGCTCCATGTCTTTGTCAGTTACCAAATTGATGGTGAAATCGACCATCTTTGATTGCAAGGATCTCCCACCGACGTCACGATGGTCAAACGCGGGGCAGATTTTGGCTGTTGTGCTCGTAGGGTCAGTAAATTTCGGAATTAATGTGGGAATGATCTCCATACACATTTCGGAATACGACACCCTTACAGGCCTCCAGAGCCAGGTCCAGTATAGGGCTGTGTACAATACAATTCCAGGAAGGCTCTGCTTCTTGATCAAGTGAACACTGCGACGTTGCGTCGCAGATCTTTTTGACATAACGTAGTTCCCAAAGCAACTGGGTCCTTGATCTGGTGTTCGCTATCGAAGTCTCATCGAACATATGAGGGAGTAGAAGGTCGGTTTCGTTGTTGCATTCGGAGATCTCATCCTGTAAAGGGTTATCATTGTCCAAAGTTGTTTAATCATAGCCAGTTCACCTTGATGTGTGCAGGCAGGACTCCGGTAGCCCAGCCAACCGCGCGTAGTTTCTCATAAAGACCCCTGGCGTCAGATGGCAGCTTCTCTAGGTTCTTCGAAAGGTCCTCATACCGAATAGGCATTTTAGCAAAGAGAAGGTCGCCCATTCGTTTGACTGGACTTTTAGAAGTGGCTTTTGAATTGCCGGCCGACGAATCTGATGGCTCCATAGACCCCAAGCCGGAGGCTGTCTTGTTTTGGAGAGCGGGCACATAGGCTGAACCCTTGGTTTGGGCTAGAGTCGGGTTAGGAGCTCGAGGTCGTGGTGTTAAGTCTTCCTGTGCTGCGTCATTGTCTTCTTCGGAATATCTACTTTGCCGGTTTTGGGGTTTGGCAATATTAGATCGCTTTGTGGGTGGAGGTTGCGGTGTCAGGTCTCCCTCCCCTTTGGAGTTTCGAGTCCGCTTCTTTTTTGGAGGCATGGGGCGTGGATGTTTCTCTGGCGTGAAAACGGGGCGGTTTCTCTTCACGGTTGAGTCGCGGCCTCCGAGCGCAGGTGTCTTTCTCCTGGCACCTGTCGGACCAGTTGTGCCGGTCAAAGACCTAGAAGAGCCTGGCGTTGGTTTGTGTTGGAAGATATGTCTGCCCAGATCGGAGGCAACGCAGACGTCATGCACCCATGCCGCGACCACAGCGTTAGGGGAGAAACCACCGTCCGTAGAAACGTTGCACATGTCAAAATGATTCATACATTCGAATCGTACCGCACGGTAAAGGATCCTTGTTGAAGTTTTGAAGGAGAGTTTGGTAGGTTGACCATCAAATGTTTGTTGTGACAACGCCAAGCCCCGTAACGGGTCATGTAGTTACGTGCTTATAGTGAAAAAGAAGGGAGGAAAAAAGGCGGATTTTCTCGAGGGCCTTCGTGGCTCTCGAACCAGGAGAAGGTCCATTGCTTTTATGCACGGAGAGAGGACTTTGAAAAAGGGTTGGAGAGGGCCGAAAGGGAGAGAATCTGTGACCCGTTTCGAGGAAATCTAAAATTGGAAACCTGCGCCAGAAAGCGGATTCTGAAGAGGGGGGAAGGACAATTCAACTTATAGAAGTCGTGTCATCGCCTCGCTCGTCGATGCGGAATCCTGGTCTGGCGTAGAAGTAATGGTCGCCATCGAAAAGGGCGGGTGTGACTGGGAAGGGAGGGATTAAGGGTGAGTAAAGCGGCGCGGGTTGGGTGAGTGTCCAGGTGAGCTTGGCGTCGATTTACCTCCTCTTTACCCGCCAAGTATCATTATTTTGGGTATCTATCATTGATGATCTGTTGCATTTGTCATTCTGGAAAACTCCGAGGCTCCCGATCAAGGCTGAACCCTTTTCGCCACCAGCAATTCAAAGCCAGTATTTCTTCGTTCTCTTATCATAGTTCATGATTCGTCGCTTTCGATGACCCTGTGCCAATTTCCATCGGCAGTACAACACCAGAGCATCCTTCAACACAACAAATAGACACCCTCCTAGCACACTTCTTCCCCATTTTGTCGCCAGTAGGCCTGGTCGACCGTTCGTATAATTGGAACCATTTACCCATGAAGAGGGTAGAACATATTTGAGGATGGAGCCTATTCCTGCCGCCGCTGCGGGAAAGAACAATGCTCCCAAGGCAGATTGTCCGATTCCAGAGGTACTTTCAAACAGCTGATCTCCACCGTTCCCCAGTATCTGGTGGACGTGGCCATTGTCTGGTCGAGCTTGTCCATTATCTCCGTTTCCACCTCCTCCTTGCGCACCACCCTCACCGTCTGGTTGGGCGTTGAGATTCACTTCCAATTCTAGAACAATACCTTCTTCTTGCGCATGGCCTGGAGCGTCTAGCGTGTCACCGTTATTTTCCCCTTGTCCAGGCTCCCGCTGAGCATGCCTGGGCTGCACTTCATCCAACCACTTTTTGTTGAGATCGCAGAAGGCTTTGTGATAACACCAATTGTACGCCGATCTCACGGCAGGCAAACATGCAAACACGGTGCTCGGCAGAGGTGGCCAGACGGTCATGTCCAGCTCAGATTTGTCGCCAATCTGGGTGCTTAGGAGGAACAATGTACCACCCGGTAGTACAAAGTCGGAGTAGTTGGTGCGAGCGAAAATCAGGTTGACAGGAATCATCGAGTATGCGAAGAGCCAGGAACGATGCACCATAGCTTCTTGAAAAATGCGTCGAGCCTCCTTCTCCCCAAACACCAAGAACACCGAGTAGAAGCCATGAACCCAAGCGCCGACATAAACAGTACCCAGAAGCGACATCGCGATACATGGTAAAACCATCCTTCCGAGGGCGCGGTCCATTGCACGGTAGCCATCCACAACGTAACTCTTGGGTCTGACCACCTTGATCTCAGATTTACATTGTGGACATAGAATCTGATGTGAACTTTTTCGTTTGTCGTTCTTGGGGTTTTCGATGTCCGCCACCCAATCCAGAAGGCAGGCTTCATGCGCAGTCAGGCTGCATAAGCAGGGCGTCCGCCAAACCGGAGGGTTGTTCGGATCATCTTCGGTGGCGTCGCTCATACATATCCAACATTTCTTCGTTCCCGCCGTCGAAGAGCGTGACAGCGCCGGAGGTCCAGCCGGAGAGGTGGAGGTTGCGGCACTAGGATCAGGAGAGGTTCCGGAGGGTGGGCCTTGATCTCGAGAGACCAGATCGTAGTCTTCAGAGTTCATGGTGAGGTTCGGAGTCGGACGAGGATGGATACAATCGATGGAGGATAATGGAGATGTTGATGGGAGAGGGGAGGCAGCGAAGCCGTCCCAAGGCGAAAGGCAACGAGACGGATGAGGTGACAGGCTTACTACATGAATAGACGAGCGTGAGATGATGGCTTCGGTCGTTATTGTCAAGATGGTAAAGAGCTCGTTTGTCTGGAGAGTGACTGGGACAAAAGGCGATGGCCTGGCACGCGGCTTGTTCAAAAGTGGCCCGACAGGTGCAGTGCCGCTATGACGTTTTTCCGCCCCGAGGCGCGGTGCCGCACGATGTCGTTCCGTTAATTATGTTGTCCCCTCAGCAATTCGTTCCTTTGCCCAGACATTCGTCCCCGATCTTGCAGCACCATGTCGCAGAGGGAACAGAAAGCGCAATAGAACTGTGCCGGCAAACTCAAGAAGTGTGGTTAGTTAACGACGCGAGGGTGAAATCGGGCATTATCACACTAAATTCCCCAGGTACCTTGCTCTCTGGCTGAAGTCTTTGTCCCATATCTGACTGTGTTCCCGAGATCATTCAACGTTATTCTTCAAGAACATTCGCAATGGATCCCATGGTACCAAAAGTCGACAACTTGGATCGTGTCTATGAAGGTGCCTCAAAAGGGCTTGCTGTGCCCCCTAAACTCGAACAACGCTTCCACAATCTGATCCGGTCCTTCAACGATAAGTATGGCCATAGACCGGAGTTTGTATCACGAAGCCCCGGCCGGGTCAACATCATCGGTGAACACATTGACTATTCTTTGTACAACGTACTACCAGCAGCTGTTACTGTTGATGTCCTCATCGCCGTCCGAGTGGTGAAAGACACCAGCGGTCTCGAACCCCGCATCCAAATCGCCAACATAAATCCCACCAAATATCCCTCCCAAACAGTCACCATTCCCCCCTCTGGGGAGGTGCAAGTCGACAAGGAACACCACTCCTGGGCCAACTATTTCCTGGCTGGCCTGAAGGGCTCGTTGCCGTATCTCCGCAAGAAGCTTGGCGATTCATTCCAGGCCCATGGCATGGAGTTATTGATTGATGGAAATGTTCCAGCTGGCGGTGGGCTTTCAAGCAGTGCTGCTCTCGTGTGCGCCTCTGCTCTCGCTGTCATGGTGGCAAACAATTACGACATTTCGAAGGAGGACTTATTAGATCTCTGCATCGTGTCGGAACGCGCAGTTGGAGTGTTCTCTGGCGGTATGGATCAGGCTGCATCGATCTTCTCCGAGAGGGGTTACCTCCTTTATTGTCACTTCTTTCCCACCTTTGGTGCTGAGCATGTCCTGATGCCAGCATCAGATCCCGAAGTTACCTTTCTGGTTGCACAGTCCTTCGTCACCTCTGATAAAGCGGTCACCGCACCCATTCACTATAACCTCCGGGTCGTGGAGTGTACTCTTGCCACTGTGGTTCTTGCCAAAATGCACGATATTGCGTTGAACCCGGATAAGAGCCCTCTTGGATTCTGTTTGCGGAATTTCCAGGAAGAGATCATGAAGAAAGAAGGCCGTAGGGACGAGCCACTCGAATCTCAGGTGGATGCCGTGATTCGGATCATAAAATCGAAACTTGAGAGAGAGAGCTATACCAGAGAAGACATCGCACAGATCTTGGAGATTTCGGTGGAAGAACTCGAGAATCGTTATATGTCCAAATTTCCTATCCGCGCCGACGGTTTCAAATTGACACAACGTGCCTTGCATGTATTGGAAGAGGCTGGCCGTGTCCTGAAATTCCGGGACACTTTGACGACGTCAGGGAAACTGGATAATGAGAAGCTCCTGTATCTCGGGACCCTCATGAACCAGAGCCAAGCCTCCTGCAGGGATGTGTATGAATGTTCTTGTCCTGAAATTGATGACATCTGTTCTATCGCGCGTAGGGCTGGAGCTTATGGGACTCGGCTCACCGGAGCCGGCTGGGGCGGTTGCACTGTGCACCTGGTGCCGCAAGATAAAGTCGAAGCTGTGACGGAAGCCCTTAAGAAGGAATATTATTTCAGGAAGTTCCCTGATATTAGCGACGAGAAGCTTCAGGAAGCCATCGTCATTTCCAAACCGGGTCAAGGGTCATCGCTGATCGTGGGCTCCGCACTCGACGTGTGAATGTCGCGCCTCGTATCGAGGCCCTTTGGCCTGTCCTCATGAGTCCGACCACAAGCAAGTAGATCCAAAAAGGCTCATAACAACTAGAGATCTGGGAACTGCTATCGAAACCGTCTCCACACAGGGGCTGTGAATTTACTTAGGCTAAACAGACACTCGGCGTCTTCGGCCCACGATTTTCTGCCAGGGCTCTCGTGTGCTGCAATATCTGATCAATTCAACCCTTCTGTTGTTACTCCAACACAACTTGACCAACGTGGACCGGAAACAATCCCTCTCGATCCGCTCTTCTCACACACCGAGTCGGTCGATTTCATCAGCTAGTCTCTCCAACAGTCTCCCGAATCCCCCCAGAATCTTCTTCAGACACCTTGGTCGACATGTCGGAGGATGATGAAGCACATCCATTTCCATTCGTGGGAGATGAAGTGACCTCGACGCGGAGAGGAATTTGATGTGGAAAGAGACGGTGATCTTCTCCTGACTTGTCTGGATCGCCGCTCGACGAGTTAGTGGTTGGGCTGCGTCGTGCTATTGAACAACGGGCAGAAGAGGGAGGGGTTCCGGAATATCTTCTTCAGGCCGCTTGGACATGACTGTGACCATGCTTCGAGCTGACTACCTTCCAAATCTCTCAGCGAACATTCTCAACCGAATTGCCATCTTTGTTTACCAAGGCCAAGTTCCCAACGTCCGTAAAAACAAAGATCATACCCATTCCTCCCTCGCGGCAGACGAGCTGTGCCAACTTCGTTTGACTGGATGGATTGAGTTGACCAAGGGTCGGACTTTTGACCGTTGCACAAACTGAGTTTAGCGTCGGCAGTTTATCCACGTGATGATATATTTGGCGGAGCAACTCCGCTCATCATGCCCCACAACCATCGGCCTCTGAGATTCGAGGAATGAGTCTGTCTCGCTTTTCTTCTTACCCGACTTCCCACTAGTGATGGTACCGACCTCCCCGATATTTTGTGCTGAATTCGACGACATGAGGTTAGTGCAATTTGGGCTAAACACCCAAGTTTATTGCCCCCGTGTTCATCCCGTGTTCGTTCAAGCTCCTGACCATCTACAGTATAAGCTGACATTGCACCATCATTATAGAAACGATGGAGGCTTGGGAATGCTCTATCTGATTGCCTCACTCGCTCATTTCGTGGTCAATCCTTGCTTCCGAAGTGATTACCCTCCAGCTACGACTCAAACGTCAGTATTGTCCCTCCTGTAACTTCAGATTCTAGACATTTATCTAGCTTTTCATTCTCACTTCTCACTGTTTCATTTCCTGTCTTTACTCTTCTAGCCCACTATAGCCTTCTTTCTTTTTTGGATACATCCCTTCCATATTTGGTCCCAAGATGCCGCCGAGAGTATACTGCTCATCATTTCCCCCAATTCATCCGGTCGATGTCGATCTCCTTACCTATCTATTCTCGAACCCAAAGAATACTCCCGATGACAAACCCATTTACATCGATGCTGTTACTGGTGCTTCTCGCAGTTATGGAGATATCAAACGCAGGACTCGATCGTTGGCTCACGGCTTACGCGATCTAGGAGTGGAGCCTAAAGATATTGTCGCTTTCATCAGTCCAAACAGTATCGACTATGCCATCACTTGCTATGGCATCTTGGGTTGTGGAGCAACAGTGTCTCCAGTCAACGCAGCTTATACACCCGTGGAGTTGCAGTCACAACTTGAAACCAGTGGAGCCAAATATCTGATTGTTCACTCGGCTCTTCTCGATACGGCCGAGAAGGCAGTCAAGTTTGATCCCGATATCAAAGTGATCCAGGCAGATGGCACCCCTGACAAACAAGGCAGACCCACCGCGGAATTTCTGGCAACTAAATGTCCATCCAGTCCACTTGTCAGCATTCGACCAGAAGAAGCAAGTGAACGCCTGAGTTTCATGTGCTTCTCTTCTGGTACAACAGGCCGAGCCAAGGGTGTCATGACCACACACAAAAACCTAGTATCCAATGTTCAGCAATGGCTGGCTCAAGTTCCCTACGAAGCAACCGGTGACCAGACGACAGTGACATTTTTGCCGTTCAGCCACATATATGGCTTGACTTCCTTTATATGTGTGAATTCAATGGTGGGAAACACCGCCGTTGTCCTGAGCCGTTTCGAACCCGAACGATACATGAGCTCTATTCAGAAGTACAGACCAGAATCCGTCAGCCTCGTCCCGCCAGTCATGCTACTCCTCGCCAAACATCCCTTGGTGGAGAAATACGATCTCGGCAGCCTGAAGAGGATCCTCTCTGCCGCAGCTCCGCTAAGTGTGGGACTTCGGGAAGCAGTTGAAGAACGATTCAAGAAGTTATACGGGACAACGGTACTTGGCCTGCAAGCTTGGGGGATGACCGAAACCAGTCCTTTAGGCTCGATGGTGCCGCCGACTCGACCAGACAAACGGCACACCGTGGGGAATATTGCCCCGAGCATGGAATTCAGAGTGGTGGATCCAGAGACCATGCAAGATACCGAGACTGACACGGATGGTTCTTCCAAACCAGGTGAGATCTGGTGTCGTGGACCCAACGTTACAAAAGGCTACTATCGAAATGAAGAAGCCACGAAAACCGGGTTTGCGTCCGACGAAGATGGAAAGCTATGGCTCCGCACTGGAGACATTGGTCTGATCGACAAAGACGGATTTATCATCATTGTCGACCGAATAAAGGAAATGATCAAGTACAAGGGCTGGCAGATAATCCCGTCAGAATTGGAAGGCAAACTACTGGAACACCCTGATGTCGAAGATGCATGTGTGGTCGGACATTGGGTTGAGGAGCAAGCAACCGAGCTGCCGGTGGGTTTCGTTGTCATCACCCAGAAGGCGAAGACCACGAGCGAAAAGGCCATTGTGGACGGTATTCATCAGTGGTTGAATAGCCAAATTGCGAACCACAAGAGATTAAGAGGAGGTTTGTTTGTCGTCGAGGCCATTCCAAAGAGCGCTAGCGGCAAGATCATGAGAAGGCAGCTAAAGGATATACTGAAAGCAAAGAGCCCGAAAGCAGAATCAAAGTTGTGACCACAGATCTGTTCGTGGATGTGTCGATTGCCAGCAAGCGAATCTAGATCGGTTCTTGTAAGATGTTGGCATTATCGACTCCCCTGACACCGAATCAATTAAGCGAAACCGGTTTATTCCTTCGCATCAAATTCAATTAGTTCTCGCTGACTATTGACAAGGCCCTGGACAATCACGTGCCGTCTTTTGAGATTCAAATGACCAAGTCTGGCTGTTTTCTCGTCGCTTCAACACAGTCACACCGCAATCAATCATGATCGCGAATCAGCCAGATGATATCTCTCCCGAAGCGACGGCCTGATCCGATTTCTGTTCCGATCCGTCGGCCACAACAAAGTCACCGTCCATTGTTCGGCCCAAGTCGACAAGGGGACCTGCGCAAAAATTTCTTGCTGAATTTGCTCTCGCATCATTGGTCCACTCGGTAATCGGCAACACGAAAGCGGGATTTCCTGGCAAAGTGAGACCAATGAGAAATATTCACGTCCACAGACGGAGAATGACCGAGATCGGACGGCCTCAACGATAGAAGGTCATCATTGGAGAAGACGCCAGATGCCAGTCCCGGTGGAGTCAGAAGATGCTACAAGGAAGCGGTCCGTCGATGGATATGATGCCCTGAAGAGAAGTTATGGGGAATGCTACAGTCAGAATGGTTGGGGGAATTCCAAGGGTATCTTTTCTACTCTATTGCATGTTATCTATCTCCCTGACGCCCTTTGATCTGTTTTGTGGAAATATTCTTAAACTGCGGTCCTTCCGATTTGTGGTAAGGCTCCATTCTTTGGACAGTTTACTTTGAAATCAAGTCGCTCCTTCAAAGCAATGACTATCAATTGCCTCCTCCTGTTTCTACAAGAAATTTCATAATGACAGGCGAACTTCATTTGGACAATGTCGAAGATGACCATGTCATTTCGCAAATCCTTCCCATCCAATCATCGCCGAACCGACCTGCTCCGTTGGATCTTGAGAAGACTTCCACCACCGACTTGAAAGTTCAGGAAGACGAGAAGGGAGAGCTCTCACGTGTACGGTCGACGGTCTCGCACCACGATATCCATGGCGTTCCCAGTCACAGCAGCTCCTATGTTGAAGTCAATGCCGCTCAGTATGAACGATTCAGCGAACGCCGCAAACTCCTCATCACATGCGTGCTTTCACTCTGTGGTTTCCTGGCTCCTATCTCTTCAACGACCATTCTTGCCGCCATCCCCGAAGTGGCAGCCACCTATAATAGCAGCGGGAGCATCATTAACTTATCCAACGCCCTCTACCTCGTCTTCATGGGTTTGTCACCGAGCCTCTGGGGGCCCTTGTCCACAATATACGGTCGACGATGGATCTGCATTATCACCGCAGCATTATTCTTCGCATTCAGTGTCGGCACGGCCCTCGCACCCAACCTGGCCTCCTACTTCATCTTCCGTATGCTGACCGCGTACCAAGGCACCTCATTTCTCATCGTCGGAACCTCCTGCCTCGGCGATATTTACACGCCCACAGCACGAGCGACCGCTCTCGGCTGGTTCCTGTCCGGCACGCTGATCGGTCCTGCTTTCGGCCCATTCATAGGCGGCATCATCGTCACCTTTCGGTCCTGGCGTGACATTTTCTGGCTTCAATCTGCCCTCGGCGGCCTCGCGGCCCTCTTGGTCATTTTCTTCCTCCCGGAAACCATCCCGGCGAAGAAGATCGATCAACTCCGCGAGTATTCTCGGAAAGAGCGCACGACTCGCATTCTCCACTGGGTCTCGCCCTTCCGCGTCGCCGTCCTCCTCTTCTCCTACCCGAATCTCCTGATCGCCGGCCTCGCTTCCAGCGCGCTGGTGTGGAACATGTACTCCCTCCTCACACCTATCCGATATGTGCTTAACCCACGATTCCACCTTACCTCGCCCATCCAGTCCGGGCTTTTCTACATCGCTCCCGGCTGCGGGTATTTACTGGGCACCTTCTTCGGCGGGCGCTGGGCCGACCATATCGTGAAGAAGTGGATCCGAAAGAAAAACCGACGCGTGCCTGAAGATCGATTGCGATCTTGCTATGCGTTCGTCGGTGGCGTCGTGCCAGCCTGCATGCTCGTGTACGGCTGGTCGGTGGAGAAGGAGGTCGGTGGAATCCCGCTCCCCGTAGCGGCCATGTTTGCACAGGGCGTCGCGCAGCTCTTCTGCTTCCCGAGCCTCAACACATACTGCCTCGATGTCATGCAAGCCAAAGGCCGTTCCGCCGAGGTCGTCGCCGGCAACTACATGATTCGATACGTGTTTGCGGCCGCCGGCAGCGCGGTGTGCCTTCCAGCCATTGAAAAAATCGGCGTCGGCTGGTTTAGTACCATCTCTACTGGGTTTCTGATCGTCAGTGCCGCCAGCGTTTGGGCCACGACCGCGTGGGGCGAGGCCTGGAGACATGCTGTTGACGATAGAAAGAAACAGAAGAGGAAGGCGCGGGAGAGTGAGGAGGAGAAGGCCAAGGGTGGGAAAGGTGGTGTCTGAAAGGGGTTGGAGCCGGGGGTCAGATCGAACGAAGATCTCAGAACATGAAAGATGCATATACGACAGGAGTTAATATTCTCGATTCGATGACCGGGGTCGTTGTTCTTTTTGAGTTTCACCAGGTTATGGAATTTACGGCGTTATGAAAACGGCATGTTGAGGTTCGTGACTTCTGAATAGAGACAACTTGGGACAAGATTACTGAATAGCTTAGTCAGATGGGATAGCGCGGTTTGATATGGCATGGTGCATGGTATATAAAGAGAAGGGCGTCTGGGATTGGTCTCAAAGAATGATTCAAGATGGGAGAAATATGAAATCACGGGTAGGGTTATTCCCAGCGGAAAAAAGGAACGGTGATAAGATTTGAATTGAGAAGGACAGAATCAATCCACCTCTTGGCTAGACAGGAAAAATAGAGGAATGAGAAAAAAAAGAAAAAAACAGAAAAGATATAAAATCAAGGGGGAAAACTCCTAAACTGAGCCTGAGTCCTTGGTTCGGATCCCAGAGACGCTTCTTTCAGGAGCAGATTCCTTTATCTGGGCATTTGGGACCGCGACAAGCTCGTCCATAGACACAAGCAGAATCATGCACTCTCAACCCAAAGAAGCCTTGCCGACAAAAAGGCTGAAATTTTGTTGGATCTTGGATATACCAATCACAGCTGTCCGGTCCTGCTCACGTGCCCGTTAGATCGCATTCACGTGCAAGAAGCGGGGATGCTGTCGAAGGTGGGGGATCGAGAGAGATGCTTCGGCGGCCTCCGCGATCGGGTTAGACGTAGAGAGTTGCTTGCTAGTCAAAAAGTCGCAGGGAACCAAAAAAAAACCAAAAGCCTCTGGATGCGGGCAGAGAGGTTTTCGGAAACTTTCAGAAATTATGGTTGTTTCCACGATTGTTCTCTGAACTCGGTCCTCACTTGAAATTCAGTTTCCAGTTAGCCGATCTTACCTGACTGCGCTATACCTCCCCTATTTTCAAGACAAGTCACCACAATGGAAGTCCACATCCAACCACAAGAGATTTCCGAGACTGTACTAGACCAAGCGGTTCCTTTATCCACACCCAAGTCATGTGTGACAGTGACACCTGTGCCGGCGGCCCTGATCGACAGTACATTCTCGTCCTCTACGATCCTGACGACCACGGTGCTCGGTGCCCAAGTCCTTTCTTTCTCTGATGAGTACTTCGCCTCCGCTACGAATGTGCTCACGCCCGGCCCTCCGATCCGCAAGCCAGGGTACTTCATACACACCGGCGCATGGTATGATGGATGGGAGACAAGAAGACATAATCCGAAAGAGTTCGATTGGGTAGTGATCAAGCTTGGGTGCGTGGGGACGATAGATGCTGTAGAAGTGGACACCGCGCATTTCAATGGCAATGAGGCTCCATTCGCTGGGTTGGACGGGTGTTTTCTCACCCCGGAACAAGAGGAGGGCAGTGGAGTGGAAAAGGAGGAATTTCAAGGCTGGGTGGAAGTACTGCCACCCTCCAAGTGCGGACCCAGCCAACGTCAAGCCTGGAGGGTTTCCGGGCCAGGAGTCACAGGGAAAGAGTTCACGCACCTCAGGTTAAAGCAGTATCCCGATGGAGGGATTGCGCGGTTGAGGGTATATGGCCAGGTCGTTCCTCCGCCCCTCCCTGCGAGTGCAGCAGCGGGAGAGAGGCCCGTCGAAGACCTTGCCAGTGCTCTCAACGGTGGTGTGGCCATTGAATGCTCCGATCAGCATTTCGGCGGCAAGTCATACCTGCTTCTGCCGGGGCGGGGAAAGGATATGGGCGACGGCTGGGAGACTGCACGCAGCAGGACCAAAGGTCACACGGACTGGGTTATTGTCAGGTTGGGATTGAAAGGAAGGAGTATCGAGAAGGTCGTTGTCGACACAAAGGATTTTCGAGGGAACTTCCCCAGGGCGGTCAAGGTGGAAGCCTGGTCAACTGAGGTTGCGAAAGCGGCATTGGGAACGGAAGCTGATCCCAAGGCCCAGGATGTTGGTTGGGTGCCGCTGATTCAGGGTGAACAGCCTTGTCAAGCTGACACAGAGCATGTTTTTGAGACAGGAGAATTGGTAGTGTCTAAGGCTCCTGAGGGAAAGGTCTGGACGCACGCGAAGATGACGATCATCCCGGACGGTGGTGTGAAGAGGTTAAGGATATTTGGAAAGAGAGCGTAAGAGGTACTTGCTAGTCGTAAATGGTACCACCGTTAGCATACTCATTTCGCTGGGCCGCGAGGTACATCTACCAAAAGAGCAACCTTTCGTTGGTTTGCAGGGCAAACCAATAGATTCCCCTTATTCCCTGGTTCCTCGCCGCCAAGAGCGAAATCGGCGGGATGGGAAGAAAGTGGTGCCCCACTGTGTCATGATTTCGGTGGTCCTCCACAAAGCCCTGCCACTGACTGGCCGAGACCGAGCAAATTTGGTTTGGAGATACACCTTGAGATGCGGACTCACCTACTGACTCATAATTATCCAACCTTCTCTCTCTTATTACTGCTCCCTCTTTCACTCGAATAGAGACTTTCTCCCTCCATCCGTCTTGCCAACAGCATGGCGACCAAGATGATGTCCATGCGGCCTGGCTCCAGTGCCATTCGCTCTTTGTCCAGACGGAGACCCTCCTGCTCTCAGTCCTTCTCCTCTAGCACCCCAGCGGCAGCTCTGTCGCCCTACCGAAAACCCTCCAAAACCACTCCCGATCAACCGAGACGACCTGCCACCACTGCTGCCGCTCAAGCACAGTATGTCTAACACCAGAAAGATCGATCCTTGCATGCTGAAAATTATCCAGAACCACCCGACCCATCCCCAGTCCGGCCTTTAACAATGACTTCCAGCGAAATGAGCCCTCACCATTGGTTAACAGGCAAATGCCAGAGCTTGACGACTCCTTTGTCGGTCTCAGTGGAGGTGAAATCTTCCACGAGATGATGCTGCGACAAGGCGTCGAGCATATCTTTGGCTATCCTGGTGGTGCCATTCTCCCAGTCTTCGATGCCATCTACAACTCCAAACATTTTGAATTCATTCTTCCCAAACACGAACAGGGCGCAGGGCACATGGCAGAGGGATATGCCAGGGTGTCCGGAAAGCCTGGAGTTGTTCTCGTCACCTCGGGGCCGGGAGCAACCAATGTCATTACCCCGATGCAAGATGCCCTGTCGGATGGTACACCAATGGTGGTTTTCTGTGGTCAGGTGCCCACTACGGCCATTGGCACAGATGCTTTCCAGGAAGCTGACGTGGTGGGAATTTCACGAGCTTGTACAAAGTGGAACGTGATGGTTAAGAACGTGGCGGAACTGCCCAAGAGAATCAAAGAAGCATTTGAGATTGCCACTTCTGGACGACCAGGCCCCGTCCTCGTCGATTTACCCAAGGACGTGACGGCCGGGATCTTGAGAAGACCTATTCCCATGCAATCGACCCTTCCCGCTCACCCGTCCGCGGCTACCTTGGCCGCCAAAGAGCTTTCCAGAAAACAACTGGAAGACACCATTTCTCGTGTGGCCGATCTGATCAATGTGGCGAAGAAGCCCGTCATCTATGCGGGCCAGGGTATATTGGGCTCGCCGGAGGGCCCGCAACTTCTCAAAGAACTCGCCGACAAGGCCTCCATCCCCGTCACCACCACCTTACAGGGTCTGGGTGGGTTTGATGAGCTGGATCCCAAATCCTTGCACATGCTGGGCATGCACGGGTCGGCCTATGCGAATATGGCTATGCAGGATGCCGATCTTATCATCGCCTTGGGTGCTCGATTTGATGATCGTGTGACTGGCAACATTGCCAAATTCGCCCCACAGGCTAAGGCAGCTGCGGCCCAAAAACGTGGAGGGATTGTGCACTTTGAAATCATGCCAAAGAACATCAACAAGGTGGTACAGGCCACCGAGGCTGTCGAAGGTGATGTGACCACCAATCTGGCCGAACTTGTCCCTCGAGTTAAGCATGTCCAGGACCGACCTGAATGGTTCGCACAGATCAAGGATTGGAAGGAGAGATTCCCCATGAGCAGTTTCGAGAGAGGGACTCCTGATGGCTTGATCAAACCTCAGGAATTGATCGAGAAACTCTCCGACATGACTGCCCACATGAAAGAAAAAACCATCATTGCGACCGGTGTGGGCCAGCACCAAATGTGGGCCGCTCAACATTTCCGATGGAGACATCCCCGAACTATGGTGACTTCTGGAGGTTTGGGCACCATGGGATATGGGTTGCCGGCTGCCATTGGTGCCAAAGTGGCGGCGCCAGATGCTCTCGTTGTCGACATTGACGGTGATGCCTCGTTCAATATGACTTTGACGGAACTGAGCACTGCCAATCAATTCAATATCGGAGTAAAAGTCATCGTCCTGAATAATGAGGAACAGGGCATGGTCACACAATGGCAGAGCTTGTTTTACGAGGATCGATTTGCACATACCCATCAAAAGAATCCTGATTTCGTTAAGCTCGCCGGTGCGATGGGAGTTCCAGCAAGGAGATGCATAAGACCTGCTGACGTGGAAGAGAGTTTACAGTGGTTGATCAGCGGTAGTGGCGATGGGCCAGCACTTTTAGAAGTCATTACTGACAAGAAGGTGCCAGTCTTGCCTATGGTGCCTGCTGGCAAGGCTCTGCATGAATTCTTGGTATACGATGAAGGTATGTTGAATCTACCGGAGGGGAATTACATCTTGCTAATAAGTATCACAGCCACAGAAAAGGAACGAAGAGCAGTAATGAAGAAACGATCAGGTCACTGATTTGACTGTGCAGAAATTCTCCTTTTCTGGGGGTGGCTCATTCACAATCAAAGCACATGATATGTATAGGCGACGTACGCACCCGCGATATGAACCAAAAATTTCAGGAATCACTTTTCTTCACCAGGAGAGGCGAATCCGGTCAACTTGACGTGATGGATGTCAGAAATGCAGACTCGGAGACCATGGATTTGAAAAGGTTTGACAGCGATGTTGTCGAAAAGTTATTCACGGAACTCAAACTTCCATTTCCATAGAGCTCGGTCCAGGCTTGTCCCTGATTGAGTGCGATATCATAACACAGTTATGGTACACACAAGGACTGATATCGCCTTATATGAAATGCCGTTTGAATGCTTACCATATCCTATCAGCCTTTGCCAGAACTCCTTGATGTAGCTCCCTGTTGGATTGGGCATGAGATCTCCCTCAATGTCCTTGCCTCCTTTCTTCTTCATTCCTACATCCATCTTATCCCGTCTCTGCCTCCTATCAGCATCAGCATCATCATCAATGCATTCAAACCACCATTAGACGTGCTGCCGTATGCCAACTTGTACCTTGCCTCCAGCCACTTTTTGGAGAATCCTTTATACCAGCCTCTTCCGTCCGCCCAAGATGTTGAAGTATTCGTAGAGGACTTACGTGGAGTACAACATCTGACCGGCTGTAGAATACAATTTCCGTTATCAGCCTGTCGAGGAGGACCGAAGGCCAACGCAGGTTTGCACATGCCCGATATTTTCTCCTCGAGATGCAACCTACCTCTACCAATTGTGTGACAATAGGCGCTAGCGGAAATATGTCAACTCGGATTTTTGAAGCTCTAGATTTTTGGCAACGATTTCTTGTATCTATTCCGGATCCGGCCCCAGTTACGCAACTGCTGGTTCACGGATATTTGATCCTCACAGCAGGTCCACGTTCCTCCCGGGTTGCATTAGGTGGGAGGGCATCTGACGAACCGAACCCGAACACCCCCTGGCTTGCATTTTCTGTCAGTCTTGTGCAAATCCAAAGCTTCAGTATAAACTCTCAGGACTTCCTCCTGCCTTGGGTAATGAAATGGAGTGGGATGTAGAATTCATTTTTAGGTTCTCTTCTCCCCTTTCATCAGGCTAATGATGCAAGGCTGGCCCTTGCATGGATGTGGCTTGCGGAGCAACCGCCGTAGCAACAAACACTATTCCTAAAGAGGAATATTATACACACGCCAAGCTCTTTCATTGTCGCTGCCATGCCGCATTATGCTTGCACCACAACCACTGCCTCCTTTGATGTTTTGGCCATAAACTTGACCCTTTACACAAAAGCTTCATAGGTCGATCCATTCCGACATGGAGATTTCCAGCAAGATGCCACCACAAACCTCGCTGTTCCAGGTTTACCTACGACTGCGTCCACGGATTCAACCACAGCAGGAGAAACAGAAAGTCGAACCGTGGCTCATCGTCGAGCCCGCCGCGTCCTCGGCCTCTCAGAACGAAGACTCAAACGTTTCTTTCCCGACTCACATCACGCTACAACCACCGAATGATTCGAGAAAGCGTGCGATAGAGAGATTTGGCTTCACCAAGATCTTCCAAGAGGAAGCTACTCAACTTGACGTGTTTGAGGAGACTGGAACTGCGGATACAATTAAGAACGTGTTACAGACGGGAAGAGATGGCCTCGTGGCCACACTCGGCGTCACAGGGAGCGGCAAGGTATGATGCCGCCGGCAACTGTTGATCTGCAGGACTAACTGAGAACCAGAGTCATACTGTCTTGGGATCCAAGACTCAGCGAGGACTCGTGCAGATGACTCTCGACGTATTGTTCAGATCAATAGGGGAAATGATCCGGAGACCACATCATCCTGACCTACCCACAGACACTGGACTTCTCTCGTCCCTTCAGGCTGCTGATCCCTCGGAGGCTCAGATTTTGTCAGCCACCACTTTCTTGGAATCAGTGTATGGCGATGGCGACAGAGCCCGACTATCACGAGCTCAGACTCCCATGATGGTAGGCAACCGAATCCATGAGCTTCCCCGCTCACTTCCCACTTCTCTCCCCCGGGAACACACAAGCAGAAACACAATGGCGCGACCGTCGGCCTAGGATCTTGTCCCGAGTCATTTCACAAGTGCCACGTCCACGATACGGATGTTGCCGAATATCCCCGAGACATTTCCCTCGCTCGAGAAGGGACCGTGGCGTCCCCCTTCAAAAGTCCCAATCCTAACTCGCTTGAAAAATTTCACCAAGTCACCTGCTAAAAGCAAAGTTGTTCAGGATTCTGTCTCCCACAACGTTCGGCGACCTCCGTTATTGCCCAGATCGAGTATGTTTCCGCAGTATCCAAATGTAGCATCATACTCGATGGACATCGACCATCCAGCGGAGTATGTGGTGCTCATCTCAATGTACGAAGTTTACAACGACCGTATTTTCGATCTTCTCTCAAGCCCGACTGCCTCAAGTGCCCCAGCTATGGCGACAAGACAGGGAGCCGCGCTGCAAAAGGGTCTTCTTCGACGTCCTTTACTGTTCAAGAATACCGAGATGTCTCCTGACCGAAAGGTAGTAGCAGGCCTTCGAAAAGTGGTTTGTGGAAGCTATGAAGAAGCAATGATAGTTCTGGAGACCGGTCTGACGGAGAGAAGAGTTGCCGGGACTGGCAGCAACAGCGTCAGCTCCAGAAGTCATGGCTTCTTCTGCATCGAGGTCAAGAAGAAAACGGAAGTGCGAGGCCCAGCTAGCTATGTGATGCCTGCTTGGACCGGTGGGACCATGTCCATTGTCGATTTAGCTGGTTCCGAGCGGGCTCGAAACGCCAAAACCACTGGGTCCACGCTGGCAGAAGCAGGAAAGATCAACGAAAGTCTGATGTACCTGGGCCAGTGTCTGCAGGTCCAGAGTGATTGTCAGCAAGAGGGCAGCAAGCCCATTGTGCCGTTCAGACAGTGCAAGCTCACCGAGCTGCTGTTCTCCAATTCTTTCCCATCATCCCACCACGCCACCACTTATAGACCACCGCAGAAGGCGGTCATGATTGTCACCGCCGACCCGATGGGAGATTTCAATGCGACCAGTCAGATCTTGAGATACTCGGCGTTGGCACGAGAGGTGACCGTTCCAAGAGTTCCCAGTGTGACCAGCGCAATTGTTGGTGCGGGAGCACCGGGAAAAACCCTGCAAAGTGGTCGTTCGACACCTCACGAAATGCGCAACCATTATTTTGGTGCTCAAGAATTGGAGCAGGCAACCCATGAAGCGGCAAGATTGGCTGAAGAGTGCGACGTACTGGCCATCAAACTCGCCGAAGAAGAAATCAAGAGAACCGAAGCGGACCTGAAGCTGCAGGCAGCAGAAGAGAAGCTTGTGGTGATGGAACAGGAGGTCCGAGAAGAGTGTTGGACAGAAATGGAGGAGAGAATGGAGGAGGAGAGAGAGAGATGGAGACGGGCAAGGGAGCAAGAGAAGATTCGAGGTGAAGAGTACATGGACGGCAAGCTGGAGATTCTCGAGAAGACGGCCAAATTCACCATCCATGAAGATTCGCCCAACGACACGAGAGTTGAAGAATTGGAGAGGGAAAATGAAACTCTGCGAGCCAAATTACGTGCATTGGAACAGGAAATGCGATCGAGAAGTCCGACAAAAAAGTCTCGAGCAGGGCCGAAATCGCCCGTCAAAGCATTTGGTTTGCACGAGTCATCCAATCTGAACATGGCCACAAATCCATTCCTGGCTTCGTTGAGGGCACGAGACAGTGATGCAACCATCAAAGCGAAAGGGAGTGAAGAGGATTTGCAGGTATCAGATGTTTCTCCACGAAAATTGTCGTTGAGAAGCTCCAACATGACGAGGGCGGCGACAGGAGAGCAACAGTCAGCTCCGGTCAAGAAGCAGCGGAAGTTGACGACACGGAAGTGGGATTTGGGTGATCCAGATGATATTTGAATGGCCTCGTTCTCCTTCTCTTTCTTGGGATGATTATACTCATAAGGAGATGCGCCAAAGGTACGGAGTACCTCTTTGCTTTTCCATAGGACATCAAATGGCGGACTTCCCCAGATGACCAAGTTCTAGAGCGCGTGGCATTATAAGCGATGTTGCTTGGTGAATGGTAGCGCACCACCCAGAGCATCTTCCACACCCCCCAATCAACCTTGGTCCAGGGCGGCCGATCATCCCTTGACGGCAGCGCGGAACATTACGAGATTGCGCAGTCCGTCCTTCGTAATATGTGCGGCATCAACGGGTTGGGCTTATTTGCCCATAGAGGATGTGGATGCGAAAATTGTGGAAAAAGATCAAACACCAACCACCTGGATTAATGGGATGATTATATGAATTTCGCAAGAGATGCTGGGTAGTGGAAGATTTTTTTGGGTGGTTGGTGGTGCACATCTGACGTGGCTGGTAACTCGAACGCTCGGCACTTTGGCTGCGCCTGTAAAGAAATCGCTCCACCACCGCCATCATCACTCGACTCACCCTCCACCGTTCTTTGTTCTCTCTTCTTTCTTCCCAGAAACCTTTGGCAGGGTTTTCTCTCTGTGTTGGTACCTCCTTTTCTTCTCGTCATTCGTTCTCTACCAGAATCTCCTTCATTCCACCCCGAACACATCTTTGTCCCTTGACCGAAGTTCATCATTGAACACCCGAGCGGGCCCTCTATTGGTGCCCGCGACCAGCTGATCCTTCGAGCTTCTACCTCCCTGATATCCGCCATAGAACACAGACGAGTGCGCAGACAGAAAAAAAAAAAAGAAAAGAAGAGGAAAGTCAAGGAAGAATACCTCACAGAAGAAAAAGCACGTCCTCTCATCCCCTACATTTGAACCCTATACAAAGTCGAACTCTCCTGTGGATGGTGATCGCGGCCCCCCCAATGGCACCGACCATTTCTCCCCGCAGTGCTTCAGGCGAACACATCAGAACCGTCATTTCTCGTTCAGTATCCTCCAATTTAACCCCTCTACCCTCACGAAGTACCACATCTACCAAAGCTCCCATCGCATCATTATTCGCCGTCATTCTAAGAGGCACAATCGGAGTCTCGAAACGAGCCCTCCAAGAATCCCTCTTTACCCCTCGATCTCCCGTTTCCGAAGCGGTCCAACCAATCTATGTGCACCCTTCAGCGCTCTCGAAAAGACAGAATGCCGTCCTCGCCATCCCGACAACGTATGCCGGGCTCAACGATGGACCGGCGCCAGGTGCGGTCGTAGGCATTGTCCTCGGCTCCATCGCCGGCTTTATCCTGGTTTTATACATTCTCCTCAGCGCCTTCCGTCTTTCAGGATACTGGGTTCGCGACAGTTACGAAGAGGAAGTCGTCCGACACCACCACCACCGCAGATCACCTCGTCGGAGTCGCAGCCACAGTCGGGTGATGACGGAAGTCAGTAGCCCACGCCGGGAAAGAATCGTCCGCGAACATGAAGAGACCGTCGTGGTAGAAGAACATCCATCGAGCGTAGTGGAGGAGGAGGATATCGTCGAAGTCATCGAAGAACATTCTCCCGAACGGCGGCCCAAACGAGGCCCCAGTGGCCGAAGTGGATTTAGGACAGTGGACCCGGCAGAGTTTGGCGGTGGAGGACGACCGATAAGGAAAGTTTCCAGGCGGTGACAATGAGATTCCGTTTATATTTGAACAGAAAGATTGATGTCGATGTGTACTAATTCGAGATGTTCTGAACACCACCTTGAGATGAGCGATGGAGTTGTGGATGGTCAGAACATGGTCCAATGGTCTGGTCGGGTCGGGTCGGATCAGATCGCGAATCAGATACCAATTTGAGGAGTTTCTTTGATACCATTCTGCGCTGACCCGGTTGACCCAGTCTCACGTCCATGAGTCCTAATGCAGGCACGATAGTCTGATCTCGAGATTTTACCCATCTACAGACTCCGATTTCATTCATTCCCTTTCCCCTACAACACTCACCTTGGTGTTCGTGTTTTCGGTCAAATGTCTGGATTGAGGATTAGAAAGCGTGGTCGAACACCTGATGAGGGAGTGCTGTGGCAGTTACCAAGTGCAGTCAGCTCAACAAGAAGAATCACGAGGGGGCTATCAATACTATCTCTTGGTGGCCTTGACACCCAGCAACGTTTCAGCATTCTTGTAGGCAATCATCTCCATTTGCTCCTCCGTCACAAGGCCACTCTTTTCGAGGTCTTGCATGAACTTGAGCCCATCCTCGTTCCTCGCGAAGGGGTAATCCACGCTGTACAAGATATGATCGATCTTCGTATTGCGGAGTATACACGCCATGGGATCCACGCTCCAATTCCCACTCGTCGTGATATAGATGTTCGTGTCCCAGACCTGTTTGAAGTCGCGATCCCGTTTGTCCCAGCGCAGAGATAGCTGCATAATGCGCTGCAGCATAAAAGGCAGCATCTCGCCCATATGCCCGACAATAATCTTCAACTGGGGTAGACGGTCAAAGAGCCCCGCGGCGAAGAGGCGGAGGACATGTGTCGCAACGTCGGAGTGCCAGCCAAAGCCGGAGGCGCTGATGGATTTCGATGCGGCCATGGGAAAATTGCCCATGTAGAATGTGCTCATCATGATATCCGTCGGCCAGGTCGGGTGCAGGTAAATGGGCACGTCGAGATCCTGAGCCGCCTGGAACATGGGGAAGTATTCGGAGCCATCGTAATAGGAGCCATCTTCGGCATGATTGTCGATCAAGGCGCCGACGAAGCCCAAGTCTTTCACGCAGCGGGTCAATTCTCCAGCGCATCGCTCGGGGTCCGAGACTGGGAGGACGGCGAATCCAGCGAAGCGATCGGGGTGGTTCTTGACAGCCTGTGCAAGTTGGTCATTGGCAGATTTGCATTGAGACGGAGACATGGCTCCGGGTGCGTGGGAGACGATTTGAAAGGAGATTTGGCCTCCTTCCATGAATTGGAGGCGTAGGTCGCCGACGTCTGCAAGCTTGTCGGCGAGGCCAGGGATGTGTTTGAGCTGTTCGGAGTACTTTTCCGTCGACCCAGAGAGCATGGCTTGAGAGAAGAAGTGTTCTTCGAGGGAGATCAGTGAAGGGACCATTTTGATGATCGACGTTCGTTGTCGTCTGATATGAGGCAGCAGGCTACTGATTTTCAACGTCGAGAGAACATGTCCTATTAAATACTATGTGATGCATGAAGTTGATGTTTCACCAATGATCATACTGTCCATTCGGGATGAGAGGAGGGCATTGGTGGCCTGGTGGGCCATCGATGACGGAATACCCAAACCGGTAGTTGGCCGCGGTGTATATTAGATACGTGTCACCCTCCGAATCCAACTCCCACTGAGTCTGTTGGATCAGATACATTCTTGGGTACGAAGGCACTACGTATAGCTTGCTGCGTGCGTGGATGAAGCCAAACACGGTCTTATCGCCGGCTGCGGATATGCCGGAGTCTTCCACTGACAGCCACACGCACCCTGTGGGCGGGCGGTCCAATATCCACCCGACTCTGCCTTTGGTGATTCTGAAGCGGCAGAAATGGTTATCCTGATGCCTGGCGCTCTTGAGGGCCCCCCCGAAGCACCTGGAAGTCCATCCTTCATACCAGTCGAGCCACCGTCCACCATGATCACCGTCGACCACCTGCCGTCCTTGTTACCCGATGAGCCCAAAGTCCACCATGTTGGCAGTCCTCCCACGGGTTTCCAAAACCCATGGCCGTCCTCTCCTGGTGGCCACGGCCGTCTCTTGCGTATTCTCAGGGCCCGTTTCGGCAAAGACACACCAGATTTTGTGCCTGTGCCCGACCGGTCAGAGTTGGTTCCTATCCAAAAGATCGACTTCTTCAACTCAGTTCCCGGATTCAAAGTGACATGGATCGGTCATGCCAGTTTCTGGTTGCAAACTTCCAAGCCACCAGGAGCAGCCCGAGGCATCCATATCCTCTGTGATGCCCTGTTCTCAGAAAGAACGTCTCCGGTGACCTGGGCCGGGCCCAAGAGATACACTCCGACGCCCTGCACTCTGCAAGAATTCCTGGATGCCGTCGAGGTGGATATCGTCCTGATCAGTCACAATCACTACGACCATGCCGACGCGAATACATTAAAGGCAGTGTACGCCAAGCGAAAGAAAAATGTTCGCTTTCTCGTGGGACTGCACAATTCTCGGTGGTTGACTTCCTTCGGCATCGACCGCGCATGCATCACGGAGTTAGACTGGTGGGATGGAGTCGAAATTCAGGTCGAAGGAGTGGGAAAAGTGCGCATCACCTGCCTTCCCACTCAACATTCCTCTGCGCGCACCGTTTTCGATCGAGATCATGATTTATGGTGTTCCTTCGCCGTTCAGGACTGTCAAGGTCCGGAAGGAAAGAAGGTATATTTCGCAGGTGACACCGCTTATCGATCCATTCCCGCTGCCGACATGACCCGCGAAGAGGAAGACCAGCAACCGGCATGTCCGGCCTTCCAGCAGATCGGCGACCTACTGGGGCCCTTCGATCTTGCCCTTTTGCCCATTGGGCTCTGTGAACCGCGGACATTCATGTCCGACGTCCATGCCAACTCATGGGATTCGATTAAGATACACCAAGACATACGAAGCAAGAAATCAATCGGTATGCACTGGGGGACGGTCCGTGGAGGACTTTCGCGGGCTTATGAAGATGTCCGGACTCCGCCGAAACATTGGAAAATGGCAGCGGAAGAGGCGGGATTGAAATGGGGTGAGGAGATTGGATTGATGGACATTGGTGAGACATTGGTCTTGTCTTGAGACGACTTTGCATTGGAGGAGTGAATGGTTGCTCGCTACGGAATCGTCTTCGGCGATGGTTGCTTAAAGACACGACCTCTAGATTCGCCAAATCACACCCTCTCCCCTTCGCCCGCGTTCATCCGCATTTGTCCATGTCGCCAATATCATTCGGGGTGCCACCCAGGCGGGACTTCCCTTGACTTGTCCACATGGACTCGAATATATGCTTTGTGTCCCTTGCCAAATTCAGATTAGTATTCGCGGCCATTCTTGACCAGAATCCTCGAGTCATCTGCATGCAAAGGTGATTCGGACAAAAATATCGCACATCTCAGTGCGTTTCTGCAAATCGTTAAACCCGGGGACATGCATGAACAGGGATGTTGGGCCAGGACAGAAGCCGACCCAACCAGATGTCAGCCTCACCAGCCGCTCGCAAGTTATAGGCTGTTCTCTCACTCCGTCAAAATCAAGCTCAACGCTAATTAATGCACAACACTGACAGACTGACTCTCACTGATGCAGGGAATTCTCACTCTTGGATGGTGGTCCGCACAGCCGCATGCGCTTCTTTTTCCACAATTTCGTGTCTATGGTTTGCCCTCGTGTGAAATCAGGGAATTTCGAATTTCCATTGGAAGAAATGAGTGCTGCCTGTTGTGATTTTCCCCAAAAGGGGGCGCGAAACATGAAGTGGAACCATAGTGGCTTCCTTGGAGGTAGGATCCATGCAAGGCTAGTTTCTATCTCCGTGAAACTGCATGTGATGCGCGATCTGGAAAACATCATTCCGTTACTCCATGAGTGTCAACTTGATCAACAGGTCAAAATATAAGGCTGATGTGTCTCTCTGATGGGCCGGTAAGAAGTGTATCACCCTTTCCATCAAACATCGGCATCTGCCCACGATAACTGACTCGCTCTCCCTATTATTCACCACACACTCAACTTCCATATCCCTCGGGGGGAAAACCCAAAGGGAAAAATGTTCTTCCGCCTCCGCGCCTTCTGGTCCCAATCTTTCAACCTCCCCACTCCCCCCTTGACAGAAAAGAATCTCCCGGATCAGACCGGTAAAGTCTACATAATCACTGGCGCCAACACCGGCGTCGGCTACCAAGTGACTCAAATCCTCTATGCACGCAATGCCAAAGTCTATGTCGCCGCCCGCACCGAATCCAAAGCCCTCGCCGCGATCGAAGCTATAAAGAAAGATCACCCCGCCTCCAAGGGCCAACTGGAGTACTTGTACTTGGACCTCTCAGACTTAAAAACTATCAAAGCGAGTGCCGAGAACTTCATGTCGCACGAGGACAAGTTACATTGGCTCGATAACAATGCCGGCGTGATGGTTCCGCCGGCCGGTTCTAAGGGTGCTCAAGGTCTGGATCTCACGTTTCAGACAAACATCCTCGGTCCGTTCCTATTTACTAAATTGTTACTTCCGATCTTGAAACGTACGGCCGAAAATGAACCTAAGGGCGCCGTGAGAGTCAGCTGGGCTGGGAGTTTGGCGGTGGACTTGAATCCTGTGCTAGGTGGGATGGCGTGGAAAAAGGGCAAAGATGGAGAAGCGACGCTGGACGACACAAAGGGGAATAGTGGCTCCTATGGAATTTCCAAGGCTGCAAATTATTTCTTTGCCAAAGAATTTGGGAAGAGGTTTGGAGACCGGGACCAAGTGTTGCATAATGTGAGTTCCCGTCCCACCCCGTTTTGTGGGCGTTCATTTTCCACTTCCTAACGTATGCCTAGTGCTACAACCCAGGCAACCTGGCCTCCGATCTCCAACGACACGCGGGCTCCCAGTTCCCGGCCTTCGTCATGTGGCTCCTGCACAAATTCCTCCTATATCCAGTCATTTTTGGCGCGTACACGGAAATCTATGCGGGCTTATCACCCGATTTGACTCTTGAAAAAGATCAGGGTGCATACATTGTTCCGTGGGGCCGGAAGGCTGGTGTCAGGAAGGATTTGGAACTGGAGGCGGCCAAGGAGGACGGCCAGGCTAGTAAATTGTTCGACTGGTGTGACAGCGTGACGAGGGAGTTCGCTTAAAGTCATAGCCTATCCAAGGCTGCATGAGCAAAAAAAGATTTTAGTGGCAATTGATCTGCTCTGCCTGTCTAGCTACAGATTTCCTCCGTGCTCGTTTGAAATCATCCTCGATCGCTATTGTAATCTATCATTTGCCGCCACTGTGGAGGTTGCGTCAGAAACCACTGCTCCTGCTTAACCACCTCGTCGTTCTGTCTGTTTCCGTATAGCCGGGTTTAGCGAATGGGTCCCTGCGGGCAATCATATCTTGAGGAACAGGACGAACGTCCCGTTCGTCCTACCCGTCCTGAGGGCCAAAATGAAGCTCTCTAATTGGTCAGCCTTCAGGTTCCAGTCACGTGAAAAGTTTCTTGGCATTATCACGTGAGGATGTTGGCTTGGCAATATTGCAACTTACACCCTGCCTACAACAGCGCACAAAGTCCATCATGGCAGACAAAGGCGGCATTTCTGCCCATCCCTGAATGGTCCATAGACTGGATCCGATGAACCGTACGAGATTTCAGCCAATGAGAGCAAAGGATTTAGGAGTTGTCGGATTATAACAGGACTGCTAGTCCTACTAGTCCTGCCAAACACTGTTAAGGAGCCACGTCGTGGCGTGTTCGTAATAAGAGCAAAGAGAATTCGGTCGGTGTCGGCATTGCGGCTCCTGTTTCGTCTATGCAGAGCTTGACTTTGATCTGGACTGAATCTGATGACAGAGTTTCTTTTTCCTTTGTTGTGAGCATTGAATCTCAAAGGATCTGTCACTGTTGGGATGATTCAGATGGTTTTCCCCACTTGTCTGGATATCGATATTGTCCATAGTGCCAAGGCTCTTCATGCCAAGGCGCTAAAATGCAGCAATTGACCAGACGAAGGGATAGAGAGGCATTAGGGAGGGAGTTAATAATCATATAGTAGTTACTGGTCTCTAGGATCCTGGTGGAGTACTCTCCGTGTACAAAGTAACCAGATAAGGCAGTTATCACAGCGGGGAGAACTAAGCATCACAAAGACATCTTTTCGGATGTTGTGGTTGGTCACCTCCCTGATTGATTCCAAGTAGTCTATTCAGATGATTCAGTACCACACAAGACAATTATTCTGTCTCTTAGAGGGATCGTCCATGGTAGAAACACGAGCGATTCGTTGTCCCCTCCCAGCACGAATCGGAGACTGCCGGTTCCGAAATCCAGCTTTGTCAGATTTTCCATTGGGTGACTCTCAGATGTAAAACATGCTGTCACGTACGATGGGATGTATGTTCACCAAGCTGGCATCTACTCCCGCCACACTGCCTGTTGAGCTGGTCATCGAAGACGGGTTGAAGATCTTGCCGAGATAGCATCTTGCTCTCTCACAGACCAGATCCACACAGTACGCTGGAGGGCAGATGCTGACAGCCTTAGTGGCCCGGCCAAAAAGGTAGCATAAGTTGTGGGTCAAGTCCTCGAGGACGTCGGCCACGTTCTTGAAGGTGGTGGCACATTTTCGGCCTGGAAGATCTCGTCGTAGACGATGTAATAATGCGCCGGTCTCGCTGTTCCTTGGACTGTAGCGTGCGCTTGGAGGAAGAAGTCCCAGTGGCGGGCCTGGGTGACGCCACGATCGACCTCGGTCCCGTTGGAAGTATTTGTGGAGCGATCCGCTTGTTCTGGCTTGGTCGGGTAGAAACGTGTATTGTGTCGCTTGCCAACTGATTCGTGGAAGGCCTTGGCCGGTCATTTTTGGTGGGTAGAGATCTCGACAAGCAGCACGAATCTCAGGAAGCTCCTGGTCAAGCACAAGGTTATATTGACCCTCCGAAACACCATCGCGATAGAGCAGAATGTTCTTGGAGTAGTCATCATGGTTGTGCTTGCTCCACAGCTTGAGACGCCCCTTCATTAAGGACTTCAGTCCGGCTACCATCTCTTGTCGACCAGTTTGAATGGAGAGGTCGGCAGGCCATTGTCCGAACGATTCGTTAATTGACGCGACGATGCCCACAACACTGGGAGCCATGGATAACGAGCCCGGTGAGGGATGGGTGACATCAAGTCCGACCACCATGGTCTTTCCGTCTGACAAGATACCGAGCTTCGGTGGTTGCAAGCTCTGGTTGCAGCCGCCCAATTTGAGATTAAATTTCAGTGCGACATTCGCACGATATTGACCATTTGCCCTCTTGAACTTGGACGCAATCACACAGACGTTCAAGAGTCCTTCCTTCACGTCACACACGTACTTGACGCGATTGTAGATATGTGAGTCAGTGGACGGCAGAATGGCAAAGACAAGCCGGGGCCGATTGGGGTGTGCAGCAAATTTGCTCAATGCTTCGTCGATTCGTGTCTCAAATCCCTCTGCGTTGACATCGACACTGATGCGCAGACCAGGCCGACAATCCGGGCGGACGACACCCACCTCCGACAACTTAGACTTCAAAGCATCCAGGCTCTGCTTCAGTTCCGCGGGACTGTTCCATGGATCATTCGTCGAGGGAGATGTAATCAATAGGTATGTCCAAGTTGCGAGACTTGTCTTCGCAGTAAACCTGACTTCTTTCATATTCCAGCTGCCGAATGCGGTGTTTGCTTGTTTGCCCGCGTCGTAGAGGACCTTCGGAGAATTTAAGACGCGGCCCGTGACAGCGATGAGCTTTGGAATGATGTGGACGTTGAAGGCCTTTAGGTTTGGATTATTGCTACCTTGATTGTGGAGGGCTAACATCTGTGCGCCAGATGTCGTGATGGTGATTGCGTTTGGTCTGTGTTTCCGCACCGCGAATCTGATCATCTGTTGCGTTTGGGAGGGACTCAACGCACACCTCGCGGCCTGGCCTGGGATAACCTGGCAGACCTGTGCAAGCAAATAGACAGGGCCTTGTTCTGAATCGACATTGACCACAGGTATGTTCGTGTTGTTGATTGTAATGTTGTGTTTCTCGACGAAGAAGTCGAAGACGGAAATATATCTGCCCTGACCCTCATTCAACTAGAATTGAACCTTCTTCGGGCCAGCTCCAAACTCTGGTATGACAGGGGGGTGGGTTAATCTGACACCATCCCCACGCCGAGCAAGCCCTGATATGGTTTTGAGTCGTGGGATCTGTCGACCGGCGTTGTTGGTTCGGACCATATGAGTGGTATGAACCGAGATCTTCTTCAAAAAGCTCTCCAGTTTGTATTTGTTGAATCCGTTGGCTGTGGCATGAGCCGTCATGACCGTTTCAAGAGGCCCGTGGTCATAGAAGGCACCATGTTTGACTTGAATGTGGGTGAGGATTCGACCCGTGGCCGCTCGGGCGCTAAGGAAAAATCCACGGATCGCTGTCAAGCCCGCTCCAAGGCCCGTCTTCTCGGAACTGGCGGCGGCTAAGTCGTAGTGTTTGTTCGGCCCGATCGAAGCCGTGCTCATAGACTGTTTGGGGTAATGCCCAACGACAATATTCAGGGCTTGGATAATGGCATCCTTGGATAGTAGAGAAACTTCGGCATTGGGAGATGTCAGGAACCCAAGGAGATCAGCCACCGTCATCGAGCCATCGTGAACAACGCGCATGCGATACCGAATTCGATTTGGCTGAGATTGGTCTTCGCCTTCGGTTCGGTAGACCACTTGGTAAGCACCAGGACCAATGTTGAGCAGGTTGGTGCTAATAAGAGTGGACTTGAAGTCCGTCACGATGCCAGGGCCATATTGAGCGAAATTCTCTTCGATCAGTAATTCGACAATGCGGCCTAGTTTCTTTCCCGTGGGTTTCTTCCCGTTCTGACCTGGGAGGACGTCGATCTTGTATCGATGCAGGGGGGAGTTGCCAGTGGATATCAGCTCAAAATAATTTGCCCACAAGATCACTTCTCTTCCCTGCGTCCCATATCCGGGTCTAGCAGGCAGTCTTACTCTCTTTCTGGCCTGTTTTAGATTGGCTTCCACCTGATCTTCGATTTGGCGGACTTTTTGGCTAGGCTGGGCAGAGTCGTTCGGTCCATGGTTGAGATAGCGACAAAATGTCAGTCGCCAAACTCAAGACATCTAGGACGGAGGGGGATTCACGTACGAGAATACCGTCAGTTCGGCCTGGCCACCACCTCTCATCCCGCCATGGCCACCTCTGCCTCTAGCAGGACCCTGATTGATCGTGTCCGGAGACGACATATTTTGATTGCCGCCACGCCCTGAGCCCTGGCCAAAAGAACCACCTCGTCCCACACAAGGTAGAGTAGTACCACCACGTTGGCTGCCGCGATTGCCGCCGCGATTGCCACCACGGCCCCTTGGGGACGGATTTGAAGACATACTGAGATGAACAGTCGTATTGAGCGAAGTGAATGTAAATGATACAGAAATTGGGAGGTTGATAAAGAGGTAGTCATGCCCCTCTATTAATGCAAGTAACTACCCCTCTTGACGTCCGTACTTGTGTAACGTGAGACAACCAAGGCAAAGAGTCAATGGGCAAAGAATGACAGGTCAAGCAAACTTGACCGAGGGGCAGAGAACAAAAGGTTTCTTGGTGCCGAAGCCACCAAAAGGCGTGCTGAATACCTGGTGGCTGAATTTTGGTCGTCAAGATGTCCGAATTGGAAGAGATTCGGCGTGGTCGAAGAGCACATGCGCCGGATTCGCGAGCACGTGAATCCTCAGCCTCGTCGAGATCAATGACAAATGTTGAACCAACTTTGCTCTTTGAGGGGAACCACCTTCATCTCCTCTTTGTTTGACTCCTTACTGGGACCTTGATTAAAGCCCTATTTGTGCATCAGAGACAAAATGAGATCCTCCTGCACAGCGATAGCCGCCGGCCTGTTTGACCCAGCGGAAGCCTGCCACACACACTCCCATTTCCCTCAATTTCTTCTGTGCTTCCTTCTCTTTTTTCCTCTCCTCCTCTCTTCGTTGTCTCTCTTGCACCATCCTTGCCACTTTCTCCAGATATGCCAGCCGCTCCTTCTCACGCTTGTGCAACTCTTCTTCGAGCAACCGTCTAGCCTCGGCATTTGATTCCTCCTCGACACGCTGCTTTGTTTCAAGTTCTGCATCGACCTTCGAATTAAGCTCGCGCTTCGCATCTTCTTCTTCTCCGAGGAGCTGGTAATGCTTCTTTTCGTTTTCTTCAGCAGAATGTTGATCAGATTGTAGTTGATTCCAGACGTCGTCCGAGACGTCGGGGTCACGACCAGACTTTGCCTGCTCGAGACTTTGTGACAGTGGAGCCGGAGGTGGAGGAGATGCTTCCTCGGCTCTAGGGGCAATATTGGTCGCAGTGCTCAACACAGGGGGGAGAGGAACATTTCGACGGGGGAGAAGCTGGGTTGGGAGCTTTGGTTGTCGGGACATGGCTGCTGACTTCTTCCGGTCTTCGCGGTCTGAAACCATCGCTTGGATCGTGGACAGCACAATATCCTCTGTTATTTCAAAGGCGACATTGTCGACCGTTCCGGAGAGGACTTTGTTTAGGACAGACTTGGCCAGTGTCTTGACGTCCCTGGCGTTCCCCCAAGCAGGAGATTTAGCGAGGCGGCCAAAGAGTTCGAGAAGTGTCGCTTTGAATGTAGTGGATGGCGTTTGCACAGCGGTGCTGTCGATCTTGTTGCTTTTCTGGAGGCAATTTTGGAACAATTCCAAGCACTGTTCCGCAGAGAGGTTCTTGAAGCAAACGGTCTCGGGAAAGCGGCTCGTGAGACCTGGATTGATGGATATCAGGCGATTTATATTCTCATCATATCCGGCGAGTATAATGATGAGCTTCTGTGCGAACTTGGGTTTTGTCATGGTGTCGACTAACTCGTCCATGGCTTCTTTCGCAAACTGGCCTTCAGCCAGCCGGTAAGCCTCGTCAATGAACAGCACTTTGCCGAGCGCCTTCTCCAGCAAACCCTGCGTTTTTGGACCCGTTTGCCCAACATACTGGCCCACGAGATCCGTTGCTGAGCACTCAATCACTTCGGCATTGGCCAGGAATCCCATATCATAAAAGATCTTTCCCATTCGTCTTGCCGTCGAGGTTTTGCCGGTGCCTGTGACTGTTAGCAAATCACACATTCTCACCCGGACTTCATGCCGGACTTACCTGGGGGACCTCGAAACAGAAAACTGAAGGGGATCTGCTCTCGCGGGTCCATATTCAGTTTTCTCATATTGGAAGCCGTCCGTTGGTAGCCTTCGAGCTGGTGAATGATCTCGTCACAACCAACAACGTCCTCGAACAGTTTCCTGCAATTCGTGGGAGCCTGCTCGGCCCGGTTGTAGTTCGCGTCGAAATCGAGAGGTTCGAGAGTGTCAATGATCTTCGTTTGCCTTGACGACAATCGTTTCTGATGCTCCATCTTGGCTTTGTCAAGGAGAATATCTACTTCCCCAGCATTGCCAAAATGAGGCCGATCACGGGCCCGACGGAGGCATTCACGAGCCACTCCCTTTGCTTCTGGAGTCGCGTTAAAGCCGATTTGATTGAGTTTCAAGTTCAAAATTTTCTGCAAGTCGTCGTCGGTGTAGTCATCAAAGACAAAAGCTGAATCCATGGGGAAACGTCGGGAGAGCCCAGGGTTGACATTCTGAAACATCGACTCCATCTGCTCCTTATATCCGAGCAACAGGACACAGCGATCATCACCAGGAACGCTCTGTACTTCGGCAACAATGGTGTCAATGACGGCCATCTTGTAAGGATCCGAAATTGATGGTCCTCCCGTGGACGAGGACCCGCCATAGAGCATGTAAGCTTCGTCGATAACCAAAACTTTGCCTATCGTGGAAGCCAGGATTCCTCTTGTTGTGCTCTCAGACGCTCCGAGGACGTTTCCGACAAAATCTGAAGGGTTCTTGACAACCACTGGTGCATATTAGCTTTTAACCATTTGAAGTAGATAACGTCCCCCGGCAGAATAGGAACGACAGGGACGAAAGGAACGAACCTTCTCCGCTCGATAGTAACCCTATATCAGCAAGAATTTGACCGTACAGTTTCGCCACTGTTGTCTTGCCTGTTCCTGGATTTCCCACGAATACTTTGTTGAGGGAATATTCGACCAGCTTCTTTTCCTCCAGCTCGCGTTGGTAATTGGACTGGATAGTATCAAAAAGTGATTGGACAGTCTGCTTGACACTTTCCAGCCCTGTCAGGTTCTGAAGCTTCTCCCAAGCCGTATTTCCTTTTAGTACGGAAGCAGGTTCTGGACCAATTAGGTCCTCCTTGGTAAGGAACATGTCATCAGGCTGTCTACCCAGCCGACGTTCCTGTTGAAGCCTCCTTGCTTGACGGTCAGCTATTCGTGAAAATTCGTTCCGTACAGACCTGGCATTCCCAAACCCGTCGCGCCCACGGCCTCTCCCAATGCGACATGAGACTATTCGAATGTACAGGCCGTCAATTCCGCCGTCTATTTCCATTCTTCCATTGTATTTTTGTTCTATGCGGTGTCGAAGAATTGTTTGCAACTCGACGTCAGAGTAATCGCCAAATTGGAATTTGACTGGAAACCTGCTCGGTATCCCAGGATTGTGTGCGAAGAAGTCCTCCATATTTTTGTTGTAGCCGGCCAGGATGAAAACGATTTTTCCAGTGAGATTCTCCACTTCTGCGAGCAGGAAATCGAGCACTTGCTTTCCTCCATAATTCTGTCCGGACACCAACTGGTAGGCTTCGTCGATGAAGAGTGCCCCACCGCCACTATTGCAAATCTCTTCAAGATGTTTTCGGCACCCTGCAATCCCATCATTGGCCAGTCGAGAGCCTGAGGTTTCGACGAAAAAATCACCAGGTATGACACCCACGGAACTAAGAAATTTGGCGTATAAGCGTGCGACGGTAGTTTTCCCTAGAAAATGCGAGGTCATGGTGAGAAAGCGAGATCGCACCTCGACTGTAGGGTCGGTGAATCTAGAACGAACGTACCGGTTCCTGGATTTCCTAAAAGAGCCGCGCTGAATCTTTCATCTCTCAAATTGGTGTTTTGCCGAACCGTTACGTCCACTTTCGTCTTGATGGATAGGAACATATCTTTGACTTCTTCCAGACCAATCATTCCCATGAGGGAATCCAAAGCTTCGTTCGACTGCCCTTCTAGCTTCTTCTGCCGCTCCCATTCATCTTGTGCCGCCGATGCTTCCAACGGGATTTGGGAACTTTCACATAAGATAGCCCGGCCCAGTGCTTGCTTTGCAGCATCGCCTGGAGTCGATCCATCAGCAGGTGAGTGTGCATCTCTGGACCAGGTCGTCGGCGGCTCAGCGCGAGACTGTCGAGCGCGTTCCGTTTTGCTTCTCAGGGTTTCGAGGTCTTTCACTTTCTGCGCGAGAGTGCTCTGCCGTTCCTTTTCATCTGCGATATCCTTTAAAATACCCCTTTCTTCTTCGATCTTTTGCTGCAACTCGGCTAGCTGCCGGGCGTGTTGATTTTGACGTTCCTGTCTCCTCAACTCTAATTCGAAATCTCTTCGCTTCTTCTCGTTCTCTATTTGTTGCTCCCGTTCACATTTCGGGCAGATTTTGGGCGGCCCTCGATGACATCGCCAGCTGTATCTATGCTTCTTTGCGCATAATTTTTCGACAATGCTGGTGCAATCCATTTTTGAATGATCAAAAACCTGGTGACAACGCTGAGGGCAGACATGAACGTCACAACGGAGCATCGCCGAGCTTGAAAATCATCAGTGAAAATTTCGAGCGTGAACCAATTCGGATTGGAACATACCATGGATCGGAACAGCCGCCATCAGGACATTCGACATCAAAGCTTTCTGGGGCTCGTATTATCGTCTTCCGATCTTGATGTCTCTCGCACTTCACGGGAAAACCGTCATAAACATGGCCATTCTTAGTCAAAAGGTCAAACAAAGGTTGCCAGGCGGTCTTTGCTTTCTTGCTGCCGAGGAAGGTAGTAGAGTTCCCGATCAGAATCAAAGCATTGCGTGCGCGCGAAAGTAGCACATTGAGTCTTTCCGGGGCTGCCATAAATCCCACGTCTCCTGCTTTATTGCTGCGGGTAAGCGTAGCGATTACAATCTCTCTCTCCTCGCCTTGGTAATTGTCTGTTTGGGTCAGTAAGCCAGCACGAAGAATGGCACCGGTGCACTTACCGATCGTGGAGATCAATATTGGACGCTTTGTCAGTTTAGCGCTGGCTGGTGTAACGAGTCCAGCCCGGACCAGGTCGTGAGAGTCAAGATCATTCAACATGGGATCGTTGGTCTTGCTTAACTCCTTTCTCAGAAGATGCAGTTGTCCCAAATATGGGGTAAGAACCACAATCTTGTCTGTTCCGTAACCTTGCTGTCCGATGTATCGGACGCACTTGAGGACCATCTCAACCTCGAAAGGATTCTGTTTGCTTCCTTTGGTGGTGGGATCCCGCCGTTCCGACACGCCATTCAGGTCAAGCTCTGGTTTCTCATGATTCACGAAAATGATATTGTCTTGGAAACCACGCAGATGGGGCCGATTTTTGGTTTTGCCAGCATCCAGGAGGTCCGGATAGGTCAGATGTCGAATGAGTTGAGATATTTCTGGACGCATTCGATGCTGTTCCGAAAGCGTGGTATGGGGGTACCCCGTAAGCACCAGTCTCTCAAACAGAGATCTGTTGAGGTCGAATCCCTCGCCCTTTTCGACCGTCAGACTGTAGTTGTTCACTTTTGGTCGTAGCTGTTTGTGATCTCCAATCAAGATAAGTTGTCTCGTGTCCGCGGTCATTGCCGTCAGGACATGACTCTCAAGGATTTCGCCCGCCTCTTCCACTAAAATGACCCCTGGTTTTGCTGCCTGTAGTGCTTGTGCATATTTTGCCGCCGCTGTCGTAGTGCAGCCGATGATGCGTTTCTTTTGGAGAATCTCAGAGTTTTTCGTCTGATAGAAATATTCCTCGATCTCACTCTGGATGCGATTGAAATCATCAAACAAAGGAGCAATGGCTTCCAGGTATTCACGCCAAATATTGTCTCTCCAGCGCTGCAGGTTTTCCTGACGAGCCCGAAGAGGTGTGTCCCAGACATGAGAATGCTCTTTCTTGACTATTGATTGGAAGATTCCGGCATTCCGCCCCGTGGTCCATCGATCCAGTAAGTAATAAGGGTGAACACGGCGGCCTCCCTTACCGATGCGTTGCATTCCGTCGTCTTCTTCGGGTACGGTGAATGCTTCACAGAAATCCGCATCTTCGGAGAACTCCAGATATTCCAGCAACTGACGTTTGTTGACATCAGCACTGAATTCAGCCAACTTGGATTTCAACTTCTGTTCCAGATCCTTCAATTCTTCTTTTCGGACATTGACGAAGTTCCACGAGAATCGAACGGGGTTCGTGCCCACGGACTGCTCGGCCAAGCCGAGTTTCCTCGTTCGGTCCGACGACTTCGATCCAAGTCTCACCATGGATTCGGTGGGTATTCCGATATCCATGAGGTCTTCCAAGAATTGGTCCAGTGCATGGTTGGTATAACATATCACCAAGATCGTCTCATTTGTGTGGTCGTGCAGGACTTTGGCTAGCAGAGCTCCGATGAAAGATTTTCCGGTCCCTAAAACAGATCAGTGACCAAGTCGCCAACGAAAGGATTAGATTGTACCAGGAGGGCCTTGAATGAGACTCAAAGAATGCGTCAAGCCTGTGATCAGCGACTCAAATTGTGAATTGTCGAGGGAGATCTTCTTCGATGTCCCTAGAACCCGTTGAAGATTTTGGCCCTTGGTCGCTTCAATCTCTTTGACGATGCGTGACAAGCCGCATCCAATGTCCAGACATTGTAATGAGGGTGTTGATGCCAACAGACAGTCTGAGAGCGGGAAGTCGGTCTTCTCCTGCAGTCGCCGAAGAATGTGTTCGTACGCAAACACGGCGGTGTCGACGACGACAAAATAAAAAGGTTCTGTCTTTTTGGCTCTAGAAAGGATTCTCGTCACCGAATCACTTTCTGCCATCTGCAAAGCAAGCACTGGAACATCTTCGGCCAGCAGATCCTCATTTCGATCGATCGAAGCGAATGCAACAACCTCTTTCCCCGCTAGCAAGCACCCAAACGATTGATGTTTCAAGATATTCCGATTGTCTGCGAGGAACCTTTTCCTCTCCGGTTTTGGAATGTTGGATATTGCAGGAAGCCCTCTTTCACAGCGAAAAGTCAGAGAACAGGGTTTTCTTCTGGTCTCTGTTCCGCAATCAATGCCCATGAAGGCGAGGCCACTGATCAGATCCGCCGATCTTCTTCCCTTTTTCTGTCCTTGCGCTATTTGAAGATCATTGCGAAGCTCTGCGAGGAAGTCTTCTCTGAGAAGGCGGAATTGATTGTCGAAATGCATCGCTGGCCGATGTTGGGGCTCCGCTGCATAGACTTCGTTTGCTCTTCGGTAGAAAGGTGTCTCGGTGGAAGCAATTTCATCGGGAGTCGGAAGGATGCAAATTTTGTGGAAGTCTTCAAAATCGTTGTCGTGTCTCCCTCCGGGCCTGTAGTCGTCGAGATGGGGAAGAGTTGTCGACTTCGTTTCCAGCACGTTCTGAATCTTGTACCCAAGTGAGCGAACTTCGAAAGAGGTGGAATCAAGCAGAGATCGATCTTTGACGGTAGTTCTCGCCACGTGGACTATCTCATCTGGACAAGAAGGCCGGCTCAACAAGTGTAGAAGGAGCCAGGCAAAGGAGATTTCGGACTTTTCGTCGAGACGTTTGCCATTGTGCGTCTCGACAAGGGTATTCCAAAACGTTGGAGGCTGGACGATGGATTGGATGATCCTTTGGAGAATTTGTCCATTGCAGAGTTGTTCAACGTCGGGATCTTTGAGATACATGAGTGTGTCCGCCGCAGGCCCGTTCAAAAATTCCACGGACAGGTCAAAACGCATGCTCTTTTGAAGCGACTCGAGCGCATTGGCGCTCGAGAACAATCTTTCTATGCAGTGAACGCGATTCGGTTGCTCACACAAAGCTTCAAGGAACAGTTTGGCGTCAGAAGTCTTCTCCACCTTCTTCTTCCCTTGCTCGACATGATGAAAGTACTTCGACAGCCTTGCTGATCGCGCAGACATGTTTCCTGTTGCGGCCAGAGCCCGTCACCGGAGCAATGCTGAGCCAAAATGAAATCGGTTAAGGAGCACAGCCTCTCCCAGTGATGAAGAAGAAAATAGGTGCAACGTTACAAGAGAGAGAGAAAAAGAGTCTCAACCAAGGCCAGATGAGATGCATGGTGCGCTGTCTTTGAGGCAAGGCAGCAAACACTGCCCCGCAGCTGCCCCTCCTAGCCAGTGGGAAAAGGGCAACCAGTTCGGATTCCAGATATGCTCTCCATCCGTCTGACAGAGTTCTCATCGTCATTTTTGTGCAAAGCTTCAACATGTCCAGAGGGTATTCTTGGGGAGGTGCAAGAGGAGCAAGAGGAACACGAGGCTCCATCCGTGCGTCCAGAGGATTCCCCGATCGAGCCGTCACCTCCTGGAAGCAGGAAGAACAGCCGCTATTGGATCCTCCCGCTCCCTTTGGAGAGCTTCTCCTCGAAATGTTGCCGGAGGACATATCAAACTCGTCATATGAGCCGAAGATCACAGATTGCCGTTACGTGGCTTCATACACCTGGCTGGATGGAGGTCCTCCCAGCATTCTCATTCCTGGTACCGTGGCAAAACATCATTCCGAACCACATTGGCAGATCTTGATCTTCTAATACACGTTTTATCGTCTAGGGAGGCCTCCAGCATGGGCACCACCTGCTACCGATCGTCAGCTTGAACCTGACAAAGGCCATTTCTTCCGAGACCCAAATGCCGCCCGATACCCATCCTATCCTATGCAACCAGCGGTTCAGGCGGTGTTGGGCTTCAATGAAAGATTTCCAACCCACGACATGGACATTTTCACATGTGCCAGTGCGTTAGGGAATTTGAGTCGGTTTGTGCGCGGCATGGATCGAGAATTCAGAATCATTGTGGCGAGGGTCGGGAAGACAGTGTTTTTCATTCGCAGAGAAAATTCACCCAGCGAGCTGATACCCAACGTGCGAGGTTATGGTCATACCTTTCCAGAGGAGTACACGACATGGGATCAGGATGTGAAGAAAGCGGGATCACATCAGAGAGTCATCCAGTATAACTTTGGCGGTCTCCGCCTGTTAGTCCGCTTTGAGGCCGACGGCCACTTCCGGCAGTCCGACTCGGACGCCGCCAAAGTTTTGTCCCCACAACCAGAGCCAGAGCCAGAAGGGGAGGGAGTCTCGCTAGTCGAAGCATTCGGCAGCGCTTCTTTAGGGCATGCAGTAGCAACACCCACGGACCAGAAATGCCTCCACATCAAGCACGGTGGTGAACCCATTTCCCAAGAGGATATTTTCGACATCAAGACGCGTTCAGCATTCGACCACAAAACCGGAACCATCAAAAGGGAAATTGACATGACAGACATCACCCCAAGACTTTGGGTTTCCCAGATCCCCACTCTCATTGTCGGATTCCACGAGCGCGGTCTGTTCAAAGACATTCGTATCCAAGACATGAGGGAAGAAGTATCCCAATGGGAGGATGACAATTCCCAGCAACTCCGCCAGCTGGCGTCATTGCTGCACGAGATCCTGGAATTTTCTAGGACATCGGTGACGAGTCTTGAATTATGCCGATCTGAGTCCGGACCTCTGCAGATACGTCGGCTGGCGGATGAAGGTCTGGACGTGCTTCCTGAGGATTGGAAAAGTAAGTGGATTGGAGAGTCTGACGATGCCAATGGAGAGGATGAGGATGTGCATGGTTCCCCCAGATCCATAGAGGACCGCCGCAACCCTGATCTTTGGGATGACGACGACGACGCGGAGAAAGACTACACGGCCTGTTCAGCTGAGCACTGTGGTTATTGCGGTCACTGTCGGTATTGAGGTAGTTGATCTTGTCTCCGATGAAGGACTTGGATCCCAAAGCTGGCAGATAAGTGGTCATCAGATTAGCTTAGTTACGAGAGACATCTATCTCAATCGGTGCCTCTATCTCAAAATTCTTAGAGATAACTGGAGGTATGTTATCCGGCTACCCACCCCATCCAGAAGCTGCAGTGTATTCAACGACCATGTACGCCCAAACGCCATCGCCAATCGATTTTGCTTTATTCGACCAAATGAGAACAAAATGAACACGGCAGAAAATCGTCTTGCTCCTTTGCTCAAGGTATCCTTCCCCTCCTCATTCTACACCTCCTCCCTTCCTTCCCAGTCACGTTCGGGTTCGTGTTTGTGTTCGTCACGGTCTCCAAAAACTAATCCCGCCACTCTCTCCCACACAGTCATCTGATTCACTAGCATATCCCTGGTAAAGAACAGTCTGAACTCCGCATCGTCACGGACGAATTGTAAGGGGAGCCCAGTTCCATGGCCTTCGTTGACGCGGATATGATTAACGCCATTGACGCCCGCGGCTTCGGGCCTGAGTGTTCGACGTAGCGGGAGATCGGAAAGCTTCTCCAGGGCCGAGACATTCGCGTTTTCACGTCGGTCTCGGGCCAACCCTTCCTCCGCCGTCTGGGCAGCCGAGAGGATTGACCGGAAGGGCCAAAATGCGCGGCCTTTAGTGGTACCCGACACTTGCATTGGTGCCGGTACAGATACGGGCACGTCGCTGTATCCTAGATCGGCGTTGAGTTCGGCGTAGGTGTAGGCGGCAGGTCGACCACCGACGGCGACGGAGCGGACTAGACCTTGCGTGTGGGTTTTCAGCAACTCGGCGAAGATGGCACATGTAGAGGCGCAGAAGCCGTCTGCGAGGAGGAGGATGTTCGAAGGCGCAAACACGGGTTGTGCGGAGATGTTTGTCTTGGTGAGCTGTAGTGCTGGAGGAGCCATGACGTGAGGATTCGGTTGGAAAGTGTTGGTCAATTGGAAATTTTCACAACCCGAGTCGGGGCGTGAGGAAGACACTGGTACGGGCCCGTACAGTCCAGGCCAATTCGCATACGACAGCCCTTCAGGGGTGAGCGCCGAGCGAACATCCCATGCTTCTCCGGTCGGAGGAGCGTTGTTGAATCGGGATGGAGAGGGGGAATGTCCCAGGCCAAGTTGATTGAGAGTCTCAGAAGCACGCATATTAGCCAACGATAAGGAAACCGGATCCAGATTCGGGAACAGTTGAACAAAAGTATCGAGACCCAGTTCGACAATGCCGCCTCCATTGGCAAAGACGTCGATGATCAACTTAGTTTTACCTGTTTCTCTACATTTTTCGAGAAAGGTGGCAATAGTCCGTTGGAACTCATCGGGATGGTTCTGTGCGTCGAAGTTGAGAATAGAAAGGACTGCCGTGTCATCGTTCATACTGTTGTTGAGAAAATAGCCTGCGACATGGTTTTCAGAGTCCTGGACGATTGGAGGTGGGTAAAATGGGATGGTCGCAAGCGATGATGGATCTGTTTGGGGAGGAGGAGGAGGACCGGTGGGCCATTGTGGTTCTTCTCGGACGCAGAATGTTTGGTAAGCCGACGATCCGTCTGAGACTCCATCGAAACTGGCATGGATATTTGCAACGGTTGGAATTCGGATGATGGTACCATTCTCAAACCCAATGACGGTTTCTCGACCGGGATAGAATGTCGGATTGACAAAGGCGCCATGGCCGGAAGGGCCAAATTGGACGATCTGAGCACTTTCAGAGAAGAGAAAATTGTATGCGGCATCCGGGTCATGGAAAGGCAATTCTTCGGTTTTGGTGGATAGATAATTCAAGACTGGTATATCGTTGATACTGGTTACAGGAGATGGCATATATGACTTTTCTGGGCCAGAACTTTCCCCTGACGTCTCTGGGGAGAAATCGACAATGTCGTGTCTGAGATAAACCTGAGGCAGTTGAAATCCGTCCAGCGAAATCGAAACCAAAGCTGCATCTGGGACGGTGAATGAACCGACTCCAAATAAATCTGGGATGAAAGAAAAATGGCCATCCCTTGCGGAGAGAAACAGATGGTATAGGTCGGTCTGAAAATCATATTCTCGTGAATACGTTCCGGTAGAGACATTTTCGATGAGCCGGTCGAGGTTCGCCTGAATGTCTATTGCAGACTGGGGGTAGTCATCAGGCGGATTCGCAAGGTACGGCAGAGTTGACTGGAGTTCAATGTATGGCTTTAAGGAATGCAGTTGGTCAAGCGCCCCCTGTTTATCGATCGGAATGGATTCGAGGCATTCATGGAAAAGCTGGCCATCGACCACTGCGGCAACGGCTAAAGATTCATGTCAAATTGGCGGGCAATGTCGAGTTTGGTGAAGGCATCATACCGGTGGGCGTGGCAGCCAGGTAAGAGACACTGGAGGCACTGACTTTGGCGCATGGCTCACGTGTTGAAGTTGAAGACGTCGACGACGTTGAGGGGCACAATCGAATTGGTTTGGCACACGCGATTCCCAGACCTCCTAGGGTGAAAAAGACAGAGCGCATATGTCCAAGCCGAAGAGATAGCAATACATGGGTGCTGGAGAGAGTGGACAACACACAGTAAACCGAACACAGGAATGGAGGAATATGGACGAAAAGAAAGAGAAAAAGATTCGACAAGAAACGACAGGCATGTGTAAAGCAGGGCAAGCAATTGACCTTGACCAAACGACGAACCAGGAAGGCAGGACGGAGAAGAGATCAATGGAGGCCTTGTACGCCATCGCTGTGTACGTACACCGTCGCCATGCAGACCACGAGGGTATCAATCAACATGTATATTGGACGATAGACCGGGGGGAAGATAACAAGCAAAAGCTGAGGATAGAACGGGACCCACCGTGATCAGCAAGAAGCCTATTTGGGACATTTTTGATGATAAGTCTCGAAGTCTCCGGAGTAATTGATGATTGTCCGTTGTCGAGTCGAGATATTGAACCGGGGTCGAGATAAAGGAAAAGGAGAGCCAAAAGAGAAGCACATCTCTTCGCAAACAGCGCCAACGACGATGGTATTTCGGTGGCTTGGCTAAAGTTTGATGGTCAAGCGATCCAGTCGGAGAAAAGGAACGAGATCGACCATGTTTCAAAAGGGAAATCCAGCGTCGATCAGACGAGGAGAAACTGGCGTCAAAAGGGGTTCCATAAATTGAAATTGTGTACTCATCCAAGATACTGGTACATGTTGTCTTATAACAGCGAAGTCGAAAAGATATCCGGTTAATAACCCCCCCACACCTGCTGACCCATCGATATGATGCGATTGAATAATGTGTCTCTCCCCTCGAGTGTCATGGTACGGTACCTCTTCCCATCCCCGGTGATAAGCTCAATACTCTCCTCGACCTCTCGGTTTGTGGCCCGTCCGGCCAGAATTTTCCCTTTCCATCCCAGCCCACCAATTTTCTTCACCTCTGTCAAATCTGCAATCGACACTGCCCAGTCCGGATGGCGCGGCACGCTTTCAACGATCTCATTTCCGTCAAGATGTGTAGTGAAATACACACAAGGTGATGCAGGCTTGTTGCCACTGGCCGGAGACACTGAACTGTCCACGTACATTGCAGCCTTGCGACCGTTGCGTCGACCTTGGAATTCCACTAGTCCCTCCACCGCATTGGCTTTCTGTTCCGCCTTGGGAGGAAGTCCACCCCACTTCTTTTGGGCAGGATGTGATCCCATTGTGGCTCGAGTCGAATCAGTGGCCAATTCAGGTTCCACTGCTCCAGCTGTTGTATGTTTGAAAGCAGACAAGACCTTGGCCCCGAATCCGCCCTTCTTCATTTTCTGGGGCTCGTCACCTTCTGTGCCATCTGTGCCGCTGGGCTTATCCACGGTAATGACATCTTCAACCTCCGAATGAGAGGCGTCAAGTCTATTAACAGTGATGGTTTCTTTGTCTATGTCCGCCAGCTCGTCAGGAGGTGGTAAAGGAGTACGATTTGCTTCACCAATTCGTAACAAGGTAATGGTAAGCTGAGCATTTGTCGGAACTCCTTTAAGAAGTGTATTGCGCATCTCCAGGTATTTAGGCCAGTCGGGGATATTCCTATTCAACCACTCGATGCCTCGGCGCATCAACGGGTCTGAGAAGAAAACAAATCCAGCGAAAAAGGTTGAACCCTTCATGACCCATGGCGGCTTGGTGACGAGAGACCAGAGAAACAGGGGAACGAGAGCGGCACCGAGTTGAAGACGTTTGGTGGAGGAGAAAGGTGGAGTAGGTGACAAAGCGTTTGCAAGTCTTTCCCACATATCCGATATGTCGCCAATGACGTGCATTGCAGGACGCATCTGTCTCCAGATGGCATCTTCCATGGGTTGCTTGGCCTGGTCATGGTCCTCCTCTAGGATTACTCCTTGAGCAACCGATGAAGAAGCATCCGCGGCGGTCGTTGCGATTTTGGGAGGATCAGGCATAGAACTGTCCAGGATCCTGCTTGCCACTGAGGCGATGCGTGACACCCAATTACTGGCGTCTTGCTCAACTGCTTCGCCTGGGTATTTCTCGGGCGCTCCAGCGACATTGTCATGGCTGCCCAGGACCCCGGCCGGAGGTGCCGGAGGAAAAAGAATATCTCGAGATTGAGGGACAGTGACGAGGACAATGATCGTGGTCAACGAAGCGGGAGTGATCACGTTGAAGATCCAGGCCAGGAAGTATACGGCGGCAAAAGCAGCAGTTCGACGAGGTTCGCGCCACGACCTCAATCTTGCAATATGTTTTCCCAATCCAATCAACCCGACAATGACTGTCATGTACAGTCGTTCAACGTTGGAACGAAGCCTGTCTGGAGAGAAATCATCATCTTCGACCATGTAAAGGTCGAGGCCTCCAAGAGGAGTTTCAGGGATGGCCTTGACATGGTATATTTGCTGGCAATGTGGTAAGCGTGTGTCCCAGCCAACGCCGGATTGGAGTCGTGAACTTGCCTTGTTGAATCTTCTGATCCAAATCCACAACTCTTCATTCGGCAGCCCATCCACCAACGTATCTACATCCACAGCGTTGGCTTGCCACCCTTGATGAGTGATTCGGTCCTCCATACCGGCCTTCTGAGCGGCACCCAGGATGTCATGTTCCCCAGTAGCTAGTTGATGGCCGGTAGAAGTGTTTTGGCCCGGGGGAGTTTTGGAAGTGGCTGTGATTGGTATCGTAGCCTGAGTAATTCGTTTGCGAAATTCAGAGTCTGTATTCTCTTCTGGAGGAGGAGTGGTGCCGCCATCGCGGAAGACATAACCCGGCATAGGCATTTTGGTGGAGAGGAAAGAATATAAGAGGAGGAAATGGTTTGGACAAGGAGGGAATAGCAATCATCAGTTCGAAAAGACAGACACAGAGAAGAGAATTCCAATCCAGACAGAACTGTAGAACTGTAGAGCAATTAATCTGTATTTTTGGCGACGACGTCATTGTCCTTTGGGAAGCCTCATCCCCACTACCAATGCTCCATCTTGATGTACTCGTCAAAGAGGTGAATCTAACTGTCTTCTGCCCATCGTATGCCGTCGTCTATCATTGATAAAGTTTTGAGGGTTGCGTAACTTGATCCGTCTTCATCTCCACCAACTCTAGTGTCGGACTTTGATGACGGCAGCTTGGACCAAGGATTCTTGACATCCTCAGCTTGATCCAGAGGGACAAGGTACATGGTACTATCGGTACACTGGATAGGCCTCCAGGTATCTTGTACCTTTGTATCTGGATGGTGATGGTGGTGGTGGCAATCCTCATGGTATTTCTTTCATTATATGGCTTCCAAAGTTATATCCAATGCTCAACACCTATACATTCCGTATCATAAATCCAATCAATATCTCGTCAATTCTCTTTACATCAAAACCGGAGCCGCCGCAGACCCATTTTGGCTTTCTTCCAATTCCTTCTCGTAACGCTGTAGGTTGCTCTATACAGAATAAAAAGTCTCGTGAGGCTGAAGCGGTCCAGCCTGCGCCATCGTATACGGTTTCCCATGCACATATTTACTCCTCATCGGTTCTTCATCGATCGCACAATGGATCTGTCCGTCTCGTCCTTTGAACCATCCCAATCCGTACCGTTTGCCAATCGTCTTGAGTCTAGTCTCCATCTGCTTGTTGTTCAATCTTTCTGTGTCGACGAAGTCGGTGAGCATGTTGCTCGCGTAAATGAATGCCAACACGGCGGCGATGGTCGATGGTTCTCGCGGGAGGAACGGGTGCCGTCGTCGAAGATATACCAAAGACGTGGTCAAAATCACAAACACCAGAATGACCACGGACAGAACGAAAGACGCCCAAAAAGACACAAAGGTTTCATCGCCGTTGGACCGCTCTTCTGGTCTCGACCTTGTCTTGATGAAATCGCCCGAGTTGACGGAGAACGAACTCACCGTCACGGTCAAAATATCCAAGGTCACGGACGAGAATCCCACCAGCGCCACAATGAAGTGTCTGTTCCACAGGGCCTTGAATGGCATCCATCCATAAACCGTCGATTGATAATCCAGTGTCAAACTGTTCTGTGGCGTGGCATTGCCCTTGGAGAGTTGATAAAAAGGCTCCATCAGCCGTACATCTGCTTCAAATGTGCTGAATAATAATTTCAACAATGTGGCAAAAAGTATCGGGAGCCACGGAGCCACGTTGGGAATGACCCGGGCCGGTGTCAAGGTGATGATGGGTACGGCTGCAAGACAGAAAACCATGAAAAGGAGGAAGGGGATGCCCGCCTCAAGCCGAAGCATGATCGGATGCGGACTGGTGAGCTTTCTTTCACTCTCCTGGATAGGCTCATTCGTCGCACTCCACTCACCCTGCCAAATGGAAGATTTGTAGAGCACGAATCGTCGATGCTGGAGGCGTTTATGGATCTTGCCCCGGGTGGCCTCATCAAGTCCGGCAAAATCTTGAAGAATGTGCGATTTGGTGGCCATGGACGCGATGCCCGCGATTCCCTTGGGATCACTGAGCAAGCCGGACTTTCGCCTCAGTTGGATGAACAAAATCACCAGCATGATGGCCACCACAACGTAGCTGGCCGAAAGTAATCGAGACCACACGGGAGAGATTCGCACCCAGTAATGTTTCTCGTCCGAATCACCGCAACCGTCATCGTTGCACTCGGGGTTCGGATTGGTGACAAAGACAATGGAGGGGTTTTGGAGTGCTGGTGCCGCCATCGATGCGATGATGTTCCCTGTGGTGGAGAACAAGACGGCCCACTGCTTCAGTCGAAACGCCTTGAAAGGAACAAAATATTGAAACATGGTCAAGTGGTCGAGATTGAGGCTGGCGGCGGCACGCGCACCACGCGGCCGTGAGAGTTGATAGAAAGGTTCAAGGCGACGAATATCAAAGTCCATGATGGAGAACATGACGGCGTAGACGATGGTGATCATGGTGGGAAGATCTAGTCCATTTAGTATGGTGATCGCCACGTGAAAAAGCACTTCGGACTTACACTTCCATGCGAAAAAGTCCCATAACGATATATCAGCCACTTGATTGAATGCCAGGATCCCACTCTTTTGTCGGACCGTCTTTTGTGACCACTGGCAGAGATACTCCTGAAACCCTGCCAAGCCCAATGCAAGGGCCATCAGGGATAAGATGTAAACGCTGCTCATCGACCAGGGCTTCCAGTTCGGTATGTCTGGGTCTTCTGGGAAGTAATAGCTCTTGGTCTCTTGCGGCATCATACTCTGGTGCATGGACATAGATTCAAATGTCTGAGTGCGCCGCTGGTCCGTCTGGCCGCCTTCAAGAGAGCTCAAATCAATAGCCTCTTCGACTTCCACAATGATATTCTTCTCTTGGGCCAGACTCCGGCCAAATTCTCGCACCGTCTTGGTGCGATCGATTCCCGTGCTTTGGGCACTTCGTGGTTCGTCCGATGGCCTTCTCGCAACCTTGGTGGGATCACGTCGGAGTTGGACACCAATGTCTCTCATGCCTTCGCCGACCGAGCGACGCTTTTCAACGAAGGACCGAAAATCGGGTTTCCCACTACCTTGGTGTGGCCGAACATATTCAGTCTGCTCGTCTTGGAGACGCGCCGTGTCCGAGCTGGACATATCGGTCAGCTCCCACCCCATGCCCTCCAGAGACGAGATGTCCACCGGGGCGGCCAGATTGGCGTCATTGTCGTCCAAAGTCGCATATTGTCTGCCTTGGGATCTCTTGGTTGAACGAAAATTGGATCGTGACGTGCCCGAAATCTTGGTGGTTAATCGTCGAAACATCGATGAGGCGCTGGAGGGACCCGAGCTCAGTCTTCGGGCCTTGGTCGGGGTTGGAGGTTCCATCAGTTCATAGCTGTCATCCCCGGAGTTGCCCCGAGAATGTCGACCTCGATAGTATGATGAGGATTCCATTGTCGAAGTCGTCGTCGTCGTCGTCGTTCCCGGAGGATCGTTGCTATTCAGAAGTCCAACATTGTCTCCAATCGTGGCGTTAGGCAAGGGCCGTGGCAGGGAATAATTCTGATCGTGGTCCATGCTTGAACACGGTGAAACCAGAGTTGGGTTGGTCCGATCGTACGAAATCCGATTGAGGCGGAGTGTCACCTGCTGCCCATGACGGAACTACAATAAGCAGAATTCGACATGGACATGCTTGAGCACCGTCAAACAGAATGGAGAAGTGGACCTATGGGGCGGACCTTTCCAGGCTGCAAAAGGACCACCGAATCCGACGAATACAACAAGAACGGTAACAGGATCCACCGATGCCAGAAAATCGTCCAACGACCGACTGTTCAACAACGGGATAATGGATGTTTGATGTTCCCACTCCGACAACCAAGTTCCAAACGTCAGAAGACAATGATGTGGAACGAACGAACAAATAAACGAACGAGCGAACAGAAGGGCCGCAAGCGATAAGCACAAAATTCCGCTGGAGTCGTTCAAGTTTTGAGGAAATTAGATCAATGAATCACGCCTGGTTCAGCTCGGCTCTTTTTTGGCGCTAGACTCTTGACTCGGCCTCGTAAGGCGCCCACTGGTTGCGCAATAACGGGCTCGAGGATTTGGTAAAGTTTTGGCTAGTGTTGATGATCTGGGATCCAGCGAGTGTGAAGGAAAAGGTAAAAGCAGAGAAACCAGACGTCCAGGGGAGGCTCTTCAAGCCGGTCGAGTACCTTTTTTCAGCTGGCGTCGCCAGTCGCCAGCCTGAACCAATAGCACCAAGTGTCTAGCTAAATGCAGGAGCTTCATAAGGATCGGTAGGACTTTTTGGATTTCCAGTTTCCACTTCCCAGACAGAACTGGCACGAAGTTTGCGCCGCCAACGAACGGCCGGGAACGCGGCTCAGGCAGGCATTGGCCAGAGTCACATAGGACATGCAGAAGACAAATCGGGGCATTAAGACAAATAGACAGGGTCTGTTTCAATGTCCATTCATAGAGCTTGTTCAAGCACTCTTTTTCACGGGGCGCCACCGGTTCTGGATCGAAGATCCACTGCAGAGCATGACTTCTCGCCGACAGCCTTCTTTATTAGGTCCTGGTAGACTGGGTCCAATCGTCGTCGGTTGGAGGCCATCAGCTTCCAGGATCGCCCCCGCCAGCCTGTGGTGTGTATCTTCCCTTTTTCATTCTCTATGATAACCCAACTTACGATTTTTATTTGTCCCAATCGTCACGTCAGCACCAATCCTGCATCTGCTTTCAATGAAGACCTAGTGGTCCTACTCTAAATGCAGAATTTGGGGGCCAGAGTTTCCCAAGGCGCACCGCATCGGTCATTATCGGTACACGTATGCTCAATACGCTGGTAGAGCCATTGTCCTGATCGACTTTGCTCGTGGCATCTAATAAAGCAGGGGCAAGGCCACCTGGCCAATTTCGGACCCGAGCATTGCGACAATATTTGGGTCAGAATGCATACCGCTGCTACGCAGAGGCAATGTTTGTTTCATCCTTCAAGCGAGGCCACGGTCAAAAATCTCGCTCTTTTTTTTTTTTTTTAATTCATCGCCCGCTCCACGGGGTCATGTCTTCGATTTATCATTCTCTCTGCAGTATGACCATCAAACCCATAATTCCTAACATGACTGTTTTCAACCATGGATGTTCGCCGAGCATGATCGTGACATATCCCACCGCCGGCACATATCCGCGAACACTACCCACGATGTCATCTTTTCTATCCAAGTAGCTTTGTCCGCGTGCATAGAGTTCCGTATCGTCGGCGACGTTATTGTCACCCTTCGTGAGGAGTTTCGGAGATGATTTCGAGAGTTTTCCACTGCCACGACAAATCCAAGTGAGCTCGAAAGAATCTCTCTGAGCAGTACCAAAAAGGCACATACCTCTTGTCCCCTTCTGTAGCCACGGCAGGCGCGTGACTCCGAACGATGCGGTGTACAATGGGAATGTCTTTTCCTTTCACGTTGTACACCACAATCTCTCCCACTTCCGCAGTCTGGTCTCGATTCCATAAAAACAGTAAATCACCGCGCTGAAATGCCGGTTCCATCGATCCACTCAGCACAACGACGATGGGTGACGGAGAGTCTGCGATGACCGAGAGAGACTTCCATAGCATGAAAGCCGTCGATAGCACGAGGCCGAAATTGAGGATCTGGGAGAGGGACTGGCGTGGATTCGAAAGGTACGGAGCGAGAAAGGGCAACATGACGACCGGCTGTTCGACGGGGAGGTCAAAATCTATGCTTGATTCGAGGATATGTTATACACGCAAGCATGCCATAATACCTAGGTATGTAGCCAAGAAGGTGACCTGCAGGTGTTACAGTATGTTCAGTACAAAATGTGTCGAAGGGCATTGTAGAGGAACGACAGGTGGCAGAATGTCTTGTTGTGCAGGGTTGCCCCGAGGTTCACCCGATATCACTCCTTTGTCACATCCATCACCATTGAAATCTTTCAGCACACGCTTCTTTTCAAGCAGCCAGCTTTCTCGCTGATAATTTTACCATGGGAGTGAGCACAAAGAGCCTTCCGGTCACAAAAGTTCTCGACAGCAACCAACAACCCACTTTTTCCATACGCTTTCCTCAAAACCCAACCTGTTGGTCTATTCGCAATGTCACTGACACAACAATTTGTAGAAGACCCTCCGCATTCCAACTTGCCATTCGATGAGATGAATCCTGAATTAAGCTCTGTCGCAGGCCGGTAATATATCCTCTTATCGTTCCGTCCCCTTGGCGGTGAGGCACCGACACCACTCCGGATGTTTCCTGCCAAAGCTAACTGGGAACATAATTAGCAAGTAGGAGACATAGGGACCAATCGCAACGTACCACCCCAGTGAACGTGCTTTGATATTGTCTGATACAAGGTGATATTCTCCCATTAAGGAAGCTTGTGCTTGTACAGGACTATTTGTCTCGGAGGGGGAGATTGAATTATGAATGATGGCGCAGGAGAAATGGTTGGTGGAAGAATTCGCCATATCTACAAACTTTTTTTCCAAATTCACTGAAATTCATAGTAGACAATTCTCAATGGAATGTTTCCCCAACTTCACTGATGGCACAGACAGCCAGACCCCTCGACAGCATATTTGTACTGATCCTAGCCGTGAAGTCGAGATACGCACCATGGCCTTCCGTGGTGACTCGACAACATCTTCCCTCTGCAAACTGAGAGGCTTCAATGCCTTATGCGGCGAATGACGCTTTGGAATTGGATGATGGCAAGAGAAGCATCAGCCTGAACGAAGAGATCCCCCCACCCCCCCGGGATAGAAAAGGGCGGCCAGCCTCTCGCTACCTCTTGGAACTGACTCTCTTTCAGGACACGACAAGCTGGGGGAGAATGTCTACTGCGAACCCCCCTGACACCGTGGACATTCATCATCTCAGTAGCCTGAGGCAAAGCTGATCGGGGGTTCTCCACGAAGGCGCCTCCACCGATTCGTGGCAGCCTCTAATCGAAAGGCACCAGCGACTAAAAAAGGCCAATCTTTCGCAAAACCCTCCGTGACCTCCCAGCTCTCCACGGCGTCCGGTTCTCCCCAGAGCACACAGCCATGCCGCAAAGGAATGTCAATCTCATGCCAGGTATATCGGCCCGCCAAGATCATACACAATCGTGCTTCGAATTCGGGAAAAGTCAGCCCCCATTGCATAATGGCATTATCACGAAGCACCGAATCAGGAAAGATATCAAAGCACGGATGATGAGGTATGGTCCGTTGCACGATCGTGGGGTGAAAGTCAGGGGCCATGGTGGATGTGTCGATTCGTCCAGCTATGAAGGGGCTTGGATAGTGTGACGATGCCATGTGGTTTAGTTCCAGATTGAGCGATCGGATGTTCCTGCTGAGACCACGGAACACATTATAATACATCAGATTGAGGAGGTGATCGGCTGGAAGGGGATAGCGGGAGCGAATGTTCAATGCACGGATGAGGTATTCTTCCAACACCACGGAGTCCGAATCTGTGCTGCCCGGATCAAGGCCACAGCAGCTGATCAACTCGACCTGGTCCAATCGAGCCTGTAGCACTCTTTCTTCAAAATTTCGACGCCAGGACTGAACGAGCTTGAGCGGGGTTGCGTCTTGCCCGCCGGAATCAGGTGTGGAATCGCGGCGAACTTGGTCGGTGGCCGCGGAGGCTTTCACGAAAGAATTCAGAGAAATGGGGCATCGTGAATCCCTGTCGCGTTGAGGTTTGAGAGCGAACACATGTAGTCCCGGAAGTTTGGGTCCTCGCGTCCGCTGGCAGGGTTGAAGTACTTGTCCAGCCTTTTCCACTTCCTGCCGTGGGAGGAGGTTCTGCTGAGCCTGGCGTTTTCCTGCCCCAATTGATCAGGTGATAGGAAGCTGACTAGGAAACGATTGCATACGATATGCCCGTCTGTTCGATCTGTTCTGCAGTTTGCGCCGCTCTTTGATGTTGGTCTGGCCCGCCCATAGCTCGTTGACATTGCGGGCCTCTGCATGCCCTTTCATGGTGACCTCAATTCCGACTGGATCTCGCTGTCGAACCAGTGCCATATTTGCTATCAGCTCGATCCCTCTTTTAATGACCGAAATAGATCCAGATTTCGGCGGGTCGAGAAAACCAAAAAACAAAGAGGATGGCCCAATGGAAAGGGGGAATCATGGAGTGGTTAAAGGCGGCCAGGTGGAATTGGCTCAACCTCTGGGGGGGTGTGTTGATTACTATTCCCGTTCAGAGCTGACATAAACCCGAGAAAACACACTGTTTGGCTGACGAAAGTGCCAACCATGGCTCTTTTACCGCCCAAACACAGACGGATACATAAAGGGATGTTTTCTGACTACCAAGTGGTAATGGCTCACGATCAATATTGGTGCGAACTCGTCCAGTATAATCGAGGAGTATCCTCCGTGCCCGAACGGCGGGTTGTCCTTCAAGTCCTGGAGCAAATATGACTGCGGCGGTTCCCAAAATTGTCCAAGTTTAGTTATGGTATTCATGAGTCTAGTCAGATTTCAGCGAGCGAACACAGGATGGATCCGTTCTGGGAGGCTACAAGAGTCTGGACTGTTGGGTGATATCGGCCGCGATTGACGGAAGATGGCCGAAGTCGCTTTAAGTTCGGTAAAAATCTCCCCAAGCTTGAAATTCTAACTAAGTCTCAAGGGAGAAGATGAAAGACTATATCTGGGCCCGGTTGTCTGATCGTCTCCTGTTCTGCCTGCCCCAGGAACACTATGACGCTTGAGGGATAGCGCTGATATACAGATATTGGTATTTTCTAAACTCCGAAACCGGTCCAATTCCTGCAGTCTTACGGCCATGAGGAACCCCAAACAATCTCATGAGAGCGACTGGAATAATGAACCGAGGCATGAACATTAACGAAAACCATCCTGGCCCCATCATTCAACTAATCGCGTAAGAAGAGCATCCATCGACCTCAATTCTGTCGATGCCGGCCTCGAGAAGCTTCACCCTCACCATCTCGGGTTCATGATGGACTTTCAGATGAAAACCTTGACCTTCATCAGGTCTGCCAGGCCTAGCTTGGTCAAATAGGTCTCTCTGACCAAATCACGCACTCCACTGACAATCGCCGCCCCGCCTCCGTCATACTCCACGTGGACTCGAAATGGACGTTTGCCATGCTCTGTACTGACCACTCGACAGACCGCTTCGGCCACAGCGGCCGGATCAGCGTCTGGGGAAACGATCTTGTCGTGACCCTCGGCGCTAATTTGATCCCATCCTTTCAACACGCCTTCCATGTACTCCTTCTCTACGGCGGTATCTGCTGCTTTCATGGCCGTGGCAAAATGATTGGTCCCTTTGGTGAACACACCAGGGACAATAATGGATGTTTCTATCCCGAACCGGGAAATTTCGAGTGCATAAGTCTGTGCAAGAGAATCTTGGGCTGCCTTGGCCGCAAAGTATGGTGCTAGAAATGGTGAACTTGGTCCATGAGCACTGCCCGATGATATCCACACCAAGAGACCGCTGCCCGCCCTTCTCATATGTGGCAAGGCAACTCGATTGATGCGCTGGCAAGAGAGACAGTTGACTTCGTACATCTCCAAGAATTGTTCCGGCGTGAAGGCTTCGGCCGGACGACATTCTCAAATTGCTTACCTGCATTGTGCACCACAACGTCAATCCGTCCCTCATTGGCCATGATCTCGTCAATCGCACTCCTGATTGAATCATCTTTTACCACGTTGAGCTCAATGCCTTGAAGCTGGCAATTGTTGTCTTTGGCGAATGTCGCGGCGTCTTTATACACCGAAGTTTGGTCGTCGTTGGATTGAAGAAAGCCAGCATAGACCCGGTGCCCGGATCTTGCCAGTACACGCGCCGTCAACGCGCCAAAGCCACTTGAAGCTCCCGTCACCAGACTGACAAGAGGCCGAGCGGCCATTGTGGTGCTCTTTGAGATCAGATTAATCAAGTTACGAATTGTCTCACCGACAACTTTCAGTGACCACTCCTTCGTTATAGATGCGACATGAATACTCCGTCCTTGGTATTTATATCCCCTGCTCGATGTCTACTACCGGGTCTTAAGCCTTCCCGACGCGTTCCCATCCCGAGGCTCCGTAGGACTGTGATATAGCTGTTGGAAGACCAAAATTCGTCGTCCGACACGGGCGGAAGTATCAGCCTCCTCAGCAGCAAAGTCCGAGAGAGCAGCCAATCGCAGGGCAATCATGGCATCCATGGCGCCTGAATCGCCAAAGTCCCGCCAATGGGAGCATGCCAAATGAAAACTATATCCAATGGAACTCCTGGCCTCGCAGAGGGAATTATCGGGCTTTACGGACTCTCAACTTTCCCAAGGGAGTATCTTTCTCTTGGCAGCAGAGCTTGGTCGGCCTTTGCACGTCCTCGAGCCGTAAAAAAATCTCTCCCCATCTCCTTCCGACAGCTAATCTCCATCCCATGAACACCCAATGGCACCACCAAACCATTCCTTTCTACAGTGCGACGCTTTGGACTACTATCTGTTCGGAGACTTTCCCCCAGATTAATGCTATGGCTAGGCACAAAGAAATTCCGGCTCGTTGATTGCATGACGTGGCGACTAGCCTTGAGCCCTTGGAATGTTTTATTACTTCCACGGGTCAGAACAGACCGGAATAACTATATAAGATGGGAAGAGTTCATGCCTTGAGCGTGACTTGTTTTTCCGCTCAACTACCACGACTTCCACCGAAACAGAACAACAAACCACCATATCCAAAACAATGTCTTCTGCACCTCTTTCCGGCAAAATCGCCCTCGTGACCGGCGCCTCCAAAGGCATTGGTGCCTCCACAGCCACCGCGCTCGTCAAACTCGGCGCCAAAGTCGTCATCAACTATAGCCGCGACTCGGCAGCAGCTGAGAAACTCGTCGCCCAACTCGGGCCTGACAACGCATACGCCGTGCAAGCCGACGCCGGCAGCATCAGCGGGATCGAAACCATGGTTAAAACCACGGTAGACAAGTACGGCAAGATTGATATTCTGATCCCGAATGCAGGGATTCTCCTCATGCGCGACGTCGAGACCACGACCGAAGTCGACTTCGACCGCGCCTTCAACCTGAACGTCAAAGGTCCCTATTTCCTGGCCCAAAAGGCCCTACCATACATGGCGCGCAGCAGCAGCATCGTTCTCATCTCCACGACACAGGCACACGCCTCGACCGTCACGGGTCCATATACTTTGTACTGTGCGACCAAGGGTGCCATTGAACAAATGGTCCGCGTTATGTCCAAGGACCTGCAATCCAGGAAAGGAATCAGCGTCAATGCCATTGCACCCGGTCCCACTGGCACCGAGCTCTTCTACGAGGGCAAGTCCGAGCAAGTCCTCAAAATGATTGCTAGCTTGAACCCTAACAACCGCATCGGGACGCCGGATGAGGTGGCCGACGCCATTGTATTCTTGTGCGGAGAGGGTGCAAAATGGGTCAGCGGCCAGACTATTCGGGTCAATGGCGGTCAGGCTTAGGCTGAAGCTTAATCTTCAGCTCTTGAGTCTGAACTTCGATTGATGGTGTTCTGGGGACTTATAGGGCAAGTAAAAATGGAGACGTCATGTCACGCAAAAGTACGAATGATCTGAAGAACGACATCGAGGTATGGGGCCATGAGCGTCGGTCTGAGGAACGGCGTCGTTTCGGTGTATTGTCAAGTAGTTGGGAAGCAAATGTAAAAGTTCTTAAGCAAGGTCACTTCACACGAAAACCACACAGTAATTAAGCAAATTATACCTCAGTACGTTCCATTTTCCTTCATTAATGAGCAACCCAACGAGCCTTATATGAGGCCGTCCCACTTTCGTCTTGACTACATATCATCCAATAGAGCGTGGATCTACTGCCCACTGAGCTTGCCATACAGGTCGTTGTGGGGAGAGACTTGATAGAAAACGAGCAATGACAGTCGAATTAGCTTCAAGGATGACAACAAATGAAAATAGATCGGTCTTAGACTGGAATTTGGTACTTTGACACCACCTCCGCTACCTGAAGGGGATTTGCCATTGTGAGATCTAGCATGCTGCAATGTTCTGAGGAATTTTCTTTTCTTTTCTTTTCTTTTGCGGGGGGCAAGGACGGAGACGTTTGCTAGGAAGAAAGCAGGAAGAACACAGCCTGACAAATCACGACAGAGAATTTTAAAAACAAGGCACCCAAGAAAACTCCTTCCATGGTTTGGCGGCCGAAGGTTCTAACGGTTTGATACTTGCTTCAAGTTCTTCGTCAAATCGTCACGGATTTTCTTCTGCTATACCTCCTTTTCGGCCTCATATTGATCTTGGCTTCTTCGGCCTTTTCCCTCTGCTCTCTCTCGTGCTTAGGATCCTGCATTCGCGGAGCTGGACGGTAGTACGGATGAACTTGAGGAGCTCGCTCTTCGGGGCTCGGTTCCACGCCAGTCCGGAGAATGGCATCCCACTCTCCCCCATCTGACTTGGACCGTGGAAGTTTATCGACAATGTAAAACATCTCTTGAAACGTCTGCAGTCCGATGTCATAGTACCAGCGGAGAGAGATCGTGGAGTTTGGGGCGTAAGTTGAGCCCAAATGGTCGGTCAGAGTCGTTTATTGGATGACACCACGGGTAGCTACCGCCCTTTCTTTCGAAATCAGGCTCTTTTGCAAAATGCTGTCACAGAACGTATTTGGAAGCTTGATGGTGTGCGCTTGGTCCTCGGCAATGACATGGATACGAACTACCGTGTTGGAAGCCTGTCAAGCTATCGGGGAACACATCTCACCAAATGGGCGAAGCAGCCCGAGAGGCGTAAGGCTGAACTCGAAAACTGGTATACCATTGGGACGAATGTGCTTGATTGACGAAATCACGACTTTGCCAGAGACAATATGAAGACTCGAGCGAAGGGTTATGGATAAGAGGATTCGGCGGAGGCGGGTGACGGGGACCTGTCGCCATTTCCCTGACGATAGGGCAATCGAGATGAGGGCAGTTACCCAACTATGAGACCGTGGTTATTGGACAAACTTGATGCCCCAGCCCAAATTGAAATGCAAATGTGTTGGCGAGATAGTATTGGAGGATATCGGTCTTTGATATATCCGTGAAAAGGGTTGCTGAAGTAGCCATACCTCAGAGGTCAAGGAAAGACTCGAGTCATCATGTATGTCGCTTTCCGACCTCTTAAACTAGTCTGGGTGACCATAGAATCTGAATTTGTCAATGCCACGGAATTTCAGAGAGAGCCACGAGGAGAGATTGGCAGGTTGAACAAGACTTTTTGGATACCAAAACCAAGCTGTCTATCCTCGCGTCGGCAGGTGCGGTTCAGCATGCTCAGATGACCACCTTATGGGTAAACCGGATGCTGTTAACCGGTTTGAACTGTTTCGGTGCCTTCAAACTTTATCCCAACTACCGTGTAGCATCGTGTCCAAAGACCTCCGTTGTCGGGGGAGAACCAGATTTTGCTGGTACGGATTGTTGCACGTCTCCGCCTCGCCATTGTATGGGTGGTGACTCCTTGTTCGAAGTTGTGAGCCTGTGTCTCGCTCTGGGCTGTGCATTCAAAATACCAGTTTTCCCATAAAGTAAGTGCATGCGCTCGAATGCCATTCATCTAGCGTTAAGTCCTCGTCGAGGGTGCTGATTCGCTGCTCCAGCGAAGCTCTTGTTCGCCTCAATCATGGTACCTGTATGGTCTAAGGGAAAAGAATGCTCATACATTGGCATCGCAATTGACGAATTCTGCCCAGTTATTATCGATCCAATGCCGGCCGAGGATGCTGTCGAATTTAGCCCCCTGATTCTGGAGGCAGAACATAGAATGGCTCACAATGCAAAGGTAAACTTTCGTCGTACCAGGGATTCTAGGTTCGAAAATGACATTCCAGAAATACTGTGCTTTTGACTCTATGAACTCTCCAATGGATTGGACGAGACCTTGATAGGGTTGTTCTGTCAAGTTCAGCTCTGCATGAGCACAGTGAGATATCAAATTGAAATCGGCACCAGCACCAAGAAGAACTCGACGAGGGGTGGTGAGCAGGGGGCTTGGTCCCTTTTGCAAGATTCTCGGGTTTCTTCTGATAGATGAACATGAGAGCGACAAACAGATGGAGTTGTGTCCTTCTCCCATCCGCCAGCACGACCCCCCTAGGCATATCAGAGAGTTACCCTTGTCGAATATATTTGATCGACGCGAACTATCGGAGTATTCACGAGGGCCATGGATCTTGCTACATGGTCATCAAAAATCAAGGGCATGTTTGCACAATCTCCCGCTCTGATTGAAAAGTCTTTCAGACCGTTTCAACTTAGTCCTCCAAGAGACTGTCTCGTCCGACCCGGTGGTCGCCATCAATCTGCAACCAGAGTCAGGACTTGCCCAAGGAATCGAGATCCGTCAGAGGTATCTATGCTTACCAAGGGAATATTTCGAGTTCTTCTGTTGATATGGGCCCGCCTTCTAAAAGCTGCAAGCCCCTGGGTAATAGCGCTCAATCTTGCAGCGGAAATAATGGGTTGGATAGCTTCATATGCCATCTTAGATAACGAAAATGAACAGGCCCTCCCCTTCTGGGCTCGTGCATTCTGTGCTGGGGGCCAGATCGTCGCACAAGGACGAGCCCGTTCTTCGCGCGAGCGCATCGTGGCGACAGGTAACAGACTCCTGCAAACATAGGGTGAACTCCGCTCTCCAGACTCGGTCCACAGCGGTGACTCTCCGAATGTTTGAGACGTGGTCGAATGTGTCTATGAAGATTAGGATTTCCGCTATGGAATTCTGGAAGTTCTTTGGCGTTTCGGAAAGGTCCTACTATCGTGGATCAGTGTCACAATTATAATCGTATCTTTGTAACCATGCATCTCGGTCAAGACGAAGAAAGTGTCGGGCTCTATTAATAGGCAAGGGAGACTGCAGCACGTTTTGCCTCTTTGACCGGAGTCGAAACATTGTCAGAACTCAAATGAGTCCGTATTATGAGAGAGGACAACTGCCTGATACTTAGCAAACGGCAGACAGATACCCATCTCGTAGGTACCATTTCACCTTCTTCTGCCTGATGGCTATGACATGTCGCCCTGGCCCTCTCGGGAGACCCACCAGACCGGGGTTTAATCTTTGACACGTGTCACGAAAACCTCGTGTCCGAGTACACGAATAGCGTGTAGCGCTTGAAAACCCATCAGACTTGGTGTGGCTCCTCGAATTTAGTAATGGGTAGGCTCGATATCTGAATCTGTTGTGAGATAATGCAAGGAAGAAGGGTGCGGTGGTGGAGCGTAGATTCTAGAATCTGCTTGGACAGGATTTTGTCGTTCGCTCAATGTTCGGAGGGAGGGCCTGTCGGTGAAAGGATATAGATGAGTGGGACAAACCGCCGTCTTTCCAAGTTGCCGCTCACTGTGCTCCCAAACCAGAGATCTCCCCCTGATTCTGCAAAGCTGCAACTAAGCCATTCCATCCGTGACTTCGCCAAAATGACAGGGAACGGCAACCTAGCAACAATGATGGCTCGTCGAAGCATTCAGGAAATTTCCAGTATGAACTTGGAAAACATTTTGCACATGCAAGCCGAACTGCAGTACCTAGAAATAGTTATCAATGAGGTGAGGAGGGTACCTGGGTTGAATAGTTTCGACCAGATATGGATCGAACGCCCCGAAAAGATGTCAGAAGAGGACATATGCCAAATCTTTGAGCGGTCAAGAACGCTGCTAGACCAATATCGTAGGAATCTCGACCATGCCGGTGATCGAGATAATCCCACTGACCATGGCACAGATCGAGCTCTGTTGCAAACGGCCAAGATCAATGGGTTGCCAAATCCCCGGAAAGATTAGTGGTATGACGAAGAAAGAAGTGGGTGTCTTCTGCGACCGAAGCATCGACACCGACCTGATGACACTGAATGAAAACGTTGGAAGCAAACCCCCTTTGGCCAACTTCCTGCGCCAAAGAGTGTTGCCTCTTTATCACCGACTGGTGGGCTATCGGCTTCACCGCTCGATGACGGAAAAAGCATTCGAGTGAACGTGGGAGTACGGGACCAGAGACGCTGGTGGGAGTGGGAAATACGATCTGTATGCTACTGTCGGCAGTCATTCCGACGCTGTCGATACTGGTCTTGTTCAGCGTGAAGAGCATGGCGGCTCGGCTGGTGACAATCAGCATGATGAGCTCGGTATTTTCATTGGCGATGAATGTGATCGCTCAATGGCGAGCGGACATGTTTATGTCTACAACAGCATTTGCACAAATGTAATAGAAGAGTCCATGCAGAGTTGAACAATGGTAGGAAATCCCTGAGGTGGGATTGGTGACACGTGAAATCAAGCAAGGGGGTGATTTTGGGTCTTGGTGTCTGCCCTGGGTGGGTGTCGCCGATGCAGAGCTGGATATCTTTTGGGCGCGGCGCAGGCGAGACAGAACAAAAAGTGGATGCAGATCGGTTGGCTGTCTGCAGATAAGGAGAGAGGAGCGGGATGGTACTGACACGGGTATTGGGGCTGAAGGCACCGAAAATGGAAAGGAGAATGGAGGATGTACTGTTGAGGTTCAGCTGTCAAAGGACATCCGTAAAGGGGCATCAAAGGTGGTGCGGCGGATCGTTTGAGTTCATGAGGCATTCGGGGATGGAGGTTCCGTTTCCGCACTTAGAGAGGTCGAGAAAGGGTGACGACGAGAGAGAACAGGAGATTCAGGGTAACATAGAACTAGGAGTCGGTTGAAATTCGATCGTTGATTGCCGGTGGATAATTTGACGGATGACGTTGAGAGAAAAAGATCGAAGAAGGACTTTGAAACAGTCAGACAGGATGCGAGAGTCGGAGGGTCAGAAAGCGCAGGCGCAGGCAGAGGAAGAGGAGCAGAGAAGATCGTTGGCCGAGGGCCAGCTGCATCTCCCATCTAACCTCCTAAGCTTCTTGAGTTGACGCCCAGCGCTTGAAGCACCTCTCCTCACACTTCTCTACTCAGGACCCGGGGTCAAGCCGACCACCCACCGCATCATGGCTCTTCTTCACCCTTTGCCTTTCGGCTCTGCTACCTCCTGGCCTCACTGCAAACCTCTCCCTTTCCTCCGACTAAGCTCCTGGCCCTTGAATCCTGAGCTCTGGGCCCCGTGCCCCGTTCCCTGACGTTTGCCAGAAGCTCCCCCCAAGTTCCCAGCAGTCTCCCACCCTACGCACTTTCTTTCTCCCTCTCGTTCTTCTATTCTCGATCTTCTACCTGACCTATATCTGTCCCTTTTGTCTCTCCTCCATTCTTTTCTCATCTCTCATCCTCCACATCGGCTGCACATCCAATCTACATCATGGTTGGGCCTAGAAAGCGACGTCAGGACTCTGACGACGAGGAAGAAGAGCTCCAGGCTCTCCCTAGTGACGAAGAAGAAGAGGAAGAAGAGTAAGATCAATCTCATCCAGACATCATTGACCTTTCTCTTCTGTTTTGGTCTTCCCAACTGTGAACCCCAATGCGATTCGTTGTAATCCCTTCAAATTTGGCCGGGAGACCTTGTTGGTCGGTCTTGCCAACACTCAACTCATCTCATACTTGGGCATTTCTCGTCAGGGCCTTTGCCACTGAGATCGTCTAGTCTGAATCTCATTGCGCCAGCTGTCGAATGCCACCGGCCGTACAGGATGCTGATGTTTTTGGAATAGGTATGAAGACTCCGAGATCGATGAAGACGAAGATGGAGAAGAGGAGGAGGAAGAAGAAGAAGAAGAGGTAGATGGTGAAGAGGAAGAAGAAGAGGAAGGTATGTTATATACTCTCGACCTCGTCATTACCCAAGTGCTGACCTTTCTGATGATTCAGCCCCTCCTCCCAAGAAGCGCAAGGCTGACGTCGAACCCCTCGAGCCTGCTTCAAAGAAGTCCAAAACTACCGCAGAAGAAGAAAAGGAAGAAGATGGGGAAGAAGAGGAGGAGGAAGAGGAGGTTGAAGATGATGCCCCAGGAGACGATGCCGATGGACATGAGCAGGAAGATGAACCTGCGGTGAAGACCAAAGTCATCGCCGGCTCCGAGAGCAAGACAGCTGCCGTGACGGCGGAAACAGAGGACCTCGAGGATGAAGAGTAGGCCGAGTCAATCAGCATGGGTGGCCCTTTTCGGCACAATCTTGATCAAACTCCTCTTGAAAAGATAGAGCAATCAAAATCTTTCTCTTAACAGACCACTGCTGCGCTTCATTGGTTGCGGTCATCCTGCGTAGTGACGAATTCCCCTAGCCCTCTGCCGTCCATGTCGCTGGAGCCATTTCAACCAAGTCATAACATTCGTCCTGCCTGAAGGACTTTGATCGATGCAAAGTCTTGATCGTCGCTGCTGCGACCTCCTGACCATGATGTTGAAGCGGCCTCGGACAAACAGCTCCCTGTCGACCGCTAGGCAACAGGTCGAGACAGCTCCAAAAGGGCCATTTGTCTGTTCCCACCTCTGGTCTGGGTCTATGTTCTGGCCAATTGACAGTAATACCGGTAGACAACAGGTTTATGTCACGAATACGAGGTGCTTTCATCCCATTCATCACAGGCATACGTTCGCATGTCGATAGACACCGACCAGTGTTCAGATCTTTTGTCGGCGTTGAAGATCCAACCCGGACCCATCCCAAAGCCGTCATGACCGGAAATAATCTCGTTTGGCCAGTTCTTCCGCCGATGGGGAAATATTAGCGCAGACCTATGCGCGCGGCCGACGCGGCCGCAACATCCCCAACATTTTTCTTCATCGTCTTTCCAGCAAGAGGAATAGTGAAGTAACATTCAACGCATCCCTCATATTTCTACACACGAATTGAGAGAATGTACCTTGTTCAAGGCGCTCAGGTGGGGCTTTGGGCAGAGGCCTTTTTGATTTCGGAGCCTGATTACACAATGTGCTGCATTGGCGACAAAAGCAGTAGTCGAAGCAAATAAACGGGACGGTCTTTGGCAAATCCGTGCCGCTGCAAGCTTGCTTCATTGACGTCTTGTTGCGAGATTTTGGTGAATGCAACTTCGTCACATGTTGTGTGTGGAAATTGCCCTTGTGCTCCTGTTTTGCGCATCGGCCGAAATGCATTGATTTGCTCTCTTATGTCCATGGAGGCCAATAATGTGGAGATAATGGCTTTGGCAGATGGACATATCCCATCAGGGACCTAGAACGAGGCTTGGGGAGCGAAGGGCACCTCAATTCACAGTATTTAAATCGAATGCCCAACCTCTTTGGTTTCAACTCATCAGTTCAACACACTTCCAGCCAAACCTCTTCACCAAAGTTCACATCCCCCCCTTCCCCCCAGCACATCCGTTATACACCCCTACGATGGCAAGCTCCAAAGTCTGGTTCATCACTGGCTGCTCTAGTGGCTTCGGCAAAGAGCTCACCCTTGGTGCTCTCAGTCGAGGGGACAGAGTCATTGCCACCGCCCGCAATGCTAGTAAACTTGAGGATCTCCGGAAAGCTGGTGCCGCGACAATGAGCTTGGACGTCACAGCCTCACTGGACGACCTCAAGAAAATTGCCGAAGAAGCACATCAGATTTATGGAAGAATTGACTATCTCATCAACAACGCTGGCTACAACCAAGTCGGAGGCTTGGAAGAACTCACGTAAGAGAGAATTACCATATACCCATTGAGAGAGGACCACATATCCTGACCAGAGCAGCCCCGAGGAAACTCAAACCCAATTCGCGACCAATGTTTTCGGTATGTTGAACGTCACCAGAGCCATAGTCCCATACATGCGAGCACAACGATCCGGCGTTGTCGCCAACATCTCCAGCATCGGAGCGTGGCGTGGCTATGCGGGAGTGGGCCTCTACTGCGCGTCCAAATGGGCCGTCAGCGGCCTGTCCGAAACCATGCACTATGAATTGGCCGACTTCAACATCAAAGTCTGCACAATTGAGCCAGGCTATTTCCGCTCCAACTTCCTCAACCCGGGGAACAAGATCCACAAGAAGAATGTCATCCCCGACTACGACGGGACGGCTGTTCGAAAGGGAGAGGAATTGATGAACGCATACGATAACAAGCAGCCTGGAGATGTCAAGAAGGGTGTAAAGGTCATGCTTGACGTCCTGACCGGTGCCTCGGGTAAAGAAATACCAATAAAACTGGCTCTTGGGACGGATGCGTATCGAATGATTAAAGCCAAGTGCGAGGAAACCATCCAGAGACTGGACGAGTGGAAGGAACTCACCTGCTCTACCGATCTTGACGAGGCATAGAAGACCAGCAATGAGATGAACATCGTTGCTTATGGAGCTTTATCACCGCTCTCTTGTCTAGGTGCCTATCCAACATCGGGTTAAACGGCTGGGGCTTTTTGGAATGTCGACATGAGAAGTCGAAAAGGTTGTAGCTTGGTCTGTCGGGTCGTGTCGAGAATGATACGAGTAAATATATGATATATGATTTGCCTTTGCCTTCTTTCCTTTGCTTTGTCGTGTCCTGTACTCACGTATTACATAACCTAAGCTGCTCTTCCCTCGCTCACGCACTTTACTCCACTCTACTCTCCTGTACTCTCGGCTTGATCTCCCTCGCCATGTTCCAGACTTGGCCTCTCCGTATTACAATCGCTTGCCCATGGTGGAGTTTCTGACGAAGAAAAACATCACCATCAATGGTAGCTCGTAAGCGAAAAGCTTAAGCTAAGCCAATGCCCCGTGCCCCATATGTCAGTAATCGTGTAGCTCTATCTCCTTATGATAGGGACTGAGTGAGTATATCGTATTGCATCGGCCCATCAAGTCTAGGTCACTAGTCATGTCAGCGTAGGTGCGTAGGTGCATGACCACGGCAGTCATTCTGTCTCTCTGACTGTGTCATAGTTCCATCGTTATACTACTCCAACGCCGCTTTAATTGATGGTGATTATCCTGTTTTTGCTTTGGTTTTGTGCTTCTCTCCTCGTATATGATGCGTTGTGTGGCTGTTAGGTGCCGGATGCTGGATAGATTATGGTGAGAGTAGTTGCCTTGCATGAAACCGGCATTCAAACTCGTTTTGTTTTATGCAGTTCTCTGAGCCAAATATAGATTGCCTATCTTGACCACTTCATACGTAATGTGGGGCGGCAAGGCTAGCTTTCTCCTTTTGTTCGCCGTATTCCCTCCCACATATCTCGTATTGTTGTACGTCTCCGGATGCAATTCGTACCATCATCTGCGCTTATCCTAGTGTGTTCAGTCTCAATCATATCCCTCCTCTTTTTTTTGTCTCGTGCCTTTGTTGATCCTTGTTTTCCCCGGAATCTCCCCGGATGGCCCCAATACCAGTACGTGATTCTTTGTCATTCCCCTATTACTATTGCTTCCAGGCCCCAACATCCCAGAAGCATCTGCATTTGCAATTAATTCCACCAAATATATTGCCCCCGGATCTATACTAGTTTCATGCAGGTTAGTGGCGTTGTGCACCAAATATAGCACAACCCAATGATTGTGCATTCCACGCAATTGGTACCGGGGAACCACGAATCGTCCTGCCACTTCCACTCATATCGCATACTGATGGTGCAGGATTTCTAGTCTGATGCAATACATCTAGTCTCCATCTCCTAGAAGAAGATACATGTACTAGCGCCGGTGTTATGCATGAATGGGAATCAAGGAATTCCCGCATCTATATTCAGCTACTTTAGTGCTCATGCTTCTGTTTATGCTCATGGTCATATCGAGCTTCCTTTTTCAGATCTGCGTGTTTTGTGCGTCGATCAGACCCTGGGTTGCTTGTTCTGTTTCCTAATCGTTCCCACTCCACTGGCGCTCTGTCCTGTCTCTTCCATGTCGACCTTGACTTGATTTGTTCATTTGTGCGCACCGGCACTGCTTGTGGCTAATTTGCTCGTTTGCATCCGGAGTAAGGCGCGGTACATCAGATTCGCCCACCTTGTCAATAGACGGTAACTCCCTTCGAACAATTGACTCCACCTTTCTCACTATCCGTCAGAGAAGACGCATGTTTGTGGCTTTGCTTTAATCACCATCGACCTCAACTCGAGTGGGGCTGACTCAAGGCTCAAGGCCAAGCTGTACCCTCTTCATCACTCGTAATCTATTCCCTGTTAAGTCTCTGAATTCTAGAGGACCTCGCAGCCTTGAGCATGATTATGCTGAACATCCACATCGGCCTGAATTTACTCCACGGGTGTTTACGCAGTGTTTAGCCTGAGTCTTACGAAGCTGAACTGGGATGGTGTGTTCTTGCCTCCTGTCGCTGCCCTCGCGGGGATCCCATGAATTCCGTCATCTCATCCGAACTTTTTCTCATCATCCTTTCTTCTCCTCCCTCCGTGTCCGGTATCTTAAAATAGACCAAAGACCACAGTCCAGTCTCACGACATCTGTTTGTTTGGTGTGCCTTGTTCGATATGATTGTGTGACAACAGATCGCAGTAGGTCGGAGAAGTAATGTAGAGCAAATAAGAAACATACCACATGTCAATGGTAATGTCATTGGCTCTATGTACCGCTCGAAGGCAATGTCGTCGGGAAAATGGAAATTCATATTGATGCCCCTTCCCGTCATGAAAACAACGACCGTCATTAGTAATATCACAGTTTGCCCAAAGGTTCCAACCCACCTTTCTAGCCCTACATTATGCGGCGGATAGCATACTCTGTAAATGCTTGTTGTCCTCCCATGCTTTTGTCGTGTTGCCATTTGCAGCCATTTGAAAACCTCTTTCCCGTGGGTTGATTTTCCAACCTAGATACCTCCCAAAATAGCCACCGTCGAGGCAAGATTGTAAGTGAATTGGCAGTCGGATACTTGCAATGATGAAATGTTCGAATTCGCCCAACTTCATTTGCCTGAGTCGTGTTTTTTCCAACCCCGTCCAGTCCAAGGCCCTGCTATTCACACGGCTAGTCACATATGGACGGAGTTTCCTTCAAAGGTATCCATGAAATTCCAATCAATGTCCCCGGAGTTCAGTCGTGGATGAGGGTCCAGATTGTAGCCCAACAGAGCCGTTCGAGCGTGAGGATCGACATCACCGCTCCCGAAACTGTGCTCAGAACCAACAGGAAACTGTTGACCAGGAAACGCAGGCAGAAAGTCGTCGGATCCGCGTGCGGGCTCAGAATAGAGACTGGATCGCATTCCTGATTGCCAGGGCATTGGTGCAACGAATGAGCCCGGTGTGTCGGGCTGAGAATAGTTCGAATGACCTGAAACCGGATTCGAAAGTGTTTGGAATGCCGTCGGTTGTGCGAGATCCATCTGGTGACTCGTTGGAGTTGAGATGTTGAATTTCGGAGGCGTCGAACCATTTGAATAGCTTTGTCGGGCTTGAGTCTTTTGTCGATCCAGAACCGCCTTCATTCGTTTTCTGATAATGGCATTGCTTCGTTCCAAAGCGGGCATGGCATTCGATGCCTTTTGTAAGACATCCAAGAGGAAAATGAGGCCATTCTTCTGTGCGGCCATCGCGTGATCTTCTCCCGGCTGAAATTCCCTTTCAAAACGTAGAACTGCGATTGTGGCCGCAATGTAAACGCTGTACGCATTTAAATACGACACGTGAGACAGTCCAAACGTATTGGCTTGCAACATTATCAAGTCGTGAATTGCTCCCGTCGCTTGGATACACAACTGATATGCCCGAGCAGGTCCTGGCGCATTCATGTCGCGGGCTCCGAGAATGACGGGTCGATTCAGTAAAATGACAGTTGTATGGTACAATAGATTGAGTGACATAATGTGAACCGGAGGAGCCAAGGACGGCATTTGGTCCGGGTTGATTCTCAAATGGGGAGGTAAGGATATCAGCCAGTCTCGTAAATCGCGTGAAATTCGAATAAAAGGGGCTTCAATTGCCGCTTTGGTCTCGGCTGAGTGTTCTTCGTCCTCCACGTCCCGTCTGGCTGCCGCTTCAGAAGAATAGATATTGTGCATCAAATCGTTCAGAATGACGCAGATTTTGCATAACTGCCGAAAGCACGAAATAACATAGCCGGGACAAGGAGGGTAGTTGGGTGCGTTTGCCAGTTCAGGTCGAGGTGTTTCGCCATAATATGGCGCCCACGGATCGCTATCACTATAGTCGTCCATAAACGTCAGTGGTACTTCCTCCGTGGCTGGGGTGAATCCAGGCATGCGACCGAGATACAGAGACAGAATTTTGTCCCACGTATAACAACTCCAAAACAGACGTTTTCGAATTTCAATGTCTTCGGCAGTCAAACTTTTCACAAAGGATTGAAGTTTGTCGCTGGGTAAGTGGATTCCCATGTCTAAAGCCATGCGAAACGCAACACCTGCGAACGTCCATGCTTGAGATGATCGGCCAAACACCACTTCTCGAGCGGATTGCTGGAGAAGTGCTTGAATGGTAGGAATCGAGCTGTTCTTCAAGATGTCCATTCCCAAGCCAAATCGCGCTTCATCTGTCATTTCTTGCATGAATTCTCCAGCGGTCAAAGCGGTCCCCATCGGGCCCTGTCGATTGAGAACGCTTTGGCTCTGGTCTTGGTAGACATCGTGATTCAGAAACCTTGCGCAATGGGCATGAATGACCTAGAATTTCCGTCAGACAGAAGATCCGAGTTGGTCCTTTTTCCGGTCTTCACGATACCTTCAACAGAGTTTCTGAAAAATACGGAGGATCTTGCGCTCCCGGTGTGTTCAGGTTCACCATGGCCATGCCTCTTATGAAGGCGGGTCTATACACGAATAAAAATAGAGGATGCATCCAGCACCAGTGATATTTGAGCAATTCATGCGAAATTTCTTTGGGGACATTGGCCTTTGCCGCGCCATTTGCAATGGCAAAGGGTTCGATCTGCCTCTGATGATTGGCATTTAAGATGAGGTCTCGTCTCACACGCTGGTCGTCTTGGGGATCGCCGTTGCTGTTGACATGGGCAGCAGGTATCGGGGAATGATGGGGTTGTGTCGAGGGAGGCTCATGGATAGGAGACGTAGAATTGTGAAATGTGACGCTCCCGTTGTCGTCCACACTGATATCTGTCTCCCATTTGACATGACGATTCCGATGGACAAGTCCATTTCCTTGAAACGAGCTCTGTGATCCGGCAGCTTCACTGGCGGGCGACGCTGAAGGTAACTTCTTTTCGTCATGAGACCCGGCCTAGTTCAAAGGTGAATACAAGGGACAGAGCACCACAGAGGGACGACGGGCTCATACCCTGGTCAGCCAGACTTGGGTTTTGGCTTGTCGCAATTGCGCCTTCAACTCCTGAATTTCCTCCTCTAGCGATCGCACGTAGGCGAGCGAGGGGGGCTTGTCGTAATGGCAGTTGTCTTTATAGGCTATGCATCTATAAGCAGGTCAGGACCCATGATCAGAAATGTCGTTTTCGACGAAAACCCATACGTCGTGCATTTGGGCGTTTTCCCATCGCATTTTGACTATCAACAGATCAGCCTCTGCACGTTCGAAATCGGACAGCCACTATCTTGTGGTGATCGAGTCGGAGAGGTGGAAAGGTCGACGACGGGGAGGAGCATACTTTTCTCCTTCGACAACCAGCGCAAGTAGATTTGCGATGCTTAGATTTGGGCTTTTGGTCAACTTCGGCGGGCATGGTATTGTTTGGGATGGAGGTCAAGAGTGTGGGTGTAGATGTGATTTTGAAGTGCTGGAATCGCAATCAAGACTAGATCATGATCAAGCCTCGTAGGGCAGAGGCAATTTTTGATGGTCTTCTCCTCACGGGCCTCAAAATTGGAGATCCGTCAGCGAAAGGACAGACCCCGGTCTCGAAACCGGGATAATTTTCTCATCTAGTAGACACGAGGCAGGTAGTGTTGTTAGTTAGCGTGTTGCAGGGAGGATGATCGGAGGGAACAGCCCAAGAGCCACCATGTACAAATGTCATATGTACGAGGAATCGGCGAGCAGGGGGGGATTGCATGGGACGGGGTCTGGGATGTGATGTAGTGTGATGGGCATGCAGGTATGCGTGGATGGATTCTGGGAATCGCTAATGCAGGGTTCGGCGGAGGAGGGGGAGTTGGCAAGTTTAGAACAGAGAAAGAGAATTTCCTAACCACGGTGGTAGTCGATTTCTCGCATCGAGGAACAGGGTGTGGGTATTGGAGGGCGCGCGGGTTGACGAACTCGAGACGCAGCACGGGGGTTTGAGTACGGGAAAAGAGCCAGTCAGCAGGAGGCAGGGAGTCGCAATATGTTGACATAGCCGAAGGGGTCCCTTATGCCACATGCGGCAGCTCTGCAGAGGTACAGAACCAGGACTCGATACAGGGCTTTGATGATTGCTGGCGCTCCGTACCGGAGGTGCTAGTGATTGAACGAGGGTCGAGGTTGGGAGATGCCAGTGGCGCATCGGTGCAGGACGGGAGAGCATGATGCCTGAGAGAGTGCCCTAAGAAACTGAGCAGGGAAGAAGAGCAGGGATGCCAGGAGAAGATCGGAATGTCCAGCACAGACTCGATTCAAACAGCCAGATGTCGAGCGTATTCGTTGACATCACACTGGAGTATGTAATGGTAATTCTATAGAGTAAGCCGAGCAAAGAAAGACATATCCCCCAAATAGCATTGAGTGGTAGATGGCACTCTCCGGAAGCAAGCATGTAATCCAGAGCAATAAAGGGCAGGTGGTGAAGAAGTAAACCTGGACGGTGGTTGCGCTCCATGTCTTCCTGTCCCCTCCCACCGCCCGTTATCGCGGGGTTAGAGCTTAAGCCCATCTGGGCCATTCAGGGAGCACCCGGCACATTACCTGCCAGCCCCCTTGGCCAACACAGCCCTTGGCCGCCGCGCGTAGCCTTTCTCTGCCTGCGCCTTGTCTGTGGCATCTGCTTGTTGTTTCTCACCCATCGTGCCTATATTGACTAAACTTCCCCTCTCTCCGTCAGGCCAGCCACTATCCGTCTTCTAGAGCTTCCAGAGCCGGTAGGGCCGAAGGCTTGAAGCCAGCCTCAGCTGGGTATTCTCACGCCTTGCACCAACACAAAGGATCTCCTCAACCGACGGGTAACACATCCTCGGGCTCACCCGGTACCAGATTGTATTAGGCGGTCCATTGGATGATAGAGGGAACCCCTTATTCGTAACATCTGCCAACATCATCAGGCTGCAAGCCACCTCTGGGCTTTTGCCAGCCTGGGATAGGATAAGGCTGTCCCTATTTCTTGAGCAGCAGAGCATTCACAATGGGATTAGTATGGTTAATGGCTGTCCTAGTTCCCTTCTCACCGGATCCGCCTCTGATCGACTAAACCACTTTCCCTCCCTTTCTTGCCGCTGAACGAATACGGGGGGTCCTAGCATCAGCACTTTTTGTTAAACATAAGCACCACCTACTTGACGCCCCCGTCGTCAACTCTTACCCTTGCGTTCCACATTCCCCTGCTGCCACGAGGGGGCTCAACAAATTCCCCCATGCTCCTACGGATCGATTCGGCAAAGATGTCCCGCAACATGTATTTCCTCCCGCTGTTGTCATCTAGAGAATCCCAGTCCCTAGTCACCGCCATCATGACAAAGGACCTCAAACCCTGTGCCTAGGAACCCTCTAATTCGATGCCTTGAGCCAGACTTCGGGTTGTTGGCAAAACAATCTGCCAAAATCAAAGGGACTCAGCCAACGTTGGATATTCTCTCGTCAATAGCCTGAAACGGCGCTGATCTCCGTATGAAACCCTGCTCTTGGGATCGAACTACCGCCACGCACCTTTGACATTTCACCATGAATCTCGAGAAGCCATGCTCGGTTATGGTCATCAGTTCTGCACTGGAACCGACTGCTCGGTAGACGCTCAGATCCGTTTGCGGACATATTTCTATATCCGGATCGCCGCCGTGCGTGGAATACCACTTTGAAAATCTGATGGCTCAGAATGGGCAACAAAACGGAGCCGGGGTTGCAGAAGCGTCTCGTGTCTCCACAATACCTGTCCTGCATTAACACGTCAAGGTCTTACAAATACTGGCTGCCTTAGCGTTGATCCAGGCTTGGTTGTTCGCGTGCTGATGCTCAGCCTCTGGACTTGCGAATGCCTCTCTTCTCCTGATCATCTGTTTTCCACCGACCACTTCCTGACCGGCAAGCCATACGTTCACAGTGGCCGAGTATTGCGACACATATGGACCGTCCCATATTGTAGAAGCCTATGGCGTGCTCTCTCACCGGAGGAACGGACCAATCCGCCTTAATTCATAGCCGAATTCCGGGGTCCTTCAGGGGTGAGGGCCACTAGCAGCTTGGGTCACAAATCTCATACCAAGTTCGACCTCAAATCCCTTCCCTACTCAAATACGGATACTGACATGCCAAAGATCAGGAGAATGAAAGTACCCTCGGCGCTGACAGGGACATCCTTTGCATGCCCAAGTGTGGCTGCAGGACATGGCTTGGCCCATCAGCACGTTATATCCGAACGATTGAGTCCCGCTCTTTCATCATCGACCTCAATTGGTCGGCGATAGTCACCAGCCTTGAATTCATGGAAGAAATCAAAGACTTTGTTATCACGACTTTCTACCATCTCAAGTATTTTGGCCCGCCACGGTGTCGCTTGAACTTGCTCGTGCTCCATACCACCTAGACCGTTGACTTGATCAAAGTCGTGGACCGCAAGAAGTTCGACGACACCATTTTTTGGGTCGGTGGACTCGACCAACTGAAAACGTCGAGTTCGACGCCAACCCGGGATCATCGAGATATGGCGTAAATGCTCCTGCTCTAGGTCAACATGCATCCTCGAATGCCTCCGCCATATCATACCTGGTCGTACCAAGCATGAAGCTCACCGACCAATTCCTCCCTGACGACAAAAGTCGTCGCCATAATAACCGGTGCAGGCCCATGACTGGTGCCCCGAGTTGACAGTGTTCGATAGATACGACGATCAAGCATATCTAACCCGGTGTTGAGGATCCTTGTCTCGCGCCGTGATCGATTTTGGCGTAACATTGTGTACCGTGGATCTTCGGAACATGAAAGTGTCGTCACGTCGTACGCGGCAAGCCATACTGGGGGGTCCAAGTCGCGACTTCTATAACGATGGCCGACCGGAAAGAAGTCAAGCATCAAACGCAATGGACCATGCTCAGTATTATACCAGCTATGGTACTCATCTAAACTCAGACAAGCTTTGGGTCGACTCAGAATGAAAAAGTATCCAGGCACTGGAGGATACCGACCCGTGTCGGTCATGGTGGACAATCTACGACGATGATACTTATGGCGATGCAGTCTGTCGATTAAAAACGGGACGACTGCATTAATTTTGGGGCGGTCGAGAGTGGGGGAAACCTCCCCAGATTGTCTGTCCCTTTGTATTTCAAGCACCTCATCGTCGGCAGTGAATAAGGGATTAGTGTGGCGGAGAGTCGCCGGTCAGGTGGTGGGGAGCGGCAAGACCATGTAGCAAATGTGTACCCGGGGAGGATCATAGACATGTGATTTCGAGTAGATAAGTCTGTCAAAAACCCCCAGAGCTCCAATGACTAGTTACAAGTTGATGCTCGGGGATGGTTGTGTAGTGAACGCAAGTTCAAGTGAGGTCAACAGAGATATCACCAGAGCAAGGACTACGTCCACCTTCATCGCCAGCCACCAGAAGACGGAGGACACGAGTCAGCAAGCCACAAGGAACACGCGGTCTCCACGGGGGAATGACAGACTGCGTATTCTGCTAGGCTCATTAGGCAAAAAGGCTTGATTGAACTTGGCTCTCATGTCGTCGACCCAGGGCATTGGAAGCTTCCCAGGTACCTTGCTGACTACCCTACGAATTAAGGTATCATGCCCTCCACATGTCGCTGCTTTTTGCTACTATTTTCTCTCCTGTTTCGATGCCTCTCTTCGTTGTCTAACGGAGTGACCATTAGTCATCTTTAACTCCTCTTCAGGCATTAGTCCTCACTATCCCTACCCTACTCTTCCGAATTTATCTTCACATCTCGCAATGTCCAATACATTTTTTCAAAGCCCAGCATCTGTCGAGCCCCTCCAGAGTCCAAAAGTTCCCTCCAATTCAAAGATCAAGGCGTACCGCAGTTCCCCATCCTTTTCCCCTTTGTTTGGCAGTCCTACCCGTTGCAAGTATCCAGATTCCAACAATTATCCCACCGGAACTTTACTTACACCTGCGGCTGTCACGCTACCAGATCGCTCGTTCGCCTGCGTTCTGAACCGGAAGTTTCAAGTTGTGCATGACACGGCTCACCAGCATTGGCTAGTTCAGTCTGAAAGGTGTTGGCGTCGATGAGACTCGTCTCTTGTCGACATGCCACCCAAGATGCCACGAGATTTCTCATATCGTCAAGACAATATCTACCCCTTCCTCGTCCCACTCCTCGCTCTCGTTCCTCAACGCCCTAAGTTTACGGGGCGGTGAAAACCAAAAATGGCCGAAAGAAGTGATACGGTCCCGGACACATTGGTGGAGGGAGAACACAAAGGGAATGAGGACCATGACACAATCCTTCGCCATCGGGAACCTCTTACTCCTCTGCCGTCTGACGACCCCCGTGATCCTCTGAATTGGCCTATGTGGCTCAAGGTTGGGCAGACTTGTCGGCGTCCGCAAATAGCTTGCTGATCCTGGGCAGATTGTCATCTTGGTACAGACATCCCTTCTTGCGGCTATCGGTGGTCTCAACACCGCTTCGATCAACCCCGCCTATCTCCTCCTCGCCGAGGAATTCAACATTAGCAAGGTTACAGCCTCGTATCAGACGTAAGCCAGCAAGGACACACAATATCTCCACGTCAACGACTAACGTGCTTGAAAGAACTGTCTGTATAGCTCTCAATGGAGTTGCGCCTTGGGTTTGGATTCCTCTCTCCAACAAGTATGGTCGGCGGCCTGTCTACCTGGGCACGACTTTACTTGGTTTCATCTCCGCTTTAGGCTGCGCCTACACGCGATCGTTCGGCCAACTCATTGTCGCAAGAGTATTTAACGGCTTCTTTCCTGTTGCATTTGCATTGGGTGCAGCCACCGTGACCGACCTATTTTGGTACCATCAACGCGGCCGAGCCGTGGGTTTCTTCACGGTGACGATGGTCAATGGAAGTCACCTCGCACCTATCGTCGGTGGTCTCCTGGGCCAGTATTGCGGATGGCGGTGGATCTTCAAGTTTATGGCCATCATAGATGCGGTGATGTTTTTAACCTCCTTCTTCTGTCTCCCAGAGACTCTTTATATCCGAAAATCGCCAATCTCTTCATCGAAACTAGATGCTATCCAGGTAGCGGCCGACGATGCTGTTACGCGACCCCGGTTCACCAAAGCAATCTATTTCTCCCATTTAGGACTCCATACGAATTTTCCCGAACTGAGGCTCACACTGAACCAATTCGTCATTCCAGCCTTAAAGATGGCCCAATATCCCTCGGTGCTCTTTCCTGCATTATATTACGCCACCATGTACGGCTTTGCCTCCATTTTACCTGCCGTGACGGTCGCGGCCATCTTCACGGAATTTTTCCATTGGAATACCCTGACCATTGGTCTGACCTATGGTGCATCCCTCACCATGGGTGGCATCTTGGGCGAATGTGTTTCAGGCTGGGTGGTCGACTTCATCGTGAAACGGGAGAGAAAGCGGATGGGTCGCGATCCCGAACCCGAAGTTCGACTCAAGGCCATCTGGATGGGTGAAATCATCGTTCCGGCGGGCCTTCTGATCTATGGCTTCTGCCTGCAATACCACACAGTCTGGATTGCCCCCATCCTTGGTATGGGGATTGCGTGCTTCGGTCTGCAGATCATCACCACCACGACGTACACATACTCTATTGACTGCTATCGTACTGAGAGCAGTGAAGTTGCACAGTTATTTAACTTCATCCGTCAAGAGTTTGGCATGACCTTTGCATTTTATGTCGTTCACCTCGGCGACGCGATCGGCTATCAATGGACATTCCTCATGTTTGCCTTGATCGGTGGTGGATTGGCCTTCATCCCAATGTTGCCCATCATCCTCCATGGCGAAAATTGGAGGAGGAAACTTGGGAAGCCTGTTGGCGTTAATGCTTTTGAAAGCATGATGGTGAATACGGGAGACCCTGACTGTCACAGCCAGTGGGACACCGACAAAAGAGGAGAACGTCAAGGGAAAGAACTTGGTATGAGGTATGAGCACGTGAGGGATGAGAGACGAACACGACACAGACACACATATATCCCTGCTAGCAATCCTTCCGTCCCAAAAGGTGGCATCCTACGCTAATGCACACCACCATTCCGGCTGGCAAGATCGTCTGCACAGCAAGTCGAAGGATTTGGAAAGACTAACCGAAATGGACGACCTCCAATCCTGCACGTCAGTTGCACATATCCATTGAGGATAGGAGATCGGAAAGGCAGCATGCCATGTGGCAAGGCGTGGTAGCGGAGCGAGATGCGCAAGGTGTCGCGAGGCGTCCGCTTCTGCATAGTACATTCTGCAACCTAATCCCGGAGTTTTCGCTGGCGCCTACCCTCCTTTCCGCTTGGTACCATACTTACCTCCACCGCATCCCGGAGCTCATCACCAACCATCCACTCCCTCTGTCCCGTTAAAACTTCGGGCTGCACGTCCCTATACCTGACCTGCATGTGTTGTATTATTTCTTGGTAGGACAACGGTAATGCAGACGATTAGCCAGACTCGGATGAGAGAGATATCACGTTGCTAAGATTCGTAGGAATACTTGACTCTGGTTCATCTTTGTATGCCGGAGAGAAGCCTGACAAGGTCTCTGCACTGTTATATCCTTTCCGAAGACAGGCAAGCCTGGTTTAGCCTCTATTTTTGGCAGTCGTTGGAGAAGAAATAAGAAGGCTCGTCGAAGGGAAGGAAGCGAAGGAAAGAAGCATGGTGCCTCTATTTTCTTCGAGCACATACTTCGCGATTGATCTCCCGCCCAGCATGACGCCATGCTAGTAGAGCAAGGAATTTTATGTGCTCCAATCACTGGGTGAAAAAGCAACGTCTGCTCCTCTCCCTCAAAGGCCTCAATTTTTGTGCACATCTCATTCCACTTGCGTAGCCAATGTCAGAAAAGTGCATAGGAAGTCCGACATCAGTACGAGATCCGAACAAGAACAATGAAAAAGTCACTCCCAACGACAGTCTGTCCTCCGCAGGTCTGATGAGTGAACACGGTCCCAAAATCTAACTTCCTATCGAGACTTTCTTTCCTTCGCGGACCTTCCGGCGTTCGAGAGAGCTAGGTAAATCGAAAGGAGGTGGAGCATTGATTTTCGAAGGAAAAAAGAACGCATAACACCTTTCTTTCTCGATGTCGCGGTTCGCGCGGACCGAAACCAGCCCGTCACCCGGCCTAGTCGGAGGGAGACACACACAGCACTCTCGGGCAGGGCCCGAAAAACGCATTGTACGCCTCGAGCAAAAGGAAAGACGTGTGTCAGAGGGAAAGCTAATGGAGCATTGAAATCGAAACCAATAGCAAATTGCGTGGCCTTGCATTGGGACGGGCGCGGACATTCGCCGGTAACAAGACAAAACAGTACAAGACGAGACAAGATCAGATGAAGCAGCGAGTTCGGCTGCCGCATCAGCACATTCCTACCCACCTCGCCTTGTCTGCTCTACGTTACCCTGCTTTGCTTGATGACGAAATTTTTTGTCCAGCTCAAGTTATGCCTGGTCCGTTGAGACGAGACAAGGCAAAGAGCAGGAAAGGGTTCCAGATGTTCTGAAAAGTATGTATACTCCATGTTTGCTTTGGCCGACGAATCAAAAAGAAAATTTCGTTCGACGATGAATCACAAAATCGGGACGACGTCGGGGTCTTTGATGAAAGGGAAGAAAACGAACGAAGCGCCCTGAGCAGAGTCCCCATCGAATTGAGTACCCTATGGGTCAGTTATCGGTTCAAGGGCTCTAATTTAGCGGAAGTGGAAGGCGGAATTTGACCACGGACTGAGCATGAAAAATGGTCGAATGAACTGTATTGAAGGCAACTACCCAGGCATTAGAAGGTGGACAGTGGACGGTGGGTGGTGGACAGAGATGGTAGATGAGTGGACCCGGAGAGTGGGAAGCCTTCCTTGACGAAGACCTGGTGCGATCATAACCATTTCCATCTAGGTTAGATCAGTGGTGACAGCGAAGCTGTTGATCGAAGTATGTGGGTATAGAGCGCTCTCTGATTGATTCTGGAATCCCCATGTCTTACTCCGTGCGGACACGAATGACAACCTGGAAGTGACCAATAACCAATAACCAATTTCTGACCAAAAAGCAAAAAGCAAGTGACAGACATCTCGTGGCGTTGGGCAAACTTCATTTCTTGGATAGGTCAGTAACCATACCACATTCAACACCACTTACTTATATTCATAGCCGTTGCCATGGACCAGCGCCGTCCTAGCCGTCGAATCTTGTATTTCTGCCGACGACCCTCAGCATCTGCTTCGAAGTCCTCTCTTCCTACCCTGTCGGCGTCAAGATCATCCTTCCAAATATCTTCTGGGGTCTGGCGCAGTGCTTCTGCTCGGAATCTATCATCGTTGATGTCCTCTCCAAGAACTCTTTGAGCCTCAATTGCCTGTTGAGTACGTAATACTTCATCCCTCAACCTCATCCTTCGCAGCCTGACCTCTTCGGCCGTTACGCTACTCGACGATTCCCCATTTCGTCTTCCACGCTGACTAACGGCGCGAACAGTAGGGCTCTATTCGCCTGAAATTCGATCCCAGCGACTCCTTTCGAGATTCGAAAACAGAGGGAGCTCCTGAACGAATTATTCGGGCGTTACTGAGTTGGCAGCACCATGCTCGGTAATCAGTCGTCTTGTTGTCAGATCAGCAGGTGTCGGGGGTCGGGAAGCTGCGAGAAGGGAGTTGTTATACACTGAAAATGCGTTGCTGTCTAAATATCGATGTCCTGTGGTGTCGTGATTCAGTGCGAGGAAATGCATTAGCACTTCGAATCGGAATCAGAGTGACCGGGAGCTCAGATGGACTAGGAGACACTTCGGTTTGTCTAAGATCATCTATGGGGATGCATTTAGAAGAGGAGAACTAAGAAGACCTTCCCCAGATCTGACATCGTCAAGCAAGCCGCTATTCTGGAGAGATGTCACCATTGGCAGGACTGGAGTCGTACAGGTCTGACTTTCAGAAGTGCCGCCAACGTTTCTATCCGAGGATGGATTCGCCCAGGTTACTCTAGGTAGCGAATGGCCTCGCGGAGTGGTCGAAAGTGGTGATAGTAGCGTAAAAGGCATACCATCAGAAAGTCTATGGATGAGTCTCTTTGACGGTGCGAGCCTTCTATTGACAATCAATTCATCTCTTCAAGAACGTTGTCTTGTGATGAAGAAGCAGCGGCAGGTTCGGCTTGTTCGGAGTCCGGCGTCTGTATCTTCCGGCACTTGAAGCAATCATGGAGCCAGCAGCATGCTTTCCCTCCTCAATGTCTATCGATGAATCTTCCGGAGAGACAGCCTTTGCGAACTGTAGGAGAGAGCTTCGTGCATAGACGGGGCCAGGGATACTGGGGAGATGGCAGGTTGATCGTGAACATCTTTCATTTTCGACGGAGAGGTCACCAGAAACTATTCTTGAATCGTGGCTGGACCTTCTCATTGATTCCGAGGATGATGACTGATTAAGGGTTTGCTCTTGCTCTCCATTAGCGTGCATCCACTCGAATCCGTAGGTCGACGACACCCCAATTCAATAGTGCTGGAAATAGTCAGTGTGAAGCTTTCTGATCTTGACCTGTTGCTTTCACTATGGCCTTTTGGAAATTGGTAAGGTAACGAGTAATATTATACTTCTTGAAACTCTGCTTGAGGAAACCATGGAAGATCTCGGTTTGGCGCAGGTGAAAATCGATATCACTCTTCGAGAGGGAGACGCTGGTAGGTGGTAAGCGAATCATGTCGTGATGCTGATAGAAATGAATTGTTCCCCCGTCGAGACTAGCTGGTTCACTCGATATAAGTCATGAAGAGGTCAATCGATACGTAGGCTTCTTCCCGACAGTCTCCTAGAAGTCAATTGTAAATTGCAAGAGCAACCCCTGAGTTTTCACTCCCTCCCAATCCTCCTTACCTTGATATATATGACTGCGGGCATTGGTGATAATTTCGACCGCATCCTCGTTTCGTTCTTAGGGATGCCGTTGTGAGCGCAGATATTCTTCCCCTACCCAACTCCTTTTTCGGTAGAAAGAAGAAACCGGGGTGCCCCGGGCAGCTAAGAACGGATTGTAAAGGTGGGGTGGAATGGTGGAGGTTCATTTCCGCGTGGGCCAGTTTTCGATGGTTCACATGAAACTGTTAATCTGCGGCTGATCTATTCTCAGCACAATTGACGGGAACGCAATTGAGAGTCTCGATGGACGTTCAGAGCTGCATCAGTCAATAGCTCGTGAGAGTCCAGATAGGAACGGAGGCGAATGTTCGGTAGAGTTTCAAGGTTCATGGGTCGATCTAACCCGGAGCCTGCGGCGCGGGCGTTTGGCGTTGGGCGTTAAGTGTCCGAGATGACAAGAAGAAACGAGAGCAAGCTAGAGACGAGACGAGACGAGGCTAATTGAGGCGGCCTTCTCGATTGATCATTTCTAACTGCACCGTCACCATCGCCATCTTGGATTTTCTCGCAGCCACCACATCGTCCGCCTACAGCTACCTGCACTCACTCATTCACTGACTACTTGCCATCTTTAATCCAACTCCTATCCATACGTTCGCTACCTCCTTCGAGCTGCGTCCTCTCATCCCGAACCTGCTTCTTCGACGCTAGATACAGGGGATCCCGAAACACCTCAAAGTCCGCCTCGACCCAACCCTTCCTGCTCTTCGGTCTGCACGATCAACGTCCGCTCCGATTAATCCCACTGTCGCTCTCAATGCCGCAGCGATGAAGAATCGAGCAGCTCTGCTCTGAATCAATACGTCGTCATAAGACTCCCTCGAAACCCAAAAGGGACGTCATTGGACCTGCTACCCAAGCCACACCGTCCACGAGTCTCAAACCTGGACAATAATGGCTGACCTCTCTCTTGGTCCGCTGAGGATTGCGAATCCAGATGATGCCTCTCCTGATACCCCATTACGAGCCCAGCCTTCGTCCGCATCCTTTCCACGGATATCACCATTAGTCGACGCCGATGGAAGGACAGATTATGTCTCAACTGCAACTCCGCAAACCGATGGTTCTGTATCCCCAATTGATCCCACCCCAGAAGACATTCCACCACCCGCGGTAGCATCGTCGGCCCCTTCCTCTCAACCACCTCCAATGTTTACCCAGAACAGTCGCCCAGCGGATCGACCCCCACAACGACAGAATATCCCGTATACCTATCAAGACCAACAACAAGCTCAATTCCCTCAATACCCGACGATGATGCCGCAAAATCTACATGATCCTCGATCGAATGCCTCCCGACCTGGTTCTGCCTACTATACTCAGATGCCGGTCAACGGTGCCGCCAGTAATGGAGTTTCTCGACAAGGCTCTTACAGAGTGCCGAGGGATGGGTCTGGTTTGTCAGGGTTCCCCCAGCGGACATCATCGAAACGATCGGGTATGGGAGATGTGGCAGGAGTGCCTTCAAGAGATGATGCTCATACCGAACGAGCGTATGGACAAGGACCGTATACTTCGGGCAATGGTCCCCTACCGCCTCGCCGAACCTCTCGCGGTGTGGCCTCGAATCGAATGGGAAGCGCACCGACTGGCAACACGCCACTCTCCACGACTCCGAAATCAATCCAGACGCCTCTCTCGAGTTCGCCATACAACATCGAAGACCGTCCGCTGGCCAGTGCCGACGATTGGGAAGAACGTGGCGCAGCCGTTGGGGTGAAACGTGAATTCGATGCAGAGGGACGACCGGTTTTAAAAGCTGTCAAAAAAGGCGTAAAGGACTTCAATTTCGGACAGACACTCGGTGAAGGCTCTTACAGTACTGTGCTCGCGGCACAGGATCGACAGAGCGGGAAAGATTACGCCATCAAGGTCTTAGACAAGAGACATATCATCAAAGAGAAGAAGGTCAAATATGTCAACATCGAGAAAGACACTCTCAATCGCCTGACAGACCACCCGGGTGTGGTGAGACTCTACTACACTTTCCAGGACGAGAGATCACTGTATTTCGTTCTTGATTTGTGCCCTGGTGGTGAGTTGCTGGGCGTTCTCAAACGTATGTCGACATTTGATGAAGAATGCACTCGATTTTATGGTGCACAGATACTAGATACGATCGAGTATATGCACAGCCGGGGCGTCATACACAGGGACTTGAAGCCGGAAAATCTCTTGCTTGATGAGAATAGACATATCAAGGTGACCGATTTTGGGACGGCGAAACTTCTCCCCGAGAAAAAAGATGCTACTGGAAGGGTCGAGTTTGAACCCGATTCGACCTCGACCGGGAACCGGGCCAATTCGTTTGTTGGCACGGCGGAATATGTGAGCCCGGAATTGCTGACCGACAAGAATGCGTGCAAGGCCAGTGATCTGTGGGCATTTGGTTGCATCATCTACCAGCTCTTAGCAGGCAGGCCACCGTTCAAGGCCGTCAACGACTATCATACTTTCCAGAAGATCGTGAACCTGGACTACGAATTTCCCCGAGGATTTCCGGAAGTGGCCCGAGATCTCGTCGAGCGTTTACTCGTCCTGGACCCTCAAAGGCGATTGTCGATCGAGCATGCCAAAAATCACCAATTTTTCGCCGGAATTCAATGGGGTCGAGGTCTGTGGCAGCAAAAGGCACCACGATTAAAGGCATACGTCTCTCCACCGGCGCCCCCCATTAAGCTCAATGACGGCAGTGCGCCGGACAGCTTTCCTCCCGACATCGCTCCGGGCCATAGCACTCATTCAACCATGCTCCCGCCAAACAACCAAAAGCTCCAGCCGAGAGTAATCACTGAATTGCCTCCTCCGAGTCAACTCGATATTGAATGGTCTCCCGTTCTCACGAGGAATAATGAGAGAATCCTCAAATTGGGTAATTTGTTGGTGGTGTCTTCACCCAACACTCACAGTCCACATGGGAGCGAAACTGGTGGCAAGTTGTCGAGATTTTTTGGAGGAACGAACACAAAGAAGCGTCAGAGGCTTGTCATGGTCACATCGAGTGCTCGGATTATCATTGCCGCCGCCGGCGGTGAAGAGAAGAAGTCGAAATCAGAAATCTCCCTTCTGTCGCCAGGAACCGAGTTTTCCAGTGCAACTGATTCCAAAGGGGTGACTCAGTGGATCGTCCATACAGTAAGTTCACATACCACTCCCGGACAGCGGGGATGATTAACTTTGAGACAGCGCGAGAGACATTACGTTTTTGAGGATCAGAAGCCTCCCTCCAATGAACCAATGGCCACGGCGGTATCCGCCCAAGAGTGGCTCGATGCACTGGTTCGTGCTCGCGATATTGCAACGCAAAACTCGAACAACAATTATTCGACCGACGACTCTCTGAATTTGTCGTCTTCGGCTTTATCTAGTCACGCGAGTACCATTGATCAACCGACCGACCTCCAACCCCAGCCTGCTAATCATAGCCATGTCGGGCGAGGGATTCTGCACAAGCAACATTCTGGAGGGGATGCAGAGTCGCTCAAAGGAAGAAAGCGCTTTAGCAAGCGACAATCGAAGAGCGGCTTGACTGCAGTTTTCTAAATGCATATGCGGATAAAGACAGGGGCGCATTCCACGTATGTGAGAGTGTGTGTGTTTTCTCTACCTCTTGAACCCAATTTAGCGTAGCATTGTGATTGTGGGCGATGGACAGCATGGCGATCTGGTGCGGAAAGACCGTGATGAGTATACTGAAGTCCCCTTCTGGTTGAGGTGTGCATCTGTAGGAAAGGCTCCAAGATCTAGATAGGATATTTTCGACCTGAACGCGGAAGAGAGTCAGGTCAAGGTGAATTCTGACAGAGACTGACTGAACTTGAAGGTTGAATGGTCTTGTATTGCCGTCCACCCGTTGGCCGTTTTCGCACTCTTTAGCGTCCTGACCACCCACAAATGAAAAGACATATACCCGGAACATACCTGGAAACACCCTGGCCGTATTGTTGCTTAGGGTTCAGGTCGAGTTATGACTGGCTGAGATCGGCTGAGCTCGACTGGACCTGCATCCAAGCTAGATCCCAAATGGCCTTCGCCTGCTTTCCTCAGCGCCACCGTTGTCCCACGGCACCAGCCGCACCTGTAGCCGGGCCACAACACCATGGAGGGCGAGAGTTTGGAAGACTTTGACTCAACGTCGTGGCGCTTGAAAAGTTCGAAACTCCATCCTCTACCTCGATCTACTACCGGGCACGCCGCGAAGAGACCTCCTTGCTTGAAGCTTGAACGAAGCCCGCAGTATTTCGCTAAGAAACATTCTCTGAATCTCCTCGACGCCCGACTACGCAGGGCGCAACCTGCAAGGCAACCTCTCCAGACGAGACGTGTCAAGCGGTGAGGGATAGTGATACATCCAAAACATCTGCGACGACGTGGAAAGAGGCCCTATGTGGTCATGACTTTAGAGACGGTCTGACCAAAGACCCTCTACGGATTCCTAGACGATGAACGACCGGATGACATGAACCAGACTGTTCCACAAAAGTCTTCAGCAAACAAACCCAGTTCCTTCAGTCCCAATGGTATCGCGAGCCGAAGTCGCAGGCCATTCTCGAGGCGCTCCCTCCGTCGCTTCACGGTCCCGTTCGAGACATCACCATCGAGGTCGATCGCATTACGGAGGCACGGTCCATACACCGCAGAATGAATTTCCCTTCTTCTCGCAGTCGGGGGATGTGGAGATATTATTGACATGTGACGGGCAAGAGAAGAGATATCTCCTACACCGATTTACATTGGCGCAGTTTTCAGGCTTCTTTGAGGCAAGCACCAGTGACGAATGGTCGAGGGGTCAGGCCCTACCTCATGCCTCTTCTTCCCAACCGGGGCAAGCCCTGAGTGCGATTGGAGAAGAATCATCTCAAGTGAGCTCTACTCCAGCCCCAGCAACAAATCATCCCATAGCGGCCGCGCCTGTCAGGCGAAGATGGAGGTATGAGCTGGACTGGGAGAATCTTGAAGACGACGACGAGCCGATCCTCGTTCAAAGGACACCAGAAGGCACCCTATTCACGCCGTCTCAGCCCCCTCCTCAACCACCACAACGTCCTCAACCTCAACCAACTCATTCGTCTTTCTTTCGCTCCATGGCCAACTTGAGACTCTCTCATCATGTCCCAGCATCTCAATCAACGACACAGCTGGGAGTTCCAGCCCCGGCTCTCACCCACCCTTTACTCCGAGACTATGATAACTTATTTCGCATTTTTTACAACCACCCACCAATCCTCAACTCGGCCAATATTGCCTCGGCTTACTCAGAATGTAAGGCTCTGCTTGGCCTTGCAGACATGTACGATGCCCTCCCTGTTGTCGGACCTCGAATCGACCACCATCTCCTCAGCTTTTCATCGCGTCTCTTCAAGCAAATCGCCAAATATCCCCCTTCGTATCTCAAGTTGGGCTACTTGGCGCGAAGCCGAATTATCTTCTCGGAAGCACTGACCCATGTCGTAGGGCAGTGGCCCGCGGCGTTACCGTACATCAAATCCCCCGACCATTCCGGAGGAGGTTATGATGTTCCGCAATCAGTAATTGACTTAATCGAAGATAAAGTCGACGAACTCGAAGAATTGAAACAGAAGGTCGAAACGAGATTATTCAGATTGACTCTCTCAACCAGTCGTGGTGAGAGGGTGAATCCCGCCAACGACTATCTTGGATGGTTGGCAATGAGTCTCTGGCGCCAGTGGCTTGCAGAGAATACCACTCCCGAAGTAAGAGGGATATTGAAAAACGGATCGAATTCGCGGCCTGGGAGCGCAAACGCGCAGGGGAATGTACCTCCAGCGCCCCCTCCAGGGACTCTCGCCCCAAATCCGATCCCACCCCCTCCACCACCGCCAGTCAAGACCGGACGAATCTTCAGAATGATTGCGTCTCTGGATCCCGAGTCCTACCTCCCACATGATGAGCTCAAACGATTCTTGAAGATTCAGCCGCCCGGTCATAATTCCTCGGCGGCACTCTATACTCGGGATAACTTGAGACGTTTCGAACGAAAAATTGACGAGATCAAAAATGTCGCACGAGACATTGTCAAGCCACTGACGAGGAATTGTCTGGAGCTCGATTTGAGGACTTTGTCCGATGGTATGGGTGGTGGATTGGGGTATTTGACTTGCGTCAAATGTGAAGAGGAGGATCTGCCTTGGGAGCTCTGAAGGGGCTGGGAGGAAGAGAACTAAATAAGGGCAATTCAGTGTTCCTTCGACCCCGTCGTGTCGACCTCAACCGGAAAACGGACACTTCAATTGGCTCCACCTTCTAGTGATATCGAATTTCTCGCCGGTTGTGTTACGTCTTTGTCAGCAGGCTGGATCACTTTTGTTCCTTCTTATAACGACCGAGTACAATAGCATGAGCTTTTACGAATTTCCTTTCTCCTTGGATGACCCTGATTGGCAGGTGATTTTATTCCGACGAGGGGTGTGAAGATGTGGATTTGTGTGAATAGCCAGCGTCGAATTCAGCGATGTTAAAAAAGACTTTGGAGGTGGTGAGGAAGATGGTTTTGGAGACATTGGCAGTAAATGCGAGCCGGATTCCTTGCTCGGCCTGCCACGGGGTTTGAAAAAGTCGTTCTGGAAACAATAAGTCAAGCCCCACGCAAACAAACCCGGTGAAGTTCAGAAGAACAGGATGAATGGAGGCATGGAGATAATTTGAAGATACGAATTCCGATACCCAGATTTTTTCTCCTTCAAATTGAGACGATTTCTCTGGCCTTCCAGGACCAAAATGTTCTGCTGTGAATTCGACCTCGGCTTTGACCACCTGGTAGAGCTCTTCCATCGACATTCCTGGTCCTAGTCTCAGAATTCCGTGCTCAGTCCCAGACCAAGAAGCGGGACAAGTTCTATGAAGACACCAAATCCAGCCGCGTGATACCTTTATATCCCACGTGAGTGAGTGAACGAGTCCTCCAATTCCAGTTCCATTTCGGGTTCCAGTTCGAGTTCGAATCTAACTCCCCGTCCTGTCCTTTATGCGCCACACTTTTGAAAGCCACCGCCGTTATATTTGTCTAGTACACAAGCAGTTGACAAAATGATAGAACCTAGGGACGGAGAACCAAAGAGTCGTACGGAGGACGGCAGAGTTGGAATGTCAATTCAGTCCCAGGCATTGCGACGGCCGAGGTGGCCGTAGCGGAACTAATCTGAATCATTCTGGTCATGGCGTAAGTGTTGGTGTCCCGTGCACTTTGTCCTTGTTGGCCTTGATGCCCTTGTCCTCTTAGTCCTCTTCCTTCTTGATCTTTCATCCTTGGACTCCTCGTCATCACCATCCCTATCATCATTGTCATCGTCTTCGTTGAAGATGATGGCGTACAATTCGGTCGATTTGCCACTAAATCTCTTGTGAAGCCATGAGGAAAGGTTGAACATATGGGAATTACAGAACTGAGTTCGAGGAGGATGATGAATAGCAAGGAGGGTATCAGTAAACCGCCCACTGCCGTATCCCATGGTAGGTAAACAGCATCAGCGGCCTCCACGAGTAAGATGATGCAGTGTTCGATGATTATGATGAATAGGAGGACGTTTTACATTGGCGGGGGGTTGGGAAGACCCAATATATTGGATAGCGACGGCTGAAAGAATCATATATATGGGGACCAAAATGAAGAGTGTATTGCAAAACTTGTTGAGAGACCTACGAATGAGTGAGAAGGTGTAAAAGAGGAAGAGGTATTCATATAGATGGATATTGAGGAGTCCTGTTGTGTGTCTCGGTCCAGCAGTGTTCGCACAGCCTACAAAGATATTGTTCTGTTTCAGAATTTTGCTTTATTCTGTGTTTCTCGTGAAGGACCGTAGATAACAGAGATAGAGTCCCCCGACGAACGGATCCTCGTTGTCCATTGTTGGAGGACTCTGTGGTGTCTCAGTGTGAAAAGTCTCAGGCAGAGACTACTTTGAAGCCTTGGGAATTTCGGCAAGGATGCTTCCTGGCAAGGCACTTCAAGAGTGTTCTGTTCCCCTATCTTTTGCAGAATGTTCGACGCTCTTGATCATATATGAGATACCAACGTCCAGAATTCGTCGTAATGGCTAACAGCAATTCACGACTTCAGATGCTGGTGTTCGCGAACATCAGGAGACTGATTACACTCTACCCAGCCACAGAAGTCTTCTCGGGGTCAACCAAAATCCATGTTCCATTGTCCTTCGGGCGGAATTTGGCTCCGTCGACTGTCTTTCACGGGTAGCCTTGTGTTCAATTTCGTGGATTTTCCATGATCGCAGGACCCACGTGCTCGTGGCGGCAAGGAGAAACATGCAACCCACGAATATCTGAGAACTCAGGTAGCCAGAAGCCGCTACCATCTCGAGTGCAATCGGCTCAGCGAAAGTGGAAGGGACCACTAGAGCCAGGCATATCACTCCAAATGAAGAAGGGAGTCTTTTCAACCCTACTACTTCGGCAGTGACGGGAGTGACTGTGTTCCAAAAGATGCCACAAACTGACCCGGAGGTTAGAGCAAAAGCCAGGAGGACGCCGTACGATTTGGCTGGTACCCACATTGCAAGGCACAGAACACCAGAGAGTGCTGTCATCAGAGTGGCCATGTTTAGGCGTCCGAAGGCGTCGGAGTAGTATCCAATAACAGGACGTCCAATCCCAAGTCCAAGGTTGAGGAGGGCTCCGACGACAGATCCTTGTCCCGGGGTCAGGCCAATCGACGTGGCGTAGTTGGGAAGTGAGTACAGCAAGGCGATGAAGCCCAATTCGGTCAGAACTCCCCAAATGACGACCAACATGACCTCGATGCGTCCGTACTCACGGTAGTTGAACGCATTCTGCAAGGGCTGGACGATCTTATTGCGATCTTTGAGCAACATTGAGCAGATGAAGTTGACAGCTAGGCCGCAAAACGCCAATATACGGTATCCCCAGTCGACGCCCAGGCTTTCGACGATACGGCCAGCAGCAAGATTGTACGCTAGTCCTCCCAAACCAGCTCCAGAAGAGGCAACCCCCATGGCCAAACTTCGTCGGCTGGAGAACCACTGGGGAAGGACAGCAGTGGCAGGAATGTAGAGAAAGCCCATTGCCCAGCCGAAACACACACCCTGACTGAGGAATAAATGCCATGTCTCCGCTGCATAAGAGGCACCAAAGAGGGCAGCAAAGACCAACACAGTGCCAATGAGAAGGGTGCCTCGGGTGCCGAAGTGCCTCGTCGACGTGGCCACGAAGGGGGCGCTGAGCAGAGATTGGGAGATGGAAAGACCACCGATCAATGCGTACTCGAGATGTGATGCGTCTTCAAAGGTGGAATGGGACAGATAGTAGGCTAGGAAAATACCCCATGCCTTTCGGTGGTCAGGTCTAAGAACCCCCTTGAGTGATATACTCGTACTTACACTGTTGAGTCCCCATGTGTGGGCATTGATCAGAAAGACACAAGCCGTACAGACCCAGCCATAGCCACCGTTGGGCGGGATATCCTCGACGGAGACAGCGTCATGTGGTGGATTGTCATCTAATTGTGCCGCTTGTGATTCATGAGTCTGTGCCCGCGTAGGCTCGATGAGTTCCAGGGCTTCCAAAGAGCTCATGGCGCTATGAAATGATTAAGAAGACAAGAGGGGGACTCTCGGGGGAGGCTCCGTTGGAGGGGTATGCGCGCTTGTAGCCTCGTCACCCGTTACTCGGCAGCCTTGCACATGAGGTGCCTGGAGCAACAAGGTCATACCCAAGCTAATGAGGTCAATTATTTCCTCACTAGACAAACACATTCGACATCTAATTATCCAAATCAATCAAATACATCCCGGTCATCGCCTCTGTCAATGCGGCCTCCCTTTCCCTCTAAACTTGGATCTCGCCCCTCGTCACCCAGTAATTCAACCTCTACCTCTTCACCAACCCATCCTTCAAATTCCTCCAGACCTTTCTGGACATGGACTTTGAATCGGATCACGTCTTCCAGACATCGTTCGATGCCTGAATGGAGTTCTTCACGCACCCTAGCTGCTTCTTCTCGCATCGACTCCCATGCAACTTGCACTTCCATTTCTCGCTGCTCAAGCTCCACCACGCCCCTCTCCAAGCCCTCTCGCATTCTCGCCAGCTCCTTTTCCAATTTTTCGATCGCACTCGTTTGCTGGGTGTGTGCAGTGTTGTAACTCTCTTTCAGGCTGGCGTATGTGCGACTGGCCTCATTGACACGATAATTAAGATTGTCAATCTCGGTGTTCTTCTCGTGTAGAGCTTCGGAAATGTTGTCTAAGAAGTCTCGAGCATTCAAATCGGCATCTGCCGCAGCTTTCCGGCGTTCGTTGATTTCTTTCCGCAGACTAATGAATGCATTACGCACAGCTCCGCGGAGGTCCAGGTTCAACAGATGCATTGGGGAGTAGCCGACATTGTGATCGGCAAGGAGGCGGTCAGATTCCGGGGATCCTCGACGTCTGTTCTGTGACGATGAAAAACTACTTTCGGAGATATGGAGAGACAGCTCATAATCAGCGCCTTTGGCGTTGGCTGCCGTCGAAGGGATGAGAGACATTTGGTAACCGAGGGAATTGTACCGTTTGACGATGGCCTCGAGATCCTCTAGTTTGCGTGCCGTTTCTACTTCCTTCTCGAGGACCTTCTTGTTGACCTCGTCTAGCGCAAGCAGTGCATCTTCGTGGCTTTTGGTCAATCGATCCCGTTCCGTATTCATTCGGTCAATGTCCTGGATGTTGAGGCCTTGTCGGTCCACAGATTGTTGAAGGTTTTGACGGTCTTGTTCGACCATTTGCAGGTCCGCTTCCGTCTTTTGGATTTCGGCTTCCAAAATCTTAATCCTCGAGTCGTACTTTTCAATTTTGGCGTGGACATTGGCGTTGTATTCCTCGAATTTCTTCTTGTCGTCTTCCAGGATTTTGAAGTGCTTGTCAAGCTTGGCGATATCGGGTGCATGGCGCTCAAACTCTTCGATCTGGGCCTTCAAAGCCTCATGCTCTGCTTCATACATTTTCAGTTCCTCCGCATGCTTCGCGTTGATCCGTTCAAACTCGTCCGTCATCGCTTGAACATGTGGCTGCAAGGCTGCCTGCTCACTTTCTTCGTCATCTTCGGGTCCCATTTGGAGCCAATCCTGGTAGGCACCGAACAGAAATCTGAAGACGATTCGGTCGCTGGCGACGTCCACTCCCGCTTCGGCACAGGCATCGTCGTAGGCGCCTCGTGTGAAGTTATCCAGCATCTGCGCGAGTTGCATCATCCAGTGGAGTAGTCCGAGAAATCGAGGCCAATTCTGACCCCCCACAGCCACAAGATGCGATTTGGTGATGTCTCTTTCGTAAGGATATCTCAACTGCTTCATGATCGGAGGGACTTCGCTATCAATGCCCTTTTGAAATTTGTACCCCGGATCGATCCGCCTGTACAACCACTGGAACATAAATGTGAAGTCTTTTTGCGTTGGCGATTTGACGGAATTTTGTGTCAACGAATGCTTCATTTCTAGCTCAAAATTGTTTTGCGTCAGATAATCCAACAGTTCCTGGCTCAGTCGTGCTCTGTACGACGCGTCTCTCAATGGTCTCGGGTCTTTCGGCGCGCCTGCTGGGGCCGGTGGCTGTGAAAAGAACGACTGATGCGCAGTAGGTCCATGACCCGAAGGCCGAGAGAAGATGCTGCTTCTTCGCTGGAGGCTATGAGAAGCAGGTGTCTGCGAGCCGAACAGCTGGTTTGGAGCGAGACTTTGTCGACTGGTGTGGGCACTCCCGAAAATATTGTTTGAGGCTGACCTTCGAGCGGTTGACATACCCATGTCTGCGAGATTGCCACCAGAAGAGGACCGCTGGAAAATGGGTTGCGCAGGGCGCTGAATGGTCTGATTGATCGAAGTCGATCGAACGTGGGAGGCGGTATAAGGCGCGTTTCGAAGTTCATTGCTTGAAGAGACGCGCTTTATGGCCGAAGCAGGTTGTGGGATCCCTGAGAAGTTCTGGATATTGCCCAAGGTTTCTCGAGGGCGGCGTACGCTGAACAAGCCTGGAGGTTGCGACATGGCGTCGGGTGAGTGTTCGACGCGGATCGAGGTTCTGCGGTACTATGTGGCCAAATGCGACGTGTTCTTGAATCAAGCCGGAACGGTTGATATTAATTGCGAACGCGACGTCGGGGGAGGACGTGAGCAGGGATGCGATGGTGTTGACTTACGCGTCACCACGGCGACGGGCTCAGCTGTGACCACGTGACCACAAGCCTCGGCTGGACGTTCTTCTCGGCAAATGCCAAAAGATGGCTGGCCAACGTATCAAAGCGCCGTGGATTTGGTCGTCTTTCTTCCTGCTAGCCTCTGTATTTCCATCAGATTCACCGTCGTCATCGTGTCGCTGAATACTCCCAGGACCCGTCGAGAGACGACAAAGACGTCGAATAGCGTTGAGTCCGGACTTATCGGTATAGTCACCGACCATGGCACCACGCGAAGACCTTGTCTCGTCCGCTGTCACCTTCCTTCAAGATCCTTCGGTCGCGTCCGCTCCTCTAGACAAAAGGATTGAGTTCTTGAAGTCGAAGAATCTAACGCAGGAAGAGATCGACTTGTCTCTGGCGCGAGCCGCCAACGACCCTTCTCAACCGGCCCCTCCACCAAATGCTCCCTCTTATCCGTCTGCTCAACAGATCCGAGGACCGCCGGGTCCAAGATATCCATATCCTTACAACCCATATGGTGAATGGCAACCACCTCCACCTCCAGAGCCTCCGAGACGAGACTGGCGGGATTGGTTCATCATGGCCACGGTTGTCGGTGGTGCCAGCTACGGCCTCTACGTACTGGCGCAGAGATACATTAAGCCACTGATCGCACCGCCAACACCACCACAACTAGAACAAGATAAGGCTGCCATTGACGAGCAGTTCAACAAGGCATTTGCACTGCTCGACACATTATCATCAGACACTGCGGCTCTGAAGGAGGCGGAAGAAGCTCGGACAGAAAGGCTGGATCATGCCATCACCGATATCGAGACCGTCGTGGCGGAGCTGAAGGCGGCGAACATGAGACGGGAAGATGACGCGCGACGGATGGAAGCCGAGATTAAGACCATGAAGGACAGTCTGCCCAGGTCGATCGACAGTGTCAGGGATGCGAGCGAGAGGCAATTGAAAGAGCTCAGCACTGAATTGGGTAGCTTGAAGATGCTGATGGGAAATCGCATGGGTGGATCTAGCAGTTTGGGAGTGGCCGGTCAGGGAATCCCTCGTACGCAGCCCGGTACCCTCCCAAGTACAAACAATACAGCAGCGACCCCATCGACCGAGACCGGACCGAGCAGCAGCGGCAGTAACGTCAATGGACCGCGACCAACCCCATCTTTCACAAACCCCACGACTTCACATCCCCCGTCTGCGTCGGTGCCTGCTTCGACGGCCGCTTCTCGGCCCGCATCCGCATCAGCATTTGCGACATCCGGCAGCAAAGCGGTCATTCCGGCATGGCAGATGGCGGCAGCCAGCAAGCCCAAGGACTTCAACATTGCGCCGGCCACTGGTGCACCGACCACGAATGGTTCTGCCAATACTCCTCAGCCCGATGGAGCAGAGGCCGTTGCCGCTCTTACGGCGAGTTAAACTTTGGTCGTCTCATAACAATAAATTCCGGACATTGGGGAAGGGTTTCGTCATTATTCTGTTCCTCCCCCAAATCTCGCTCTTGCTATTTCCTTGAACATTGCCATCGTGCGGTCTTCTTTCTCTTTCAGACCAGCGAGGCGTGCTTCCCTTTCGGCCCGCCTCGCACGTAGAAGTTCTTCCTTTCGGATCTCTCGCTCATTCTTCCGTTTCTCGTTTTCCTTCTGCATCCGCTTGAGCTCGCCCAGACTGTCTTCGTCACCCATGATGTCGGCGTCTCGCAGGACCACATCGCCGGCGTCTTTAGATGCGGCAAACGCCCGGTTCGATTCGGCTTTTTCCTTCTTTTTTTCTAGTTGTCGCTCGCGCGTGCCAGCCTCGGCTCGCGGCGATATCTCGTCCAGTCGTTCTTTCTGCCACTTGCGTTCCAGAGTCCGTTGGTGACGGAGGTCTTCTCGGTATCTGTCTCGAGCCAGAGCGGCATCTTCCTCGGCCTGTTCGTCGCGCGCCCGGAGGTCTGGCATCGAGGGGATGGTGGCTGAGTGGCCGCGGGAGGCGTTGTGTCCGGTGTCTTTGGATGTCCCCAATGGTCTTGGAAGGGCAGGCCCGTACTCGGCGCCGTCTTCGTCCGTGCGGCCGCCACCGTTCCCATGGGCGTCGTCATTCGAAACAGAGGCCTTCGCTTTCTCGAGGGTGTGGGGATCGTACCAACCCTCCGCTAGTTCTCCACGATTCCTGGCATGTTAGTTCGCCTTGAGCTAGGTCTGCGATTCGATGTGAAAGATGGGGACGCTTACCATTTCCCCACAAAGCTTTTCCACCTGCCTTTCACTTCGTCCTCGTCTAGGCTCTCGATGTCCAATCGTTTCTGTATGTCCAGGTAGAGGGCGAACATGGGCCGGTACACTTCGAGATCGTGGCGGGATAGCTCTCGTGCTCCAAACGGCAGAAGTCTACTGTGGTGGGAAGAGGAGCGAGATCGATGTGACGGCGGATGTCTTCTCTCATGACGATGTGGTGACCGAGACCGAGACCGATGACTATAATCTTGCATTTTCGACGTCGCGATTGTTTCAAGTCAAAGGCCGAGACATTGACTGGATTATGTCGAGTGTCCCTTCTCCCGATGTTTAGCCGCGGAGACAACAGCAAGGCACGTGACCAGAACTTTGTACATACTTCGCTTTTTGCTGAACCAAATTTTCTCAACTTATTTTCCTTTTGGCATCCTCTTCACTCTTAATGGTAGACGTGCTTCGGGCATTTTCTGGCTTTTAGACTCTTTCGCGAATAGATCTCCTCTTTCTTTTACAACATGCATATTCTTGTGGGTATCCGAGCCATCGACGACTTGAGCCAAACCAACTAATTCCTTTGGTTCAGGTCGTCAACGATGACGGTCCTCCGTCTAAACAATCCTCGCCGTATGTCCACTCTCTGGTGTCGACTCTTCAAGACGCCGGCCACTCAGTCTCAGTGGTTCTCCCACATGTCCAGCGGTCATGGATTGGAAAGGCTCATATTGTTGGCCAAACTTTGACCCCAAGCTACTTTCGGCCCGGTACTCTCCTGATGGACGGTGGCGTCACATGTGATCGTCCATTCAACGATGGAAGAGAGGAATGGATCCTGATCGATGGGACACCCGCCAGCTGTGTGCAGATAGGCCTGCATCATGTATTCAAAGACAGAAGCCCGATTGACCTTGTCATCAGTGGCCCCAATTATGGTCGCAACACGACAGCCGTGTTTGCTCTCTCGAGTGGTACCATTGGTGGCGCTATGGAAGGCGCCATGAGTGGCAAGCGAAGCATTGCATTGTCATATGCGTTCGACTCTCGAGAGCACGACCCCGAAATCATATCGGCCGCTTCTCGGCTGAGCACCAAACTTGTCGAGAAGTTGATGAGAGAATGGCCGGATGACGTCCACCTCTACAGCATCAATGTTCCTGTACGAAAAGGCGTCGAAAATACGAAGATTGTGTATACGGAGATGATCCAAAACAAATGGCTCAGCGGTAGCTCCTTTGAAGAGTTACCCGAAGAGGCAGAAGAGAACGATCCGAACTTGGAAGAGCAAATCATCCGTGAAGGCGGTGAACCGAATGGTGGTGCCGGCAGACCGGTTCCGAAGCGAGTCCACCGCAAATTCAAATGGTCGCCCAATTTTGCCGACGTTCGCAAGTCCGTCCTGGATGCGGGCAAGGGAGACGGTTGGGAGGTGCTTCAAGGCCATGTCACGTCAGTCCAGAGAAAAACAAATGGATGTTTGGTGCATACTGACCGGAACAGGGTCACACCATTAGTGGCGAACTTCTGGCACCTGCCTCACTACACTGGCGAAATCAAGCTGTGAGTAAGTTGACCATAAACACCTGGCTCTCTCGGGCTGGATGGTCTTGCTGAAACAAGCCATTCAGGGATAAAGACCGTCCAAGTACTTGGGATAGCGAAACGGCTCAGCTCTCGGCCCCGTTGCATGCATTGGTCGACTACCCGGATGCATATGTGCAACCTCTTGTTTTAGATGCACTATATGGCCTTGAAAACACGCCGATCAGACTTATTTCCTCCCTCACGGACTTGCTGGATCCGGCAGACCGAGTTTTGCAATTCACAGCGTACGAGTCCTTAGACTTCGAGCACGTCATGAAACACCCACACACCTCACTCGTGTGCGCTTATGTTATACGAAAGGCTCTCATCCGCAAGCATTATCTGTCAAACACCGTGTCAAGTTGGCTGGTCAAGCATCCTAATAGCATTTTAGCAAAGCATTTCAAGCCCTGCGTACATTTTGAGTTGGACTATGCGGAGTTCCTAGACGAAGCCCTGGTGGACGCGTGGGATCTGAATGAGAGCATGGCACATAATGAGCAGAAAGAAGCTCGTGAACCGAAAGATTGGTGGATTTTGAAACCAGGCATGAGTGATGGCGGCAATGGCGTTAGACTGTTCTCTACGATGCACGAACTTCGAAAGATCTTCGAGGAATGGGGCGGGGATGCCCCCGAATCCGATGCAGAAGGGGATGAAAATGATATTGGCGACGCCGTTTCAGAGCACCACCAGGGTGTTCTCCCTAATGGTGATGCAATGACATCCCAACTCAGACACTTCATTGCCCAACCATACATCGACCCTCCCTTGCTCCTTGATTCATACGGCCATCGGAAATTCCACATACGCGCATATGTCTTGGCTGCTGGAGCCTTGAAAGTCTATGTGTACCGAGAAATGCTAGCCCTGTTTGCGGCAAAGATGTACCAGTCACCATCTAGCGCTGACGACGCTGATATCGTCGACTTAGCACAACATTTGACAAACACCTGTTTTCAGGATGAAGCGACCAAGAGCTCATCGGTCTACCGCTTCTGGACCCTCAGTTCAACCGGAATGCGAGCCGATTGGAAAGAGGACATATTCCAGCAAATCTGTGACGTCACTGGCGAGGTGTTCGAGGCTGCCGCTCGTGAGCAAATGGTCCATTTCCAAGCATTGCCGAATGGGTTCGAAATCTTTGGCGTTGACTTCTTGATCGACAAAGATGTCAATGTGTGGTTACTCGAACTCAATGCCTACCCAGACTTCAAACAGACTGGCCTCGAGCTGCAGGATGCTGTAGTCGGCGGGCTATTCCAGGAAGTCACCAAGGTGGCCATTGCTCCATTCTTTGGGCATCCTCTCCCGGAGAGCGTGCGGATGCCGCTCGTCAGGTGTCTCAATTTGGGACGAGGATGAAAGGACATCCGGTCATTGCACGGTCAGAATTAGGCAGGTTGCATACGTGCCACTTGGGACCCTACTCATGAAACCCCAGTCCCGGAGGCTGTGCGAGAGAGATCACGTATTCTGGTTTGTGTCCAGCGCTCGTGACGGGGGTTGATCTACGAGGGACGTCATGTCTTCATCTCACTGCAGTAAACCTTTTCAGCAAATCTCCGGGCAACAGCTCCCACATTTTGTTACCGGACGAAGCCCATATCGCTTGTTCCCCAGGTTAGAAGAAAAGATGGACATTTGAATGATGAAGTTCTGATCGGGAATGAAGTTATTATTCTTAATTCATATCTTCATCGTTCTCATGACAGTCTCGAGACAGGAACTGAATATATCTTCGCTAGCTGCTGCCGATGGCGAGGATTTGGATTTGGGACCTGGCGTCTTGGTGATACATATATACGGTAATATGCATGACCTGGCCCGATATGATTGCCCCCAATGCGCCGATCAATGTATACCGCATTTTTCACGAAGACCCATAGATTAGGAAGATCCAGTGAATGCGACCAAAAAGCCGTCCGTTGCTTTCCTTCCACTGCACCTGTCACAAGACATATGTTGCCGGGGATCAAAATTGTCACCGTTTCCCCCCCCAAAATCCATCTCAGGCACCAATGCGATCCTGACTTCCGTCCCCACTGCCGGACCCCTGTTCGACGCCTTCCTCGGGTAAATTCTCAATCTGTCTCAACAAGAAGCTCTTCTCGTCGAGGAACTGGTCGTCATCCGTGCGTCCCTCGAGAAACCCGGGGAGAAACCGGAGCAGTCGACCTCGATTCTTGATCAGGATCCGCTTTACGTCGTCGCTCTTGTTCGGGTTGGCGACGAAGACTTTGAACACGTGGAAAGCCTCGTACTGGACCATCTTGCGATCATCCTTCAGGAGGTTCATGGTGAGTTTCAGGTTCTCGCCGCTCGCCACATACTGGGTCATGATAACGTAGTTGGCGCGGTCGAGCAGGAGTTCGCCGAGCAGTTTAATGGATTGTCGCTTCGTCACGTAGGACGAGGATAGTAAGAGAGTTGGATTGTAGTGCGATTTGAAGAAGAGGTCGTAATTTGTGGCCAGGTATTGTGAGACGAGTTGTTTGTGTTTTGTTAAGATTTCCTAGCCACCGGTACAGTGTCAGGGTAATCAATACCATTTGGATCGGGGGAAGAGGGAATATAACAAAAGGTGGTGGGTCTGATGAGATCCTGACTGGACATACCCTGAAAGTCGTGAATGCATCGGCGCTGACTTCAAAACTGCCTCTATTGATCCAGGTGAAAAAATTCCAAAACAGGCCTTTGCCGGTCTGCTTGCGGCTGACGTCGACGTCTTTTAATTGTACGGCTTTGCCGCCGGGCCGAGACTCGTCATATAATATCACTGCGGCGATTGTATCATATTGCAGCGCCTGTCTGAGGATCGTTCCGCAGGGCATTGCGCTCTGTGGATATTCGTACCCACGACATAACTCGACGATGATCTCGGGCCGTTGGAGGACGAGGTAGGATATGGCAGAGGGGTCAGAGGAGCCGGATTGGGACGAGTTGTTGTTGGCGGGCTTGAATCGGAGGATGTGGGAGAAGATAATTTGGGCATCTTTACGGGCTTCAAAGGGAAGGAGGCGGATGGATTTGGCGAGTTCGAAGAGAATGTCTTCTTGTATGATGCAGTGTACTAGTTGATGTACTTGCTCGGGGCTGCATTCGACTTCTGCTTCTTGGTCAGAAGATGCTTCTCATGAAGCAATGGGGCAGGGGTGCCTCCTGACCAGGTGTTCCCTGTACAATCAATTTCATCTGTGACATGTGCTTCGCGACATCTTCCTCTACCTGCGCATAGAGAATCAATCGCCGTGATCAGACGCTCGGAAACGTTCGTACCTTGGGATTCGGCGTGGGGTCGGCCAATCTCATGAGGAGGTCTTTTAACGATTTTGCGATCTCGGCGGGCGGCTTCTGTCGCCCTCTTCCACCAAACAAGAACGCCATTGTGGACGAGTGCGCCCGTTCAGTTGCGAACTCTTGATTAGGTATCGGTGGTGGAAACGCAGACGATTCTGCGGCATAGAAATGTGGCAATCCTTTGCCGTGGAACAAGCTGAGTACGGGCCGACCCCTGGCCGAAGCGTGATGGCAAGGCGTTTGGAAACCGAATGTTTTGCAGCCTCGTCGATTGGGCAACGGGCCGCGCCAAGCCATTGATGCGGGATGATGCGGGTTCCCAGATAAGATTAGATGCCACGGTACTGATGTACGTACTACCGAAAGCACGAACGTATTCCATCCGGACTGGAATGTAAAAAGGTCCAGCTTCTAAGACTACCCCCTTGCCAACTATCGCGCAGCCTCCCCGAACTAAATTGTTATGTTTCAAAGGCCTTTCCCATGGTGAGCCCAAACCAATGGCGGGCTCCAGGAATCCAAAGTACACTCCCAGTTTGCAATAGATCGGCCTCTTCTATCGCTTTTTGGCTTGAGTGGATCCGTCAGATACCGCCGAGCTCTTTGCCAGAGCATCGGCTTTTTCCTCCAAAGGCGTTTTGGGCCCGGAAAGCGTCTCATAGTCGAGCTCGGTCGCCATCTCCTCAACCACGCTAATTTTCCTTTCTCGTTCGCGAGGGAACTCGTCATGAGGCTTGCCTTCGAATCTCTTGCGTACCGTCTCGATCATCTTGCCGAACCAGTAGAAGTTGAGAGTGTTGAGAACCAAGTTGCAAGTCAGGTACACACCGGCGAGCCAGGCGGGGATGGCTGGCGTATGAGCACTCGTAAATTTCATGACTTCCGATTGCGCCGCAATGCAACTCATGTCACCCAAGCACAACTGACCGTCTCTGGGAACAAAAATAAAAGAGTGGGGAGAGTCATGGGCGTCGCGGATCAGGGGAGCCGTGGTGTTCAGATGCAAAGTGTGCCACACATCCTGGTAGACCCGCAGAGACTGATATGTTCCCCACAACAAACGACAGCAGAAGAACACGGTTAGGAGAACCATTCCATTGCACCATTGCAGTCTCGATCCGGTCATGTTGAGCTTGTCGCAGAACCAATGGACGTTGAGGAAAGGGGACGACAACTCGTAGAGGATAAACACCGGTCCGTAGTAATTGCAAAAGGGTCTCTGCATCTACCCGTTAGCTGCATTCATTGCACGAGTGGATGGTGCCAATGGGGGAACCAACAAAACCCAGGGAGAAGACTGACAAGGCAGTCACTGCGTGTGCCCATATCCCAGGACCGAAGATCTTGAGATATCTGGTGCTCACGACAATATCCCAGACAAAATATCCCGTTGCGAGGGCCTGAATCAGTCCTGACGCCCCGGTATACCCGTATATGCGCTCGACCGCACTATCTTTCATATCGTATCTTTCTTGATCCTTGAACATGACCCATAACGCGAGTGCGTTGATCAGGCACGACTGGACGAGAGACACCACGTGCACATCCCAATTGACCCGAGTCCGTCGCGTGAGCTTGGGATAGATCCCTGGGAAGAGAGAGGACGAAAGGAGAGGCGATATGATCGATTGAGTTGTTTGATACAGGACAAAGGCCAAGACGACTTCGTGGATATGGTAAGGGAGAGTGGGAAGGTAGAGGGCGTCGCAGAAGGGCTTGACCAATTCGACGAGCCACGGAGGTGGAGGGGGGAGTGGATCAATCATTCTGCGAAGGAGGCGTGTACACGTGCGCTGAATTGAGCGATGAGTCGTCTAGGTCTTTCGCGGTATCATGAAACTTGTGATATCGGAAGAGAAGGATGTGGTAGTGGTGAAGACGAAGTCGAGATGAGTGACAACGCCCCATCTTCGAGGGTTCGAAAGGAATAACGGCACCAAAGGATTGATTTTTGTTGGGGAAAGACATCACGCTACCACTTTGGGAGGCCTCCATTTCAAACCAGTTAGCGCCGCACTGTGACACCGTCTGGCCAACTTGTCTACAAAAGTATCCTCCTCTCGACGTAATCAATGAGGTTCATTCACCATTCATCGGGCCAAACTCGTGAAAAGGCAAACCTCATCTCATATTTGGACTACCTCATCCATGCCCGGTGTTCAATGTTCAATTCCCACTGTCTTCGTTCTCTCTAACCTGTTTGAAAACGCTCGTTCACAGATCCAAGCAACCTAAACACCATCCAAGCAAGCTTTCCATCAGTCAATCCCTTTTTCCAGATTCAAGTCTGCATCTCTTGCGCCGTCATCTGAAAGTACTCCTGTGCCTCCCCGACACGTTCCCCCGTCCCGCTCGTCAACGGTTCAGTCCCGAGACCGCTGTCACTGCCATGATACTTCAGCTCCTCTTCGGTGATGGCAGGAGGAGGCTGGAGTTCGGTTGACCCATCAACACCACCCACGTTCGGCGTGTCCAACCCGTCGAATATAGTCAGAGCCATCGAATTATCCCGACCGGTGTTGACGTTGCTGGCATCTCCGGGGGGTTCATGCAGGACCATGGCGGTTGGTGTCTCGTCCTCGGCCGGTTCTTCATCCTCCTCTGCGATGCTGTCGGTCTGACCATTGACTGTGCCGATAATGCTGCTTGCACAACTCATTGACCGTCTCGTCTCTTCACTTAGTGTGCTGCCCGTCCCATATAGCATACTGTCGGTGTACATGACGCTCGTACCGAAACTGGTCCTTCTCTCCGTGCTGGCATCACTGTCAGCGTCGTCACCGCTCTCCTCCCGGACGACACTCTGGTTTTCCTTGTCCGTCAGGTCGGAAGAAACACCGTTCCAGCTGGCCTTTCTCCCATTGAGATAGCTGCTAGGGTTACTTTTGACGGACTGACTTCGTTTCAGACTAACTAGTCCTGTCGATTTCGGAACTGGTGCTAGCATGAGGGCCATATCCGGGGTATTTCGACCACGATTTCCTGTAACGTGACTTGTGCTGAGAATACGTCGGTCGACGGTCGATGTTCGGGGAGTCGAGGTTGCCTTGACATTGGAGCCTAGCGGTGTTCTCTTCTTCAATGCCATGCCAACAGCACCGCCGATGGCTGGATTTCCGTCTTTAATTGACGTCCTCGCCGTCAAGGTGCTCGTCGTGCTGGGCGCACGCTTGAGATTCATCGATGCATCTCGTTCGGCAGGACTAATTTTGCTCTTGATCACGGGCCTTGATTTCTTCACCGATCGCGCCTGGTTGACCAGCCCCTCAAGGATTCGGCGTTCGAGCACTTCGGCTCTTGCATTCATGTCACGCATTTCCTCATGGCGAATGTGCAATGCCGTCTCCAGTTTCGCCACGTCTCGAGTCAGTCTTTTGGTCTGCCCACTGAGCTCCTCCTGTTCTCGCCTCAACTTCGCCATGGACTCCATGAGAGCATTCTTCTCGTCATTGAGGGCAACGATGTCTGCTTCCACCTTCTCCTTTTGTGCGGTCCGCTTCTCCAAAGCAATGGCCGCTTCCGTTGCCTCAGCCACTTTGGAGTCATGGTGTTCTGCCATCAGCCTGGCCTGGGTGGTGACCATGCTGGCAATTTCTGCGGCTGTTGACATAACCTGTTCGTGAATCTGGTCGAGCTTGGACATGGTGGCCAACGCGTCACGAGTGTCTTTGTGATGATTTTCAATGCCGGCAAAGATTTCCTTGGCCACGGTCGCATGAGACAGAAGTCGGTCGAGCTTGTTATGAACTTCGGTGTCGTCATACTCCTTCTGTGCGGGTGGGTCCGACGCAACGGTCGGACTTGACGGTGCTGCTGGCAACGCCGGTAACAGGGGTGGAATGGCGGCGGGGATGGAGTCGACACCCGACTTGATCTCTTCGGTGGCTCGGGCGAAGCTCTCGGTTTGTTGCTGAGAATGTTCGTAGTGTTGGCTGACCACTCCCAGAACCTCACGAATGGCTGTGAGGACCGCTGGCTGATGTTCTGTGACGGAGCCTTCCAATCTCGTTGTTGCTGCCAATGCTTTTGCAACCTCCTCCCGGGTCACACCGTGCTCAAACGCATTGGACGTGTGGAGATTATCCAACTTGGAGTTGGTCTCTTCAATGGAGCTGAACACAGTCTTTGAATCCTCCGACACCCGCTCACAGGTTTCGGTGACTGTCGAGCCCAGGGTGTCCATGAGGGACTTCAGATCATCCACGACCGCCTTCGTTCCGTTTGTTGCGTCGAGATGGGCACTATCTCGCTCTTCCAGGGCACTCAGTTTGGCATCGCTTGCCAGCTGGGCATCGTCATATTTGGTCATCAAGGCGTTGAATTTTTCTTCAATGGCGGACTTGAGTTCGGCCCCTGTCTCCTCGTGCTTGGTGAATAGCGTAGCATCACGCTCTTCCATTTCGGCTTTGCTGCCTGCATGATGCTCCATGTGCCGCTGGAGCTCGCTCTTGATCATGTCTGACATCTCTGTGATGCTGGAAGCCGTGGCGTATTTGCTCATATCATCGTGATGCATCCCAAGGACTTTGTTCAGTTCGACAATGCCCTCTGCGCTGCCTTCCACCTTCTCAACCAGCTCGTCTCGCAAGTCTCCGATCACATTCTTGACCTCGTCGATTTTCGTCGCCAACCCACCATGCTCGATCTTTCGGGCTTCGAAAGCTTGGGCGGTGAGCCCATTGTCGGCCTCGAATTGTTCTCGGAAAGCCTTCAGGTCATTCTTCACGTCGGTGATATCGTCCTTGCTGGGCAGTGAGCTGAGATCGGGAGGTTTGACATCTTCGATTTGGGTCTTGATGTCCATGCAGAGGGTCTCCACAACCTGCAGTTCCGTTTTGTTGAGCAACCCTTCCTCGCTGCTAATTCCTTCTAACTTGGACTTGAATTCCTCCATGCTGCTCTGAACATCCTTCAATATCAACTCGATAAGGGTGAAGTCTTCCTTGCTAGAAGATTCACCAGCACGTTCTGCGAGCTCGTCCACGGCAGCCTTGACGTCTTTCAGGGTGAATTCCAGGGAATCGACCTGAGTCGACTTTGCGAGAGGTTCCAAATCAGGCGAAAGGACTTCATCAAGCTTGGCTTTCACGTTCCGTAACAAAGTCTCAATGGCGTCGGTGTCTTCCTTGCAAGCGGCATTCTCGGAGAGAACCGCCTCCGGTGCGGGAGCATCTCGAACTTGGTTTACGGCGACGTTGACCTGGTTGATGGCTGTGTATAATCCATCTAAATCATCTTTGTGCAGGTGAATCTCCTCCGCCTGAGACCGATGAACCGACTCCTCGACTTGGCGAATGGCATCGTAAATCTCGTTCATGTCGTCTTTGTGTATTCGTGTCTCCGTCGGCGCGGGTGGCGCGGCCATTCCGTCCAGAGCTTCAACCTTGATTCTCAACTGCGTGATCATCACCTTCAATCCTTCAATTTCGGTCGAAATACGATTTTGATCATGAATCACCATTTCCTGGCCTCTGGCCGTTCCCGCCTCGGATCCTTCATTTTGCTTGTCATGAAGACGGGAAATGTCCGAGCGAATGTCCTCGACCCCGGTTTTCAAGGCATCGAGAATCTCATAGCTTGTGCTCAGATCCACCGGGCGATCGGTCAACTTCTGGATATCGGCCCTGATGCCATCCACTCCATCCTGGAAAGCGTCAAGCAACTCACTGGTGTTAGACAGAATGCTTTCATTCCCATCAACTTTGTGTGTTGCTCGAGACGACTCCAGACCTTCACGGATGACCTCCAGCACCTCATCACGATCCAATGACGACCCGCTCTTGATCAAAGTCCCTGCAAGAGCCGTTCGCATATGCTCCAGTTCTTCTTTGACAAGCCGGACGATGTCTTCGCTGTTGCTACTGAGAGCCGATCGACGGTCGTCGGAGATGTCACGAATGGCTTCTAGAATTTCGTCCTTCTCTGAGAGCACGCTATTCCGGGCCATGCTCTTGCTGATCGTTTCTCGAAGATGCTCGAATTCTTTCTCCATCGCATCAAGAAGTTCCGGGGTGTGGGGTGCCCCGGGGCCGCGACCACTGAAGCCTTTGTCAATATCTGCTTGCATGGCCGCAAATCCCGCCTTGACCGTGTCGATGATTTCGTCCTTGCCTGTAACGTCGGCTGCGCGGTCTACATAGCTCTCAATGTCGGCTCTGAGATCTTCAAGACCATCTTTGAGAGCATCGAGGACCTGCTCCGTGTCTTTGCCACTGGCGGCGGAGTATTGTTGGAATTCTGTTTTCATGCTGCTGAGAAATTCGTGCATCGCCTCAATGACTCGTTCTCCCATCCCGCCCAGAGGATTATGCTCGCCTTCCAGACAAGCCTTGATCGCATCAAAGAGGTCCTCGCGATTGAACTCGACTTCTTTCGAGACCGGTTCCTGGTGGGACAGTCCTTCTCGAACGGCGCCGACAACGTCGTCTCTGGACACGTTTTCCTGTTGTGCTAATCCCTCACGGACAGCCTCGAAGACATGGTCCCGAGTCAACTCACTCTCTTGTGGGTGAGATGGCGGTGGACGCGGCCATTCAAAATTTTCCAAGCACTGACGTACCGCTGCTACCACGTCCTCTTGGGTGACGCCTGCGGAGGCCGAGAGCTCAGGTGGCTTGAAGTCGGCCAGGCCTTTCCGGACAGCTTCAAGGACATCTTCATATGTGGCACCCGCATCCCTTGCCGTGGGTTGCTGAGGCTGAAAGGACTTGAGACCTTCCTTCAAAGTCTCCAGGATCTCATCGCGCTCGAGTCCAAAATGCTCGAGAGATATTTCTGGTTTGCAATCTTCCCACGCCTCTCTGACAGCTGCCAGCAATTCTTCCCTCTCCGCAGCTGCATCTCTAATCGGTTTTTCACGAGGCCGAGGGAGCTCAGCCAGCACGCCACGAACTGCTCGAACGATTTCTTGAGTATCAGTCGGAGATCGGGTATGCTCCATGGAGCGACGTCGATTTTCTTTCACGATATGATGCATGTGCTCCTTCAATTCGGCGAGGCCTTGCTGGACGATCGCGCCCACTTCGGCTTGCAGAGCAGCTCGAGAGTTTGAATCGGTTGCCTTGCTCGAAGCGGTGGTCTGTTCCAATTTCTTCGCAATCTCACGTCCCATTCCCAGCACTTCTCCTCGCAATTCGCGGACAAGAACTTTGACTTCGTTTGTAAGGCCCCCTCCTTGGACCAGTGACTGTTTGACGCTTTTCAACATTTTCGTCACCTCCTCGTGGGCAAGATCGGACCCGGACATGGATGATCTTCCTTCGTTGCCAGACTTTGATTTGGCCAGAGCTCCTGCTCTGGATTCTCCGTCAAGATATAGGTCCAGGTTTGAGGGCCCTTTACTGTTTTCATTGCCCGTAGACCGCACCAAAGCTCTCGACCCGGATTCTTCTCTCATATCCTTCATAAACATCAAGATATCCTCCAGCTTAGACATCATGGCCGGATCGATGGCCGGTTGGGAAGGCACCACGGATGGCGAACGTACGAGCGCTTGTGATTTGACTGCCTCAAGCGTGTTCATGATTTTTTCTTGTCCTTCACGAGTAGCCATTTCTCGAAGTACTTTCTCCAGAAGGGCAATGCTTGCTGCTCCATCGACGCAGGCAATGGAGGGCGAAGCCGTCAAGTCTCGATCCAGCGCTACCGAGAAGCTGGAGGGACTGCCAATTCGCGGCAGCCCAAAGCTCTTTGATCGTGGAGAGCCGTTGTGTGCTTTGTCGTCGAGGTAGAGACCAAGATTCGGTGGGGATCGGCCCGCGTCTGGTGCAGAAAGAAGTCGAGCGTCGAGGTTCGTGAATTTATTTTCCAGCCCGGCGACGAGGTCTCGCAGACTTTGGCGGATGTCCTCGTCTCTCGAGGTGGTTGCTTCTTTGAGACTCATCAGGTCACCGTAGTTATCCTTGCTTCTCTTGTTGAGGTTCATCATTTCCTTTTGGACGTTTGTGACGATGCTTGTCAAACTCAAAATCTGGGAAGACAGAGCATCAAAGGAAAATGACGATTGGCCTGGCGGTAATGCACCATTTGCGATATCACGCAGGGGCGTTGCATCTTGCCTATTTCTTATCGTCTGCAACGCCAGCACGCTTGACCCGGGCGGTGTATTCTCAATCTCCTTCGACCTGCCCGTACTTCGGTCTGCAGGTGTCGGTGTCTCAGCTCTGGTTCGTGTTGGGCTTCGATCAGACGATCTACTACTGTGAAAGTCTTCAAAATCCACAAACTTTGCCGTGCGAAGTCCTTTGTCGGGAGATCGTCTTTCCAGGGAATCACTCAATCTGCTCACACTGGAACTTTGAATATTTTGCATTCGCCTATTTTGTGCCTTCATGATGTTTCTGTCGGGTGATACAGGAGGAGGGTTGGAAGTGTAGGAGCTAGGTGCATTCTCTCGCGCTCGGGCTGTAATGAGAGCAGCAGCTTCGTCGATGCGCTTCGACGTATTAGATCGAGTTATGGGGCTTCCTGACGCCCCCGGGTTCAATGGAAGTGGTGGAGGTGCTCTATCAGGATCCGAGCTATCCCACCTGTGCCGGTTGTCAGTATTCTAGATGCTTCGGGTTGACTGAAACCAAGGGTTTACATGGGCACCGAGCTCCTTCCCGACTCTGAAAATGATTGTTGATGCTTCACCATTCGAGACTCAGCACGGTCCCGAGAGGCGTCTCGTGAGTTGGTTGAGAGAGTCGACATGGTCAATGCCTTATGTGGGGGGAAAAGGCTTTTCTCAAGAATGCTGACAATTAAAATGAGTGCTCAATACTCATGATGCGCCAGTATTGGTCCTGTGCCAATAGTGCAAACTCGATAGAACTCCAGAAACAACAACACAAAATTCAACGCAAGAAAATGTATGGTAGTGCTCTGGTCCTGGCAAGGTAGCGAAATGATGGACGGCGAGAAAGTTGACCGTTTAGGTTGATGTAAATAAAGCTAGACTGATTTAATACTAGCACGGTGATGTTCCACCTCCACCAATCAGAACCCTCCACACATTGCGCCTTTGCCAAGTCTTCAAAGTTCTCAAAATTCATTTTCATTATCTCGCTTCTACGTCGTGGAGTGACTATTCTCAGTTCAAGTGTCTGGCTTCAAGATGAAGTGTAAGGTGTCATGCATTACTCTAACCGGTAGAACAGATCACTGACCGTTCAAATAGTCCTCAAGGTCGGCCGCGTAGCCATTGTCACCCGAGGCCGATATGCCGGAAAGAAGGTACGACAACGACACCGACTCCAGACCAAGAACCCATGAGCGAAGGAAGATCACAATTGACTGGAATTTTAGGTTGTCATCATCCAACCAATGGATTCAGGCACCAAAGCACACCCATTCTCGTACGCCCTCGTCGCAGGAATCGAGCGATATCCCTCCAAAGTCACCCGTCGCATGGGCAAGAAACGGGTCGAGAAGCGATCCAAAGTCAAGCCTTTCATCAAGATGATCAACTACAACCACATCATGCCCACTCGATACACATTGGAGCTGGAAGGATTGAAAAACGTGATCTCAAACGACACATTCAAGGAAGTTTCCCAGAGAGAGGATGCCAAAAAGAACGTGAAGAAGGCACTGGAGGAGAGATACCTGAGCGGGAAGAACAGATGGTTCTTTACACCGCTGAGGTTTTAGACCGGGTGTGGAACAAAAGTTGTTCAGGTTGGCATTTTATGGCGATTGCAAGGCATGAGGATTTCGATTTTCTCGTCAACAGGGCGACAGAGAACATTCCGAAACAATGATCAAGCACGAGATTCCAAAAATATGTCTGCATTGATTGCTACTACATGTGAGAACTTCAATTCGCAGGACCCATACCCAAGACGGATGGCTAAGATTGAATCACTCACACAAGATCGATGGATAATTGCCAGGATGCTATTTGCACATACTCAATGGTCTTGTCGGGAAGCCCATGTTCGCCTTCCCCCACAATGATTCTAATGCTCATTCAAGATAGAGATCATCCTTCAATCGCTGCAAATTCCTGAACAATCCTGCCGCACCGCCGCCTTCATTCGAAAGCTTTGGATTTCTTCCCATCGCTGAGCTGGATCGACGGGTGCCGTCTGGCCGGGCATGTCGAGGAGTCGCTCGCCCGTCTAGGGCTTTCTTCCTGTCTTCTACAACTTTTGCCAGGCTGTCCACGAACTTGTTTCTCGCTTTCTCCTCACCTGTTCCCTTCCAGAGCATTGCCAGTTGCCTGTACTCCTCGACTCTTTGTGAAGCTGCTTCCAAACCGGCGTACCCTCCGGCATCAGAGCCAAGCAAATCGATTATTTCTTCCTTGATGCTTTTTAAGATCTCGCGAGCCTTGTCGTCTTCCGCCGTACTTTGCATCCCTAGCTCTGGGGAGGAGACAGAGATCAGAGAGGATGCCATCGACAGCTCTGAGGGAGGCATGGGCCATTTCATCGCTTCACCAAAGATGGCGATCACCGACTCAAGGCGTACCTTGACTTTTCCTAGCAGCCGCAATTGGATCATGAAATCTGGCTCATTTGTCACATTTGACGTTGCTGCCCCATTGTTGCCTTCGGTCACTTGGGGTGCATTTTCTGGTGTTCCATCGACCACCTCCTCCTGAACAAAATGGCCAATATCATCCTGCAACGACTCGGTCAACAATTCATGTAGCCCATTCACATCGCCACGAAGTACTTCCACCTCATATACAAGGCGATTCCCACTGCGTATAATCTCGTCTGTCAGGGATGACAAATCAGAGGAGGCACGTATGTTGTGGGCATTGAGAGAGGAAAGCAGTGCGAGGGAGTCGGTAGAGGCACTCTGAATATGAGCGGCCCGGCTCGTCTTTGGTGTCTGCGATTGTGAAGACAAGTTGATAGTGGGAAGGCTTTCATTCAGAAAGTCAATAGGATCAAATTTCGCTTGGCTCAGCCTTGCCAGAATGAGGGCAGCTGCTCCATCACTGGGTTGGTCGGTTTCTATTTGGGTTGGCATTGTGAACTGCAGAGCCTAGAATTTTCAGCCAGGCGGATGTGGGAAAGAAGGAAGTCCTTTCGTTATTTCGACACCGCAACTCATCTTAAAGCTTCTGAACATTAAATTGGCCTCGATTATTGATTGAAATAACGCGGAGCCATTTGAAAAGTGAAGTTGACAGGAAGTCCTGGATTTGCAGTCTTGATACTTCTCAAAGTAGTCCTCTTCATGAGTAGCGAATATTCAACAGATTTTATCGGAACCGGAAGAAAGATTATCCGCGTGCCAGTAAGTTTCTCCCCCTTTATTTCTGCCTGCTCACTTAGCGCACCATGGAAAATTTTATCTGAACATGACTCCCTGGCTTGTGGCGTAGCGTCGCCAGAGGATGTTGGGATTGGTGAATGAAGACGGGCAGGACTAAGTTCTTGCATGAGTCGCAGAGCTCACCGTCTCAGTATCTTATTCCTCGAATTTTTGAAGGACAGATATGAATGATGGATTGACAATTTGACATCTGTTTCGTCGAAGACTTCTCCCAAACGGGGGCGGAGCATACATAGAACTTCACATGCTTGCCACAGATCAACCGAACCACATGTCTTTATGCGGTAGACTAGGGTCATTGCTAAATACGTCTATTTGTACCAGAGTAGGAAGATTCGCGACTACGGAAATTTGCAGGTGCAGCACAACCCAACGAATTTTTGTTGGCACCGTATCGCGGTATCAACTCCACCTCTCCTGCTGATATCGGTATGATGTCAATTCTACAACGGCTGGGAACGTTCCGCCCGGTTTGCACAAAGAATGCATGGTGCTGCCTTCAAAGGCGTAGTTGTCGTCACGTATCCCGCGAAATCTGTGGATCATGTATGGAGTACAGATCCTGGGGTTCGAGGGTCAAGGAAGGTCTTGCATGTGCGATCGCGACTAGTATCGAAGATGGAATTTTTCACATGCTCGATCCGTTTCATCACCCTGGTTGTCTGACAGGAATGTCGTCTGGCTGACCCCTGTCGCAATCAATGAGCTCTTCCATGAACGAGTTGACCTCACCGAAAGAGCTCCTGACTAGGCTAGTACTTCAGATAAGGCTCCGAACACCGACCCCCGTGAATGCCCGTGATATATCAGGCAACATAACGAGGAGGGCTAAATTGACAGGAAAGAAGAAATTTGATTTGATTCGACATAGGGACAATAATATCTCTCAACAGCATAGCTGATTCTCATTGCCTCTCACGTGCTCTACCCTCGCTGTCATTCCGAGCATGTGGTCCTTTTATTCAGGGTCTGAACAAAGAACACGAGGCGATCACGAGTCTGCATGGAGCGGCCATACGGTGGAAGGGAGCGTAGAATTCAAGTATCGTGATAGTTCAACAGTGGACAACGAAGAGACGGAGAAAAACACCATGCCGGTCAGTTTCTTGGATCTCCGCCTCGACAGCTAATTTCTGGGGGATAAAACGACAGATGCTACACTGACACTGGCACCTAGCTGGCATTGGATGCTGGATTACTCGAGTCACTAGGGTTAGTCCCAGTGCAGGCTGCAGGGGCGTAGCTTTCACATGTCAACCTTGGCCCCAAAAGGATGAAATCACGCCTGTTGCCAGCTGCCCAGCAAAGCTCAACAGGAAAAACCGGAAACGCCAGCGAGGGAGGCAACCAGAATCAGGACATCATAATTAATTCTCTCACTCATCCTCTTCTTGTACGCTTTCATCCTTTCTTTACTTTATCTTTCCTAGCAGCACATGACGATTACTTCTGTACCACTCCCAGTTCTCATTTGGTAATGTGAGTCCACCCGCATTTTCACATGCTCTTTCCTCCACTCTCCCCGCTTGCCGATATGCAACAAAGCTCTCTTCCTTCTTTTGCCATCCTCAACAAAATATTTTCCCGAATATCACCCCATCGTTGATAACCCCTCATCCATTGCCAATCTCTCGTCGTCGTACATTCTATCGGCCTCTCCTACGACAAATTGCTGATACTTCCTAGTCTTGCCTCTCACACTCCAACCAGCACAATGGGTGAAACTACCGTTAACGGCGACAAGCCTCATTCCGCATTCCTCTCGGTAGGCGTACAAGCCCACTTTGCGCTCCCTGTCCTCCCTGCATTCTCCTGCCCAATTGATGTGATTACTGACCACGACTTCTTCTTCCAGCATCTCGCCTCCTACCCGATTGTGTCAGACTCCATTACCACCATCAAGGGGAATCCCTATGGTGCCAAATCGATCGATTTGACCAATGCCGGCTACGTCAAGTTCGTCAAGCCTACCTTGCATTACTTCGAAACCCCAACTGCCTACGCAAAGCCCTATGTGACCAAAGCCGATGAGCTTGGTGACCAATTCCTCACAAAGTTCGACAAGAAGGTGCCCATTGTCAAATCCGAGACAAAGGAGATCCAGAGCACAATTATGAACTACCTCAATTGGCCTCTGGAAACAGCCCATACTACCAAGGATTGGGCTTTGAGCACATACAACGAGGAATACAAGAAGTGTGGCGGAGAAGGCTACGTGGCTGGCGGCAAGGCTGTCATCACCACTTCCCTGATCATGAGCTCCGATATCCTCAAATATATCAGTGCCGTCCTTCGGTCTAAGAAAGAAGGGGCCAAAGAAGCGGTTCAGGAGAAGACCAGCAAATAAGCACCATATCTGTCTCAGTCTCCTCTCGTGTTCGACGTCAGTTGTTTCGGCGAAAACTTTTGGGTTTTGTACAGATGATCAACTCATAACCGCATTTGATACCCTGATAAGTACGGTGGAGGAAAACCGACCGGCGAGACATCCGAGCTTCCTTTCCCATGGCAAGCTTTAGTGAAATTGTTCTCCAGGGAGAGATCACAAGCATAGTTGTTGCGCACCACTTCAGACCTGTCCCGTCTAGTCCAACACCGCAAAACACTTCCCCAGTTTGAAACACACCAGCAAACCAGCTCTTTCAGTGGGAGTGATTGTCTTTGGGCCTATTTTTCTCGACTCAAATGTATATTTGATAGAGTCTTTACCGGAATACTGCATAGAATTGGTATTCAAATTGAATGAAAGGCATGAAAATTGATCAAAATCCTTACCCCTTCTTCTCTCAGACTAGCTACGGTCTTTTTGCCTTCAATATATCTGTTTCGTTGAGAGATGACTCCATCTGACTATCATAACCGATACCTAATGCAATGGATGGCATGTGAAATGCATTGAGCATCACGTGATTGACGTCATAGAAATAGTTCGCGTCAAAAATACGAAGGCCTCTGGAAGAGATTTGTTCGCGAAGGACAATATGTGAATAGAGAACGAGGTCTCTTGTCCATTCCTACAGAGAAATGGCCTGGATCGCAGCTTTTCCTGAAAAATCAGGGAGGTTGTTTTAAGACTTCCGCAAGAGGAAGTCTTACGCTGCTGTGAGAACCGAAATGTGTGCGACTGACGTTGACAGACGAAAGGGCTCGAAGGCTCAGACAAAAGAAGCTGTGCTTTCGGATGGAGGAAAAGGCTGCAACGTATTCAAGGTGCCTGCAATCCAGAATATGGTTGATATCTCTTTGTGCTGGCTGCCGCAGCCGACCATGTATCTTTGATTCATAGCTTTGACAGCAGCGGTATCCTTTGTGCTAGTGCGCTCGAATCAACACGACGATGATTGTTGTTGTTAATCATCTAAACTAAAGAATCAGGTCTGGGAAGTCGGACAAGGCATGGCGCACAAGGCTGCAATGTAGGGGGGTCGTTCAGAGGTATGTGGAAATCGAACAATTAAAGGGAACCGACAAAATATGATGCATATATTTTCTCAAGAGCTCTTTCTGGTTTCCGTCCTCCTCTTTCCAACTTTTCGAACAAGTATACCAGAACCAACGTGCGATACACTCAAGGCATATTGCATCTGCACACGTAAAGGCAAGACCAGAAACATGCTAGAATTTAGAGCTCCAGCCATAGTGGGTTCCGAAGACACATCATCCCGCTACCTGAACTGTGGAATGCGGATTACACTCGAATCTACCTGGGGAACGATCAGTCCGCGCGATATCACGATGGCGACAAGTATTGCGGGTCTCGGAAAAAGACCCTAGAGCCATCCATCATGCATCGGAGAGCAGCGAAGTGAGTGGGTGAGTGGAGAGTCGAATTGGGTCTTGACCGTGGCAATCCCCGAGATTGAGAGATAAGACGTCTTGATGTTCTCGATACTGGACGCGCATAAGGATATTGTTGTGGCTTTTTCCAGGTCCGGATCCGACGGCATGTTCGAGATAGCTTCTCATACTTTCAGTAGTAAGTACCGTCAGTACCGTTGTTTTGGGGATCACACAAGATCAACTGAAAGCCCTGAGAAGAAGAAAAAAACACTCGTGGGTGGATAGCAATGGGGTTGCTAGGAGAACGCCGCTGGGGCCAAAGGTCAACCAGGAAAGGCAGTTCAGTCAAGGTTGAGGCCGCACCAACCCGTTTCCGGGCTGTGTATGCGGAGGTGTCAGGCCTGGTCCCCCAGTTAGTTGGGCTCCTACATCACGTTTAGCTGCTTACGAACTGGAGTCGTTCGTAGTTGTCGCGTGGGAGGCCGCAGCTCCTATCTAATATATCGACGTAAGTGGGAAGAATGGAGAAGAGGAATACGTACAGCTGATTGAAGCCTCGGAAGATCCTTTCTTCCAGCCCGAATTGCCGGTAATGAAAGCTTGTCCTCGCCACCGTCCAAGATTCAGCCTGCACATCCCACTGCAAATTGCGAGCTTTTTGTCAAGGCGTTTTCTTCTCTTTGCTAGCTTCGTCAACAAGCATTGCTGGGCACAGAGATAAGCCCTTGTCCACGGATGGTCACGAATTCAAAAGCAAAATGCGCCTCTACAATCAAGGCTCAACCTGTTCTCCAATGAATACCTTGACAGGATACGAGACATCCCTCCCATTTCCTCGATCGATCAATATCTATGCCCGTCTGCGTCGTTCCATCGTCATCCTGCCGGGGTCAACAACCGTTCTTGACATCACCGCGATCATGATGCTCGTCGCTAATCGTTTCCGGCACGAGAGCACAGTTGAGATCCAGCAAAATCGAATTGACCGTCAGCGAGTCTGGTACTCTCTCCAACAACGCACGTTATCATAGGCGCATGCCTTATCGCCCAGCCGCATCAACAGGGGTTCTGTCAAACTCCAAGCCAATGGAACGGCTGCCATGCCATGATTCGATTCCGTCCTCCGTCTCTGAACCTTCTAACCAAAGAGATGCTCCCTTGAGCCTTATCAAAGAGATCCAGAGTGGATCTACAGTACTGTGGGCTCGCGATTACCCTGTCTTCTCACTGCATCGCTCAGTGTCACTAGATCACAACACCGTAGCTTGCCGTCAGGAACGGATATATTATTCCCATGCTCACCCAGCCCTCGCGCGGATCGGGATTCTCCATCTTTTACATCCGGTCCGGGGAATCATCATCACCAGCAACATGTCCAAGTACGTGACAAAGTACATTCCCAGTAGGGAGACCGTCAAGGCGCGGGCAACCCATCTCAGTGCCTGGGAGCTGCCCAAGCAAGGTAAGCGGAACCCTCTCTCACGCCCAATTTTCAACTTGACTAAGTAATTTCTACAGAGTCGGCTCTGGCTCCTCCGGAAGTCTGGTCAGTCGTCGCTATGCGCAGAAATAATTTGTTTGGAGGGGGGGCCTTTTCACGGCTAACGTATCCATAGGACCAATGCTGACATGGACCCGGTCCCTCCCAAGTACCAGACCTGGACACTCTGGACCTGGATGGCGTATTGGGCGACCGATACCATCAACTTGGGTACTTGGGAAACTGCTTCGTCCGTCCTCGCCGTCGGTCTGAACTGGCGCGATGCCATTCCCATCATGGTCGTTGGTACCTCTTGTGTGGCGGTTCCTATGGTCTTGAACGGTGCCATTGGCGCAAAACTGCATATCCCATTCTCCGTCATTGTCCGATCCAGCTTCGGTTACTACTTTGCCTACTTCTGTATCTTCTCTCGTGCCGTTCTGGCCATGTTCTGGCTCGGTATCCAGGGCGCCAATGGTGCACAATGCATCACCATCATGCTCGAGGCGATCTGGCCTTCATACGGTCGTATCAAAAACCATCTCCCGGACAGCGCCGGTATTACTACCCAGGGAATGATCAGTTACTTCCTCTTCTGGATCATTCAGCTTCCGCTGCTTCTGATCCCTCCGACCCGGCTCCGCTGGCTTTTTATCGTGAAGCTGATTGCCGCACCGGTGACGGCACTCGCCACTCTGGGCTGGATCGTCAACAAGGCCGGTGGAGGTGGTGAAATTTTCCACCTCCCCGAGACCGTCCACGGCAGTGAGCGTGCCTGGCTCTGGCTATCATGCATGTCTTCCGTGACGGGCTCATGGGCGACCCTCGCCTGTAACATTCCGGATTTTTCACGGTATGCACGAAGTTCTCGTGGACAGTACATCCAACTGCCGTTCCTTCCGGCAATTTTCACCGTCTGTGGTGTCATGGGTATTGTTACCACTTCTGCCTCCAAGGTTGTGTATGGGGAGTATCTCTGGAATCCTTTAGACATCATCGACCACTGGTTGGACAGCTCGGGCGGGCGCGCCGCGGCCTTCTTCGCCGCACTTTCTTGGTATATCGCTCAAGTCGGCACCAACATCACCGCCAACTCGATCTCCGCTGCCAACGATTTGACGGTCCTGCTCCCCCGGTACATCAACATCAAACGTGGTTGTATCATTGCAGCCCTCGTTGGTGGCTGGGTGATTGTTCCCTGGAAGATCTTGGACTCTGCCACGACCTTTTTGGCTTTCATGGGTGGTTACGCCGTGTTTTTGGCTCCAATGGCCGGTATCATCGCTTCAGACTACTGGATTGTCAAGAGAAAGCACATGGATGTCCCTGCCATGTACGATCCTCGTGGTCGATACCGATACAACAAATTCGGCATCAACTGGCGTGCCATGCTAGCCTTCTTGCTTGCTGTTGGTCCCTGTCTACCTGGTCTGGCATACAGCATCGATAATACCACCAAGATCACCACCGGCGCCAAGCACCTGTACTCTTTCGACTGGCTCTATGGCTTCGTCACCAGCATCTTTGTCTACTCTCTCACCAGCTACATCTGGAAGCCCACCAATCAACTCGTGCCGCACACAGTATACGGCATTCCTCAAGATCCAGCCGACGAGGAAGCATACGACGAGGCCTACGACGAGAAAGTTCTACGGAAGGACAGCTTGGTTGGCAATCCCAAAAGTTTTGGAAATATAGGCGGCATCGACAATATGGGGAGTGCTCTCCATTTTAGAAAGTCTGTTGATGAAACGGCCAGAGAGAGCATTGAAGTCCGAAGGGCCAGCAGGGCTTCCCAAGGCGGCCAAGGTCCTCCTGCTCCTGGTACTGTGCCAGAGCATCTCAAAAGTGTCGACCAACAGGTTTTGAATGAGAAGTTGTAAACGACACATATCTTGGATCGTGATCAGCTTCTTCAAACCGGTCATGGAATGTTGTACAAGTAAGGTCGACGTGTCAGTTAGATTTCCAACCTACTAGCACAGTATTTTCAAGGCACCCCGTTGGGGCTGATGTACAGTGTCTCCTGGATAGATGCAGAAAAATATACCCAATGAGTGGCGAACATTGCTCTGCAAGCTACCTACGCAGCTAGTTCTACTGTATCGTTCCCATATCAAAGTTCCACAAGCCTCTACAGCTGTGTTTGAAGCACCGTCCTATTCAATCACAGAAGACGGTGCAGACAGAACAAGAATGGAGTGAAGACCTGTTCTGTACAAGTTCTACGTATCTGAACATATTTCTTGTGTAGAGTTCTATATTTCACATTGTTCCCGAGTAGAGGATAAGGCTGGAACTGCCTATCTGCTCCTTCTATTTGACACTAGCTAAATATGGGTCTTCCGTGTTTCCAGTCGAACATGGGCAAGCCTAATTTGGTGGCTGGGGCAGTCAACGTTCCGGGGTCGATTAGCCACGTGAAAACGTCATTTCTGAGTTGGCTTCATTTCCTTCATTCTTCTCGGCTAGCTGCCCTCGACTGGGACTAACCTTCGCCCTTGGATTTTCAAGCCCAACGCCCGCTGCACAAATATTTCTGGATCACTATTAACCGACTTTCTTCTTCGTTAACCTATTCTCGGTAACAAGAGTGAATGAGAAGAGAACTTTTTCACGTTATCTTGGATCAGATCAGACGCAGAGAAAGACAAGCAAATAACGTGAAAGGTATTAATTTGACTATAACAATGAGGAAGAAAACATGATAGGGGCGCGGCAATGGTATATCCAACCTCTGCAAAAGGTAAGTAATACCGCCATAGGCCCAAGAGCATTGCAGGATTGTTCCACAAAGATGAAAAGAAGGAGAAACCAGAAGGGAAAATGCCCACATGCCCAACACCCTGCTACATAGATGTTCCATCCCTTTCCAGAATTCCTTTTTTGAGCCGTTAATCCATATCTTTTTGTCATCGTCGATGACTGTCAGCCGATAACTCTGAGGCATGCTGCCATGAGGCATGCTGATCCGTGGTCCCGGAGAGCTCTTGGACTGCTCTCGTCGGTATAGATTCTCCAACACCATTTCTCCGGGAACTCATAGATCCATACTTGTTCAGGAAGGCAGGGTTGTCGGAGTATCGGCAATGAGTGAGAACAGGGTTCGTGTTGATATCCCTGCTTGGGGTCCGGCTCCTTTGCTTCTTCTTGTGTAAGAAGAAGGCGATGACGGCGAGGATGGCAATGAGAGGCACGCCCAGTCCAACGGCAACGCCAATTGCAGTTTTGGTCGCCGTATCCATTCCTGAGGGGCTTGATTCCGCAGAGCCTGTTGTGGAGACGCTTGCCGCAGATGATGTGATCGTTGCTGGCGGAGGACTTTCCGTTGTTGTACCTGTTATGCTGGAAGAAGCAGAAGATGTAGGAGACGTCGAAGAAGTACTAGTTGTCGAAACTGGTATTTGGTCCTCAGGCAAGATATTGATGTAGTGGGAAGTGAAATCTTCAGTGTTCGTTTCCATCTGCAAGTAGAAGATGGGTGACTCCGATGTATAATTGTAGTCATATGTTTGGGCGACCCAGTTATAGGATTCCGTAGTGTTCTCGAAAGGGCCTTCAAGACGTTAGATGCCAGGAATGCTTCTCTCTTGCAGATCAAGATGCTTCCTTACCCACTATGTTGTGGCAATAGGTCAATGCACGGTTCAAGTCCAGACAGGTGTATAAAGGGTCGTCTTTGAGCAGCATCAGAGATGCATTGGGTCCCAAGTTGCTCCATTCTAAAGTCACCATAACGTTGAGCGCGAAATTCGGTAGGTTCGTGTAATCACCAACTTGTCCCATCGGAGGTGGGTAGATAAAAGCCATTTTGTCCGGCTTGTGATCTACAACAGTGATGGCAGGTGTTCAGGAAACAAAAGCATATGCCAGGCCGAAAGAGACAATCCTGGAGGGAGTAGAGAAAAATGATCGTACCGGGGCCCTGAGACGAGTGGACGGAGGGCACTAAGGTCTCATTTAATGAGTCGAAATCCAAGGTATCACAGGACCAGGGGGGCAGGCGCAACAGCAGCCGCTGTAGGAAGGAGCTCCATACCTGAAATTGCTCCCGCAAGGAAGTCTGTACCTCAAGACTCCGGGCACTACCAAGGCTCGAAGCCTTCCGACGTGGCAGATCGATATCAAACAGGCCAGTCATGGGGTTGGGGGGGGGGGTTATCTCTGGTGACTCGTCCCTCGTTCTTCTGCGTTTCTGTACTAAGTCCGTCATTATGACTGTCGACCCCTTGTCCTTGTTTTGCCGCCGGCCAGGCAAACCTTGCCGCCCCCGGGCCGTGTATACGCCCTGAGGGGTGTTCAGTCGGTGGGCGGGTTTTTCTTGGGGTTTGCAACTCTTTTTGGACATCAATTTCCCCCTACACAGCGCAGGTAGCGTGCAATGTCCAGAAGATGGCAGAGGAGACATTACTCTTTCTAGGACATCCCTCTTGAAGGAGGGGCTCGATGAAAGCAGAGAGCTTAGAACGATCTGGTATGGCACTAGGAGAGACTGAAACTCAAAAATGGACACAAATGTGACGGCCATGGAGGCTGGGAGTCAGACAATGTTGTACATGAAACACGAGACCAATTCCAACTGGACTGGCTTTCACAGGGAGCTGGACTGTAAACCTCCATTGGAACGTGGAACACAAGATCTCGATAGTATTCACAAGAAAAGCAGATCAGCTCGCTCTCAGATTATCAACATCGGCCAAACTGGTCACACCAGCATTGGTGCATTGGGGGACAATGTACAGCGTCTTTTCCAAAAATAACATGCCAGAGATACTCAAAAACTCGTCCACTCGTAGCATCGTCAAGGGCGGTATCCAATATCCATTGGCGATAGTGTACATAATCTGCTTTACTGCGTTTTAAGACTTGATTCTTTGAGACTGCGAATTGGGAGCAACAAGGCTGACCAATTCTTTCGGGTATATCAGATTGGTTGCCTCCGAACATATACGGCCAGGCGTCTTTCATTGCGTGCTCTGCAGTGCGATGATCATCTGGTGGATCCCGAAAGACTTGTATCTCTGCCGGACAACCCGGATTATGAAGACAGCGCATGTTCACGTATCCATGTTCCTGGAGATACTCCAGCCTCAATGAGCGTATTGAGTGGATGTTGTTGTATCCTTCACTGTCCGTGTGCCAGGCCAAGGGCCAGCCTTCAAGGTGTGGATGCAAAAAGACCATAGTAGAGGGAAGATTGTCGTAATGATCAATTAAGAAAGTAAGATATGCCATAGCCTGCGAATGTCCGTTAGCGTATGTACTCGATGGAGGTAGAGGAAAATTCGAGAAAGAAGACTGTGACGAGGCCGTGACAACGTGGGACGTTTGTGACAACGGTCCCATGCACATCCGGTTCGTTGAAACCAAGGCCAGTCGTATGACATTGACGAGTTCTTAGTACTGAAAATTGAGAATACTCACCTCGCGGCCTTTATTCTTGGGTGGATGAAGAACTCCATCTGTCTCATCCATATAGTATATAGCTTGCTGCCAGCTTTATTCGGACGCATTAGCGCATAGTCACTTAACCGAAGACTAAGACATACTCCTGGAGCTCACGGGACACCCAGCTAACATCCTCATCGTGGATCTTTGCCAGAATAACTGCCTTGTCTTCGGCTTCTGGTCCTTTGTAGATCCACGGGTTTGGGCGAGGCGTTTCCTTGTGTATCCAAGATAAACGGCTCGGAAAATGGGATTTGTTGGGCCAGAAAGCAGACAAGGCAGAAAAGTTGAGAAAAACACCAAGAATCAAGAGGCTGAGCGCAACCAGCAAGATGAAGAGGCGCTTAACTCTGGGCACCAACATTGAGGGGATTCTAAGAGCGTCATCAAGAGCAAAATGCTTGAAAAATAACGTTGGTATACAAGTTGATCACACCCATACCGGCGGCAAGTATTTTGCTCTAGATAATCGTCCGGAGGAATAAAGAAGAAGAGAACGAAGATCCGCCTGAACTCAAGTATATCACACGTGCTAGACCCTTTTGATCAATTCGTCATTGGAAGCAAGATGATGTAGCGTTCGGGGTATCTTGTGGTGCTTACGTTGTACCCCCCTTCGCAAGCCTGTAGCAAATGTTGCACGTGTACGGTATACGACAGGCCTACATCCAGGTCGAAACTCGATTCCGCAGTTGACCGAACGCCACGGGCGCTTAGTGACTGCTATGACTGGGGCGGATCCAGACAGCCCTGGTTGGTTGTCGGCTTAGGGCAAACGTGCTCGATGCCGTTCCCGTTCTCCCGAAAGCCCAGCGCCAAAGCATAAGCTCCACCCTCAAGACAGACATGTTGAAGCCTGCGCAGAAGGTGCGACAAGAATTTCGGCTCGCATGATAGATATCAGCCACCTTCAGTGTAACACCAGCGGATGGTCTGAGTTCATGTTGGGTGGCACGGCAGAGGATCATTTGTGTTTTGCGTGCTGTAGGTGAGCTCCTGGAGACCCCGTGGCCACTGAGGGTGGGCGGGAATTTTGAATCATCTCATTTGAGCAGGGTCTGCATCTGGGGAACTTACTTTAGTACATATGAGAGAGATAAATTTGCGCCAGCAGGTTGCAGCAGAGACTCTGCAGAATGACCCCGGGCAATGGAACGCCGGCGGCTTCCAGTAGTTCGATGGAAATGCTACCAATGGGGGAGAGCGGAAGAAAAGGTATTCATTCCTTCAAAGGAGCGATTACTGAATTAAGATTGGTTTCATTTTCTTGGACGATGGGGAATTGTCTTTTTGATCGAAACACGACATTGATGGGCCCAGTGACAGACTTGGACCGCCCAAATGTACACGTTTCTTGCCTAACAGTGGCGGGGCCTCAAAATGCCATTCAGCAGTGGTAATGAAGACGCAAGAGTCCAAGCCAGGTGCCTGTGCCCAGCCGCAGAAAAGAAACAGCTATCCTTTAACTGATCCACCCGATATGCTGCTCAGTCAAGGGGCGCATTTGAGACACCACTGCTGGCCCCTTCTTCCTGTATCACGGGCATGCACGGTCAATGAGAGTCACCTGGTCACATTAGACTGCATGGAATCCTAGGGGATCCAATTTTTTTCTGCAGGAAGTCGAGTATGGCCGGTTCAAAACAGTCGGGTGCAGACGTGCAACATTGACCGGCTCAGCCATGTCAGTAAATTTCTGGATTCCGATGGCCGGTCCAAAATCAGGCTTAACGGACACTTTAGGGGACTAGGAAGTCCAATGCAACCACGAACTTTCGCTCGCTCTGCCGCTCTCGGGACCACTCTTGCAACTGATGCGTTTTAATGGATCGAATTTGAACAAGATGGTGGCCTAACACTGGTACAGGTAGTTCGGAAATTCGATGCAACAAATGTAGCGGGGCGGATTTCTCGTCACCAAAGGCTGATATTGGGGCGTCATGGTTTTTCAACACTGGTGATCTTGTTACTTTGGCCGTTTCAAGGGATGTGCCTCGGTATTAAGAACATAATCATCCAGGTTAATGAGTCCCGGGGGAGAGAAGATCAGGTAAAAATACTTCAGTGTTTCCGCAAGCCAGAAGCTCTGCGAAGACCGGTCAGCGCGTCGTTGTGCGTGAAAGGTGTGAAGTCTTACCTCCATTGAGTTCCTTTGGCTAACTTTACCGGTGGTGGTAACATCGTCAATGCCCGCATTGCCGTACGGCGTCTCGGTGGCATTTTGAATGGACTGAAACATTTTCCACGCCAGATCCTGTAACTCTCTGTTTCCTGTTGTGCGATACAGAATGAACACACTTTCAATTGCCTCTGGACGAAGAATGTATGATGGTGCGTGGACACGTGAGAAACCCTTTGGCAGCTTCTCATTGCCTTCGCGCTTCCACCTTTCCTCGTCCCAATCACAGCCATCCAGCGACTTACAAGGAAGCATATTGAACATCTCCGGCATGATACCGGTGGGAAACGCATTGTAGGCGTAAATACAACCATGCGTTAGCTTGGCACCGATATCGATATGTTCTTGAAGCGAGAAAAGACGACCGCCGAGGATGAACATGCCGCCAGCGAAGCAGCTGAGGTGTTGCCCTTCGGGATTAAGTATAACGCCATTTCGATCGACGGTAGCAGAGCCTAAGACGAGGATATCTCTGTTGTCGGGGAGCATTGGTCTAAACAAGAGATGTTTCTTCGCAGTATCCATAGACTCTTTGTACATCCTCTCATAGGCCGGATCTAGACCACCCAGAAGAGACGACATCTTTGGTAAATACTCGTATAGTGAATCGGCCATGGCGCCTAGGGTAAATGTGTTCTCCTGAAATGTCTCGTCGCGGGCGTTAATGAATGTCGGCCACATGCCCGACAATTCTGTCGAAGATTGATGCTGCTCGAACATTGACGTCACCCGTACGACTGCGGCGTAATATTTTGGGTCCTTAGTGATCTGAGACAGCCGGGTGAATTCGAGGGAGAATGAGCCGACTGACGCAGATATTTGGTGGCCGTCTGCAATTAGAGAACCCGATTTGGCTTTTTCAAAGTCTAGCCAGAAAGGTGGTATGCGGTTTGGAGTATCGAAGCCAGCGTAGAGCATGTCTCCAAGCTCCACAGCCTTAGCCAGTAGGACTGGCTCCTGGCTCAGGTCGAAGGCTGCCAGCAGCCCTCCAAGATGTCGGATATTTGTCTCGAACATGTTGCAAGCGGATTCCGTCGTGTTTGCCCAATCAAGTACTGCCACGGCCCTCACCGCATCCATAAATTCTTCTTTGAGTTCCATGATCCAAAGTGTGTCCAAAGAGTCAATCAATGTAGCCGCCCAACCTCCATATGTATTTTTGCCTGTTCCTGAAAGTGGCTCCAGCTCATCCTTTAGCCATGCATGATTTCTGTAATTTTGCCAACATCTTCGAAATGCTCTCACGACGGCCTGCCGTCGCGGCACTCTCTTTGCAGCATCGGATCGGGACTCCTTGGGGAATTTACGCTGAATAAGAGGGAACGAGTGTGGTTTTCCTGTGGGAAGAGAGGTGACTGAGGATGCAGGATAATGGGGATTCAGGGCTCCCCAGTCGAAACTACTTTTCAAAAATGTGATGGGCTTCTCAGTGATAGTTCTTGGTGTGTCCAAAGAGCCGAAGGGTCGATATATGTAGAGCCCGGTGACGAGGATGGCAGAAACAACCATAAACCGGAGAAAACGCCTTGCACCAGACATGGTAGAGTGTCATATAAGAAAGGCAGAAAGGACTGACGCGGGGGGGAGGGGGGAAAACAAAAAAAAGGAAGAGAATACGTGTTCACCAGAAAACAATGGAAAGAAAGGCTGCTCAGGCCAAAGTGAATGTCCTGGTGAAACGAAGGATAAAGGACTAGTTAGCTCCTCGCGGGGGAAAGGGGGCTAACTTTCTAAGCGCCCCTTTTGACGCTGAGCTCCCTGTCAAGCCCGCGGCGCGATCCTAGCTGAAGCCTATTCTCAAAGGACTCTGGAGAATTAAGCTGCCGGGCGCCTAACGAAACTAAGGCCAGGCACAACTTTAGTGCGCAGTGAGTGGTGCTGTCTCCTTGAGCGCTTCCCCAGGTGAGAAGATCTAACTAGGCAAGATCCAGGTGTTGTCTACCAATCACGACGCAGTGCCTCCTTTCTTTGCCGAGCCGTGACAAGCACTTTTTGGGTCAGCGACTGCCTGCCAAACTTTTTACCACCCACTACACTCTGATCCCGATTTGACACGACACGCTCGAGCCTTTGGAACTTTGACTTCGTGCGAGATGTGGCAGCGTGTGAGCGAGAGTGTGACAACGAGACCATAATACAGGAGCAATTTGGAAGTTGAAGAGACATGTTTGGCGTCGAGCCCGATACAAGTATGGGGTAAACCAACCGAGAATGAAAGTCGGATGAGGAATTTGAATGCTTAGGTATTCATACACGGAGGAGACAAATCTGCAAATTCTTCCGAAGTCTGCTGTTTTTTCAGCACCCCCATACCCTGGTGTGTCGGTCCATCAAATGCGAAAGTCATGTTTCCTTGCGTCTGCTGCTTCTTGAGTCTTCGAGTAGGATAGGTGACGAACTCTGACTTAAATTAAATTGAAGCGGCATTTGACTGGTAAGCACGGCGGTAAGGCTGAAAGGTGGAGGGGCAGCTCAACCCTTTGATCTGGGAAGATGAGCCATCCAGCGGGGATGGCACTCGTCAAAATTCCCTTAAATCTTTCATCACACTGTCTCCGACCTTATCTGGTAAGCTACGTCGCTGAGTACCACGTTCCATATGCGCACTCGGCTCTTGTTGGAATACACTTCCATCCATCAGGCCTTCACTCGGCATACTGTTGCTCTCCATTGGCCCAGTTGAAGCACAACACACGGTCTGGGTCATTGGATGAAGATGTTCTTACCCCAGAGACATCATTGGGGCCTGGCGATTGTTCCAGGCCTCGCCCTCACATTCCGTAGCATGACAGAAACAATAAATCCCTCCATCACCGTAAGGAAAGAGGATGAAGCTTACATACTCAGGTCGAACGGTCCGCCTTTCGCTCTATCACTCTGGAGCAGGGTGGTGGCATGTTTCCGTCATGATGCCTCATTTAATAGATCGCCCCCGGCCAGCTGCAATACGCCGAGTCTGTACTAGCTCGTCCAGTTCCCGTTCACACTGTAGACAATACCCTGGAACCGAGGGTAGGACATTCAGGTCAGGCCCTCATTGACTCCCCTTCGTCCTCCGTTCGGTCATTCCCAAGCCAGTTCGGCGCGAGAAATACACGTCAAAGTCTCCGTGATCGCAGCGTCCGGGGCAGCGAGCTTAATCAGGAACAAATACTGTTTTGAATCTGAATGGTCGCTCAACGGCCAGGTGGAGCAACAAGCGTAACATTTCCCTAAACCCAGGTTGAAAACTATTACATTGATGCTTCAGCAATCAGGTAGACCCTGCAGTGAGCGGAGAAATTCCCACGCCTGTGCGTCCATAAGGTTTTGACTTTGTGACTGCAGTCCCAGTGTGCGGTGCGGTGAGACTCGTTCGTTCTCTATACCGGGACGCGCGGCGCAGAAATAGACGTACCAGCTTCCGTCGAGATAATGTAGTTCCGGTGCCCAGATGTCTGCAGACCATGGAGTTCCGATGGTAGGTTTCCGCGCGACACTTTTTGAGCAAAGCCCAGAATTCTCCATGCGGCTGGACCTCTAGATTTCCCCATGGTCTCCGGTAGTGAAAGTCAAGTAAAACCGGTTGTGTGCTGCGACCATCCATGGATCTGGCGTGTCCGTGTTGCTGATGGGTTGGTTAGACATGGTCCTCGTTTTCTCTTCTCTTGTCTCTCTGTGGGTGATTGTTAGGGTACAGCTCAAGGTTGATAGAGTGAGGGTTGATTTCACCGAAGGAGAGAGAATGAACTGTTCCTTGGACGATATGGGTGCTGACGACGGGCCAAGCCAGACGTCAGGGCGATGACGACACTGCTCGGAAACAGTTGAGGTGCTCTCGTTCTGTCGGTTTCTCCCATGCTGGCACTCCAGGAGACGTTCACCATAAGAAGAAAATTCGGAATGGAATTGGTGGTTGAAGAGTCAGCGTTACGCACGCGAAGGGGAATGACAAAAAGTCCCAAACCTCCTCACTCCATCTACTCATTCCGCTCAAGACGAATAGTTTCATCATCTGACATGCTGACAATATATTTGTTAGGTCAGGGGTATCATGATCGTAATTCATAGCTCGTCAGCTCGTGGCAAGATCATTCATCAACGACTTCAACAACACGATCGGGGCCGAATAAACCAGGAGCTGGTGTATACACTGGCGTGGTAGAAGCCAATAATTGACTCCTTCTCGCAGCAGGTGTCGTAGGAATCAAGCGTTCTTCTCTGTCTTCTCCCTCTTCATCGCCTGTGTTGACAGCCCTTCTCCATTTCTGCAGGAAACCCAGAGCCCTTTTCCTTTCATTCCGTTGAAATACCACATCAGCATCTTCCTCTAATCTCTTGGCCCTGAAAGCCACATTTCTCCAGCTTCTCAATATCGACAACGCGTAACTCGCAGTCCGAGTAGCACGGTATTCATCAGCCTTCTTCTGACTTTCAAGGATTTGTCGGGTTGGAACTAGCCAATTTGAGCCGAAGATTTGTAGGCGTTCCATAAGATGCTTGTTGAAGAAGAGATTTGCCTGCTGCTTTGCTTCTTGCATCTGTTCGGTCCTGTTATACATTACAACGATGGCACCGTGTGCCATTCGCCTTGCATTCTCTGCATCTTTACGTGCTCGGAATTCATCGGCCGCCATTTTCATCCCTCGAATACGCGCGGTCTTCTCTCGCCAGGAGTGGAGAGCCGCGCGCGCGATATTCATCTTCACCCTTCGTCTTATAACCTTGTACGCTTCATTGTACTTCGCATCCTTGCTTCTTTTCACCAACGCCCTCCATTTTCGAAGATATTCAACGGCCAAATGTTGTTCGCGTATTCGTCTGCCTTCTTTCTCCATCCGGACAAGTCGAGTCTTTTCGCGCCAGTCCTGAAGTGCATGCTTGCTTGCAAAATATTCCGCTGCTGCTTCTGCTCTTCGTTCGTTCAGTTGTATATTTTCCAATTGCACCAGCCATTTGTTGAACGCCTTTCGTACCAAATTACCTTTGGAAACAAGGTCAGCTTGGGTCTCAGCTTGTTTAATTTGATCGATCTTGGCCATCATCTTCCGTAGGGTGTTCCGCAGGGCTTGATGATTGCGAAACTCGTCGGCAGCTGCGTTCAATTCGTCGATGTCTCCAGTCTTCTCCCGCCACTTTTGAAATGTTTTGCAAAGCAGCCGTTCGTCTCTGACTCGAGCAAATAGCCTTTCCCGGGCCGCTAAAGTCCACTGCCTAAGGGCACATGCAGCATCGCGCCTCGCGCGGAACTCGTCTGCAGCTCTGTCCATTACCTGTATTTCTTTGACAGTGTTACGCCAATGGGAAATAGCTTTCCTTGCCAAGTTGCGTCGGTGGATGCTGTCTGCGAGTGCATTCATGGCCGGGTCTTCTTGATTCATATATGCTTCTCTTTTGAGGTACAGCTTGTGTCGCCATTGCTCTAGTGCCTGAGATGTCAATTTTCGATTGTCCAGTGCGACGGCTTGCCTCCACAAAGGATCATTTTCATCGAGTGAATCTGGTGAATCTAATCGATCTTGTACGGCATGAGTATCTTCAACTGTTTCTGTTCGCCCCGCTCCTTCATACTCAGTGCCACCATCAGTTGTAGTTCCATCTGCAGTCAAAATTATGTGCGCCTCTTCCAATATGTCGAGAAATTTCTCATTCAGCGGACTTTCGGGGTCGGTTTCAAGGAGGCTGAGAAGCCATCGTAGGCAGGGGTCATCGGCGGTGGTATGATATCGATCTTCCAGACATACCGCTCTGTATTCGTTCTTGATAATGGTGAGAGAGAAGTCAACTGACTCCTCATGGAGGCGGAAAAGCACACGATGCAGACGGTCGATTTCCCTCGGGGAAAATCTTCTGATCTCGCCTGCGAACTTTGCCTGTTCCTCAGGCGTCATTCTGAATACTCAAGGAGTCTACCATTGTATTATGGATAGGCGTGAAAGGTTTTGAAGCGGGATGTGGCTCCACACGACGCGTGTTGGCGCATCGCGAAACCACGTGCATACTCGGCAAATAGTTATTAACTTAACGTCCGCGAGCGCACTTTATCTACTCCTTTGCCCATATTGCTGACGATCTACCAACAGACTCATAATCCCCCAAGTATCAATAAGGGCACCCTCCATGCTCATCATACTCCTGACTCATGTTGGGCATCCCCCTTCAGAGCTTTAGCTCTCCTGGCTGTAAGATGTTTTCTAGCACGATTTTCCACTCGGACGCAAGGTCTGGATCAATTGCACACCCATCACCACACCCGAGATAGTCCTCATTCTCCCGGTCGACCTGACACCGACACTCTCGTCGTGTGTCGCTCCAGCTCCTAATTCTCTACCAGCCCCTTGTCCATTCGTGGTTCCCTGCCCGCGCAGCCTGGGTATTCATCCAATCGTCTCGTCTCGCCCTCCCGAGCCGAGCCATTGCGGCCCTCCCCCGAGCTGTCGATCTCTGGCCTCCTGATTCCGAGGGTCCCCCCCGCATTCCCCAATTACTGCATCATTTCTCTCATATCAGGTACGTCCATGAACACAGCATCTCACACTATGGTCACCAGTAACTCTGCAAGCGCCATTCCAATTGAATGTCCCAGGAGCAGCAACATCAAGTTGACCTTCCTTCTCTCGACAAAGTCTTGTCGAACACGAACACCAACTCACGATCTTTCCGCATGGGATATATAATCTACCCCAGGCTTGCACTTCACCTACGGCAATTTATGAAGTCTTCAAATGCACTAGGGCACTCCCAAGACGATAGGACACCTACTTGAACAACGAGGAAGGGCCGTCCCACGCTCAACCGCCTACGGCTATTGTTCAAGAGGTGGTGATCCTTTCGAAAGAACCGTAACAGTGACCGTCAAGTGATCAAATGTCGAAGCAATCCCTTCTTCATTTCCATGTCTAGTCTCGACAATTCGGTTGGCTCGTGAGGAACAAGTTTCTTACAGAGCGTACCATTGCTTTCGGATATGATGATCGCCGGTCTAATGATTCGCATGGTCTCGTCGACTTCTTTCTTCGCTATTTTTGCGTGTTCGTGCCCACAACCTCTGTTGCGGTATGCATTGGTGCTAGTCCTGGTCAATTTATTTCGCAAATGGTCGTTGGGGGAGGTTCGTCTATTCCCTTGGTCCACGTCATATCGATTTACAGAGAATTCTCAAGGCTCCTTTAAATGCGTTCGGCGATTCCGGAACGATTTTCGAAGAGATTGGTGTCAATAGCATTCTTCTGCAGTTCTGACATCGATTGGGCAATTTGCTTGACAGCATGGCTGGTTTCCAGATCGAGTCCACTCCTAATTGTCAATCAGACTGGACTTAGTTCGCCAAGGGCCGCTCACGCACACATTGAATGTGAAAGTCGTAGCACCAAATCCTCCTTCTCTGAGATGGTTCGGTCGTGAACCCACGCAAAAAATTCATTGACTGTGGCAGCCCTGATCTTCTTCCGACGGGAAACGCTCTCCTTCAGCCCGAGGCCGTCAAGCTCGTTTTCGATCTCTGAAGTCGTTTGCTGGCAGTGCGATACCGCAGTGTGGAGGGCAATTACTGGCCATGTCAGATGGGGTACAACACAGGCGGCGCGCGACGCTACGCCTTGGATTTGAGATAGCGCCCTCCAGAGCGACTCGCAACCTTTTGCCACGTGTTGAGCCTGCGGGCACACGGACTTGTAGGATTGCACAGCAGAATATATTGTAGACAGTCCTCACAGTGTCTGCCCAGTGACCGAGATTAGGCTAGCAATACTCACAATTCGCCTATGCTGGTCATGCTCTGTACGATGATTCAAGACTTTGCAAAGGAGAAGATTCACGAGTCGGAATGGCGAAAGATGTTGAATGAGAAGTATGGCATTTGTTCGGTGACAGTTTCCGCCACCGACTTGCGGCGACTCGAAAGGGCGTTCCCGCGGCTCCTCCGCGAATTACATTGGCAGACTCGATCATGGCGTTTAGGCGGCAAACACTGGACCTATGTCTAAGAGACCCTAGATCATCTTCGCGTCGCTTTCAGCCTTGTACCAGACTCCAGAGGAACATCCCATCGTACACTTTGCCAACACACTGACGGTATTCGTGATGGCTAGGGCTATGGGTGCCGGTCACATGTAGTGGCATAGACTGGAATATCTGAACTTGCATTGCAATAAGAAGCCTTATTCACGAAGTATATGGTGACTAGTCACACTCGGGTCATGTATTGCGGCATGGCGGGGTTTTGCAGGAGTGTCCTTGATCGGTCTTGGGAAGATAGCTGTGATCCTCGTGTGTGTGTGGAGGTCTTTATGGATGGTGACTTGGCCGACCTGTACTCACTGGAATTATCCCATCGTTCAACGAGGTTCATCCAGATCTGATTCAACAATCTTCCACGTCCAATGTGGAGTTCTGGGGCCCAGGAAGCGAATTTGCCTGGATGACATCCAGAGGCCTCTTATTCGAGGCCATTGGGTCATATCTGGAAGGAGTTAACATACCATCGACAGCGGGGACTCTGGCAACTGTGTCTGAACCCAAGGAAAAGTTCTTGATATCTCAGGGTGCTAGACAGCTGCATAAACAGCTGTATACACAACGTTGTGTTTGTGAGTAGTTCGATCTCCACGGGTCCATTCTGACTTCGTTCCATAGCTTGATTTTGAGATGATCTTGTCATCAAGACGTACCTTCTATGATACGCTACATCAATCAGATGCAGCTGTTTCTTTAGGAACGAACGACAAGCGTGTCGTCCATCTCGTGATTAAATCGCAGTGAGCTACGTGCCTCCATGTTGCTGCGGCGAAAAGGCTGAATTCTAACCTGTTTGCCCGGACCTGGGGAATATAACCCTTGTCGTGCCCACCAATGTGCTCTCACGTGAGTTCGGAAGAGAATGCGTAAGCCAAGCGTCTCGTCGGCGCGAGCTTGGGCCGAATGTGACAAAGCTCTGACAGAGAATGACCAGTCAACCAGAGTATCCGTTGCTTCTCGTCGATAGGACTCTATTTGGGTCGTCAAGAACTTTCTTCCTTTGCCGATCCCATTGGCTCCTCAGCCGAAATGCTGTCTCCAAACAATACTTCCCTCCTATCAGCTGCCAACGTCGAACTGCGAGAGCTTGCTAGCCCTCAACCCTCGGACCCTGAACGCTCCTTTGATGCCTCAAAGTGGTTAACAGCACATGCCACTTACCTAAGGCTCGGACGCAACCCGTGCTCCATTCTCTGAATCGATCCTAGTTTTCACGAATCTTCTGTTCGAGCTGGATCTTGCATATAACAAAGGTCGGCCCCAGGCTTGAGCTGACCATGCCCGTCGTCTCGACAGCAAGAACATCAAACACCAACATCACCTCGTTGGCATAACGCTCCGCTGAAAAGCACAAGCGACGTCATTATTCCATCGAAACTTGATTCCATCACGGCTTTCCGAAGCACTCTGAAAATGGCCCACAAGATTATCACAGTCTTCGGTGCCACGGGCAATCAAGGCGGCAGCACCATCTCCGCTATCATGAACACCCCCAGTTTGTCGTCACAATACAAGATCCGCGCCATCACTCGCGATCCTTCCAAGCCTGGCGCCCAAGCTCTTGCCTCCAAGGGGGCTGAACTTGCCAAAGCAGACCTCAACGATGTCGCCAGCGTGAAGTCTGCCATTGCCGGCTCCTACGGCGTCTTTGCCGTGACGAATTACTGGGAATCTGCCTCCAAGGAGGTCGAATTCAACCAAGGAAAGAACATTGTTGACGCATGCAAGGAGGAAGGCGTCAAACACCTCGTCTGGTCATGTCTGCCACACGTCGAAAAGATGACCCACGGCGAATTGACCAAGGTCGAACATTTCGACTCCAAAGCCGAAGTGGCCGAGTATGCCGAAAAGGTTAAAGGCGACATGATGGTTTCCAATTTCATGCCTGGATTTTTCATGTCCAATTTGTTGGGTATGATCCAACCCGATCCCAAAACGGGGATTCCCACCCTCGCCCGGCCCTGGAACCCGACCCAAACGTGGGTGCCGATGATTGATATCCAGGCTGATACCGGTCTCTTCACGGCGGGACTGTTCGCGGCCGGCGCCGCGGCCGATGGTGTCTATGTGCAGGGCGTGAGCGAGTGGGTTCACCCACAACAAATCACAGATACTCTCTCCCAAGTCAAAGGTCGTGAGGTCAAGTTTGTCGAAGTGCCGGCCACTGTTGAATCGACGGCCAAGATTGGAAACAAGATTGCCGAGGAATTGACGGAGAATATGATACTCATTCGAGACTACAGCTATTTTGGCAAGGGTACGGAGAAGAAGCAGGCCGAGAGTGATAAGTTCTTGGTCCAAGGTGCCCAAAAGAATACCTGGAAGGGCTTTGCGGAAAAGGCTCCATGGAAATGGTAGGAATGTTGTCATGATGCTGGAAAGAAACGGAGGAGGAAATCTGCAGCTGATATAGTGGACAGTAAAAAGCAAACCATGTCCGAGCTAGATTAGCATGGAGTGAATAGTATCACATTCGATAAACGACCTCTTCCTGATATTTGGCTCCAGACGTGAGGCACCACAAGCGAAATGGAGGCCGAGTGAAAAATATGTATGTCTGACAAAATGCTGAGATATTTTGTCGCCATGACAATAGGGCGACATATTGTCAGACAGAAAATCTTACTTCCCAGCCTCGTTCGGGATCCTTCCAGCCACTCGTTTCCGAAACGGCCAGGGTTGGGAGGCTATCTTTCAGCCTTCCCTGTTCCGGCTCCTTTTCAACATTCCAACACAAACATCGTGTCTTATCTACTGAGGACCAATATCAATGATTGGGAAAGTTTATTCGTCAGAAACTCAACCTCGGACAGGGCATCCATCACTTCAAATCATCGAACAAGTGATCCCCAGTGAGCTTGGTCGTGAACCTTAAGCCCAATCAACATTTAGTTGGAATCAAACTAATCCCCTACACTTTCAGGGGTTCTCTTACTCGGCTGGTCCTAATACTGGTCAAATTTGGCCTTTTCCTGCCACCATATGGATTCCCTGAAAGGCAGGCTACTCACATCAACATATCCAAGTTCTGCGTCGTTTTCTCGCTGGCTGCTAAGCGTGTCCAACTTCCTTCATCGTGATCTGAACGATAACAATGGATACAGGAGAGAAACCCAGAGTATCTGGCGTATCAAGTACCGCAGCGACACCACGACAGTCTCATGCGGAGCGTCCTGAATCTCGAAATTTCTCGACATATCCTCAAACTCTGCCTCAACACCAAACGCAGGAGTCTCACCCCAATCAGCAACAAACTCCTCAGCATCCCGTGACTCCGACGTTTTTTAGTGAGCTCGCCGGTAGTGGTAAGCCGATCGTCCTTCTTACAGATGCTTTTCAGACTTTTGACTGACTGCCAAAGATGGGTACCCATATATGACCCTGCGCAAACGCATTACAGAAGCATACAAATGGCATTCTTATCAGTATTGGTTCGTGGCGTGCTTCTCGAACGGATTGCTCTTTCTTCAGATTCTGATCGCCGCTTCATTAACGGTGCTCGGTGCCTTTAACGACCGCCGGGCACGAACGGCGACCATATTCCTCGGGGCGGCCAACACAGTCATAGCGGGGCTGATGACTTACTTCAAAAGCCGAAACCAACCAAATCGATCCCGTCAGTTTCGAAACGATCTCGCCAAAATCGTCGACCAGCTTGACGACGCCGAAGCAAATTTCCGTAATCCGAACTACCACGATGACGTGTTCACTGTCATGCAGAATATCCGGCATTCATATAACGAAGCGAGGAGTGATGCTCAGGCGAATTATCCAGATCTCTGGGTCAAGTCGGGCAGTGTATACAGTCCTACGTTTCAGCCTCGGACGCCGGTGGATCCAGTGAGACCTCAACGGCATGAGACGGCGATGCCACAAAATCCGGCTAGCAATCCGCCTACGACTGTCAGGCCAATCCAATCCCCTGCAAACCCTGAGCCAGCTCACACGAGATAGTCATTATCCCGTGGAAGCCAGCTGAGTCACGAGGCAGAAAATATAATATACGTAAATCGGAACGAAATAGAAAATTTCTCTGTTGATGGGCGAGAATCAACAACCAGGGGAACTACGCTTCGACTGCTTACTGTCCATTTCCGACCCAATCGGCAACCCTTTCGGCAAGGGCATAAGTCGCCGCTTGGATATGACAGGCCACCGGGATCGGAAGTACGCTCGCGTCAACCACCCTCAATCCTTTCACGCGACAGTGGCTATCGACGACCTTTCCCATCGAACAAGACCCCATGGGGTGGTCAAGGCTATATCCAAAATCCCTGATTCTCTTGTCAATCTCAGCATCCGGAGTGTGCTTGGTGATTGTCGCATATCCCTCAGGAGGCACTTCATGAGAAACGAAAGATTGACCGGTCTCGGTCTCGAGGAAGACAGCAGATGCCTTCCTCAATGCTTCGCGTAAGATGAAGCGGTCGGTCTCCGTCTCGTTGAAATTGGGATCAATAATGGGTGGGTCTTCTGGATGGGCGGAGCGGACCATGACGGACCCTCTGGAGGTGGTCGTGAGGCACACGGCCAATGTGCTGATATGGCTTCCGTCCATCGCCGCATCGATGCCCGCCAATCTTTTCCCCAGGGCCGCGTACAGCGAGACGACTTCCATGTGCGAGGAATCCGGTCGAAGCAAGTATTTCTTATCCTCCTGGTTCTTGATCAGCGGTTCGAGTTGGGAGAGGTCGTCCAAAGGCCCGAATTCGATGAAATCCATCGGCCAACCGGCGAAATATGACGGATCAACAAACAATGGCGAGCCAATGGCCAGACCTTGTTCCGGATGTTTCAACTTCCACGTCAATCCCACCGCCAGATGGTCCATCAGGTTTTTGCCCACTTCGACATTCGAGGAGACCGTCGCGATGCCAAATTTCTCCAGGACGGCCGGATCACCGATACCGGAGAGCATGAGCACCTGTGGAGTATGATAGACGCCAGCAGAAACGATGACCTCCTTGATTGCGGCGATGTGTTCACCACCGACCAGATCGACGCCATTGGCGACAGGCTCGCCAGCCGACGTGGTGTCAAACGTGACACGATGCACGGTGCTGACGTCCCGAACGTCGACGAGAGACAGATCCAGAATCTTATTCGGCAACTGACGCCGTCCTTGCACCCAAACCTCCACCATCTCTGTCAGGCCATTCTGATTCCCATTGTTGCCGTCCGGATTATACTTCACGCCGGCCTCCTCCCAGGCCTTCCGCACGGGTTCACGGAGTGGATATTTTCTTTTCGGCCAGTTGGCCTTCATGGGCACAGCTTTCAAAGTCCCCTCATAGCCATGATGAGCTTCGTCAATTTCAACTTGGCCCTCTCCCTCACCGACAATCACTTGCTCCGTCTTCTTGAAATACGGTAACAGTTTGTCGTACGACCAATCGTCATCTCCGACGAGGTTGGCCCAATAGTCATAGTCGACTTTGGGTCCTCTGGTCCATGCCGAGCCGTTGATCGCGGCGCTGCCACTCAGTGCCTTCCCCACGGGCACCTGGGTCACGCGGCCGCCGAGGTGTGGATTCGCGGCCACATCGAGCGTGTACGCGTGCTGCGACTCGCGGGCCATATGTTGCCCCATGGCGTTGGTTATGCACTCGGTGGTGGAAGGGTCGGTGCCGGCTTCTAGGACCAAGACTCGTTTGTTGTCTGTCTCATTGGGTGGAAGGAGCTTGGAAAGGCGTGCCGCCAGCGTCAAGCCGGCTACGCCACCGCCGACGATGATATACTCGTATGACGAAGAAGACATGGTACGGTGGAGGCTTGTTGCTTTAGGCTTTGCTGATATATATACCACGAGTGTTGACGCCCGTTTATATTTCTTTCTTGACGCAACCTCGGCTTACTCTCTAGGACCTTCCTATTTTCTCTTTTTAGTCTTTCCCCTTGTCGTTTGTTCGTGATGGATATGTCCGCGCGTTCTCTCGAAATCTGACACGGGGATAGCGGCCGTCAGACGGGCTGAAGCGGACGATATGTAACGAGATTGATCTGATCCAAGTCGATCTGACCTGTATTTGCTTGACTTGACGTAGCTCACCCTGATCTCTTTCCGCTTTGCTTCGTTTGATTCACTCCGTTCAAGAATGAATACAAGGGTCGGGTCACCGGTGAATGTGATGTTTCCAACGGAATAGTTATCTAGTATAGGTGAAAACGAAGACGCACTTGCCAGCTCAACTGGACGAATGACGCTGTTCGATCTATTTATCCTCCAGTACCAATGCCCAAGTCTACCGGTTCTATTCCCAAGATAGCAAACGCAGAAAGTCGCTAAATTGTAGATTTCGAGAACCGTGGCGATGTTGTTATATTCTTACTGCATACCCAAGCCGTGCCCCGCTACGATGCGACTGTTGATTCTCCGCCGCCATTGGGTCCGATACCATCTCTCTCTCTTCACCGTTTTTAAGTCTTGGAATGTCCCAAATACTAATTGCGTGGACTGGTCCGATCCTGTGCTGCGGCGAGGAGCGAACGAATAAAATGGAGCCACGAGAGTAAGTATGGAGTACGGGTGCAGGGTGGTTAAGTCCACAGGTCCACATACAAATCACACCATGCCGCAAACTGTCATCGAAAATTCAAACTAGCAAGACGAAAAGCTACGACTTCGACCACACTACCCTTCCTGGAGGAAACACAAAGATGAAACATGTGGGCGAGAAGCACGAAAGGCGTGTCTTTCGCGGATCTAGCCTGTCTGGAGCAATCATTTTCAGCCGCAGATGTAACAGGCGGGCATTCTAACGGCATTGGGTGTCGGACGATGCTTCTCGAAAATCGGGGTTTCTTTGGTCGGTCTCGTGATTGGGATCCTCAGTCGTGAATGTACTCTGATACAGTTTTTGGAACGCCGGGTTGAAATTTGCATGGAATATCCCGTCTCGAGGAGAGAGATTCTTGGATCCAGTCTTTTCATTGGAACTGTATCCATCCTGCGCTGCCGGAAAAAAATAAAGCCCGCCATCTGTGAGCGAGGCGTAGACACGAATTTAGACGGTAGGCGAAGGCAGAGAATAAGCAAAAGCATTTCTGAAAAACTGAACTTAGTACATATTGCATCCGGAGCGCTCCGGAGTTATCGCCATATATTCAATACGAACACCTGCCAATCCCGACTCCGGTACCAAAGAAGATTGAAAAGAGTCAACAAAATGTCATGATTTCATCGATATGTCGCATGAAGAAAGATTTCATCTCTTAGCCGCATTGCATACAGCCTTGCTTGTTCGTGTAAAAGTTCAGACACCTGTTTCGCGGTTCGTTAGCTCGCACTGACCATCAAAGCCAGGTCTCAGTCACAACCGGTCCACTTACCCGCCGCCTGTTGCTTCAAACAGTAAACATCCATCTCGGGATTTATAGTTCATACTGCGGAAAAGAAAATTAGTGGATATGTGGTGGCATGGATATAGGAAAGAAAAGAGGTATCTGCCAGTCAGGTTTTGCAAGCGTCAAAGAAGCACGAAATTGGGGGTTCCAAACTGAGCATTCCATATTCAGCCGCCCTTCAACGATGCGAGAGGCCTTGGGCGGCTCTCATTCAAGTTCTTGGCCGCACTGCATTTGCAGAACCAATGGTTTGAGAAAATCGGGTAGAGTGATACAAAAATACTTACCATCCACTCGTGTTATCACCATAATTCAAGCAGCCTTTGGGAATGTGTGTCAGCAACTGTCAGAGCCAAATTTGGTGTATTGACCAGCCGCCATCGCAGGAGTCAAAATCCCGTACCTTCGGCATGATCTCCGTATACCATACATCCCGAAGCTCCATCACCGAATGTGCAGCAACCTTCCTCCACTTTTCTTTTATCGCATGGATCATGCTGCCCTGATGATGTGTGCTGTTGCGACTGCGATTGCGATGGTTGCTGCTGTGCTGGATCTTGCACTTGAAGTCGGTCGCCACTATGGGCAGAGGAGGATCGCGAAGATGCTTCGTACGGAGGAGGGGGATCCATACGGGGAAAGCTAGCAGAGGCTTCTCCGGTAGGCGAGGATTGAGGAGACCTGAGTTTCCCCATCGTCGATCAAGTCAGTTGATTGAAAGTGGTCTTGTATCTCAGAGGATGGTGTTCGATTTGAAGAATTGATCCCGTCGTCAACGGCGATGCGTCAACGAGTCGTGAATGAAGAGGGGCGCAATAAAGATGGTTGCGGAGGCGAGGGGTCAGATTCTGTGGACTTAGAACGATAACTCAACAAGGGCAGCTGATGAAAAAGGAAGAGTTAACCACAGGTTTAATATTGTGACTTGGTCTTGCACGGCGACCAGGAAGGAGTGAATCTGATCAACGCCTGACAGAAGCGCCGTTCAACTGTCGCATCATTGGTTTTGTGAACACGAATCCGAGTTGCCGATTGGTTTCTTTGGTGTCTGCCTTCAGTGGGAAACCTGGGTTGCAAAAGCTGAACTTGGGGTTAACGGTTGTGGCTGAAAAACCCAGGCCCAATCAAGTCGATTTGCCGACATTCAGTGAAATTTTTGCAGCCTGAGGCTTTGCCCAGTGTGGCTGACGAGATTCATGAGGATCCAGAGGATTGGACGATGGTAAGAGGTACAGTTTAGAGAAGGAATCCTGATGCCTGGATACTACAATGTTACGTAGGGCAGCAAGGAAAGCAACGGTCAGCCTCAGAGTCAGCCTGATGAACGATCACTCGTCATAGGGAACTGGCAATATATCGAGCAGCACGAGTCTTCTTCCATCACTCTAGTGTGTTTGGTAGAGAATCCATCTGAGGTAACGAATGATGAAATAGCAGATTGATGAGAAGCGACGGATGGAACGGTTTGTGGGCGTAGCTCACGTTCATCGCAACGGAGGATCTCGATAGGTCAGGTTTGGGGCGTGGTGGGCTAGGGAGTGAGAAAGGATTTTCTTGCGGTGGTGTGTTGCGCAGATATTGTGTACCAGATGTCTCCTCGAATTGTATTGGCAAAGGTGAGGAAAGGCAGAAGGGTTTTTCTCAGGTGATGCTGGATGAGAGTCAATCATCCACGAGTCACTTCTGCGATCCGATAATGTAATTTCAATCTGCCGCATCTCGTGATTTTTTCTCAGAGCGCGGGCCAAGCCACCGAACTGACTTGTCGTGGGCACCTAATTTTGAGTACCATCTGCCCCTGATCCATCCTCGACCCCCCCTTCCCAGGCTTGCTCCGGGCTAATAAGAATCGCCCACTGCGCCTGCGACAAACACTGACACTTCCCAGTCCCTCCGACAACAACCTTTCCCCTCCTCCCCAATTGTCCAATTCAATTCGATTCCGTTCCATTCACACATCTCATCTCTTTCATATCGCGTTGCGTCGGCAACTTGCACTCGTTTGTAATTATTTTCTATCCGCTTTCCTTCGATTCCCCTATTCGACAACATCTATACCAATCTTTACGCATCCTGACGACAGCCACTTTAACTCCTCGAAATCTCCCTCACTCCCCGGTAAACGGCCACCATGGGTCTCAATCACCACTATCGCTCGGTCTCAACCAACGATGAATCGGTTCCGCTCGCTCAGAAGGAGGGACAATTGAAATCAGGCTGGGGAAAGCAATCCATCCTGCTTTCGCTCGCCACGGGTACCCTGTTTGTTGCCATTGTCGCGGCCATCTTGTCAACAGTCTCATCTGCCGTGGTGAACTACACCTCTTCAGGGGCGGTTTCCACTGCCAGCGCTGAAGCCGTGGCCGCGAGTACGTCCATCCTCACCTCACCCTCGGCCGGACCGACAGGATTACTGGACGACGACACAATAACGAGCACGGACCCGGTCGATCCCACCTCTGACACTGCGGCGATCCAGGATTGTGGAGGTTCGCCTCAGGAGGCTCGAGATCGGGGGTGTGTTTTTGATGTCATGATGCAGCTTTGGACACCCGCACCCTGCTACGATGAAATCCTTTCCAACCGCTTTCTCGAGGTGGGCAACTGGACTTGGTATGCCGACACTTCCGCCACCAAGACTTACACATTGGAGGAAATGAGGAGAGGTGAACACGATGCAGTCTACGTTGCCCAAGATTATCATGTTACTCACTGCATCTATGCTTGGGAAATGCTGGTGCGTGCCATGAGAAACCAGGAACCTATGATCACCGAATTGATCTCTTATGATCACGTTATTCATTGTCGCCACAAGACTCTTCAGAGATCGGATGGAGGAGCTTCCATTCGTGGCGTGAGAGCGCCCACTGGTTATACTCAATGCGCGCCATATGATACCTGGAAAAACAACCTTCCTCCCAACGAGCACTCAACTACCGACTAATGGATTGCGCCACGAGTCTTATGTGATGCAATTTATAAACGTGTGGTGAAGGCGTGCATAAATTTCAGTCAGATCATCTTGGCAAATGTGTCCTAAATCTACCCCGGCCATCGATTTTGGCGTTCTCCTGGCCCAAGACCGTGACTTATACGGCTCTTCAGGCATTTTTCTAATTGAAATCACTGCTGGTGCTTCCCGGGCCACGATCCACACCTGCGCGATCTCAAACCCGATCCACCCGCGTCGATGTCCGATCGGAGAATACACCATGCGAGAAAATATGTCAAGCCGGTTCTTGGGCCGGGAGGCAGGATGACGAGTCGCCCGAAAGCGCGCAATTCCAATTACAAATCCTATTTACATCTCGATATGTTTTTGTGGAACTGAGAATTGTTTTGGACACCCATTTCCCTTTGTATATATTTGGTTACGAACAGGTTGTGGCGGCACGACCTTGGAAGCCAATCTCTGTGGAAGCAGTGCTATTTGACGGACTAGATGATAATTCTAAAATCTCGGATAAGGCTGAGAATATATACTATATTCTATGTCAAACATGACCCATTTGACTAATCCTGTGTCGCTAGGATCATCATGGAAAGATGTCTTTCCGATCCTGCCATGCCCGCCTCTCTTTTGATATAATTCTGTCAACTGCCAATGGTCTGCTCCCTCAACTCTTTGAAATCCCTTTGATTCGCAACTGGAGTGCGACCAGTATTCAATCTTGAACATCTTCAACGTGAAGCCCGATATGGGACACTAACGGAGCCGCTACGAGCCAAGCTGCTGTTGTCGATCGACAGAATTGACAATGCTGTGGGACGGGTGCTGCAACTGTCAAACAGGGTTATCTGAGAAGGTGAAAGGGAACAAAAACACCCCCCAGATTCGGTCGCTTACACGTAAAGCGGCTGCGGCGTCGATCGTGCTTCTCAAAAATGAGAGAAACACTCTTCCACCGTCCAAACAGCTGATCAAACTTGTGCCCTCGTTGGAATATTGGAAGAATCCGGCGGGGTGTGGAGGAGGTAGTTCAGAAGTCATCCTTACTACATCAGTACAACTGTGGCCAAATGGATTAAACTGAGTGCTCTGATGGGGGCTGTAGCCAGCAACTCGTTGTATTTTGGTATAAAGTATCAATGTCTTTGCTTGAATGTTTTTAATGCATGGTGCATGATCAAATACTTGACGCTTCTTCAACCTCGACTGCTTGTTGAATTGCGTCCCAAAGCCCGATTTGTGAGATATAGAGTCTGGTTGCGATCTCGAAGGGAGCCATGGAGAATTATCGTCGCCTCAGGAAGTGATCATGGGGTGTTGTATAAAGAGCTGCCAGATATACCAATGAAAAGGAGCCGCTTTAAGGTCACACGAAGCTCTAACCGTCATATTTTCTCCACAACAAATCGACGCAGGAGAACTCTCTTCTCCACAGTCCAGGAAACTTTTTTTTTTTTTTGAGACTCAGACATCTGCACTCTCTTTCCCTGACCACTTTCAATCATTGTCTAGGATGAATGTGCGAGAAATGGACGTCGACGACTTCCCAACTTCTCCGGCTAAGCGCCAAAGGACAAACTCGCCAGAGGAAACCCACGACACAAGTCCAATCCTCGAGGCGCAATCTCCCTTTGGCGCTGATGGCTGGCCAGACGGGCCACCGCAGCCACCGCGAGATATGACCCAGGTTTCGTCCACCACGAGAAAGTTTGAAGAAGCAGGCCCTGGAAAAGTAAATCTGCTGCACCGTGCGACTCTCGAGAACCAAGATTCAAATGCCCTTCTGGATGCATTGATGCTGCAGGTTGAAGCCGAATCTATTCCAATGCTCAAAGGGCAAACCACCTCAATTGACCCCGTGGTTAATACCGGCGCGAGAGAAGCCACCGAAAACGGAGATGTGGCCGGGAAAGAACTAGAGAAACGTAAAAGGGGGGGACAAGAGATAGACGGAGACGAGGAACAAGACAAACCCGCAGGCGGTTCGGGGGAGGGGCCATCACAGCCCCTGGAGGAAAACTCTGTTGCTGTCGGTGCAGACAACGATCCAATGGATGCGACGAATGGAGCCCCCAACAATGTAGACACGAATCCCACCAGTAATTATGTGAAGCAAGAGGATATTGCTGCTGTCAAACCGGACACTGACGACTTGACATTCTCGACGGGAAATACACGTGCCTTGGAAAAAGAGCCATTGCGACCACGGGGGGAGAATCTAGCGGCTGTTTCTACACGCGACGATCGTATGGATATAATTGACGGAATCGCAAATGGTGCGAATGAGAATACCGCCGGTCATCGCGAAGAACGAGGGGATGCTACCGCCCTCCACCCAGACACCAATACCTCGATACCGACCGTGGCGAATACGTCCAATACAGCAGCTGCCTCCCCTGACCCGGAGTCGATCACAGTGGACACAATTCCTGCCAGGGAGACTCCGCCTCCTGAACCCGGTGCTGAAGGTGCTGAGTGTGAAGTGGACTCTTCACCCTACGAGTCCTCAACTGATTCCGATTCGTCCTCCGACACTACTTCCTCAGAGGAGAGTGATGAAGATGCTGATGGAGACTATGCCATGTTGGACGCCGAAGCAACCGCTCGAATACTCATGCAAGGAGATGGCGGATCTGACGATGAAGGAGGTCGATTGCGAGACAAGACAGATGGAGCTCCTTTGCGAACGGCCAATGAACGAGCAGAAGAGATCATTCCCAAACCAGATATCACTGTCACCGAGGAGATGAAAATCGAAGAACTCGGAAACGTTGAATTTGTGGTCGAAAGCACCGTGGTCATAAAGGCCAAGACGTCGGGGGAATATCAAGTCCTGGAAGCCGGATCCTTAATCTGTCTCAAGGACCGAACGGTCGTGGGAGTGATTGCCGACTTGATAGGACGAGTGGAAGAACCCAGATACACGGTCCGTTTCACCAACGACGACGATATCCAAGAGGCTGGCCTGTCCGCCGTCGGGACCACTGTCTTCTATGTTCCAGATCATTCAACCTTTGTGTTTACCCAACCGCTGAAAAATATCAAGGGCAGCGATGCATCGAACTTCCACGACGAGGAAGTTGGTGAAGACGAAATGGAATTTTCGGACGACGAAGCCGAAGCCGAACATAAGCGCCAAATGAAAGCCAAGAGACAAGGAAGACTTTCGGAAATGGGAAGAGGCCGAGGCGGTTCGAAGTTCAATAGAGGATCTCATCGTGGTGGTCGGAGAGGAAGTCACAGTCACATTAACAATTCTGAGGGTGCCGCGTACGGGAATGGCTCGCTGGAAATGAACTACGATGATGTCGCCGACACAGGCGGTGACGACGAGTACACCCCCTTGCAACGGCCAGCGAATCTCGTGGAAATGATCGCCAAGGGAGAACAATCTCAGGAGCATGGTAATGGTTTGAGACACCCGCTGCCACTACCGCCTCCATCACCACAGATTGGCAGAGGCGACTTCGGTGGACGAGGAAGAGGCCACGGCCGAGGAGGCAGAGGAGGATATCGTCCTCATCGTGGTGCTGGAGGCAGTCTCAATCAACATCGAGCACCACCCTTCAACAACCACAACGATTCCACCAGCACTCATCCAAACGGCTTCCCGAGGAAAGATCGCTCCACCGCACTCACGCCCAATCTCAATCTCCCTCCCACCCCGTCAATAACACCACATAATATAACATATCCACCGGTGACGCCTTCCCCTATTACGCCACTGCCTTACGTCCCATATAGCTTTGGCGGGTTCCAGCCTTCATCGGCGTTCCCCTTTATGCCGCAATCCATCACTAATGCACCACCGTCAGCCGGTTTTCCCGACTTTCACGCTCAGCAACTGCAACAACAGCAGCAGCAGATCGGGCACCAACCCCAGCAGAATCAAAATCAAATTCCGCCGCCGCCGAATGGATCGGCCCCACCAAACCCCTTCGGCTCCGGGCCCTGGGCTAGTAATCCGGCGGTGGCGGCGGCGTTACAGCGGCAAGTGGAGGAAAAGAGAAGAAGTCAAGGGCCGTGATCTCAAATCCCTGTGTACGCGACACCAGGGGACGAAGACAGCCAGAACTAAATGGACGAGTATATAGTTCTAATGTGTTGGATTTCTCGGGGCTTATGCAGAACGAATGGGCCAATTCTCAGGAAGAATGTGATTTAGTAATTGAAACTAAACACATTGATACCTCGATCACTCGTTCATCCATTCGAGAGATGAATGAAGGAGACTTTTCAACCTGTGTATTTGCTGTGACGAACAAAGTCTGAATTGGAATCAATACAAGAGCAGACAGTTTTTCTCTTTTTGTCTTTCCCGTTTTCTTTTCTTTCCTTCCCTCTTCTCTTGACCCCTTTTCTTTTTGTGGATGGACTCTAATATAATTACAAGCAACGTATACTGTCTCCGCACGAATGACTACTTGGAACGAGATCCCCAAAAAGGAACTCTTGTCCATCTAATCCAAAGTTATGCGGGTGGTCTATGCGTCGCGACCGAGAACGACTTCCTATAAATGTGATATTAGGGGTTAGTCAAAGTCAATACCACATCAAAGCCGGGCAGAGAATGTATAGAATCGGAGATCAGAGCAGAACGTGAAAACAAAAAGAAGGAAAAAAGGGGGAGACTCACCCTACTCAACCCCCCATCTAGTCCTCTCACCCTAATTCCCGTCCAGTACTCAAACTGCCACAGGCCCTGAGTGACCAGCGTCTCGAGCCCTTGCACAGTCTTCCATCCACCAACGCTCTCCGCCATCTGCATCACGGTCGTTTGGGCCGGCTTATATGCAAGTTCGAGCAATGTACGCGTTGGGGCCGCTGAGCCCTGGCCCTTCCGCGCTGTCGACGTCGACGTCGCTGCGCTTGCGGAGTTCGCGAAGATGGTGCTTAGCGCCTTCCCCAATGCTGGATCGATAGGGATATCTGCGGGGATCGTGGCGATGGCGACGGCTGGCGGAGCGCGGATTGTGTCTAGGGACGCAGGAGATTCTGCATCCAGCACGACTAGGTCGTAGTACGGTGGAAATGTCGCAGCTAGTTCGAGAACTTTGGTGTAGCTGCGCCCGATCAGGTAGATTGGCTTGTAGCCCATTGTATGGAGGGTTTGGATTGCGGCGCGGGCGGTGCCGCCTCCTCCGATTGCGAGACCGGATTGTTCGCCCTCGCCTAGAGCCGCGGAGGCGCCGGCTGCGCGCAAGCAGTCCATCATGCCTAGATAGTCTGTGTTGCGGCCGACGAGTTTGTTTTTGCCTGGAGTCCGTGGGTCAGGGACCGGCACGATCGTGTTGACGGCCCCGATCAAACGGGCGGACGGGTCCACTTCGTCTAGAAGCGGCATCACATCGAGTTTCAGAGGGATGGTGACGCTAGCGCCACCAAAGTCATCGGCGCGGATTTTCTCCTGGATTACTTCTAACGAGGTCCCTTCGCATAGTGAGTAAGCATGCGGAAGGCCTGTTTCTTTGAATAGTGTGTTGTGCAGAGCGGGAGATTTGCTGGATTGGATAGGCAAGCCGAAGAGGTAGAATTGTTTCGGTACGATTTCGCCCATGAGTGTTAGACCTTGACGGATCTCAGTGGCCGAGAGTTGTCCTGGTGCTGCTTTAAAGGGCAGGGCAGGGTGAGATACGGGAGTCATAAAGCCGTTGAGGATGCGCGATGCTTGGCCTGTACGACCCATGTTGATGGCAATGAGTGGGAGTTCAGGGTGTTGTGAGGCGGACCAGTGCTTGAAGTTCCGCAGGGAGAAGTTGTCGTCGATGGTTTTGGCGACGCCAATCAATTTCACCACGTCTCCGTACTGGAGGCATTTATTGTACACGGGGATCCAGGAGCCAGGTTTGGACCAGGAAAGACGACCCCGTGGATCGTGGTGGGAGGCGATGATTTTGGTGTGGGAGCTGTTTTTCAAGTCGAGAACTGAATTGAGGAGGGATTCGGGGAATGAGGCCACTTCCAGGTCGACGAATTCGCAGCCCATGCGGGTCGCTAGCGTGCAGAGCTTGAGGTATTCAGCGTGTGCATGGTCCGGGAATCTGCCGCCTTGGGAGCTTGTTCTGATGGTAAACACCATCGGGAGCGGAACTGTAGCGCGGAGGAGAGATAATTGCGAAGTCACGTAGTCGGCTGATGGGATGTCTGAGTCCGAGCTTGGGTCCTTGAGAAGATCGACTCGGAGTTCCACCGCATCGGATCCAAGGCTGACTTTGGGTAGGATTTGCAGACGTGGTCGTAGGTCAGGGAATGTGAGAGCCGCAAAAAAGGTCACCTCCTTTTGCTTGAACTGGGACAGCACATCGACTTTGCCCGTGACCATCTGCAAGAAGCGATCGAAATCTTCAGCAGCTTCTGACATTTGCTCATTCGGGATGTGTTGGCTGTAGTAAAGGATATTGCTGCATTCCTCAAACCAGGGTTTTCTTCGGAGCCACACACTCATCATGTCCTCGACATAGGCCGGTCGTGTTTTGTCGATTTGGAGAAAATCCATCACCTGGCCGATGTCACGCTGGACTAAAAGAACATGGCCTTTCTTCTGGTGCCATTCGATCAACAGTTTCCGTGCTTCTGGCATCTCCACGATTCCTCCACCGCATGCAAAGACATGGTCATTCGGCATCTCCTTTATAACGGTTTTGAGAAGTGCTAGTTCCCGCTCTCGGAAATACTCCCAGCCACGCTCCCGAACTATGTCTGGGATCGATTTGTTCTCGCGAATCTCGAGTTCGGTGTCGAGATCGATCAATTTCTTGCCCAGGGATCTTGCTGCCCAACGGCCAGAAGTGGTCTTTCCAGCACCTCTCATGCCAACGATGAAAATGGAGGCGGCACTTCGATCCAGCTTTTTCCTTGTCTTGTGCACGGTAGACGCCAATTCCCTGCCTTCAAGCTTCACATCAAATTGTCGAGCCATGGTGTCCCACCATCCAGGCCATGTCTTTCCCGTACACTCTTTCTCGAGGATCAGCGTGGGTTGGGAAGCTGCTAATGCTAGAACGCTGAAGCTCATAGCAACTCGGTGATCGTCGTAGCAATGGACACCGTCTCTGGGTGGTTGTAGTTGTACCCGTTCCACACCGTCGACTTCGATGCCGTCGTCGAACTGTCGACATTTGACACCAAATTTCGCCAATTCGTCGTCCATCGCCTGTATACGATTGCACTCCTTTACTCGTTGATTCGCAATACCGTATATGCGAGTTGTATTCGTCTTTCCGCCTTGAGCAACAGCTGCCAGAACTGACGCAGTCAAAAATGCGTCGGTCATTGGCTCCATGTCGATGTTTGGTAGCGATATTAATTTCCCTTGGCCAGGGCCGGTCACGGTGGTAGAAGTGAGAGTCTGCTTGACATTACATCCCATCGGTCTCAGGACGTCGGTGGCGAAGCGTGAATCTCCTTGGAAAGAGGCCGAGCCGATGTTGGGGATGGTACATGTGGTGCCGGTGATGGCTGCGATTGCTAAAGGATACGTGGCAGAACTTGCATCACTCTCCACGACGTACTCCTCTGGGTTTTGATAGTGGCCTTGCGGAATGTGATAGGTATATTCCTCTGTCGCTGATTTGGTAACTTGGATACCGAAAGAGGCCATCATCGCGACGGTCATCTCGATATATGGTTGCGAAACAGGTTTCCCACCCACAAGTTTCAGGGTCACAGGCTTCTTCGCATAAGGTGCACACATCAGAAGCGAAGAGACATATTGTGATGAGACTTTGGCGGCTAAGTTGATTTCACCACCGTGGAAGCCGCCCGAGGCCGCAATGTTGAGTGGGAGACACCCGATACTTTCAAGATACTCCATCTCGGAACCATTCGCTTTCAGGGCGTCGACAAGATCTCCGATGGGTCGTTGCTTCATACGGGCGTTTCCGGTGAGAATCGTCGATGCTACATGACTCTGTCGGGCCAAAGTAGCGACGGTCGTCAAGAATCTGGCAGCCGTGCCAGCATTTCCAAGATAAAGCTCGTGTTGGGTGGCTTCGAGGCGACCACCATTGCCGTTCACCACGAGAATCTCACCGTCTTCCTCCCAGGAAAAGGTGGCGGCTCCAAGCCGAGTTAATGCCTCCAGCATGACTTCCGTATCGGCCGATGTGAGAAGATTCTTGACACGACATGTGCCTTGGCCAAGGGCCGCCAAAACAAGAGCTCGGTTGGAAATGCTCTTGGACCCTGGAGGCACACAAGTCACATTCAGATCCTTGGGCACGCCAGGAAGTACCGCGACACTTGGAGACAGCACCACACGAAGATCAGAATCTGACACGACGCTGGCTTTTGGCTCGTGAGTTCGACCAATGGCTGAAAGAAGAACCACTTTCTTCTTTGCGCCGTCGTTCTTTTTATCCACTCCCATTTTCTTGAGCATGTCATTCACCGTGCATACCTTGCCACCAGACAATTTACGCACTCTTTCATCATCGAATCTCGTGGGTAGGCCATATGCAGTCAAACACTTCTGCAAACGGCCGACGGCGGCTCCGCTGAGAATGCCCAGATATCGAGCAAGCTCTGCTTCCTTGACCATGCCGATGGCAACGCATTCCCCATGAAGGACTTGAGGTGTTAGGAATGCTTCCATGGCATGTCCAATGGAGTGACCGAAGTTCAACAAATTTCGTAGGCCTGTTTCTCGTTCGTCGATAGTGACCACGTGAGCCTTGAATCTCGCCGATGCAGATATAATTCTGATCAAAATAGCCTCGATATCCTTGAATCTAGCCGCGCCTTGACTGATGTCGTCATTGACCGCTGCCATAATACGTTCAGCAGAGTGTTCGAGGGTAATGAATTCTTCCTCGTCTGAAATGGCTGCGGTTTTGATGACCTCAGCCATCCCATTGATGAGTTCTCGTCGGGGGAGAGATCCAAGGAAATCGAGGTCAATGTAGATGCGCTGTGGTTGCCAAATGGCTCCAACGAGATTCTTGCCAAGAGGGGTGTCGATGGCTGTCTTGCCGCCAATGGACGAGTCAACCATGGCGAGAAGGGTGGTGGGAACTTGAACGAATCGGACTCCGCGCATGTAAGTGGCAGCAACAAAACCTGTCAGGTCGCCAACCACACCACCTCCTAGAGCGATTATGACGGTGTCTCGACCGCATGGTGGGCTTTGACTCAGAAGCCAGTCTTCAATGTCATCCTTTGTTTGTCGAGATTTGGAGCTCTCACCAGGAGGGATCTCGTGGACCAATAATCGTGATGGAGTTTGTTTTTGCTTAGCCGCAATGTCAAACGCTTCCTGGAAGCTTTGTATGTAGAGAGCCCCGAGATTCGTGTCGGTGATTAGGACGTAGGTGGATGACTCGAAGTTGGTGAGTAGATCCGAGGCCACATAATCTCGCCATAGACCGAAATTTATGATGATACTTTCTTTACCCAGGAGACTCACTCGTACCTCCTTCGCCGTCCCATTGACCAACGGCATGATTGCACATAAAAAAGTGTGGTTGGAGTTAAAGAGCCAGGCCCCAGGGGCCCAGTCAATTGAGCTCCAAGAATTATTTTTATGGCTTGGCAGCCTCCGGTCTCGGCAGACATTAAAGTTTGTTCTAGCTCAGCCTTGCATTGAACTGATGATTGTGATTGGACAAAGCTATCGATTAAGCGGCGCCAGGGGCATGTGCTCGGTCCGACGAGGCTGCGACCAATTTGTCTGGACAGCATTTTCTTTCGCCTGACTCGTCGTGCTCCGGTGCTCATCTGCCCGGTTCAGGAGGCTTCACGGCAGGACGGGGAAATATTCGATAGTTCGTTCATGCATTCATTCAAATAGTACGTTGATTTGGATAATACATCGCTGGTCCATAGAATTACTCTCCGAACTCCATACGCAGCCGCTCAATTTTCACCCAAATATCGCTCAAATGCCACCACATTCGTCCACAAGATCTTCTGACCAATCCATCATGGTAGACGCCTTGCGCAATGGTGAAAATGTTTCACAACAAGCAAACAAAACATCCAGTGGTAGGGCCGTTGCCTGTCTAATTCTCCTTTTTGGCATTGCTGGTCGATTGTTTCGTAGCAGGCGTAATTCGAGGGGATGCATCGCCATCACCGGACCCCGTTAGGCCATCCTCGGGAGGAACTTCCGGCTGAGATTCGGCATTGCAAGAATTCTCTGAATTAGCATTTGCGGCTTCGTGATCGCTAATAGCCGGAAACGCAGAACTGTCCATGACACTGGGTCTGCGAGGAACAGTGTGCTTGTGCCCCGTAGCAGGGTCGTCGACAAAATTGAAAGTGCTGGTTCTGCCTGGCTTATTATAGCCCCTGTGTAAATCATCAATATCACCATCAGCAGCCTTTGATCCGTCTGCCGCTCGAATGAGCTGAGGACCCATATGGGGATTTCTCGTCAAGCAGTTCTTTTTCTTTTTGTACGTGTACCACCATGACTTGTCGTCCTCGCGAATGTGAGGGAAAAGATCCCACTTGTCCATGGATTCCTCCTCGTCGGGTGCGAGTGCAAGCCAAGCATAGAGATCTTGACGTTTCTTTGAGCGGTCTTTCTCTGACTCAGGAACCCGACTGATCCATTTTTTATCTTTTCCTTCTCCTACCTCTTTGAACTCATACGAAGCCGGCCACTCATATATCTCCGCCCTTAAGCGGCTCCCGATCCAACATTCGCGCTTCTTGACAAATCCGTCCGACATTGCATTTTCGTCGGCCTCATTAGTCCTGCTGGGTGTAGGCCTTCCAAAGGAACTCTTCATCCATTCGTGAATCGTGGGCTTCCATCTGGAATCATCACATCCTAGCTTGAGCACAAGAAGAATTGTCGGTAGCACAAGGAGGGCCACCGTGTACATCTGGCTTGCTAGATCTGCCATGCCGATCGCAACAATGTGCACCGCAAACACTGCCCATCCGATCGATCTGACCAAAACGTATCGTTGGGGATGCAGAAGGTTGGGTCCTTCGATGAAAACGGAGGGCGGCTTTAAGAGTTCCTTGGGCATAGAAAAGGTAACTGCCTTGGAGTCTGTCTGAATGATGAGGACCTTGACTTCATCTCCCTTCCAGACATTGCTGAAATGCCTTGGGTTCGGTCTCATAGGAGGGGACCCTTCACCTTTCGCGGCCGGTTCTTTAGCTTCGTCAGAGTGATCGGCTGAAAAGTTGCTTTGGATGGAAGGATTCTTGCCCGTAGCTGCAACAGTGTTGACATTTGTCTTTCGATTCCTGGTGGCTGATTTCCTCTCTTGTTTCCTTTGATCCTTCCAATCTTTCCATTCCAGTCTCCGCGCTTCGTAAGACCCTTCCTCTATGGTTTTAGTTGAGTGGCTGATAGCCTCATCTATCATGGCGTCGACCGCTGCGCGTTGCTGGCCCAAGACATACGTGCGGACAACTACAGATACGACCATGGCCAGGGCGTTGGCAAAGCCGTACCAATCTCTAGACAGGACTGTCATCGCGATGAGGAAACCATTGAACACAAAGCTGATGATGAAAGAGGTGATAATTTCATTCCTTCGAGACTTGGGTGGAGTGACCGTCCATACCACATAGCTCCGAGTGACCTCGAAATTCTGAGAGAGCATCCATCTTGTCAGCCAGGCCGCGAGGTCGGTCGTGTGAATACCCTGGGTAATGTTGTAGAGGTTGAAGCCGGCCGCCTTTTCGGTAAACCGATCTCCAGCAATGACGAAGGCACCCAGCATAGGGAGATACTCCAGATAGGCGCTCCTTACGAGCCGCCCGACGGCCGCGTTGATTTCCTCGGCTCCTAGTAAAGTAACGAGACCGAGGGCATCGATTTTGAAGGGCGCCCATTGATATACAGCTTCCCAAGGAGCCCAAGATGAGGTGACTGTTTGTTCCGCCATGATTGGGCTCGGGATTGCAGGTGGGAGGTGGATTCAGGCGACGGACCGCCCTACGTAAGTCCAGACGATACAAGGCTGCACATTAATTGAAGGGTTCACAACCTGAGATGCAAGTTTCATGAGGGTATACTGCGGCCGTTAAGCATGCACTATAAGAGAAGGTGCATCGATAGGAGAATCAATGTTCCAAGCCCTAGTGATTGTCATTATTATTCGAAGGATAATAAAAAGCTTGGAGAAAAAATATCTCGACCCTTGAAAACTGTTTCAGCCCCCACGAGGAGATCCGACATGCCGAGAAATAGCGGGCGCCAGCACATCGCCCTAAAGACGAGGCTTCTCCTTGCGTGTTTCAGCCGAATTGTGACTAAAGGCTGAAGGGGGCTCCCAGACGAGTCGGTGTTGTCGAGTATGTGTTCTCTTGATAAGGGTGACGTTGCGCTGCGACACGCTGAAACTCAGCCTTCCACGTGATCCAATGGTATCAGGCTGTCTTCAGCAGACGTAATCCCAAGTTGAATCTTCACCCGGTTATGTTTTTGAATTCTGTCCAGTATTAATCGTACACTCGTCCATTCGTTCAAACACATGCTCCTTGAAAATCACTGTGTTCTACCAAATAGCTGCTGTCACAAAGGCTAGAGCAACAATATTTCAAAGACGAGGTATTAGCTGTCGATTCCATTTCCGCCATTGATCAATGCAATGTTTCCTATCTGCGGCTTCCATAAGCGTCGAGATTGTAGATGGAGCTCTTCTCATACATCGATCAAGCCATCGAGTTTGTCAATTTTGGCGACATCGGGTCGAGCTTTCAGACTTGACCACCATCTCGACTCCGATGCTGTCTCCATTGGGTCTTCCAGTCGATCCTTTGGTGGAAACGCTCCGACCGAGACACGATCAACCAAGAATTATTGTTCACATTATTATGGAAAGATTGATTTTGTTTAGTATCTCGGCCTGAAACGCTCTTCCCTGCTTGTTCTGCCCAACTTGATCCCCAAGAAGCCTCTTTTCAAAGCATTGCTACCACACTGGAAAACTGCCTATGGGTTCTCCATTATCTATCATAAAGAAAGTCTGGTTCAAGTTGAGACTGGAAGACTTGCTAAGCAATGCTGAACTGGGGAGTGTGAGCATATATAAGAACGAATTCGTCATCCAAAATGCTCATGACCGTTCAGATCTCCATTACTCGTCAGAAGAATCATTGCACTCATACTCACCATTTCGAACAAAAGTTTCAGACGGCTTGTTACCACCACTAATGAGTGTAATCTCCGTCCTAACTTGCAGCTTGTCGTGTTCTAATACTAATCTCTGAAGCACAGCCACGTCATGTCCTCTAATATTACCACTCAAGCCTTCAACCCAGTCTTGCAAACTCATTCGAAAACTCCACGGGGGCTTGTCAATTTCCCTCCTCTAGCCCTTTTTATTCCCATCCAACGCATGCTATTCCGTCTCATCTAGCGGAGGCTGCTGTGTCGACACTATTGGGCTCTTTGCAGTTGAATTTCAGGGACGTTGCACTATCTAGACAATCAGATGACCCTCTGCCTGATGCGCGGGACCCTTCTCCTCCTACACAACAACCAGATTTCAAATCTGATCTGAAAATTTGTGTAAAACGTCGCGATCCTATCACTGACCCACTTCTGTCTCGTCCTGTTTGCAGTGATAAGCTTTTTCTCCCCAGAGGCTATTGTCGATATATTATATTTGTCGAAGAAGCACATATTCATGCTGAAGTCGCGCACAGGATGAGATGTGGAGTTGATGGGAAATATTTGGCGTTATGCACGCATTGTATAAGATTTGCATTGCATTAACCTTGAGGATCACGGGAATTCGACCAAGGCAGGCCGCCAAAGAGATCTGATATCCATACAGGGGACGCGTACCGGGCAATAGAACACTAAATTATTGGGAATCTCATTCAAAAGAAGCTGTTCTTTTCCATTCTTCTATGTGAAGCTTCTCCTTTGTGCTTAGCGTTAGCTCATTCTACGTTTGACTCCCATCGGCAAAGCTGGGCAACGGTTAAGTACAATCCCTTCATCTCCAGCACAGGGCTTTCCCTCTTCCGAGAAATGAGTGATCCCAGTCGAGTATCTTTCCCTCATGAGTGCCGTTGATTTTTGACCTTGTCGAATGGAGACATCGCAAATCGTGAGTCCTCGTCGGAAAGTCGCGGCTGCCTGTGGACATATTCAGGTTTTTTGAGGTGGGAGGCAATTGGATGTGGAAGTGTTGGATTGGAAAAAGACGCCGAGACTGGCAGTGGTGCACTGGTGTCCTTACTCCTGAACACTCGACGGCCGCTTACCAGCCGCTGGCACCGGTATTTGCTTCCTGGGCCCAGTCTCCACCAGTACTTGGGTCATTCCAGTTGGCATCGGCCTGGGGAGCACCCTCGATACCTGGGGCCGTCCCAGGCTCTCCCGTCCAATCCGCATTGTCTGTGAATCCACGGTCAACAGCACCAGGACCCGCCTCTTCTGCACCAGGCAATTTCTCCTCTTCCTTCTGTTCCTCGGCTTCAGGGTCACGGTAAAAGTACAGATCGACCACGACGTCCCATTCAACCTCACGGTTGGCGAGGGTGCCTCGCAGACGGAGAACCTCACGAGCCAATAACCACCAGATCAAACCGATGGCGTGACGACCCTTGTTGTTGGTGGGGATGGCAACGTCGACGAATTCAGTGGGAGAATCGGTATCGCAGAGGGCAATGACGGGGATGTTCACATAGGAGGCTTCTTTGATGGCTTGAGCGTCGGTGCGAGGATCCGTCACGACGATCAGGCGAGGCTCCTTGAACGAGCGGGTGATGTAGTTGGTAAAGTTACCTGGGGTGAAACGACCGGCGATGGCGACGGCTCCGGTGTGTGCGGCGAACTTAAGAACAGCACGCTGGCCGTAGGGACGGGCAGAGATGACACAGATATCAGCTGGGTTGTCAACTGCGGCAATGATGCGGGCTGCGAGGACAATCTTCTCCCTGCAGAGACCAGAAGTCAGCATTGAATTGCTCGAGCGCAGTTCGCCCGTGAGGGACTCTCGACTTTGATCCTGCAAATGGCAAATTGGTTAGGGAATTCCGTACCAGGTCTTGGAGATGTTGATCACGTTGATGCCATCAGGACGAGTCTTCCACAGGTATGGTTCCATGTGAACCTGGAGGTTCTTAGATCCCAAGTGACATTGTGCGGCCAGGAGCATTTCAATGTCCTGGGACGTAGGGTTGAAGATCGGAGGGAGGTTCGCTGGGCTCGCCATGTTTACGACTGAGTATGCGATTGCAATTCAGTCGGAAAGCGAGTTGGGTTGTAGAGGGGAGGACGAACGAAGGGAGTGTTGAAGACGTTGAGCGTCCGCGCCAACCTCTGGACTTTTTTTTTTTCTGGGACCGCAATACCAAAGTGGAAGTTAGGGCTTGCCAAGATTTTCGAGTGACTTTGAAAGACCCAATTAGACTTAGTGCTCTCCCGGAGTCGGAGTTATGCTTTTCCGAGACGAAGTTCGAGATTGGAATCATCTCGTCGAGGATGAGATTTGTATCCTTCATCAACGCATTCTAGACGATGCCTCCACGCGCATCACCCGCCGTGACGAGCAGTATCTTTAACCGTGAGCCTCTTCCTTGCTCTCTAATTGATACGACTAACGGTGACCTCAGTAACCAGCCTCCTCCAAAGCTTGCCATCTGTGTCACGCAATCAAGCCTTGACAAAATGTTCGACGTGCCTCTTCTCAACCACAGCTCCCCTGGAAGCAAAGCGTGCCAAAAAGCGCAAGGTCCGTAAACACACCGACCCGTACCGATTAGCCCAGGCGCGACAGCGTAAATCCGCAAACGAAGCACGACAAAAAGTGTTGCAAACCGAGCGGAAGTTGGCAATGGGCGACCCTATCCGATCACGGCCAACGCCATTTGTCAACTCTCTGCGCTCCAATACCTCCGTAGAAACCATCAAAGAGTCATATTTGAATTACTTCCTCAAGAAAGAAGATATGGACAAGTCGTTGGAATACTCGAAATGGCTCACGGAACCCCTGCCGGAACCCAACCCCATTGAAGGGGTACCATACAACCTAGCCGACAAGATCCAAAAACATGCGGCCTCACACGAGAACGCATCGAAAGCTTTATTGGCCATTGCAGCCTTGGAAAATGGCAGCAGCAAAGATCGCACGCGAGTGAATATTCAAAGGTGCATTGAGGAGTTTGGCCGACACAATACTGACGGCGTCCTGGCCCCCCGGCTTCAGGGCAAGTCAGCATCTGGACAGACATCGGTCGAAAGCGGAGACGAAAACGCGATAAAGGTTCCCAAGCACGTCGGACAAGACACTGGTTCCTCAGAGGTCCAGATCGCCATTCTGACGGCTAAAATCAACGTGCTTGCCGACAATTTGCACAAGAAGGATAAAGCCAACAAACGAAGCTTGCGACTTATGGTGCACAGGAGGCAGAAATTAATGGCTTACCTGCGGAAGCAAGACAGAGGTGGCGCAAGATGGCAAAATTTGGTGGAGAAACTTGGACTCAGCGATGCAATGTGGAAAGGGGAGATCAGCCTGTAACATAATGGTTCTGGAGCAGGGAGCTAATTATTATACTATCCATGCATCGAATTACCCGCATCCTGATGACCAGGAGGCTTTTTCACACCAGGTCGCCGTTTCAATTTTTGTTTGGCGTTCAACTCACGCCTCTTCCGCCATCGACATCAAATGCTGCTCCGGTGATATAGTCCGCCTCGTCCGATGCGAGAAAGCACACCATGTTCGCGACATCCGCTGGCTGGCACACACGACCCAATGGAACTGTCCCGAGCACTTTCTTCCGCCCTTCCGGTGTGTCGTGACCACCGAGAACCTTGGGCAACCTGCCGAATATGTCAGAGTGGACTTTCCATCACCGAATCTAGGGGTAGTGGATGGACTATTCTCTCACTCACATCGCAGTCTCCCCTACCGCCGGTCGAATGCAATTATATCTGATCTGATCGACCGCATACTCGGCAGCTAGTCCTTTCGTCGTCTGACAGATTCCACGCGTAAACACGCGCGCATGATCAGCCATTTTCCAATCCATTCATATATTCGCTCGGTTGTTCGTGTTCCACTCGAGGAAACCCATTTGAAAAAGCAAGCCAGATGCAAGCACGACAGGAGTTCGTTCTTGTACTCACCACTGTCACCGCGCCTTTACTCGCGGCATACCAGACCAGGTTGGGCCTCGGTCTCGGCTCACTAATACTACTCAAATTGATAAACAAGCCGGGCTTTTTGTTTTCTTTCCACCACCGCACAATCACCTTGGTGCTCAAATACAATGGCTTCACGTTGACTTTGAACATCATATCGAACTGGTCCTCGGGGACCTCGTGAGACGGGGCGGCAATGTGCACGACGCCCGCACAATTTACCACGACATCGAGACGGTTGGAGAATTTCGTCAATGTTGTTGAGAGGATGTCATGCCACGAGGACTCGAGAGTGATGTCGGCTGTGAACGGGTGGACCGTGCCGGAGGGGCAGAGAGAGGCCGTCTGGGCGTTTTCTTCGCCGTTGATGTCGACGCCGACGACGGAGGCACCTTCGGCTGTGAGTTTTTGGACGATCTATGTGCAGACAAGCGTTAACGGTGTTGGAGACATGCTATTGGTCTCGTCAAGGGGGCTCCTTCTCGGATAGGTTCATGTGTTCCGCTTTTAGAAAATATACAGACATCATGCATGGGTGCATGTTTCCCCAATTCAATCGCCTCTCAGACAAAGTCATCATTCCAATGATACATCCTCACAAGGGACAATGGGGGGTCGATCTCTTGAAAAAGACTTACACCTCGTCCAAATCCTGCCCCGGCCCCTGTTACAATGATGACTTTTCCCTCGAGTCGGCCCATCTTTCAATTACCAAGCCCTTGCACCAGAGAATACTAGTGTGTATTGGCTGTGCCACGGATGAGATTGAATCGAGAGCATCGCCAATCCCGGTAGAGGAGTCAGTGTTATATTTCGCCAAATTTGGATCCCCATTCTGAACAGGTCTGTCCATTCGTGTTTTACTCCACTTTTGCCCGCATGAACACCTTTGCGGAGAAAAGGCTGAGGGGGTTGTCGACAGCAACCGACCGGGGTTGAACCAAGACACCATAGGAGTTTGTTGCGGAGAGAGGGCATGCGAGCAGATTGAAACACCTCGGCTATGGCCCCGAGCCCCGAGCTCGAGGAAGTTATTCATGAAGCCAGTTCTGCCAGTCCTGGGAGTCTCGGAGACCACCCATCTAGTCGCAATTTCATACGTGAGAGACCAATTCTTCCCAGTCATGGCGTCAATCAATCAGATGGGCGAGGGAACATTACCCACGGTGTCCGAACTCTTCTCCCTCCAAGGCAAAACAGCAATCTGCACGGGCGGTACTGGTGGGCTCGGACTCTCGATGGCAATTGCACTTGCCGAAGCAGGCGCAGATATTGTCTCAATCCAATTAAAAGACGATCCAAGAGCGTCGATGCTAGAGGAAGGAGTCAAAGCGTGCGGGCGAAAGTTGCAAGTATTCGAGGCCGATGTTGCTGATTCAGCGGCGTTGAGGGCGTGTTTTGCGAAGATCTGGGAAAGTGGTGTCACGCCGGATATTCTGCTGAATTGCGCGGGAATTAATCGACGGGCGAAAGTGGAGGATTTCACAGATGAAAATATCGATGCGGTAGGTTCAAGTTAAGATTCCTTGATAACATGGAACGCCAATCACGAGGAGGATGTGGACGAGATCAGGCTGACTGCGGCAAAGGTCTTTCAAATCAATTTGAAGGCATCGTTTGTGGCTGCCCAAGAGATGGGGAGAAGGTTGCTGGAGTTGAAGCGGCCGGGCAAGATCATCAATATTGCCTCGATCATCTCATTCATTGGAAACATCAATATCGCGGCGTATGCTTGCACGAAGGGAGGCGTTCTGCAGATGACCAAGGCAATGAGCAACGAGTGGGCGTCCAAGGGCATCAATGTGAACTGCATCTGTCCTGGGTAAGTTTGCAACCAAACCCTGGCCAATTGGAGAGAGCCAGGCAGCAAGATTCATCGGTATTCATCTTTCTTGCAGATATATCAAAACCGCCATGACAAAGGTATACACGGACGATCCAGAGTATACCAATTACATCATCGGAAGGACCCCCGCTGGCCGATGGGGATTACCTGAAGATTTCCGAGGAGCCATCATCTTCCTGGCGAGTAAGGCGAGTGATTTCGTGTGTGGGACCAGTCTTGTGGTGGACGGAGGGTTGATTGCGAAATGAAGACCATATCCACAACGATTCGATGATCAGTTCGATTTCGGTGCCTTCGCGTGATTTCCCAGAAGGAAAAAGTGCTGCAGTTCCCGTGCAATAATTTCCGGTTTTCCGCCTTGTGCCTTATTGCATGTCACCACATGACTAACACCTTCGAGTTCCACGCGCCTTGCATGGGGTATGACCTTCTCCAGCTCTCGAACGGCACGCCTCAAATATGCCGGACTTCGGCTTCCGCCTAAAACCAGAGTTTCGGTCTTGACGGCGGCGAGTGTCTCCAGGTTTTGTTCTCCGAACATCTCTGCTCCCACCTTGAAATCGTTTTGAAGCGTTGAAGCGAGTTCCTGAAATGATGGAGGAGTCATCGAGTCTTCACGGGGGGGATTACCCTTCTTGCTCTTCCTATTCGCGGATTGTTCACCCCCGAGCATCATCTTGGACAGCCACACTAGTAGTACCCGTGGGAAATATTTCGAATGAAAAAGGGGCGGACCCATCTGTGTTCCCAGCATCGCCGTGGTGAGGGCTTCTGCCACTTCACCTCGACCGATTTCTTCCTCATATCTCCGAACCCAATCCATGGTGGCTTCTCGCTCCGATTCCGGTAACCAGGGCGGCTCAAAGACCGCGATGCGCTCGATGTGAGATGACGGAGCAGCGAGTGCTGCTTTCAACGTGATAAACGCCCCTGAGCTCACGCCGAAGATGTATTTCGCACCCGTGCTGACATGGATCGATTCGACATCTTGAACCTCCTTCCGTGTTGAATAGTCCTCGCCCGTGGGCCCGGATTTGTTGCGTCCTCGTCGGTCCGGTAGATAGCACGTGAAGGATTGTGAGAGATGTGTCGCAAGCTCACTATGGCTGAGGCCGGCCTGCATGGCGCCGTGAAGAATGATCAGACCAGGACCCGAGCCGATTTGATAATAGGCAATCTTTGTCCCATCTTTCGAATGCGTTGTCTTCAGTTGCAGGGTCATGATTCAGGATTTCCTGGAGACGGCTGCGGCACCGAGATGCACTTATCGAGAAACCGACGTGCTGGAAATGTAGTGCCAACAAGTATAAGTTGGTAACATTGGAGCTCCCTCCACGGAGCGTCTCCCACTCAGGTTAGGCAACAGCAATATTCGGGGCAAGGGATCCGCGCGCCAGTTTCTGCCAACTTGAGCTTTCACCCCTCGATGGTTCTGAGTTCCTCGTATTCGTGTAGTTTGGCATGCGATTGGCCGAATTGCGGCAGTGAATGCCATTTTGATTTCCTGAATATGTCGGACAAGACTGAAGGGGAAAGACTTCGGGTCAAATGTATTTCCTATTGGGCAGTCTAGCCCCTTTGGCTACATTTTCAAGCCCGTTGATTGGCTAACGATTTCCAGCCTTGAAGCTCCATCAGATTGTACGAGAGCCCCGTGGATGATATGAGATATCAATGCCATAGATTTATGGCACGATTTGGGACCAACGTGTGGCCAAAACTCATCATCAGACGAAACGACATTTCTTGACTAATGGTCTCGTCCAACCTTCCACGGCCAGAGTTTTTCTCGTAAAGACCGTTTGTTTCCAACCTGAGGAGCCTTTTTGGCCCGAGGGCTTTCAACAAGCCGAAATCAAGACGAAGAATATCATCAGAGGTCTCGGACAGTGGCTTGGCTTTGACTTGGTCCACCTTGCCAGACCGAGACCAGTATCTTGCGGGACCTCAAGGTCATAAGTATCTTCTGCTCGGAATCCTGGATTCAACTGATATCCTTTTGCACGGGCAAATAGTCCATCGATATCTTGGAGCTCGGGCTGCGGAGAAAATGTGTGTAGAAACCATGCATGACGTAGCTCCATGGCCGCTCGCGTCCGGGCGTGCTTTGTTTCAAGGAGCAGCGTATAGTAACTTCGATTCCCATCAGATCTAGAGTAATCTCGCTCTCCACGAACCCTGAAATGGTAAAACAGGAATGCAGCGACACAATTTCATCGTCGTCGAGTCCCAAATCAATGCCCAGCACATGCCACGGCAGATCTACACTGGTAAACTGACGAAATATGGTGAACTCTGTAAGGGGTTTGGGCGCCCAGCACGCTCCCAGGAGAGTCAGATGCCCGTCATCAAAAATGATTTCGATTTTTCTAGGGCTGGAGGTCATCTCGAAAAAGGGTTCTCCACATTTTGACAGATATATAGTATGTTTTGCAACACGGTTCAACCCTCCTTTGTCGATCTGAGATGTGCTACCCGCTCAGCCAAATGTCCTGTCTCCTTCGTCCTGTTTTCTGGATCGGAATGGAAATTCTGCTGCCGTTTGTCTCCATGGTCTGAGCACGCTAAGACAGTTAGATAATCCATGTCTTCAGATTCAAGAATAGGGAACGGGCACCAAATTCGGCTACTGTTGAGCCAATCACGTAAGCCCATGGCTTGGCGGCATCACGTGATCACATGGGCAAACCCCCTTGCCGCACCGCCATCGGATCCAGTCTGTGGACCATGTGCCGGCGGGTCCCTTACTCGATAGAAGTCGATATCGACATGATCCACGCATCGGATCCAGTCTATGGACCACCTAGAGAAGCTCTATTGATCACATTTGACATGGTTCGTAGATCAGATCCGATGAAAGACCACTGCCATCGGATCCAATCGGTGGACCATATGGCCGGGGGGTCACCCTATTCGATAGAAGTCGATATCCTCGATATCGAGATGGTCCATGGATCGGATCCAGTCCGTGGACCACCTAGACAAGCCCTACTGATCAAACTCGGGATGGTTCACGGATTGGATCCGATGAAATACCACGAGTCATCGGATCCGATCCATGGACCATGTCCTCCGTGCGGCTCGTCTGTCTTCTAGCGGTCCCACGACATTCGACAGGCTATAATCGCAGATACCAAATTGAGATCATTGAGGAACCGCTGGCCGATGGTCAGCTCACCCTTCTTGTGGAACTGGATGACGCCGCCCTGTGCTCTAACCCTGGCTCACCAGGTGAAACCAGTGTAAAAGCAGCTACGGTGCCATCTAGAAGCGAATGTCGTGGACGGACGGGTTTAGTGAAGTATTGATAGTCGTATTCAAATCGCCAAATCTAACCTCACAAAAGCCGGTTTCGTTTTTCAGATATAGACACCTGTTATTTTGACCTGAACGGTGAGTCAGCAGCCCTAGGCATCAATCAAGAAACCATGTTGTTTCGCTGGGACTAAGTCCTTCAGGAATGGGATGAACTCTGCCAGGTTGCCCCATGAAATTTTCGATACATGAACATGGCAAAGAGAACACCTTGCCCAAGGCCGAAGATGACGTTGTTCAGCCACGCCAAGCATTGATATAATCAAGTTGCGTTGGATCAACAGCCATATAAGACTTAATGACGAACATCAGAAACTTCCAGATAATCCAGCTGGATGAATCCAACCTGACCAGAACGTAAACCAATTGCAATCGTATTGCCATAGAAAGCCGAAGGACTCCTGCGATACTCCAGTGGAAGCCAGAGAAGATCATGTTCACCTTGTCGAATCCACGCATCGTTCATTGTAATGGGTTGCCAGGCTGAAGATTCGAAAGTTAAGCAAGGAATAAATTTATTATCAATAGACATTATTCCTTGATTTGTACGGAGAGCCGTATCACCCAGCGAGAAATCGACGGCTATAATTCCTGGAGGTCCCTTGAGCGTCTGGATCTCTCGACCCGTGTGCGGGTTCCACAACCTCACCGTCTCGTCATTTGATGCGGAGGCGAGGAGCGAGCCGTCGTGGGAGAAAGCCACCGCGTTCACCGAATCAGTATGTCCCTCCAGCGTCTGGAGCTCGGGACTCCACACTACTGGAGTAGTGGGACACCGCCTTAGCCATGACGGGATCCGGCCACAAACCTTCCTTACTACGCTGGTTTGCGGCGCGAAAATCATTGCGGAGGAGTAAATCTGGAGGGGCGCAAGGTCGACGATATATCGGTTACTGAGGAAAATTCGTCGTGCGTCTTCAAGGAAGGCTGTTACATGAGTCGATTCACTAACCTACCTCCCGTAAGTTTGATTTTCTAACTTCGAGAATTCCGCCTCGAGCACCACTCACCGACACAAGTGATTGTAACTTGTCCAATTGTTCAATGACTTCGGAGATCCTGTTCATGAGACTTAGAGCTTCAAACCAGTGCAGGAAGTGTTTCTGCAAAAACTCGTGCACTTCGTCGTTATCACAAATCTGAACCATACTATGTTGCACGTGGTGAATCCAATACCGGCATGCATATTCCAATTCGGGTGGGAAACGTCGGTCGATCATAGCTGGTGCAATCTCTTTTCGTAGCTGGCCGGGATACCTAAGCCCACACATATTTTCATGTAGACCATTCTCCCTTCCCAATAATTGCAAGCATCTTGTCGATAGCATTCGATATGTGGCCGGGCCGTCCACTCCGAAAGGCTCGTGTCGAAGCTTGTCTCCTAATAGGAACTCACTAAAGGATAGATGAAGCGTTCGAATCGGTGTATCAAAGTTAGCGGGAACACGCAACACAGAACGTAATGGATGTATGCGGTCCCAAATCTTGTCTTTGGGCACCTGAAGGAGATCGCTGAGGGATGCTATCGAGAGCGGCTCGGCAAGGACCACGATAGATCCGACAATGGTCCGGAATTCTTGGTAAGCGGATCCGCGTCACGTGGGTCACTCAATGTTGCTGATAGTTGCTGGAGTACTGGAAGGTACGTCCGCTCCAGTTGGGACTGCTGAGCCCACTCTTGAATTTGATGGAGTATCTCGATTCGAGTCTCGGGATGACAGGTGGTCTGATCGTCCTCGTATGAGCCATACGTTGCTCCTTTGGAGTAGAGCAATCGATCTGCGACACGATCCTTTTGAAAATGCTAGTATGCAATGTTGATTTGGTTCTCCACTGGCGAAATATACATTAGTAACAGCGCATCAGATTCACAGTTGAAAGTGACAATCCGAGCCTATAGATAAGTTTGGTATGGTCAGGAAAACCCTCCTCACTAGATTGCAAGGAGCAAATACTTTAGGTCACTGACGAATGACATAATCTTTCTCAGCACCGGAAATTCCATCGATAGCAAGTAGGATCAGCGAGAGTCCGTACCTTGGTCTCGCCCGAAGAATTGGTTTTCTGCATTGTACTGACTGCCGGGTCCAGAGTTGTTGTAGTTCTCCTGAACACCTCCCCCAGTGTTGGCATTGATTGCCCCCGCGCCTGAGTGGACAAACTGAGGCTGCTCCTCCTCGTCGGACACGTTGCTCAACTGTTCGATAGCTTCTTTAATATCTTTCAGCGCCTCCGCGTCTTGGAACACTTGGTTTTGCGCAAGAAGCTCCATATTCTTCACAACCTCTTCCATGTACTCTTTCACCTTGTTACTCTTCATCTTTATTCCCACGGCCTTTCTCAGACACTCTGCCCTCGAGGCATCTTTGGCAGGTATGGTCTTGTCAAAGATGTCCTTCACACTGGCGGCACTCTCCTTGCATCGCTCCAGAACAGGCATCGCACTCTGCAGCGCCGCTTCACTAACAGCTTTTGCTTTGATATTCTGTTCGGCCAGGCTGAGAGTGTGGTACACCATTGGGATCTGCTCAGCGGCTGCGCGGAACTTCCTAGGAAGTCCCTTAGTATCGCTAGCGGCCTCGTAAACCTCGTGAGCCGCTTCATATATCGCGATGACGGACGAGATTAAGCCGAGCACCGCGCTCGCCTCGCCGATGCCAGACATGCTCGGTTGCGTCTTCTTGCGTCGATCGAAGGCCGATCTCTCCGGGGTATGCAGGGAAGATACGATTCGAGCTCTAAGAAGGAGGGGCTGTTCCCAGACTACTACTCACGTAGCAGCGATCGAGAATTCGCAAGGAGGGTTAGTGGATGGAGGAGTTCCACGGGCCCGCGGTGGCCTCTTACCGGTTTGAGCAGGTGAATAGGGGAAAAAAGCATGATGAAGAACGCTTAAATCAAGTTGAGGTGCGGCTGAAGTCGAGATTGGACAGCACACAGGCAGTGGCCTTGACCTGGAAGAGTTGTGGCGGTCAGGTTAATCTTGGGTTGATCACGTGATCAGATCACTATTATGAAAGATTTTCAGTGGACGAGTTGAGGTTCTGCTGCTATGCAGCACGTCAACCATGTTCGGCGATGTTTAATGGGGAAATTCTTCTTGTTTGAAAGGATCACATAATTGTATGTGTGTATGTATTGAATGCTCTATCTATCTAGCATCGGTTCACCCCTTTTCTTCTCCTATTCCTACCCCTATATCCCAAAAAGGGACACTGGCTACTTTGTTCAACCGTTCAACAATGTCACTCACGTGTCATGCGACCAGGCTCCACTTTCGCCTCAGCCTTATCGTCAGCGGCTCAGTCCGTGCTTATGATGCTTAGCCGTCTGTTGAACTCAAACCCGTCCTGAACCCCTATTTAGGGACCCGTGTTCTCATTGAATATTCATTCCATAATCTTGACCGAACCAACCTCTGTTTCGGTTTCCAGGGCCTGAGCACTTGCCGGTTATTTCCAGATCGTCGTTCTCTGCCAGATGCTTCAAAAAGGTGTTGACAGTGGGTTCCAGATCCACCAATGGGCGATCATTTTGTGTTGTCATGTCAATTACATGATACTCCTTCCAGAAAGCCTAACAACGATGCCCCCTCCCAGGCATGTGAACCTAAGCCAGAGTACTACATACCCCAATTCAACTGACAGTCCTCCAAGTCGGCTACGCCTAACACCTAATAACATCATACTGATATCCTTGACGGTGACGCGCGACAGCATTCCGTCTATATCCAGCGAGGCGTCAGCCCCGCACGACTCGTGATATGTTGATCATGCTTCGAGCTCGAAGTGATCGGATCGAGATTGCTGGGCTCCGTCAAAGTCAGCTTTCTGAACGTAGCCTCACAAAGGATTTACTCACTTCTGACGGCTCGAGCAGCATAGAATGCCACCTGCCACAAGGCTATCAGGGCGACGATCGCCATGAATATGCCAAACACCACCGATACAGTTACTTCAGCTTCCAGTGCCATGTCAGAATTTGATTTGAGTGAAGACGAAAGGAATCGGAAAGTGAGGCCGAGGACTAGGCCAGGAAGGTTGGCCGGGACCGGCCTCCCAAGAGTGGAAAGAGTTGATATTGCGTTTCCTCGAAGGTTGAAGGGACAATGGTGCAGATAAGTCACAGGGATTTGCTTCGAAATTGGATAATGACGAAGGCAGGAGAAGAAACGAGCGCGGCAGGCGTCGACGAAGGCAGAATTATAAGCCACTCATAACGACTTTTGCACAAACAATTCCTGATAGATGGACTCACTGACTTGGCTACTCCTGATGCATCATTTTTCCATCTCGTACTTCAATATCGGTCACAGTTCTCTCCCTCAGAATCATGCGCCATTGCCTAAGGGCCGTGTCCCAGGAAGGGTAAAAGTTGACCAAAGGTTGTATGAGCAGGAATGAAACAATGGCTTTTGCGAGCTGTAAGGTGGAAGGCCACCATCCGTTTCCGCAACCTTGTCAGTCGGCTTATTAGATCGCCGATTTAGTTGAAGCCTTCCTAATAGCTTCCCAAAACCATCTTCCTCTCTTCTGGGATCGCGATGGAGCATCTGACGATCAACCGTTCCATACTATTTCTAAGCCAACATCAATTGATCGTTCGAACGTGGAAGTCTCGAATTGGCCCAATACACCGCCTCAGATGTACGCTTCGGAGCACTTGATGACAAAAGTTGCAATTTTTGTTCGGCAAGAAAGACGAACACGTCACGTCGCACTTTGTTTGTCGGGTGACGTACTGGTTTGGGGGCAGTGCTGTTTAAGTGTTCGTATCCTCTGCAGTAGCGAAGCAACTTCGTTGGTCCTTGTTCCATGACCAGTGAGTGCCCATATCATCGAGACATTACCAGCGCAAGTTGCAACTTTTTATCGACGCCAGAGTTTCTCGCCTCCAATTTGTCCTCAGACTACTGGCGACTACTGGCCGCGCCCTGATATATCTGTGCAACAATGTAGTTCAATTTTTGCCAGTTCTTTATAATTTTTTCGCCATACTTTGCATGAGTTCATCTGTGTTATCCCCAGCTCGTGATTTCTGGCACTCTCCCCTTCTGAGCAATGGCGCAAGTCACTTCAGCCTCGCGAGCTGGTCGTATTCGGGAAGAGGAGTGGGAGAGGCACCGCGGCTACATTCAATTCCTTTACCTTGATTTGAAACTGGACCTACAGAAGGTCATGGAAATGTTGAAAAGCAAACACGGCTTCTGCGCAACGGATAAGCAATACAAGAGGCAGTTTGCAAAATGGGATCTTCGGAAAAACATCACATCGAAAGAAATGAATGCCTTACTCAATGATCAAACAGCGAGCCATATCGTTCGGGGATCCCCCGTCCCCCTTCACAAGATCAACCGATATGCTCGCCGGCATGGTTTGAAGCCGGCCACTCGACACTGTAGCCCGAGCTTGAACCCAAACGCAATAGCCTCTGCCCCTGGCGCCGAATCGTCAGGTCGTATGATGGAAGACGGAGACACTCGAAAAAACCAACGTTTGGCACCAGAGCCAGATCCACGAGATGACCTCTTCCACGATTCGTTGAACAAATATCTCTTCTTGAGACTGGCGAGCTCCCTTGCCCCCATTTCCATACGAAGCTAATCCAAACAGCTTGAGGCCATGCTCGAGAATAACACTTTGACCCTAGCCAAATTTTTCCAGCGCCTTCATTGCCAGAAGGAGTTGGTCGTCGAACTGGAAAAACCCAGCCCTTCCCAGCGCCGTCTCTCAGCGTTTGCAAAGGTACAGGCCTTCAGCCACCAGAGGCTTATAATAGCCTGCAAATTTCTTGACGCTATCCAGCACCGAAAGATACCAGTGTCGGAAGGGCCTCTCCTGTCTTTGGACAGCTTCTTGGACCGACGTGTGATACTCTTCACGGCTTTGAAATTTGCAAAGCAATGTAGGTAAGTTCCTTCCTCCGGTGAGAAGCCTACTGACATGCTTCAATAGACTTAGAAGGCTGGCAAGAGTATGACTGGACAACGGATTATAGTTTGGATTTATTGCTGGAGCCTGAGTTTTCGGACAAGGTTGCCACGCTAGAGAGGAAGCTTGGGAATCTCAACACGATCGACAAGAACTTTGATCCGGATGAACCCTCGGTCCCGGAATACTTCTCCACTTGCTTTGATTACAGTGGGTACGTTATTGTCACTTCAACACCACGAGAACTGTAGTCAGATTGTCACATGGGGATTTCCGTGCATTTGGCCCCGACTTTGAGCATGGGCGGGTTCGAAGACGAGAGCCGGATCGATCAGATGGGGAAGCCTACGGAGATGGCATACATGATATCTACAGTAGTGGCACAATGATGGTAATTGTATAAGGTGCTGGATGCTCCGGATCGAAAGCGGAGATAAGAGTAGACATAAGATAACCGAGGATGCATACAGAGGTACGTCTAGGCAAGTGTTGGTTTTTGGAATGCTAGAACGGAAGCGATGAAAGCTCAACCGGAGGCGGAATGTCGCCAATTTCTTTGGACAAGAGGGGCCAATGGGACAAGGCCTGCCGTTTCTGGCGGCAAATACACTCAAACAGTGTCGCCTATACCGAACTCTCTTAAGCATTGAGAGAGAATACACTATGGGTGGTACCCACTATTGGATGGGATTCGTCATCGGATAGTCCCCATTAGCCGTGCCCAACGGCGTCCTGTCCCAGGACGCATTGTCACGTTTTCAGACCAAAGCTAAGACATGTAGTATCCCGTCGCTCTCTGCCACGACATAGTCTGCTTCTAAATCTCTCCATTCCCGCCTTTTATTAACATGGACCATTTTTGGAGAAACCAAGGTGCGGCCTCCCAACTCCGCATATCCCAAGGCTGGCCGGGCTCACCGCCGCCGCAAGTCCTGCTGCGCCAGCAGATCAGTCCGTCCTCGAGAAAGTCCCATTTCAGATCTAGCGGATTGAAGACATGAGGCATAGTTGCTGCCAGGGTAATTGCCCGCGCACGTAGCCCGGGGAATGGTAAGAGGTCGAGGTATGCGGGGTGTGGAAATATCACCTGAGGCAGCGTTGGCCTGAGATCTACAGGTATTGATGGTTTAGTAGCCGTGGCTAGGAGAACTTGAGGAGGGGCGTTTGCCTTGGCAGGGTCGTAGAATGGGGAGGGATGCTGAGGTGTGAGGAGATCTTGGAGGCTTATTCCTATGCAACGTGCATTGCAGAGAAGCCCCAAGAATGTTGTCGTGCGAGAAAACTGAATGCTGTTCAGGTATGGATCGGGAGGAGAAAAAAGTGTGGGGGTTTCCAGCGGACGCCTTTGGAACCAGCGTCTGGAGAGAGACTCTAGCCCTATTGATATAACCTCTTCAATTCGCAGACCTCGATCTTCCAGAACGTCGATCAGACCGCTGAGGCGATCCTTCGTGCCGCTTGTCGTTCGAGAAGCTCCAATCTGTGGTGGAGGTGCCGGGAATTGCCAGGGCAAAAAGAAAGGAATTGACGAAGCCCATGAGAATTCTCTCCTTTGCTGAAGAGCTGGGTCAATCAAGGCTGTCCCATTTAGGACGGGAGAAGGCCCCATCGAGTTAAATTGGGTCAAAGAGGGTTCCGGTTGCATCGAAAGCTCGACGTCATCTCGAAGTAAAGAGCTGAGGGCGATGGGAACAGGGTCTGATACGCCGCCAGCAATGAAGGACGGTTGTAGGCAATGATTTTGCTGGGAATTCAGCTCGAGTTCCGGACCAGCAGTGCTCTGCGGTAGCTGTGCTCTTTGGCTCTCTGGGGCCGCTGCGGGATAGGACCAAGAACCATTCTCATCGGCCACAAATAGGACATTGGGCCTTAATTCACGACGGCCCCCGGAAAAGCCTTTCTGTCTGCGCTGCAAATACTCTCGGCGTTCTTTGTTTCTCTCGCCTGTAATTGAGCTAGGTTATTCCTGTTTGGAACGAGTCGAGGTAAGGTGAACCCACGGTACGCTTTCTGTGCGGCCCGATTTTGTTGTCTTCGGGCTTCGGTGATCATTCGCGCACGGCGCCTTTTGCTCGGGACACCGGCAGCTGGACACTTCTCTAAGACATCCATTCTCTTCAAAGCCTGTTTAGCCAACCGTGGCCTGAGAGTCTTTGACCTGTTATTGAGACTCTGCACGGGTAATCCAGCTCATTCAACGGAGATTCGTCATCCTTGTAGTCGATGGTACGTACCGCACATGGGGCGTGAGCTGGTAATCGCAAAAGATGAGGGGGTGGAATACCCGCGACGCCATTATGTCGAGCCTGAGTGGCTTACGGCTTGGTCGCAAATGGGATGACACCAGCATAGTTTTAGCGTTTGACCACCATTCCGCCAATGGCGCGAACATGATTTGCGCCTCCACACTGCCGTCAATCTTCGAAATCTACATGAGAGGAAAATAATCGGGTTAGTCTCCCGAGAAGGTGTCGAACAATGGAAGGAAGAGTGAATAGCTCTTGATTGTTACATTAATTGTTGCATTGATTGCTCTTGCTCTTCCAGCGAGTGTGGGATAGAGCCCATCTATATATCTATCTACGTGGTGTACTTTGGCGCTGTTGCCTGTCAATGGTGTTGCAGGCTAGCAAGTGAGTGTTATAGAATGAGTGGGTCCGCCATGAACGATAGGTCACCATTTGTTCAACAGAAGGGTTCACCTTTTTGCAAGAAACACGTGGCATCGCATTTTTGATGGTCTGAAGGAGCAAATGGTGTCTCTACAATTTGTGAGAGTGGTGCTGGCCTAACCGATCCCGCATGTGATTGGCCGAAGGATGGTAAGCCACCGCGTTGATAAGTTTTGACATGATCTTCTAAGACCTTAAGCCTCGGTGGTAAACGGACATAAGGTGTGCAATTGCTCACCGCTATGGCTTACAATACCGGGGTATTGCCCACCTCTGTCCGTTTATCATCATTATGTTCTCTTCCTCCGTATGCCTAGAGAAGTATCTAGAGGTATAAATATCCTCATCATCGACGGTGACACGGTATCATCATTAGACACAGGGAAATGTAATCAGGACCAACAGCTACTAACAAAGTATCTGTCTCACATTGTCTCCTTAGAATCTACCCAAAATGTCATACCCACACACCCTCACCTCCCTCACCCCACGCGAAGCCATCACCGACGCCTTATACCGCGCCATCATAGGATTCGACCGCAATGACGTCTCAATCTTCAACTCGGCATTTGCCGAAGACGTCATCGGAGAAATACGTGCTGGTGACGGAGGAATCATCGACGGTCTCTCTAACGTCCGCGCACAGGTACTCGATCACGTTGGACACATGGATACGACGCATATGATCAGCAATGTCCGCGTGGATGTTAAGGATGGAGCTAATACGGCTTCTCTTACTGCTTATGCGTTGGCGCAGCATTGTCCACCGGGAAAGGGGAAGGAGCCAGATGCCCCGAAATACTTAGTGGGTGGAGAGTATTGGATGGATCTGATGAGGGATGAGGGGGATGGGTTGTGGAAGATTAAGAAGTGGGTGTTGGACGTTATTTGGACGCAGGGGGATGCTTCGGTGATGCAGAAGCCTCATTAAGGGAATTGCTGGTTGTAGGAGTGGGATGAGGGGGGGGAAATAGGATTGGTAAAAGGTTCAGAGTTGTATATGAGGTCTGAGAGACGCGAGGGAATATTGTGATGTACCACTTTGCTGCGGCGCTGGTGTGGATATGATACAGAATGCAAATCAGTCTGTTTTCCGGCCTTCCGGGCGGCTTATGGGTAAGAGTGTTGGAAGTCGAAGAGCATGACGCAGGTTTACCGTGGCACAACTATATCAACAGTGTGCTCTCCGTCGTCTCACTGGCTTCCACATCAGGTCGGGTGCCTTCAAGAACACCACCATGGAGAGCAGCCAATTCCGGTAAATCGCGCAGCGTCGCGTCTGTGATTCGCTCTTCAGGCGAAGTTCTGTTCAGCAGATGACCCGACGCCAATCAGGCCCGTATTCGCTCTCCCAGATGCTCGCGATATCTCTGGCCACTTCCTTGCTCACATCATTCCAGTCGGCCCCCTTTGTCTCCTCTACATGTCTCGCCAGCGTGGTGATATCGAAGCGGTGCCCTGCCCACACTCCTCTGCGGATCTCTGACGGATCTTTCACATGGCGCGAGTGGGACGTTGACCATATACGCGACAAGATGACTTCGCCAAAGCCTAAAACGTCAATATTGGGGCCGTGGATAAATTCCGGTTTCAAGGCGATAGCCTCCGAACGTACGAACTCCTTTGCCGTCAAGTTTCGAAGAATCCATGGTTGGTCCTCGGGATAGTAAGTTGACTCTTGGACGCACAACTCTGACTGCGTGAAAGTAAATGCAGGATCCTCGAGCTGGCCACGGTCTCTACACCGATAATATACGCGTGATGACATTAACTGCAAATTGTTTCTTTTTTTCTCTGTAGCGACAGAATGAAAACCGAGCTCAGACGGAGTGAACAGCTCGCGGTACCCCTCTCGGACTGGATCGCCGTCATCTGGTGTCACGACTGACTCTTGACGCAATTGATTCTTCCTCTCCATCGAAAAAAACTCCTCGGGATCGACATACTGTCCGATGCAGACGATGTTCTCACCTGCCCACTGCCCCAGGAACGACGTGTATTGATCATGAATATATTCTCGACCGACCCTCCAGAAGTATTGACTCGTGAGGCCGAGGCAAATGACCTCTTCGACGAATTCGATGTGGCTAAAGATTAGCCGATGCACTTCTGTGGGCATATCTGAAAAGGTGGTCGAGCAACTAGTATCAGTCGCATCATCCGAACCCCTGCTTTCAGTTTTTCTTTGTTTGCGGTGCCGTGGACAGGGCGCAAACACTTCGACGTCCGCTTTGCGCTTTGCATGTCTGCGATCGACCATCGGGAGGATCTCATCCTGGACTGTGTTACCTGCTGTCATTTGGGTGTCCCAAGAGGCGCTTGGGGATTTTGCTAGCGTAGCTGGTTGGGCTTCAGAAATAGACCTGGTATTTTGTGGTCGAACCGGGACGGCGAGGAGGTGTACAAGGTTCTTGGGCGAGCCATCGAAAAGAACCTTCTTAAGCTCGCCGTTCCAAGATAGAGCCTTCCTCGCTCGAGGAGCGACGAGGCAGGAGGGTGGGCACATCCCACAGTTGAGTCGGTGGGGGGGGGGGGGTTCCAAAATGCAGTGGTGGAGCTTGCTGGCTGCTCACACACATAAAAAGTGCAATCGATATATTTAAAAGTGTTGTTGTCGACCAGTCTCATCGATGAACAGTCGTGGTCTTTTTATAGGCGCACTCCCGGCCAGAATCACAGAACGACGAAAGGACTTGGCACGTATGGGCATGTATGGTTCTGCCAATGGCAGTGTGTGGCAACGAAAGAAGTGATCGAATAACTTTCCATATTTCCTGCCACTGTGTGGTACCTCAGTGACTCATTCGACGCCAATCCAGGTGCTGGACCCAGGCAACCACATCGACCATGACAACGCGGCAGGGATACGTGACACTGATGGGCTATTGCAAGTTTCTTGACCATCCCTCAGGCTCATGACACTTCACAGCGGTCATAATTGTCATACCTAAGTGCGAGTCACTTGCAAGAAATCCTTGGGGAATAGAGAAACCGGATGAATGGATGAATCAGCTCAATATGCCAGAACAAGAAAGAAACTTGTGATCTATGGGCAATGGAAGACCAGGAGCCAAAAGTAAAGGACCATGGAGCACGGCGTACGTTGTCGGTATTGATGCTGAATGGGTGCCAGCCTTTCAGGCGGAAGAGCGGTTATATCATTTGTCTTGGTCGACCACAATCGGTCACTGAGTGAGTCTTTAGGGGGGGAGGCTGAACCGAGCTCAAATCATGTGGGGCTTTGACGACAGCCACCATTGACGGCGCACAGCTGCCGTCTGATTGTTTTAAAGCCTGACCGCTATCCTCAAGTTGAACATTTTCATCCTGCGTCCCGTTCCTGCCAACCTCATTATACACGTTGAATGGAAAGGTGGTCTCAGTTCGACATGGACAAGCGAAAACCACCGCCTCTATACCGCGTAACACGTTAACCAGAGCACCAATTCCATGGCCTTATATGCAGTTTGGCTCGAGCCGTCCTGTTGCTAGCATCGAGCAGAAGCCGTACCTCTTGGCTGCCCCACGAACAAACGTAGGTGTTTGCGTTGCGCATGTACAAGATAGAAGGCGATACCAAAATCGAGGGGGCCATATCCGTGTCAGTTTGCTTTCCGTTGGTTCCTGACTTTGCTGACCCTCTCATCAAGGTTCTCCATCGGTCGAATAACTTCATCCTAAAGGCCAGCAGGAGGATTTCAGCCTTGAAACGTCTCCGAGAGCGGTTATGCCAGAAGGTCGCCGTCCTGTAATGCCGATCACCCGTGAGTACCGACATACTCTCACTGCAATTGGAGATCGAGTTGCATATTGGGCCACTGGGATACACTAAGCTACGACCACCCAGACTCGCTTTACGACTCTGTACTCTTGAAGGGAAAAAAACATTGTTTCATGCCAACATTTGTCAGAACCAAGTTCAAACAGTGGGCGCCGCACCTCGAGATCACTGTGATGCCGTCGAGATCGTTGTTTTTCCGGTCCAAAGTCAAAAATCGACGGAATTGACCCGAAAAATTTCTGTTGGGATTCCATAACAGCTGACGAAGCTTCGTGCCGGTTAGTGTTCCCCCTTTTCTCGCCCGCTCTCGGATAAGGCCTCTGAGAAGGGAAGGGCATTATTGCCCAGACTACTGCCGCATATGCGAGACTCTTCATACTATCCCCCTATTTTCACCGAGTGTCAGACAGCTGGTGCCTAGTGCCAAGAGCCCCTATTCTGGCCTATATAGGGGGCTTTCCACGAGTTTTCACCCCTTTTATCCGCCCTTGCTCCGTTCAACACTAAGCAATCCAACAACAGGACTTCTACCCATTCCTGGACGGGCCATGGATTGGATCAGAGCACAGTATTACTGAATAGATTTTCCAGATTACGGTGGTCGGCCGATCACGTGACACGATATGGCGCAAGTGTGCCGAATTGGGTAAGGTGTAATTAACGTCTTGGCCCTGGGCGAAATACCTGTTATCCTTCAGGTCTGGGAAACGGAACCGGCATTTGGTGCGGTCAGTTTTGGTCATCGTAAATATCGCTATTCCCTACGCTAGAATTGAGTCATTGCATCGTGGGCTGGACGCAGCTTGTCTCGAGGGAGACAAGCCCCGCCCCAAAAACACGCCAAATAAAGGTATACCTTCGAGCCTGAGCGAAATCCTCGATGCAACGTGAACTTCAAGAATCAATGCTCACGACCTGACGAAGAGCAGAGAGTCAAGGGATACCATACATAGACCCATCAACGGCTCCAGCATCGTCAGATCCCTCAGCCTACACGTTCACCATGTTCACCGGACCAACGCAATATCTTTACATCCACCTCCCCTCGCCCACCACGGTTTCCTTCACCGTAACAACCAGGCGCCGACCAACAGGGGAAAAGTTCCTCTTTCTCACACTCCTCCGACACACCATTCGCGTTCTATTGGTCTCATGTGTGTTGCTCATCAATCTCGCAAAAGCGCAGAGTACATTTGACCCCGGGGCGGGGCGCTGGTACGGGAATTTCGCGTTGAGAATTAGTCTGGGCAACCGTCTGACGAAAGCCCTGGCGGAGCGGACTGAATGGTGGATTCTCGCGCCGCTGAGCCTGTTGGTCTGTTACCTGTGTTTGAGACGAGATTATGTTGGTAAGTTAAGCATAAGCTTTACTCTTCCCTACCCTTCAGAGAGTCCCTTCCTTTCGCTCCGGAATGATTGTCTTGCCGACGAAGGAGAGATGTGGAATTAATCGAATGTCTGGTGGCGTAGAAGAATCGCTCTTAGTCCTACAAGGCCTGGGGATCCAAACGTCAACCAGTTCGCGGTATTTCTTCCTGGCTTCGACTACGACGTTCATCCCGACGACGCAGATACAGGACATCGTTATCCACGAAGCGTTCCACGGGTTGGGAGTCAGATTTTACTTAGCTGTCATTGTTGAAGGTGCTACAGAAGTCGTCGTCGTGTTCCCGGTAAGTGTTTTGACTCTAAGCACTGGGTGGAACGGCATGCTGATAACCATGTCTGATCCGCAGACTCTCCTTCCCCGACGCGATATCCTTGAAGAAGTCTGGAGAGGTGCGCGAAAATGCTTGTACTCCGGCATTCGATGACGGTCACTCAGGCACGACCACTTTCCTCTCCATTCGTGCCCAGAGAACTCTTCCCTTCGCGGCGACTTTGACGCCCGTTCGCCCATTTGGCATTCTGTGCCGGCAGGGAATCCATCTTCGGCTTCTTCATCACAGGCACATATTTGCCCACCAATCTCGCCGTCTCACTGCCATCAAAGATCTTCTGGCTCCGATACAACCCATTGCGGGGTTCTCGTTGAGAATCTCTCTGCAGGGACGTCCCGTCGCCTTGACTGATGGCCAAATCCAACAGACTCCCCGCCAGAGTTTCTTGAATCCTTGCCTTTCGCCATTGACTCCACAATTCGTCGACGACAGCACCCACTCCAAATTTGCCATCACTCTTGGTCGTCGTGAGAGCGGGGACATTCGCCGCATCCCCGGCATATAGCCATTTCATCGAGTCCTTCATGTCTGTCTCGTCGTCCGGGAATACGCAGTCCCAGAGGACCAGCGGCGCGTCATCGGCCATCTCATAGAGCGGTCTGCACGGGTTCTTCTCCACATCAAGCAATTCATCGATAATGCTGGGCTCTTCTAATCCTTGCCCGACAAGGAACAACACCGCCACCATGCACCGGACTTGATGCCAGAGGAATGCCGTCCCGTGGACACAAAACGTATACACCTTCGGACCACCTGTGGGAGACACCGGCCGCCTATGGTGGTCTGGGGAGGCAAACTGGTTCAGCCCCTCCATGGCCCCAAAGGCTCTCCCCGGCTCTTCAAATTCCAGCACATCCGCAAACGTCACTCTCCTCTCACAGCTCGACATCTGTTTACTCGGATCAATCCTGCACAGATTCCGAAAATCATGCCGGCCCTCCAATTTCTTCGCCGCCACCCGCATCTTGTCGATATCGAGCCACCCTTCCCTCATCTCCGCGGGGTTCCCCTTGGCATCCCGCATCCCCGACGGACCCGGGGTCGGGCAAAATGCAGGATTCGTGAAGAAATATTTGTACCGACGTTCACGGCAGGAGAACCGGGCGTCAAAAGTTGGCGGCGGATCCGGGCACCAGGCCAGTATTCTGATGTCTGGAGGTAGGATGGCGTTGAGGATAGACACGTACGATAGCTCGTCTTTGATCGGGTCGAATGGCTTGACGTATGTTTCTGCTTCCAGATCGTCAGCGTCGATCGAGGGCATGGCATCTTCCACTTTGCCGGACAGAGACCTTTCTACGTCTTTTCTGTCAATGTGTCCATTCTCCCGGCTTGACTTCGTAGCTTGATGATCCTCCTCCTTTTGGATGGGCCGATTACTCCGAACCCTAATCCCAATGACCTGCCCGAAAGCGCTGACTCCTTTGTCCGTCCTGCCGCACTTACTATACTGGCACCCCTCCCAGTTCAGATCCAGTCTGACCTTTCCTTGCCCGTCCTTCTCTTTCCCCTCGTCCCGCCCATGCCCTCTGCTTTCGCCTTCGCCTTCGCCTTTGCCTGCGTACATACTGAACCTCCGCTCTTCCTCCCAGACGACATTCATCGAGGCATCCGCCCCATCCTCGACAGGCGGGCTAATCAGTCGCGCCTTACGCAGTGCTTTCCATAGTACCTCCTCGATCGTCGGCTTGGGCAGCACGTTGCCATTTGCGTGCTCGTAGCCATTGTACCGGCCCCCCAGGTACGCGAATTTCAATGCGATGTGCCGTGTCGAGTATGCGCGGGGATCGAAGGTGCGGGTGCGCCGTGAGGGGGATTCCGACCGTCTTCTTTGAAGCGGTGCGGTTGTAGATGGAGGCTGAAGTTGAGTCGGGAGCGATGAAGCGGAGGAAGTGTTATTGCTCGTGCTCGTCGTGAGCGTCGCCAGTCGCTCGGTCTGCTCCCTTAGTTGGCGCTCGAGAGCCGTGATTCGCGTGATCAGTTCCGCATTACTGTATGCCGTGTAGTTTGTTGTCTGTGGATTTTGCTCCGTAGCTTTGCAGGAACCATGGTTCGTGGCCATCACGGGCTGTGAAGAGGTGGACTTCAGACTGCGTTGCCGAGGGCTTGGAGATGATATATTCAGAAAGGAATGGCGCGTCACGAGCCTGCTCGTGGATAATACTCGTAGAACAGGAACAGGGCGGCAAGGAGACATGAAACACAAAAGGAAAGTTCAATGCGGAAGGGCACCCTTCTTAGACGACAGGAATCGTGTGAACTGCACGAATTGGGGAAAGAAATTTTAAAGTCCGATGGGAAAACTTCGGAAAATTACCTGCCTCAGCCTCATCGCCAGATGATTCGATGGGGAAAGACGGTCGTGTGCTCAACTTCATAATTTTCTTTCGCTCCCCAGCGCACTCTCTCAAGGGCTTTCATGATCTATCTAGTCATGGCTTTGGTTAAAACCACGGGAGAATTCCCACCAAACGCTCCCCTAACCTGCCTGATCGGGATCGGGGTCGTGCTCCTCCTGCGCCTCATGGAATTCCTGTTCTTCTCCATCGCCAGGGGTGTCTTTCTCTTCAGATTCAGGGACCTCAACATTCTCCTGCGAATCTTGGATCTCGATCTCATCTTCTGCGTCTACCATTTCTTCGTCTTCTCGGTCGCTCTTGAGATCAGACACAGAATCGTCTGCACCATCGCCGTCTTCGTCGCTTTCGACTACATCCTCGGCAACATCTTCACTTGTATCCTCTCCATTTTCAGCTTCTTCATCACCATCTTCGCCTCCGTCATCTTCTTCCTCCTCTTCCTCCTCTTCTTCGGCAAGCTCTTTGGCATTTGCAAGTTCTGATAACAGCTGCTTCTTCTCGTCATCTATATCTTCGAGTTCGCTCAATTCACTGACAGAATTGTCTTCCTCATCAGCTTCGCCGTCCGCACTGTCTTGGACACTGCCTCTCCTAGAACCGGTTCCGCTGCCATCGATATCTTTGTCTTTGGTGGTCGCCAAACGCTTGTCAAGAGGGGAATCCATGTAAGATGGTTCTCCCAGGGTTTTCGATGGCATCTCCAGGATAGGTTTCTTAGTCAGGACGGGCGTTTTGATCGGGGGCGGTTTGACTATAGCAGCCTCGGCCTTGCGTTGAATTTCACGACGAGTGACCGTCTTGGTACGTCCGGGTTTGGCAGGAGCACGGGTGACCTCAGGAATATTCTGACCCGCAAAAGTATTGGGAGAATTCTGCAGACCGAGCCCGACGGGTGTAGATATTGATATGGCCAACGGTCCATCGGCGGCCCCATCCCCTTGCGCTCGTAGCATATTATGCAGACGGGCTCGTTGAACGTCACTTTCACCGCTGTTCGCAAGCTCCGTTGTCATGTTGATGAACGTGCCCTGAGGGAGAGGGGGAGGTTGTGGCTTGGGTTGTTCCTCGGGAGGTAATTGTGCGACGAATTCGTCATACAGGCAAGCATATGAATCACCAATCAGATCGTCAATGATGGGCCCTTTCAACAGGCTGTTGTTCAGACGCTTCAAGTCAATGGCTTCTCGCATGATGTCCAAATATACCGAATTGGTGGCCCGATTGTGGGCCCACTTCTCCATCTTCTCGGATTTCTTGGTGAATTCTTCGTGGTTCATGCCGTCGAAGAGTGCCCTCTCATAGCCATCGTCGATCTTACCAATGCGTCTGAGAAGTCGCACGTACGTTGTGACCACTTCTTCCCAGATTTTGATGTGGTCGATAAAGTCGGTGGTCTTTCTCCGAATACGGCGAACCAACTGATCTAGGTTGGCTCGGTCCTTCAATTGTTCCAGCAAATGAACAAAAAAGGAGACGTATCGACCCGTGTACACGTAATGTCGGCCAGGACGTTCGTATTCAGGCTTCCATACCTGTACGGTCATTGACTTTGTGAAGATCTGTTGAGTGAATTGATGCTTCGCTCCGAGAGCGCCAACGAGAGACGGATCATCTTCGTAGATCACATGAGCAGCACGATCGGTGATTCGGTGGTGCCAATTGGATTTGTCGGCTTGTCCGAGTTTCTTCAAGATCTCCAGGACATACGGAACCCATTCCACACCTTCATCGTCCTTAGATAAATGCACTCCTTGAGCGTAACGCGTGGCTTGCATGTATTCCTCGGCCTGTGCATAGGTGATGGCGTGGCGCCGGACCATTTTATGAATGACTGAGACGAGTTTAAAGTGTGGTTCCAGAATCGGTTCACCGGTTTTCTCTTTCTTCGGCTTGGGCAGAGTCTCAATGGCCTCAATAATGGCTTCAAGGACATCATCGGCGGACACCCGGCCACAGTTCTCCACGCTCTGAAACATCTTCCAGAGACATTTTGCCCGCGTGTAGTGCGTCGTCCAAGGCTTTGGCTTTTCGGTAAATTTCATACTGAGAAGATGGACTGCGAAATGCCATAAAGCGTATTGACCGAGGGGCTTGTGATAGGGCTCTTTGGACATGGTTTGGTCGATATGGCTGCTCATATGACGCAAATACTTGTCGGTTTTGAAGGCTTCCATATTCAATGGAGGACGAGAAGAGGCATACAAGCGCGTCGCAAACTCTGTCAGCATATCCTCCATCTTCTGCGCCGTCTCCGGTCGGTCATCCGCAGATCGCATCGCCAGGGCAATGGCCATGATGTAACAGTGTATGGTCTGTCGCTCAAGCAAGGCGATATCGCCTCTGGACTCGTTGAGTTTGACGGAATTCCAGATCAGGTCATCTTCGATTTTAGCTTCATAAACTTGGGCGAGGCGATACCAAGTCTCCCAATTTTCTATGCCATGATCCAATTCCTGCCTAAAGAAACTGACGGCAATATCCAAGTCATCCGTCGGTGTCGGATTGACTCGTTTGACAGATTTGTATTTTGCCAGCGTCAAATACCCGAGTAAGAAATACCATCCACTGCTGGCCGCGATTTCGGTGTCATTGTGAGCGATACGCGTGGGAAGATCGCCAATACCTCGAATGCACCTATAAAGGTCACGAGGATTGATGGTGGATTTCAGATATCCAGAAATGATTCGCTTGTTGTACAAGATGCCTGTGGAATTCTTTACCGCTCCCAAGGTCTGCTGTATCTTGTCAATCGTGCCTTTGAGTTCGTTCTTGATCAGATCTTTGATGCTGAATTTCTCGGCATGTTTCATGATGGTCGGGATCAAAGACCAGGCAGTCTTCTTATCCATATTTTCCGGTGGACAGCCGTGATTGGCATCTCCAACGCCACTCGCGAAGCGAAGTTGATAGAGATCAAAGAAGACCTGAGCAGTTTCGTCGGAATAGTCCTGTTTGGTTGCAAGATCTCCCAGCTCCCATTTTACCAGCTTCACGAACGCCTTGTTGGCGTGTCTGCAGTAATAACGAACGCCAAACGCATGGTGAACCGTGCAGAGGTACTCTGCCAAATCATCCGCTGCTCTATTGTACCGTGTGGGATCTTGGACGGTGGCTTCCTTGAGGAGCATGTATTGCAAGATCCACGCTCGAACCAACATCTCCTTGAGACGATCTTTGCTCTTGTCGTATAATTTGGCCAAGGAGGCGCCCTTGAATTGAGGTGGAGCTGTCTGGCCCACTCGCACAGAGTCTTCATAAATGACGAAGCCGTGAAGGAGCTTCGTCATCGCCGTCATTGCCCTCAGGGAAGATCGGAGGTGGGCATCGTCAACACACTCGAATCCGGTGGGATCATTGAAGAGTTTGACAAGGACTCTGGTCATGAGCTCGTCAATGTCACGCAACCACTTCAGCATTGAAATCTGTCGGCTCCCTGGTTCGCTTTCGATGTGACGTGAACTGTACAATTCGTCCACACAGGTCTCAATTGCTCGCAGGAGACAGGACACAATTTTGGGTCCATATGAAATGGCTGTATACGCATTTTGGAGACGTCGCCAGAGGAAAAGTTTGAGGGCGGCATCACCAGATGCGAGGAAATGGATCAATTGCTCCGTCTGTGACATTCGGTCACTCGTGACGCCGGAGCTGGGCGAATCATTCTCAACAGCTTTTGAGCCAGGCTCCAGGATGGGTTCCAACTTTTCAATCACAGCCACGGGGTCGCTGTTGTCGCTATCAAATACGCTTGTGAAGAAGTCCAGCGTGCTGAGGCGTGAGATTTCCTGATCGACGGCCAAGATCGAAATCACAGGCATGGCTGCGTTGTTGGGAAGATAGATGGCTTCAGCACCAGCTCTTTGTAATAACCGTTTCAGATCCTCCAAGCACAATACGACATGGCTTTTGTCCACCTCGTCGGCGAGGGTGGCGTGAGCAGTAGATGCCCAGATAAATCGAAGAATCAGAGGATCAGTCACTTCGAGCTGGTTGAACTGATCGAGTGACAAGTGCATGAAATCATTGGCAAGGGTTGCCCATCTCATCAATCGATCCCCATGGCCAATTCGGGTATTCTGTTCCACCTGGCTGCTGGGATTGGTAATGGCGGAATGAACATCAAGGTATATCTCGAACAAGGTCTCCACGAATTCGAAAAGTATCCTCGTGTCTGGTGTCTCGTCGTTCGCCGGCACCGGTTTCGCATTCGTCAGCGAGATGAAGAATTGACGCAAAAATTCGTAAAGATGTGGTTCTATGGTGATGGCGAGCTGCACAACCGTTTGCTTTGTCTCGGCCGGCCATGTTTCTCGCAAATACGACGAGTCCGGTGGCATATCTTGGCCCCTGGAGCCCACTAGCATGGAAAAAAGCCAATGAAAAGCAGCATCGTAGATATTCGTCGACCCAGCATTGATGAGGTGAACCAAGGAGACTAGCGCAGCCTGGCTGGATGCTGCCGACGGTTCAATTCCTTTTGAAATCACTGGTTTGGAATGTTGAAGGAAGAGAGACATGCCGGTCGATTTCTCCACAAAGTCTTGAGTGCCGTGACCGTAGATAATGGCCTGACTCTTCTCATCTGACCAGTCTCGCAGAGCAGTCCTCAAGTCTGTGAGCAGTACCAAGTTTTTCCGGGACTCTTCAACACTCAGGTCATCTCGACGGTCTTCAGTTCCACGCCAGAAGGCGTTCTTAGCCTCTTCTGTGGAAAGATATGTCCTCATGTCTAGCTTGGCAAGAAGGGAGTTCACGACATCGAACGTCGCTTGGTCAGCTTGTTCGAAAATGGCGAGTTGTTCATTGAAGTACTGAGGATCTTCCTGTGCTGCGTCATCTTCCTGAGCGGCGAGATCGGCTAGTGATTCTCTCGCTCGTATTCTCTTGCTTTTCGTTCGACCTTCCGGTTCATCATTACCGGCAGCTGTGGAAGACCTCTTTCGTGACGTCGGTCGAGCAACTTCTTCCTGTTGTCGAGGTACTGTTCGTACCTCAATTGTGTCCCCATCTCCAAGCTCATTGAGTGTCTCACCCTTCTGTCCTGAGCTTGCCGGGTCAGATAGTGGTTCTTCGACGGGAGAGTCTCGGATTGCGTCTTCGATAAACGTCTGGGCGTGCGCCTGGCCCTTTTGATTCTGATCTTCACGGCTAGCAGCTTCGGGAGCCAACATCGTCTCGGCATCCCGATCCACCAGTTGCAAATTCCCAACCTCTATCTTGACTGTAGTGGCCGTTCCCAAGGTCATGAAGCCATCTTGGATGCCTAAGATGGTGTGAAGGATGGCCTGCCCCAGTGAGGAGAGATCATTCGACGCCGGTTGCAGCGTGATACTGGCGACCCCGAAGCTGAGTGGTCTATATCTGTCGTCCAGATACTCCAGGGTTTTGGCACGCTTAGGAAGAAACGGGTAAGGATCATTTGTTTCCCGTAAGGCAGTCAGCAGTTGATCTCTTGGGCGAGTGTCAGAACTACGAAGACGACCGAGATCATCCTGTAGAAGATCGACCACTTCTTGAAGCTCACCAGCCGCAAATGCCTCATCGAGGCCGGACAAGTCGATTGATTGCTCAGCATCATCGTCATCTCCAGCAAGCACGCTCTCCAGGCAAAACCGAGCTATTCTTTGCGTTGACAGCACGTCTGAAACACGAGCAGCTTTCTTCCACAAGTCGAGATCGGTATCATCGCGTTCTAGAGCCTTGGCGAAATCCCGAATGGTTTCATGACATGACTTGGCGTAGTATTGACATAACTCAGCCCATGACCCCTTTTTGTTGAGCCGTTGATGGCGAGCAACGTCCAGAACGAATTGACCTCTGTTTTTAAATGCAAGATAGATGAGTTGGGGGACAGAACTGGCAGAAGATTCGGCGGCATTGCTGGGGAGTAGAGGCAAAGATGCGGGATCGATCTGGGTAGTACCAGGTGCGGCTTCATCGTCCAGTTCCTCATGAGTGAAATCGGAAACAAACTCTGGGTACTTGAAAACTTCGGATTGCAGCAGTTCTTGGTAGGCCTCGAGAGCCTCTTGGAAGTACTGTGGCCCTTGAGAGTGGAGTTTCAATGCGTTTTGATAGAGTTTGAAAGCCTCTTCGAGTTGAATTTCTCTGGTATCGTCGATCTCCTCGTCGAATGAGTCCTCCGGTTCGACGTTAAGAGCGGTGAATCCCGACATAATTTCGTGTCGTCGCAATCAGTGGTTGACTTGCGAGATGGACCTAAGTTGGGGCCAACCCATCCCGTGGCGATGAATCATCACAGAGACGTGCGCAGTTCATTGATGAGACATCTTCGGTTTAGAGAAAGTTGTTTGATACTGTGTGCGTATTGACGTGAAGTTGAAGTCGGTGATGGTGGTTGACGCGTTGAAAACTCGGAGACGCGAATCGCAAATCCTGGTGAAAGTCCCAATGGGGCAAGATTGGCGACTTCGACGCAACTGAATCCCTTTCATCATCCCTTCCCATTGATGCCAATCTGTCCCTTAGATGTCCTCGATATCAAACATTTACCTGACTGTCGGCTGACACTCGTTTGGTGATATTGCTGTTGCGCTCTGTTTCTGCCGAATTCATCCTCAGCGACGAGCTCCACCAATCTGTCCTAAAAATTGTCGAGCCCGTCCAGAAGGCTGCGCTGCCATGCTTGCGCCGGCGGTGCCAGAGTTAGTTCTTCAACGGCCGCTGGTTTCGAGGTATTGGAGCACTGATACAGAGTCTACAGGATTATTGAAGATGACGATATCGGATTGGCAGTCGATGCACGAACGGAGAGTCTTCCCGGACTTCGAGAATTAGGACCTCCGGACCTTGTTCACTTGGTCAAGCAGAGTTCCAAAGCCGGGGCAAAACAAACCGGCGTGTATCACCATGTCACCGGCGTCGACGCCTCCTCCTCTGCCAGTCTAGCCGCATATGTGAACACCCTAACATTCAATCCCGCCGACAAGACGCATAAAGTGGTTTCTGGCCTTTATTGTTGCTATAATGCCTTCTCACACCTGGACATGCGGGTCGAGGTCAAAATCCCCGGTAGTGTGGAAAGCTACTGTGTCGACGAAAGAGGAGACAGAAGAGTGGCAACGGAAGGTCTCTGGCTAGAAACCTTTCTCTGCGCGGTCTTGCGCGCATATTCATATTCCGATGACGGCAGTGGTGATACCATCAAAAAGATCATCGGCGTCAGGAGGTTCAATCCAATCACGAATACAGAATTGGAACACCGATTTTTCGAAGCTGCCGAAAGATTGTTCTTCAGTGGCCGTCAACTGGGCTCTGACCCGGAAATCCAGATTCCCAACATTGTGTCAAACCATCTCACGGCAGGACTACTGAAATACATCAAGACGACCGGACGATATGCTTCGGGGATCAATCTTTTTGAGAAGCTGCGGACCAAGGATGTGGAGGTGTCTTCCCTATTGGCTCGCGTTCTTTTGGACGGCGATGAAGAAGTCCAAGCGGTCCGGCTCCTGCACGATGCCTTGCAGGATGTGCCCATGGACTACGCTTTACTCGACTGCCAGGCCTCCTTCTGCCAGAGCAAGGGTGAAGGTGAGATGGCCCTCGAGCTGGCCAAACAAGGCGTGACAGCCGCCCCGAGTGAGTTCAGCACCTGGGCTCGTTTGGCCGAGGTCTACGTGGACCTAGAACAGTGGGATCTGGCACTTCTGACCCTCAATTCCTGCCCCATGTTCTCATATCAAGACAAAGATTCTCCCAGGATGCCTGAACCAAGCCGGGTTCTGTTACCCATCCTTCCTGAAAGTGCGCTTGACGAAATTGATGAAGGACAACCGAGACAAGGAGAGCCCTACGATCAAGTACATGTCTCTTTGCGGAAATTACAGGCTGCGACGTATCAGGGGACCTTCTTGAAAGCATACAGCTTACTTACTCGGATTGCCGCGTCCATTGGTTGGGATACGCTTCTCAAGACCCGAAGTCAGGTCTTTGTGATGGAGGAAGAATATCGTACCGAAAAACAACACTCAATTACTCCAAAGATACCGTCCAGCAAAAATGCAAGCACGATTGCCCTCTCCGGAACTCCCAACGGACACTCCAAAGCCAGCAACGCGGAACCGTCGGAAGATGACGAATCGGAAGAAGGTTCTGGAGGAGAAGAAGAAGAAGAAAAGGTGCCGGACGAAGGATCATCAACGGCTCCCACTGTAAATGGTGGCGCTGATGAGAACGCCACGATGAAGACCAACAGATCCATGGAGAAGCCAGTCCCCACGATTGCAGCAGAGGAAGTGAAATCGGGCAGCGATGAGCCAGATCCAATGCACACCCATTATCCCCAATTCCAGAACAAGCGTCTCTGCGAGCGATGGTTGGACAACTTGTTCATGGTGCTTTACGAGGATCTTCGGATCTACACCATTTGGAGAACAGAAATGGGACAATATCGTCAGCAACAGATGCAGTACAAGAAATCCGCAGCGGAATGGGAGATCCTCGGAGAACTTGCCGAAAGACTGCACCACTCGAACGAAGCGTTGGAGGCTTATCAGCAATGTTTAAATATTCGATTCTCGCCCAAAGCAATGAGAGGTATGCTCCGAATGTATGAGAGAAAGGCCGACACGAGAAACACGTTGGCATGCCTGATTCGATTGATTACCTGGCAATACAGGTGGTATTCAGAGGTAAGCACCGAAGTACTCTCTCTCTCTTTGAAAGGAAATGCTAATCCAGTAACAGTTCTCCCCCGAGCTCTTCTATTCGATACGGAAACTGATCGAAGAGGAAGGGGCCGTCAAAGTCCGCAGTATCGTGCAATCCACGAACCTGCCCCAGCACGTGCTTGATTTGACGCATGAATATTGCCAACTGTGTGTAACTTTCCGGAGTAGCGGCACGGATGGGTGAGGAATGACATTGTGATATGCCCATCGAGCACATCGTACATCACCGTCACCAGGAAGAACGGGAGGAGTTTGTTGATTATGCTGAGAAGCTTTCGAGCGTCGGCGTCCCATCAGCGAAGAGGCTAGAGCACAATGCAAAAGTATGTCACAGCAATCGCAGCGTTTGGGCTAGAGGATGGCTTGAGTGCCTTCCTGGGATCTATAGAGAGTAGGGAGGCCATCCGTTACCAAGTCAAAGGTCGTCAAGGCCGTGGCACGGACTGAAACTGCATTCAGTGATCGACTATTACTCTGAAGTAACCCGCCCACTCTGGCGAATCGTTTCCAGCCTTAGCGCATTTTAGACTCCAACGATCTCGCAGTCTCGTTCGGTAGTTCAGGCGTATCTCATCACTTTTAAGGAAACCTCAAGACGAACATATTTTTGCTTCTTCATAACTCCAACGTCACCAGGATCATATTTACCTGATCCTACTTCATAGAGTTCCATATTCAACCTCTCGCACCCCTTGCCTGGCCACCTGACAAACTTCCCCGCGGCCCTCTACGGCGGGGCGGCAGGACGGCCAGCAGGCAGCGAAAGTCGTTCCAGAACGCGATAAATTCTTCCTTCCGCCATCATGGCCGGACAAAAGCGCATAACGAAGGTAGGATCTCTTTTAGAATTTCCAAAATTCATATTTGCTGATCAGCCCGACCAGGAACTGGGGGAGTTGATGACATCCCCGCCAGCGGGGATAACAGTCGAGCTGGTAGACGAGTCGAATCTATTTCAATGGAAAGTCACCATGGAAGGGCCGGCCGGTTCCCCTTATGCTGTGAGTGATTCTAAAAATACTTGCTCAAAGATCCCCAATTCTGCATTAAGGGAGCCTAGACCTTGTCATTCCTATTTCTTTGTCAAAATGGTTCCTCTTTCATTTGTCCCATGGCCACCACCAGGACTAGCCCTACCTGTGAGTCTTGAATAGAAGGCATCAAGCTGACTCCCCGGATATTGCTCGTCCAGTCAGGAAACTTCAATCTCTCTCTCACCCTGCCTCCCAACTACCCCTTCAAACCACCAACCGTCACTTTCATCACGAAGATCTACCACCCGAATATCTCAAACGACTCACCACCCAATTCTGGCATTATGTGTCTAGGCATGCTGAAGGACTCGGAGTGGAAACCGAGTACCAAGATGAGTGCTGTGCTTGAATTTGCGAGACAATTGCTCAAAGGTATGTTAAATTTGCCTCCTCCGACGTTCAGCAATTGGCGGACTGTGTCTTCGACCTTGAGTACTCCAAAGGATGATAACGGTCAGAGAACTAAGTTGATTCGGGGGAATTTTTGCAGAGCCGAATCCTGACGACGCCGTCGAAGCAAAGATCGCCGACCAGTTTCGCAACGACCGCGCCGCGTACGAGAAGGAAGCCAAAGAGTGGGTCAAGCGCTATGCAAGTGGGAAGAAATGAGCATCCACTCACCACTCCGACTGAAGTGACAAAACATGATTGTATAAACACGACGAAACTCACGATTATCATTATGCATTGAAATGAATCCCATGAGTGGGCGCACGGACTGATAGATAGGACCACCGGTGAGGCAAAGAGGTTGAATGAGCACGAAGATTTCGACATCAAGACCGTTCAGGGAACGCAGGAGCGGGCTGAGTGGTTCTTAGATTCGCCATTCAGCATCTTTTCAAGCTCCGAGATCAGTACTATGGACGGGCATAGCAGGAATATCAAGCGCAAGGAGAGAATGAGATACAGAAGTTACATGTTTGTACTTTTTGACTTTTGGCTCCGAAGCGTGAATCATCGCTGGGCCTTTTTGCATCCCGCATTATAACTAAATACACGCTTTCATTGCTTCTGCAATGACATTCGATCACCCAGTCATTTCCTGCGACGGCGGACTTTGACTAATCAATCACCTCACGAATATCTCTCGACTTCTTCTCATGCTTTCGGTGGGTAATATTGGCCGTCCAATGCCGCTGGTTGTGTCCTCGATCCCACGAATCGGTAATTTAAATCTTCAGACATGTTTGAACTGCGAGAGAATGCCCTCTTGGATTATACAAGATGATTCAGCCTCTTGCTGGTTTGGATTGCCTGCGCCTCAAGCACAAAGCCCGTGGAGAGGAGCCGTCGGTTGCTCAATACGACTCCTCACTTGGCCTGCTCAGAAGCCAGTTCAGGACGCCTGCCATCCTTCACAGATAGAATTAGAGTCTTAATCCCAGCAAGCCGGCCATTTTTCCGAGGCTAATTGATCAAGATGCGTGATCGCAATCCCTCGCTGTCTGGGTCTTCACCCTTCCATCTCATCATCCTCGTCCTCTGCTTCTTTCAAATCTTCATTCTCCTCATTATCCGCCGCCACATCACCGAAATCTTCCCAATTCTCCAGTTCATCACTATCCCATCCTTCCTCCTCCTCCTCTTCCCCTTCTTGATCTTCACCACCTTGTCCCGCATGAGCCTTTGCATTCTTCTTCAGCAACATTTTCCTCTCAATGTTCTCTCGCTGCTCTTTCTTCCGGGCCTCTTTCTCTTTCCGCCTGAGTTCCCATTTTTCATCCAACTCCATCTCTTCGGCTTTCGTCTTGGTCACGAACTCGTTCCACATTACCCGTCCCTCGCAGATGCCCTCTTCAACTTTCACCATGCGCAACCGCATACGTGGGCCAAGCTCGATGAGCTTCACCGCTCGCTTCTCTACATTCGGCCCGTCGTTTCTCTCCTTTTCCTTGTCTTTATCTCTATTTTGTTGCTTCTGTTGCTCGCGCTTGTTGAGAACTCGCTGTGTGGCGGTTTCCAGGACCTCGACCTCGGCGTCCGTATCGATTTCGGTCTCGCTGGCCGATGTATACCCTCCTGTTGCGGGGTCGAGGAGGTAATCCGCCATGTCTTCGAGTTTTCCTAGGTTCGGTAGGGCTCCCGTCTTCTTCTCCCGCATGCGTTGCTCACCGGGGTCAAACCTTCGTACTCGTTTCGACACCCCTGTCGGCCGGGTGGTGATCGCGTAATGTCGGAGGCTGATTATGTAGGTCCCTTCCGCCTGAGACTCACGGTTTAGCAGGAAAATCCTCTTGATGGAGCTAAGTGGGGTGGTCTGTGGGGATATGGGGGGGAATATAGATTGGAATATCGTGGTAGTTAAGGACTCGAGTTGTTTCTTGATAGGATCTGCATTGGGTTCCGAAGTTGCCGGTGATGTGAAATTGTTCATCACAAGTAGTGGTGCTTGAAGGTATTCTTTCCCCCCTCCTCGCGGACGTTTTTGGGATCTTGCGATATCTTTACAAAGGGCATATCGATCAACTCTGAACGTGAGTGTTGGTCCGCGAGGTGTAACCGCGACTCGAAGGTGGACATTGCCAGATTTCGATCGTGAGAAGAGGAAGAGATGAGTTACTCCCAAGGGACCCGCCATGGCGGTGTAGTCTTTTAGTTTGTTTGCCCTTCGTTCCTGCCGAGAAGCATCAGCCCGTGGTTATCGGATTGGTCTCCATGATCAACCTACTTTCAACCTGCTCGCCGTATCCGGTTCCATCATGGCTCGGAAATCTTTGGCCAGCTGGGTCACGCTGGCGCCAATGTCGCCTGCGCCCATGCGTATGACCATACTTTTCGGCCGCCAGTTTCCTTGCCCAGGTTTTCCCGGCCCATCATTATTTGGAACGTGAGTCCTCTTCTTCTTCCTTACTCTCCCCATACTGTCGATTCAAGTAATTTGGTGAAGGAAGGAGATTGGGAAACATCTAAAGTGGAGATGTACAAATTCTTTTCAGCTTTTTGCTTATCGATAAGAATACCGGTGGAGTACACTAACATGTACGCAAATTCCCCGTTCTATCAGCTGCATCCACTGGCAGCTTGTGCTCAATTTCAAGACATTGACGGGCCCTACCAGAGTCCGATGCCATGTAGCCACCACGTCGCGAGCCCGGGACCCGGTGTTCTCACAACCAAAATGGCCTTCCGAGGTGCTCAACCTCCAAGATGAGTTGGCCTACCCTGCATGACCCTTTGCCATTCACTTCCCGCCCAAGCATCCTCAGCATATTTCATCAATCTGTTAGGGATGAGATCTTTTCGATTGACATCCAGCATTCTTCCGATGAAAGTTACCAAATGTGCATCCAAAGCTGTGGGCCTGGACAGGCCAAATAACCATGGGGCGGCCGTTGCGCCATTTGCTTGATCCTCAGTCGCAGGTTGAAGCAAATTGGTAAAAGTGTGCATGAGAGCTTTGGCCCTTTCGACCATACTTTCCACCACATTGGTCGCCAACCCGGCCGTCTTTTCGCTCTGTGTTCTGATGGAGGATAGATGAGCGAATGAATCTTTCAATGACCCAGCAGGACTTACACTTTCAATTTATACTCCAGTGCAGTCTGGTATTGTGGCGAAATATTACCGTCCATCCTGCTACGGATGGCAGCTTCAAAGCCTTGGGTCACCACATGACGTCCTGCGTACGACAGAGAGAAAAAGTTCAACGCATGCAAGTCCCCCAAGAGTTTAGTGATTTCTGCTTTCTGCGACCCAGGTATCAAGTTAGGGTACAACGTGGCCAGGTAATGGGTGATTTCGAGACTATCGGCAAGTGGATTATCGAGACCGTCGCCAACCAAGACGGGTACCTGGGAGGCCAAGTCAGATTCCCCGGGCTGACGGTTCCCTTCTTGGCCCCAACATCAAATGAACTTACCTGTCCCTTGGGATTGATATTGCGGAGAAAGTCCTCAGTTAGTTGTTCACTGCGGAAAAGATCAACGTGCCGCTCGGTGAGTATGATGTCGGATGCCTCGTCCTTTGGTTCTCCGCGGAGCGCATAGGTATAGCGGACCATGAGGGAGCAAATGGAGTAGTCGTAGTGGTAGAGGGTGAGTGTACGAGGCGCCATGTTGGGGGGAAAATTCCCGCTGCAAGACTTAAGTGTAAAAACTCCGTCGTAAGTTTTCTTCTCTTCTCTGTTCTCCCAGGGTTCCACATGGCTTTTGGGTATTTATTTTATACCATCATAGACTCACCGGCGGGGAAACAGGGAGTGTGGGGTATAAGGCGAGACATCTTGCGGGACCCTTTCGGCGGAGTTTACATCCATAGTGATGATGACGAGATCATGGTTATTACGCCCCATCGTTCTTAGGCGAGGCAATATCTGATCTCACGATATAATTGCTTCATGCTCTTGTTCGAGGATAGCAAAATCTGGTGAATGACGAGAACGGCAAAGACGGCAGGGGAGAATCCACCGACTGCTGAATATGACCTCGATTGCGAGATGTTGCCAGTGCTCTTCCAGCGGCACGATGCTCCTGACAAGGCAAGCAAGCTTACTGCAAGCTGTGGGTAGAAGTGGAGGCCTGAATAAAAATGCGGATTTGACCCTGCACCAGCATAAGAGCGGCCCGAGGTTTTCCCGATACCCCGGCCTCGGCGGTTTTTTCTTCGAAGCCCGAAGTTTGCGCGGTGCCCAGCTGGCACGCATGAGGCAGTTCAAGTGTAGGTGCGCTGTTTCTTTGGTTGTAAAGCCAATAATCCAGCTCCCCCTCCCAAACTCACATCCGAAGCCGCCATTGTATCCTAAGATGGCTGACGACCAGCGTGAGACTGCAACATCCTCTCCCATCGCCAATACTGACAGGAAAGAGCGAGGAGCATCCAGAGATGAAGGGCGCAAACGAAGCAGGTCACCTTACAGAGACGGCCCCCGAGATAGGCGGGAAGATCGACCTCGGCGTAAAGACGCGGGCTTCAAATGGAAGAAAACGCGCAGGGATGACGACGATTCCAGACGAGACCGCGATTCAAGGCTACAACGAGGCTACCGAGATCATTACCGACCACGACCGAGATCAAGATCGAGATCGCCACCTCCTCGAAGACGCTCTTCGAGAGGAAATGAGCCTCAAGAGCCATGGCCTCGCGACGAGAGGAAGGAAAAAAATGATCGAAAGGAGAGAAAGCCTGCGCCTGCAGTTCCTCCGCAGCCGATGATTATTGTCTACGTTAATGACAGACTGGGGACAAAGAAAGCGATCCCATGCTATCCCACAGATCCGATCAGTACGTTCAACATCTGCTCTCCTGGAGGAAATATGCTAACACGCCGACAGAGGACTTCAAGGTCATTGTGGCATCGATGATTGGTAGACAGCCTCACGAAATCCTCCTGAAAAGACAAGGCGAGAGACCTTTCAAGGACCAACTCACGCTTCAAGACTACGGAGTGAGCAATAATGTCCAACTGGATCTCGAGGTTGATACAGGTGATTGATGGCAGATGTTTCTCTGGTGGAATAATGGACCAGACTAAGCGATTTGTGGCTATGCTGCAGCTGCCTGGGACTTTACGATATGAACAAGGATCTCCTTTGAGAACGGATTTAATGGTGTGATAAGTACTGGAGCCGCGTGGTTGTCAAAAGTGAACACTTGCAGCCAGTTTCGTTCTGAACTGGACCAGCGATATCTGGTGCAAGTGCTCAAGGCTATCTTTTGAGACATCAGAGATTGACTGTGACGCCATTTGGCCTCGGAAGAGCAGAAGCCAGGGCTATGATAACTGGCCATTTTCGTTGTGGAGGAGAAAAATGCGGAAGGTGGGGCGAGAGACAAAAAAGTTTCTCGGGTGAGAGTATACCGGCTTCTCAAAAGTAGTTCTCTTCCAATTTTTTTTATCATGTCGACCACCGACTCCGCCCAGCGCCTGAACCAGGCTGTATACTCTCAAGTGGCATTCCTTTTCATGTCTTCTTCCTGAGTCGACCACATCAACCCCTCCCTTATTCCTCCGCCATTATCCGCGCTGACCTCGAAACAAACGCGCTCAACCTCACAACCCTTGCAACTCTCACTTCAACTTCCAGCACAACATGGTCAGAAATATTGTGGTCCTGGGTGGCTCGTCCCATCCCAGCCTGACCGAGACTATCTGTGAAATCCTCGGCATTGAGCAAGGTCGAGCCCTATTCTCGAAATTTGCAGTGGGAGAGACTCGCGTTGAGATAGGTGAATCAGTTCGAGGAAAAGATGTCTACATCATACAATCTGGCGGAGGAAAGGTGAACGACCACTTCGTCGAGCTCCTCATTGCTATCTCGGCTTGCAAGACTGCCTCTGCGAAGAAAGTCACCGCCGTTCTCCCTCTCTTCCCTTATTCTCGACAGTCGGACATCCCCTACAACAAGAGCGGAGCACCTTTGGTTAAGGCTTCAAATATGTCAAACAAGCTTGTTCCAGATTCAAATGGTTACACTTTTGATAGTATTCCACCAACCCCATATCCAGAGAAGGTTGAGAGTCACGGATTGGCAAATGGACACCCCCTGCACAAAGCGGCCTCAAGATCGCAATTAGACGAAATGGAAAACAGCCCTACATATCAAGCTCGTTTCAGCCACTACCGCGACACGAGCTCTCACTCAAGCACCAAGTCAGAATACTTTCCTTCCGCCCGGAAACGAGGTGATTCGACTGCTTCGATGACCAACGGTGCTGCCGCCGCGGATGATCCACCACCTAAGAAGGACCCCCAAGAGACTTTCAAGCCTCGTCCTGGTTATCGACAATGGGTCGCCCAGGCCGGTACCCTCGTGGCCGACTTGCTCACATGCGCTGGCGCCGATCACATCATAACAATGGACCTGCATGACCCTCAGTATCAAGGCTTCTTCGACATCCCAGTTGACAACCTCTACGGCAGGCCCATTTTGAAAAAATATATTCAACAAAACATCCCGGACTACAAGAATGGAGTTATTGTCAGTCCAGATGCTGGAGGAGCCAAACGAGCCACTGCAATCGCCGACTCCCTCGGAATTGAATTTGCACTGATTCATAAGGAGCGGAGACCCACCAAGATCACCGATCGACAGAATGCTACGATGATGCTGGTTGGTGATGTGACTGGCAGAGTAGCCATTCTAATTGACGATTTGGCTGATACTAGCAACACTATCACTCGAGCAGCAAAGCTACTGAAGAAGGAAGGAGCTAGGAAAGTCTACGCTTTGGTCACCCACGGTGTTTTGAGCGGAGACGCCATTGACAGGATTAACGCCAGTGCGTTGGACAAGGTGATCGTAACGAATACGGTGGATCAACAAGATCATTGTAAACGGTGCCCCAAGCTCGAGGTGCTTGAGGTCGGGCATGTTTTTGCTGAGGTGAGTCACATCTACTCTACGCGGGATCTGTTCGACAAGAGAATTGGCTGACAAAGGAATCACGTCAGGCTATCCGAAGAGTTCACTATGGCGAGAGTATCAGTGTCCTTTTCCAATACGATTGATATTGAGCCTATGAGGTCGGCATACCAACTGCATGGAATTCCTTGACAAACCGACTTGACCTGACCCAGGCGCATAAAAGCCTCGGACCCCACACGGTTTCTGAACTACGACGGTCTCAGTACGCGCCATCTTGGAAAAGGCCGATGATCTCTGCATCCGTATCCTATCAATCGGACAGCCCTGTTTGATTCCTTCACGCCACACTACGAAACAAACGATCACAGAAGCGAACCTCATCAGAAACTCAACCAAAAAGGAAAAAAAAGAAAAAGAAAACCCCAGAAGTGCCTTGAACCAAGTGCTGGAAAGGTCTTCACAGGAGGCGCAGAAGGATGGGAGGACTGTTCTCAAGCATCAAGGTTTGGGAGGAGTGGAATTTTGATTGAGATTTTTAACAGTGCTTGCCCTCTTCCAATGCTTTCTTCCTTGATATCGGGCTTAGGGAGGCCTTCGGTGCTGCATTTTCGGTCCGTTGCGACTTTGACGGGGTAAAGCTCGCTAAAGGTTGGCGGGTACGCGCACTCTCACCACCTTGAAGCTGTAGAGCAAACAAGGACCAGTCTGTCAAGCTTCTTCTACACATTTGGTTTCAATTGCGCTTTTTCAAATTACTCTCATCGTGTCTCCATACATTCCCTTTAACTCGTGCACATATTCTCCGGAGGCTACCAGAATCACTACAATGCCCTGGCCAAAGACGAGGTTGATAAGAAAGCTAAGCTTCCCATTCCAATGACTCGCAATACTCCCGATTCAATTCCGTCCCGGCCGCGCCCATCTTCGCAAACTTATACCGAAAAATACACTTGCGGCCAGGCAAAAAATTTATGTCCAATAATTTGAACTCAACGTTGCCGAGGCTGTCGCAGTACTTAAAATTCCCGAGGTCTTTGAGCTCGAAGATACGCTCGGCCAACCTAGCTGCGAGTTTTGCGTCCCAGAAACCTTCGCGGCGATTGCAGGATTTGAGCAGGCCCAGCGCTTTCTCGCGCACGGCGAGATCGGTGGTGCGCGTGGCGATGAGGAATAGTGTCGGCACGATGCCTAGGGAGAGAGAAAAGGTTGGGCGGATGACTCGTGGTGGCGGATCCGCTGGTGTTGCAGACGAGAGGTCCGTCCTTTGAAGGATAGGGGGAGGGGTGTACGAGGGACTGGGAACAGGGCTGACGAAGGAGGAGGTTTGCTGGATGAATTCCTCGGCCGCATTGATGGCGGTCCAGAAATCAGAGACGTACCTATCCAGCACAGCTTCGTCATTTTGCTCGACGCGCATCAAAAATGCTTCCATGAGTGCGTGATAGATTTTCAGGATGAGGAATGCTGGACTTCTCGGCCGCGAAGAAGAAGAGGCAGGCCCTCCTCCTCCGGCTTCCAAGGAAGATGTGGTCGATTCGGGAGTAGATGTTTCCGTAAGATCGGAATTTGGGGATAATGTTGAGTCGAAAACAGCCCTCCATTTTCCAAAATTGGCCTTGATGGTGGAAAAATCTGCCATCAGCGGCTGCAAAATGTCGTCGGGAACAGGACCTGCGGAGATGAGGTTGTCGAATTGATCGGCAAATTCAAAGACATCAGACAGGAGGGTCTCGAAGTGGACTAAGGCATCTTCGTATGATATGAAGTGGTCGGGAATGGGGGTCGTCTTCTGCTGCAGTCTGGGTCTTTGACCCTGGAAGTTTGGATCTCCCAGCTCCATGATCTGCCGGGCCATTTGGACGAAGAAACGAGTCAGCACGTCTCGGGGCACGCGCACCGGCCCGGTGCTGACGAGGTTGCGTTGCTCCTCTGCCAGAATCTTGATGCCCGAGATGGCATGGTTGCAAGCTGCATGGTAATTGCCCTGGAGGCTTTCAAAGGCGGAGAACAGGGAACATGTAACTAGGGTGTAATCGAAAGATTTGCCAAGCTGTGATTGGTTGATCCGGACGATCTCTCGCATGGCTTTTCCATAGTGGCTTAACGCGAAGTCGACGCCCCTAGTGGGAGAGTAGTGATCCAGACCAGAATAGTGTTCGTGCATGCTGGTCAGAGCAATCAGGGCATGTTTGACCGAGTTCTCCTGCAATGCAAGCGGGAGGATATTCACGAGCCAGAAATCCGTCTGAAAGGCACCTGCAAGTTCGAGAGCGGTACGATCCTGAAAAAATTCCAAGGCTCGTCTCTCGAACCAATCAAGATCTGGGTGTTCGGTCGGGATCTGGTTGTGGGGGGAGTAGACGACGAATTTGACCGGCTCGCTCCCGGATCTCGGACTGTTGGCATATCCTTCACATAATCTGCCAGCCTTGGTGCATCTATGGCATCTAGGGCGTCCTTCGTCGCATTTGACACGTCGACGCCTAGAATTTTGTTATTAAGCTGCTAGGGAACGGAAGGAGGTTAAAGCTCGACTTACTTGCAAGTGATACAGCCCGTCCGCACCTTTTCAGTACCAATTCGGATCATGATTGCGTTTGCACGGCTTCGAGAAGAGCAGCTTCGAGGTGTCCCTAGGGAAATTATAATTTCTGGAGCCTCGCCATGAGCTGAATGCCTCAAAGGTTCTATACAGCCGGAAATATTGGACTTAGTCTGTATTTTGGTCGGTGCCTAGATGCGTGTGGTCGGATATGCAGTCATGTCCAGGGGTAGCTCTCACAGTACGGAGGCTGAGAGCCATCCGTGCAGTAGCACTGGTTGAATCATCTGCACCTTTCTAACAGATAGCCGGTGGGGAGGAGCTTGATCAGAAGTCGAAACAGTGGACCAGCCATCCAGGCCCCCTGCGCTAACCAGATTCAGTTAGCCCGTACGAGCAGCGTGACCAACAAGACTCCACGAGGCTTTGCTTGTTATTTGCTTCAATCAACCCCATATCTAAGCCGCAATCGTATACTTTCATTTCCGACCTCTATTCTAACCATGAACCCCAGCTTGCTCGTACGTGCTAGCTTGTTGATGTCTCGTCGAACACACGTCAACTCCCTGAAACCGCCTACTGTACTCCTTCTAGGGCGCACAGCCTTGGGCGCTACTAACCCCGATAAGTTTATATCCAGGCAGCTATTTTCAGACTCAATCTGGTGAGGATATATATCTCTTTTCAACATGCATTTTCTGCCTGAGTCCTTGTGTTCCATCAACGTCCTCCAATACAATCTCGATCTACTGCTCTTTATCGCTTCAGAACCCTCTCCCCGTCTCTCTCAAATCACCAGACAAGTCTTCTCTAGCAAACCCAGCAAGAGCAACCATGCCATCGATCGTATGCCACGCGGGCTCCGGTCCCGATGATCTCTGGGCGTACTGCCCGTCCTTCGGAGCTGCGATTCTCTTCACCATTCTCTTCGGCCTAACGACATGCACACACATTGTTCAAGCATTCATCTACCGGAAACCCTTTGCTATCGTCCTCATCATGGGCGGCCTCTGGGAAACCGGCGGATACATCGCCCGCATCTACTCGATCGAGAATCAACTAAACAGCGGCATCTACACCGCGCAATTGCTCTTGATCCTACTTGCCCCGCTCTGGATCAACGCATACATCTACATGCTTCTAGGCCGCATGATTCATTTCTTCCTCGAGAACGACCGCGTCTTTAAGATCAGAGCACGAATGATCACAAGGATGTTCGTCGCCTTCGACATAACCGCGTTTCTGATCCAAGCTGTCGGCGGCACCATGACAGGGCCCGACGTCTCGCCCAGCGTCCAACAAACCGGCCTAAACATCTACACTGCAGGTGTGGGCGTGCAGCTATTTTTCCTCGTCATCTTCGTCGCTCTAGCAATCGGCTTTCAGCGCAAAGTCCACCGTCAAAGCAACAATACATATCAAGCCGCGCCTTTGGATCTAGAAGCGCAGCAAACCTCCTACCCACTACCATCTCCTAATGCACCTCAATCCTCATTCCGCATCGACTCACCAGTCCCGCTGCCCGACCCAAACCTTGCTACCAACCTCCTCCGCACCCTCTACACAACGCTCGCCCTCGTCATCCTCCGGAACATCTACCGACTCGTCGAATTCGGCACTGGCGAAAACTCCCCCACTGTCAAACATGAATGGTTCGCATACGTTTTTGACGCAGTCCCCATGTTCTTCGCGCTGGTAATCTTGAATATCTTCTACCCAGGCAAGGTTCTGCAGGGGCCCAGAAGCGATTTTTCCGAGGAGGATAAGGCACGGAAACAGGCCAAGAAAGATAAGAAAGCCGCGAAGAAAGCGGAAAAGGAGAGGAAGAAAGCGAAAGGTGGTAATTCATATGAGCTCTGCAGCGAATAGCAAGGGAATAGTTTGTTTGGCTTGGGAGTTAAGGTTTGTTCGGTGGGTTGAGGTGTCAATTTTCGTCCTTTAGCAGACATCATCTATCGACATGAAACCACGGAGAGTTTGGGAGGCGGGATAACACTTGTTTCACGACGAATGAAATTTTGGTATGGCAAGAAACAAATGTATTCCAGCATAGAAAAGAGCGCCGCTCTCACCAAGGAGATGTCTCCACTAATTCAAAGAAACAGTCGAGTGTCGTCACGATTGATTTCAATCACAATCACAGACACATTTTCCATCTTCAAACTCAGACTCTCATCGCATCTGACACATGGAAACACTCATTCTCCAGTACATGTCGCAGGTTGTTGCCTGGCTTGGAGCACACCTGTTGTCGTAACGTATCATCCCCACGTGGCTCATCCCACAGTGAAAGATACCAATGCCTCTTTCCTTTTTTGCCATAGCTCAATCCCACGACTTGAACGCCTGTGCGTATTCATCCGCTAAACTTGGCTTGGGTGGGGGGGCTCCAGGTTCAATCGGCAATGTAGAACCGGAAATGACTCAAGACTCGGACGAAGTTTCATGCGTTTTTCCATTGCGACCAGTAAACCTCCTTGCGTTCTGAGCTGGACATCGGTCCATTTTCGTGCTTGTTTTTGGTTGGTGGCACGCTTGTGTTCGGCTTAAGCCGATGCCCATTTGAGGAATTGAGCTTCAGGTTTGGGGACGGCTCCGCCATAAAGAGGTTTCATTTCAAATGTGGGTTCGTTGGTCTTGCCATTGCTGGACATTCTCGAATGCTTGACGCTCTCTAGATTCTTATCAGAGATAGTTGAGTGATGGTAAATAGCGGCAAGCCTCGTGTCAAACATGTCGTCTTCGTGGAGATAGCCGTGACGGACTCCATGGTTGTGTATGCCGAAATCCAAGCAGTCTCGTTGAACGTCATTTGCGAGAAGCTCAGTGTCGCATAGTTCTTAGCCGGAAGTCTTGACATTCGACAACTTTCTCGTTCCAAAATCTCTCTGACAATCTTCAAGGCTTCGTCCCGCTCTGCTGATCGGGATGTCATTTCCGCGTCATTGATACGGCGGTATATGATTGAGGAGGGAGTGGGAGTGATACACTTAAAAGATGAAGCCCGGACTGACTCCGAGGGGACTTGCTGAGATGTGAAGCGCGAGGGTGTAGCCGTCGACTTCACTCCCGTCTTGGCCTTTTTGAATCGGCAAGGCCACTAAGCTCGCATGTAGCTGGCCATGCTTGAAGTTTTCGCGGCTCGACGTAATATAGAAGCATTGATAGATCAAATGAGTGATGACAAAATGAGATAAGGTTACTCCAAAATAGGGCGGCCGAGGGTGAACAGAGGATTGCGCCGCCAGCAAAATCAACAATGTGGATGATATCGTGCCAAACCCTGGCCTGTTGGATTCTGGACCAAGAGATGATTCAATCCGTCAATTGATGTAAATCCTTGATGATTCCTGCTCGGCAGCCACGACTGAGCTCTGTGGTGCACGACTTGGTCAACACTTTTACTGGAAAACGAATGAGCCTGCTTCTCGAAGAATAGTGAGTCAATCTGTACTTGAAAGGTGCGGCAAAACGCTTTCCCGCGAAGTGTGTTGAATATGCTGTTCATTTGGCCTGGAGCTGTCATGCTGGTAAGGCCGCAAAAGTCCCAATCCCTTTCTACCGAACGCCGTGCTGTTCACGTGATGCTGTACACACTGTCACATTAGAAAACACTAATGTAATTCCCTATCCTCTCCTTCTGATTCTGGGCGATGCACTCGGCGATCCACGTAATATTTCGGATTTCCTTTGGCAAGGTCAGTGTCATATATCTTCATCGGTGGGGAATCCAGCTAACCTGTTCTCGCAGCTTGACCCACGCGTATATCACTGCATGGGTGAACTGTCGAGTGAACACCATCTTCGATAGCTCCATCTCTTTCTGGTAGAACATGTCTTCCAAAGACTTGGAGTCACCTCCCATGCCTCCGGACATGTTGCCACCTCCGACGCCGCCGCTCTGGTTGAAGCCAACTTCATCGAAAAACCGTTTGTAGTCACCAACACCACTGACGGCAAGGCCAACACCTTCCAAATCATCGGCTCTTGAGAGCATTAACATCCCCTCTGGATACAACTTCCCGAATTCCGGATACAGCTTCTTACGCTGTTCCTTGGTAAGCTCGGTTCCGAAGGAATTGATGGTAATGTTGATGGCTCGGCGATCTGCCTCAAATTCGAGAATTTCTGACATGATTTCCCCTGTCGGCGTCAAGGTCATTTCGGGATCTGTGTTGACGAAATGGTGGAAGTCCTCCAGATAGTTCTTGTACAAGGTGTTTCGGACGATTTCAATATTCAACTCATCCAGATCTTGATGACTGAGGCTGCCTTTGAAGTATGGAGCCAAAGGGGTTTCAATGAGAACGGAGTTATACAGCTCCTCGATGTTGGTAGCCACGCAAAGAACGGGCATGGTCTCAAACCAGCCCAATGGGTGGCACCTCTCCAGCAATTCCTTCGTATCTCGCTCGTGTAGCGTGCCCGTGATCAGAAGTGCCACATTATCGATCATGTAGGAGTACGTGAGGTATTCCATAAATTTTGCCAACGAACCTGTCGCTTGCCCTTGAAGATATCTGAAGTCTGCGACGAGTTTCTCTGTGGTCTTGTTTGCTAGAGCGGAAGTTGACGGGTTCGGGGGAAGATTTGAGAGCACCTCGCCGTAAGCTGGACCCAGTTGCATCTTGACGTCGTCGATTGATTCACATTGCGTGAGCTAGGGTCAGGTCAGTGTAGAACATCACAACGATTCGGCTGAATCATACATTGCTATAGTTTGTGCTCGTGAGTAAGGTGTTTCGGTATCCACGCACGATACCCTCCAGGTAGCCACCATTGACATTGAACAACAAGCCTAGGACGCGGGTCAGAAAATGATGGTCGTCGAGCTCAGCTACCCACCCTCCATCTTGTCGACCCAAAATTACCCAAAGCTTGGAAAAAAGAGAGAATGGGGCTCAGGCCAAAGTTTCGCCTCGACTCGAGTCTTCTTCGAATTCGGTGGGAAGAAGGATGGATTGTCGTCAAGGGATAGACAAGGCAGGTGAATAGGATCTACCAGCCAGCCAGAGGGAATCCTTGAAGCTGCGCCCGCCATACTTGCCGCGTTGGGATCTTGGCGCAGGTGGGGCCGCAAAATTGCAGCTTTCAAAACGTTTCTCGATTTTTTGGAGAGGCGGACTCGAACTTTCTCACAAGACCATTTTATTGCTGTATATCTCACCACCCTCTCTGCTGCGCGCACTGCGCATATTCCATAATGACTCTCCTTATCCTTACCGAGACCTCCGCAGGGTATGCCTTACTCAAAGCAAAAGACAAGAAGCTGCTCAAGCGGGATGATCTCGCTTCCACCCTCGACAGCGTCGAAAATGTTTGCTCAATGCTCAAGTTGAAGGAGTTCCAAAAGTTCGACAGCGCTGCAGCAGCTCTTGAGGAGGCCGCGGCGATCGTGGAGGGAAAGGTCACACCGAAGTTGTCATCGCTGCTCAACACATTGAAAGATGAGAAAAAGATTTCCCTCGCCGTTGCAGATCCGAAACTCGGGAATGCGATTGGAAAAATTCCGGGCCTTGAGATTAAAGCTGTTGCCGATTCCACCACGGCCGACCTCTATCGAGCCATTCGAGAACACCTCCCCTCTCTTATTCCAGGGTTGATGCCAGACGATGTCAAAACGATGTCTCTCGGTCTTTCGCATTCGCTCGCCCGACACAAACTCAAATTCTCCCCAGACAAGATTGATGTGATGATCGTCCAGGCGATCGGACTGCTGGACGATCTAGACAAAGAACTCAACACCTATGCCATGCGGGTTAAGGAATGGTATGGCTGGCATTTCCCAGAAATGGCAAAGATCTTGAACGACAATCTCGCATATGCCAAAGTCGTTTTGAAGATGGGTATGCGCACCAATTGGGAAAAGTGTGATCTGGCAGAGATCCTACCTGAAGAAATTGAGGCTGCTGTCAAAGCTGCGGCGGACAGGTCGATGGGAACCGAAATCACCGACGAAGATCTTGAAAACATACAAAGTCTTGCCGAACAGGTGGTTCAATTCACAGAATATAGGACCCAACTGGCCAGCTATCTTTCGGCACGAATGACAGCCATTGCTCCCAACCTGACAGCACTTGTTGGTGAACTAGTTGGGGCACGACTAATCGCCCATGCGGGAAGCTTGATGAATTTGTCAAAAAGTCCCGCCAGCACTTTACAAATTCTGGGTGCCGAAAAGGCGCTCTTCCGAGCACTGAAAACCAAACACGACACGCCCAAGTATGGTCTCATCTATCACGCTTCTCTAATTGGGCAGGCCTCGGGCAAAAATAAAGGCAAGATGGCACGGGTTCTGGCCGCCAAAGCAGCGCTGGGTCTGAGGGTAGATGCCTTGCATGATTGGGGTGAGGATGAAGCAAATATTCCCGAGGATGAGAAGGCGGCGCTTGGTCTGGAGGCACGAGCCAATCTCGAGCGCAAGTTGGCCGCCATGGAAGGCAAACCTCTGAAGCCTCGAGGAGTAGCCATTGCACCCAATGGCGTCCCTGCCACTGCACAACCAAAGAAGTGGGAGATCAAGGAGGCCCGGAAATACAATCCAGATGCCGATGGTCTTGCCGGTGACGAGGCTCCGGCGAGGAGGGAGAAGAAATCGAAGGAGGAGAAGAAGCTCATTCAGGAGATCCCCGAAGATGAGGCTATGGAAGAAGGCGAAGTTGATGACGAAGATGACGAGTCTGAAGCAGAAGACGAAGACGAGGCTCCTCCCAGCGTTCCATCCAAAGTCAACGGGGTCAACGATTTATCGAAGAAAGCAGCCAAAAAAGCAGAGAAGGAAAGGAGACGTGCAGAAAGAGCGGCTCGCAAGCTTGCCAAGAAGGAGAAGAAAGCAGCAGAAAAGTCCAACAAATCTAGTGAGGAATCCAAGATGGAGTCTCTAGCTGCTCAATGTGGACTGAGTGTTGAACGATACAAGAGAAAGCTTGGGCGGGGAGAAATTAAATTCCAGAGTGATGGCACACCGATAGCTATTTCGAAGAAGGAGATCAAGAAGGCTAAAAAGGCCGCCGAGAAAGCCGCTGCAGCATTGGCGAATGGTGAGGTTGAAGGGACAAAGAAGCGGAAACGAGTGGACGAAGAAGCCGAATCATCTAAGCCAGAGAAGAAAAAGAAGAGGAAAGAAAAGGCATAGGCGAAGACGTTGACGGGCCATTTTATTTCGGAGTTCTCGCATCATTGTCGTTCCTGCATGGCGTCGGGAAGGATGTTGGTGTTGGATTGAAAGCCCACCGGAAAATGTACAAATTACGATAGCAAGGGATGGCATTATATTGGCCCACTTTCATAATGAGCTAGTGTATTGCTGAAGTATTCCGAATACGAGCATTAACACTAGTCAATGAAAATGTCAAAAATGCTTCCTCCCCAGTTCATCTGCTGTGTATGGAGAAGGCTTTTTCGCCTTCTGATACAACGTCCGTATTGGGTTAGGCCATGTTGTCACGTGCAAGTTAGCCACCTCCCTCATTTAATGTTGGCAGAAATCTGTGCAGAAATTCCATCGCAAGATACAGAAGTGTCTGTCTTTGCAGTGGCAGGCCAGATGAATTAGGTGCTTGCACAATGCTCTTTCTGAGATTTCAGCTTCCGCCGCGAGTTTTTTGAGCTGCAATTAATCAGTCACCGGAATCAAATTCTACCACACAATGAAAGTTAGCTTCCCCCACGCTCGCCAGCCATGAGGAATGGCTTGTCTCCTTCGGGCACAATTTTACTGATTCTTTGGATACGACAGGTCGTCGATCCTCAGGCAGCGCTCCTGGCGACATCTGAGGTTCATCGATTCCTAGCCAGTAATCCACCTCGTCCACCATTCAAGAAAATAGGGTCACATCAATCTGTCAACCTAAAGAACTACCAGCGTGTTCGGCAAGACGTACGATAATGCATTTCCTGTGGAGCTGGAAAAGATTGTATTCCAAGCTGATTGTCACTCGCTTGTTATAGTTCCAACATTACGTTACAACCACGATCCCATACATTGAAGCCTTTTCTCCTCCAGAGACCTTTATCAAATCCGTCGTACCAAAACTTCGAGCCTTCGGCCTGACCAAGACAGAAGCCCTCATGTTGATAAATCTAGGGGTCGGACTTCCTAGGAATCAATACTCGCAAGCTGCTGCTGCAGAAACAGAGACGGGAGCAACAAATGGTGATGTCGAGGAAGGAAATGAAGAAGCTGCTGCACAGGAAGTGCAAGAGCCAGATGACCGTCAGCTGCTATCACTAGTGATTGAGGAACTTGAAGAAAGATTTCCGGGCGAACAAGGCGAGGCCAAAATGGAGAAAATACTACAGACAATGAAAGCCGAATTCGATCGAGCCCATGCCGCCACGAATGGACACGGAACGAAAGGGTCCTAAGCAGTATGACCCATGTCAATCATGGTGTGGTCGTTTAAAGCAGCGTTTCACCTGCAAAGCTGAATGATCCGGATCTTGGAACTGAATTCCTCTCTGACAGGATCTGAGACCAATCTCGTCCTTGGGATTCGGGGGTTACTCGTCTGTCGACGCGGACATTTTATGCCGGATCAGGGTAGGATTGACTCGATCCATCGTCTCTCAGGAACGACCATCAAGACAGCATCAACAACTGTCCTTCGAGATCCCACTGATACGTGTTCGTATGAAAGCTTTCCGGATGAACAAATTGTTACCGTCGATCAAAGCTTGTCGGCCCCTGCTCTTGATGACAGGTTCGGTAATGAAATCACTACAGTTTTCCATCCACCGCATGACCGACAGTATGGATGCGCCATCAGCTGCGCTGTAGCTATCATATTCTGGATCGAGCCCCAGAGCGAGTCACTCAAGATCTCATCCTCGTGGCCATCTGCAAAAGAGAGGTCGTCGTCGTCAGGAAGGATGCCCTCGACCTCGGTCTTTTCACTCTGCGTAATTCGGTTAAGCAGGACTCTCCAGTTCTCGTCCTGGCTCTGGCTTCCTGAAAATGATGAATCATCACAGTTAGCAACCTCTTCGCCGTCAAGGGGATCCGTTTCTTCTGCTTCCAATCTGTCAGGTGCCATGTCTACCTGGGGTCGATTATCTCCGGAGCACTTGTCACTGAAAAGAAAAAGACGGATGTGGGCGGTAAGTCCAGCGTTCCCCCATTGACTTGTCAGACACGGGTTAGGGCTCGGTTGAAACAATAACTTCCTGCCATCGAGACCGCCCCAGACATTGTGCTCGTCCTGACAGCTAATTTCGAGCGCGCAAGTGAAGGGGATGGGACGTCGCCCTTGCAGATCAATAGAGAGATGTGCTCTCGATCAGTCCTACCATGAAACGACGTTACAGATACGCTAGTATCAGATGTTTGACGCAATCGACGATGGATGCTATCTTCACGAGGCCTATCTCGAGACGCCAATCAGTCAAAACTGGGATGTATTTGGGCGGCGGATCTGGTCTCTGCTCGCGCCATTGCTTGATGGGTGCCGAGTTCTCAACCTTGAATTTCGAGGTAGGCATACCGGATTCACATCGGAAGGTTGCCCCAAATGCCACACCAGATGCGTTACCGTTACAGATTTGTTGGTACGTGGATACCTCAAGCCAAGCTCGGTCTCTCAGGCTATTGCCAACCAAACCGCTCAAACTGAGCATCCTCCCTCAATTTGCTACCCACAACATCACTGAGCTCCACTGGTTTCCTAGGCCACGAGGAGACGTAGAATATCTTGAAATATTCTTCTCCCTGCACAGCCCAACAATGGGATCCTTCTTCTCGATCTTTTGCAAGATTCCGCAAAAAGATGGGCCGGTTGTCAAGGCAAGCGATCAGAGAAATCAACCCGACCATGTCCAACCCCGTTCTCTCTACATTCAGAGAAACAAACGAGAGATCGAAACGACAAATTCAAAACACGTCATCGTACCGTCCTTTTTTTTCCGAAATGATCTGTGACTGAGCTCAGGGAATAGACCAATCCCTTCAAGATGGCTACCATACCGGGGTCGAAGGATGTACTTGACTATAGTAAACGATACTAGGTCGACTCCCTAATGCGGTCGAAACCATGCTACGCGAGAAGTAGCGTGCGAGAGGCAGAATTGGCTTAGCGGCGTTCTGCAGTCCTCTGTAAGAGCTATTAGCAGTATAGTTAGTGAAGTCAAGATGGCCTTCTGGAGTATCCATGGAGGATTTTTGGACTTCGATCCATACGGCAATATATCCGAAACGCTATTGCCATAAGATCTTGGTTTGAAGATGCAAACGAATCGATGCTTTGGGCGTCTGGGGATGCGAGGTCTTTTTGAGTGACCAACAAACCCGATCTCGCCGAATTATGACTGAAATCGACAATCCGGACTTTTTTGCGACGTTTGACCACCAACAGACCGAATATATTATCAGTTACAAACCTCTTCAAGGTGTCGTGATCATCCAGAGAGGCCCCTATTTTACGCACAACCTTGTCAAGAGAAGGTGCCTCTTCGTCATTGAGTAAGGACAGATCGACTTCAAAAGCCAGCTCCTGAATAGTTAAAGCCTCTTGGCCGCTTCGACCCAACCAGCTATAATCACACCAATACGCTTCTGCTCTGCGCTCATCTTTGTGACACACTGAACATACAGATCCTCCAACTCAGGTTAGAAATCGTCCAGGACACCAGGAAGATAGGCGAGGCTAGCCCTGACAAAATACTGTTTGGCCGAGGACGATGTTCAGCCAAAGAAAGTTTCCTCGTGCTCTCTTGATGATTAGTCGTTCGAGGCATGCAGTCTCGGATGCTTCTGGCAAGAAGTCTTCCAGTCACAGTGGATTAGAGGTCAACTTCGTTGCACCGCGCTGGTGATATGGTAATCCCACCCGAAAGTTTGATGACAGGATGGTCTCGACAGGAAACATACAGGAACAAGGGAGTGCCATTTACTGAAGCCAAATTCCCGCAACAGTTAAGTTTCAACATGAACATATCGGTTGACATACCAATGCATTCTTTCACAGCATCCATCATGGCGACAGCCCTTCCACAGAGAATTTTGCTCTTGAACATCAACCAGACGAGGCTCCACAACCCAGCTCCATGTCATTCCGTGCCTCTCATGTCCTCTTGAGAGCTGCGCAGTGAGTCGAGCAATGCAGGAAATTTCTTCCCAGTTTGAAAAATGATAGTCCGGCAAAATCCTTCAACAGATTTGTCGAACCATTTCCCAGCGGGGCTGAAAGAGAAAGACAAGCAGAGACCGAAAGAGGCTTTGGGGAGACCAATCGCTTCTTCATGATAGATCTGAGAAGCGTGGATTTTCCGCTACCCAGTGGTCCTTTTATCAGCAGGTTCGGTGTGGGCTCCTTGACCCTGTCGCTGAGCGTCGACCCAATCTAGGCGCTGTACTCTAGTTGGTCATAGATCCACTGACATGTGTCTGCATCGGGTTCCTCGATCCTGGTGAACTCGTGAAACATCGTCTCAAACCATGGGGAGTCAAGAAAGACTGGTGCCCATGTCGAACAGCCTCTTTTTTCTTTTTTTTTTAAAAAAAAAAAGATTCCGTCGAAGCACAGAAGTTGACTCGATACCTTCCTCAATGTCATGATCCGCTCGCACCATCTCCTTCAATTTGCCCACTAGTGTAAAGAGGGAAGGCTGTTTTCTTAGGGGATGATCTATCTGACCTCTGAAATCTTACAATTTCCACATGGTCCTTGCGAATCGAGATGTCGTGACCCTCGAGGAGCCTAGCTGATTCTGGCGTCACTATTATGGTGGATGTTCTCAAATAGGGAATGTGCAGTGGCAGCTCTTGGTACATTGACCAGACAGCAAGTTTCTGTCCTTGGTTGCGAAGACGATCTCTCAACATAAAGACTCCTGCAGATGCTTGAGATATTGATCGCTCGTTTGGAGGACCTGGATCAAGTTCATGTTAATGTCCTTGGAAGGGTGGAAAACATAAACGGGGATCGAACTCCAGTCTGCATGGCATGATCCTCAATGTGGAGTACCTATGAAAATTATCCCAATAATACCACTGATTATCACGTACTTAGAGCTCGACTGGCCCATGTCTGAGGCGAATGGAAGGGTAGGTTTGAGAAAAAAAAAAAAAAACCCCTATGCTGAATCTATGCTGTGTCCCACCGGTATAATGGGTACTGGCGACGTTCCGCTATCTCGACGGCGGGTTGTGAGTTCATGGACGAAATTCTGAGCGTGGCCACGTAATTTATTGTGGCCGGTCCAGTCTTGCGGAGGATATCGATGACAGAGTCACGGTCTTGGGCCACGGAACATCTTCCAATCAACGAGTGAAGGTTGTATTTCGGTTGCAGGTAAGGCCATGGACCAAAATGACGTCCACGTCGTGCGGCTGAGGTGTTTCAGGATACCATTGTTCGAAGCCGTTCGGAAAATTCCCGAAATGCCTGGGCTTCTTTTCTGTTTTTTGAAGAGCCTACTGAATTTGGGAATGGACAACATTGCGGGCGGCAAGCCCGGTCTTCATTCTATACATATGACTTGAACCCGAATGTGGTTGTCAACACATGGCATTGAGAAGTGTGTTAAAAGGCACCATCAGGCTGCACAATCAATCCCGCCTCAACAACGCCGCCAAGATGGGTCAGAGCTTGTTCTTCATGCAGAACTTGGCCTAGATAGCAGCTCAGCGCCTATTAACCAGCGTTTTGAAAGGACTCCGGGCGCATGAAGCAATTCATCTTGTCGACCAACGGAATCCTCGAGGAAAAATACCCTTTTCTGAGTACTTTGAAAGACCACCAGAAGTTGATACGAAAGAGTTACAAAACCTCCAAGACTGATGGATGAATTTTATCAGGTGATCATCCAGGGGCCCAACTTCGAGATGACAAAATTTCACACGTTCTATTTCGAGCTCGCTCGTTTGTTTTAGGAGATCAACCCCGTCTACCCTTGCGTTTTCAGGCCCAAATTGTGGGGTTCCAAGAAAGCACAGACCCCCTTTTTTTGTACTACCATCTCGTCAATCCAAGCTAGGAATAAGGGAGTGCGTTCGACCGATTATCGACAGTATACGGATACGTATTCACCAGAGTATGCTTTTGCCGAGCCCCGGTAATTTCAGGAGAATATAGGAGATCATCGACCCCGTCACGGCTCTGATCCGCTATGTGATGACTCGAGCAAATTCATGATCTGATCGACATGACGATCCGTCTAGCGTACGCACCGATTGATGCCTTAATCCATCAGAACTTCTCGGATACAGTTGCAAACTAGAAGTCAATGGGCGCACACCACTCAGGGCGCTCCAGCGTGTCAGTGTGACGAGCCATCGAATCTCCGCAACACCTCCTGTCCAGCAATCGGGGGCCGTTTCAAATTGGTGGAACGCTCTCGCCTCGGTCACCGGAATGGTCATACAGACCCTTGGAAATCCGCCTGGCACATCTGTCCCAGCATCTTAAGGCTAGCAAGCGAACAGGGCCTTCCATCCTTTCGCCTCTTCCTAAGCCTCATCCGGATCTATCACTTTCGCATGTCCAATGATTATGCTCATCTCAGGCCATTTGCCTTGTAGGGCTCAGGGGAAGGAGCCTTTTGCCAACCGAATTGACTGTTTGACTTCCTCCTAGGATGGTTAAGCACGCGCATCATGGGCGATCTCAAGGCCACATAGCAGCTGAAGTCAGACCAAACGATGCTACCAGAACGGTTCCGCAAGGGTGACCATGATTCTTCGACGCTTTGCTCTGCAGCCAGCCGAAATTATCGCTTAGTGTCTTTTCGATATATTCGCCAAAGACCCTCCCTCCCGTTGTGTTACTGTCGTCCCCACCGAAACTCTCTCTTATTCCGTCGTCGCTCTCGCTCTTTGCTTTCACGTGTTATAATTTTGTCCTCATCCCTTCTAACACCTTTTCTTTTCACACGTCTCGTCAATGGCCATGGCGCAACCACCTATGAGACCGGGTGGAGTGATGGAGAAGCCAGTCAACGGTGCTGCTGCGTATGCACATGCCCCTGGTGCTCATGGTAAATGGACATTCGGGCTTTTCGACTGCTGCTCCCCATTCGGCACCTGTAAGTAAAGCTGCCCCACTGAAAGTTCGAGAAAACGGGAGCAATTGACTCTTTCAAAGGCTGCATGGCAACATGGTGCCCTTGCATCCTGTACGGCAAGACATACGCGCGCGAACATGGTGATCCGGATTCCAGTGGTTGCAATGGATCTGTATGTCATATTCCAGCTTTGATCTCGTCTCGTCATCTGTTTGCTGTGTTCGCTGACACGTACCATGAAGTGCTGTGCATTCTATTGTTTGATGTGCATTGGTGGAAGTTGCATCCTTCAATGCATCAATCGAACCTCCACTCGTGAGAAGTATGGAATCGAGGGAAGCTCTTTCAGTGATTTCTGCACATCTTGCTGGTGCGCTTGCTGCCAGTTGATCCAGGAGGATAAAGAGTCGATCGTCAGGACGACCGGCATGGATCCAAAGACGAAGCAGCCATATGCTTCTCCTCACCAGATGACTTATCCGTGAGCGCTGGAAGAGCAGAGACTTGAGGAAACAAAATAGGGAACGGGAGATGTCCTGGTGAGAGGGCGTTTGGGATGAATTGCCATGATTTCAGGGACTAAGGGATTCAGAATTCGCTCCTGATTGATGCCTTTCTGGTACTGTTGATATGGCCGTGGTGAGCCTTGTCTTGGCTGGCTTCGGTGTGAATGGGGATATCAACTATTATGATCATTTTCCCTTCTTTGATTCCCCATCCCCACACAAACGTCTCTTTCAAACTCTTTCATAGCTTTTGATCTCAACTTCTCCAGTACCAGTCGGCCTTGGTCGCGAAGAATTCGTCATCCACAAAGACCCGCTCTGCGCCGCCTGCGAACTCTTTGAACGAGCGAGGGTATATCGAGACCCCGACCCAAGAGGTCTCACTGATCGAAGAGATTGGAGAAGTGTTCGCGTTTCTCAGTGACCGGCTCAACATAGGAGGATCGACTGGACCTATCCCTCCGTTATTCGCGCTCAACAGACACGGGATCGGGATCAGGATCACGGCTACCTCGAAGTCTACCGCATGCCCGATCGACTAACGACGCCAAGATTACAGCTTCTTTCTTTCCACAGAATCAATGACATATTCAGTTTCGACGCTGCAACCCTTCCAGATCGCGAATTTCTCCGTTTACTCTTCAGCGAAGAAGCACCTTTGGCCATGCAACTGTATATTGCTGATCATGCTGCATACTAGCTTCTTAAAGCAACGTTCGAGGATGAATGGGCACGGCTATTCATGGCACATGATAGATTTGGGGCGGAAATGACATTGACAACGATTCACAGTCAGGCAGCTGGTACTGTGTACCGTCATCCAAGTCATGTGCTAAACTACAAAGCGGAAAATGGTTCCAATATGTCAGGCTTGAAGAAGCTGGCACGGCAGGCAGACCAAGGGAGAGTTTGTTGAAGGCCAAGTAGAAAAACTCGCTCTACCTAAAGAAGATCCAACTGGCTGTATTCTGAGCTGGTGGCTGATGGTGTTGGAACATACATGAAAGAAAAAAGGGATGCGTGTTGCATCGGTGTGGAATGTCTATTGTGTGGGTCGTCGTTTGATAGTGGACAGTCTTCGAGTCCTTGCCGTCGGCAAACAGGTAGGAACATGTTCGAGTAATACGCCCTTACCTCCAAGCGAGGAGTTCGTCACAAACCCGTTCGACGATGCCTCATGGCCCGATTTGGAGAGATATCTTACACATGGTCTATTGGTTAGGGAAGTCGCAGGATCTTCCCATTCGGAAAAGCCTTCTTGAAGCTCACCAGAGATTCGGCTCTGAATTGTCCAAAGAATTGTTTGGAGCCAAGGTTTGATCAAAGAACACGGGCAGCATGCCATCTCAAACTGGTCCAGTTCGGGCTGGTATTCTGAATATTCGGTATGGGGTTGCTGCTGGCCAAACTGTCCGCAACACTATCACGAGTCTCGAAAAGTTTCAGGTGAGGAACGAAGTAGAGAGGCCAATGGTGCGAAAGGAGAGAACTGGCCACAGGCTACACAGCGCGCGCCTAGCAGACTAGCATAGGTAAAAGAGTCCTGAACTAGAATAACACCCAGGGAGATCTCTCCACCATGAAACTCCCATGGGATCTCCTCGTTCTTTGCGTAGGCGTCGAAGCGTAGCCCTGATCTGATATTTTGAAAAGATTAGCACATCGATGCAAGGCTGAGGTAGACTGCTCTATACCCACACCTGAGCCGTAATCAAGTCGAGCCAACACCCGGCAAGGCGATATTGCTATGATCGTTTGACATTACACGCGAACGACCGTAATGGCGTCAGATAGCAAATACTCTCCCGTGGCAGAACTGGCCTTATCACGAAGTCCGTGTCCGTTATCGGGGACGGTCCCCCCTCCCGGCTTCAACATATCCTTCACCTAGCTTGCACCGAGCTCTGTCACACGATAACTGGTCTTTCTCTCTCTCATTGTCCTCCAAACCATCGAAATGGGCAACTCACAGTCCTCCAGCGCCGTCAACGAACCCGCGGTCGAGAAGATCCTCGTCCAACAACTCCAGAATCTCCGCACCAGAGATAAGCTGAGACAGTTGGAAATCGAGAAGGAATATGTTCACGTGGAGACTGAAAAAGGAATTCCTCATACATATTCGGCCGACCCTACTCTATCTATCAAGACGGCTGAAGCATGGGAGAAAGAACTGCTTGCCGATCCGAAGAACCGCCTGGCATTGAATGCCCTCCTCTCTAATGACGTCCGCTCCATCGTCTCCAACAAAGTCGCTACTGTCACAGACACACAGACATTCAATGTCCAGATCCCTTTTGAAGGAGCGCCAGTCACCAATCAACGATCATCGGGAAGATGCTGGCTGTTCGCCACCACCAATGTGTTACGGGTAGCCGTGATGAAGAAGCATAATCTGAAGGAATTCGAATTGAGCCAGGCATATCTCTTCTTCTGGGACAAGCTGGAGAAGGCCAACTGGTTTCTGGAACAGATGATTGACACTGCAGATAAGGGTCTGGACAGCAGATTGGTACAAGAGCTGCTCGGTGCCCCGGTCAATGACGGTGGTCAATGGGATATGGCGGCCAACTTGGTGGCCAAATACGGATTGGTGAGTTCTGTCTCGGCCGGATGTCTTCGACTCCTCTCTGACAGCTCTTAGGTCCCTCAAAAACTCTACCCGGACTCCTACAATGCCATGAACTCTTCTGCCATGGGTTCAATCCTCACCACCAAGCTCCGTGAAGACGGCCTCGCCCTCCGCGCCATGGTGAAGAGCCCATCCATCCAGAAATCCTCCATCATTGCCGCCAAAGCCAAAATGATGCAAGAAGTCCACTGCATTCTTACCCTCATGCTGGGCCCACCACCTAAGCCCGACGAGAAATTCATCTGGGAATACTACGATGCCACCGACAAATACCACAAAGTCGTCAAGACCCCGCTCGAACTGGCCAAGGAACTCTCTAGCCCCAGCGTCGTTCGTTCCTTGAACGCCGACGTCAATGAACTCTTCAGTTTAGTCAACGATCCACGAAATAAATACAACCAACTCATGACCGTGGAGCGTTTGGGGAACGTCGTGGGCGGCCGCCCCATCACCTACGTGAACGTGGACATGGCGACCATGAAGAAAGTCACGATCAACATGCTCCGAGCGGGCCTCCCCGTGTTCTTCGGCAGCGACGTGGGGAAATTCTCCAACTCCACCTCGGGCATCATGGACCCGGCTCTGTACGACTACGGTCTCGCATTCAACATCAGCTTGAACATGAGCAAGAGCCAGAGGCTGATGGTGCGCGAATCGGCCATGACGCACGCGATGGTTCTCACGGCCGTGCAAGTCGAGGACGGCAAATCGGTGCGCTGGCGCGTGCAGAATTCCTGGGGCGAGAACGCCGGCGAGAAGGGCTTCTTCGTCATGACGGACAAATGGATGGATGAGTTCGTGTATCAGGTTGTGGTTGATCCGGGGTTCGTGAGCAAGGAGACCAAGGACCTCCTGAAGACAGAGCCTCTGGTTCTACCGCTTTGGGATCCCATGGGTGCCTTGGCGTAGATTGGAGCCTTTCTTGGCAAATGGGGCCTGTATTTCGGCTGTGGGCTCGTCTCGACTATTTGTGGAGTGAAAGATGGATTGAAGCAAACCGAGTTTACCAGACGCTTTTTGAATATGATTCCCATGACCTGCGATGCTAGAGGCGTATCGGCGCCAGAAGAAGATGGAGGACGTGGTTATACACTCACCCTAGCGACATCCAAGGCCATCAGCACTCTGGTCTGTCTATCAGAAAATTCAGATCAAGTTATTTTACGCGGTGCCCGTCCAAATATGTAGCGCATGGAGAGCGATTCGTGGAGCATTTCGCATGTGACGTGAAACCTTAATGCTGGTCTAAGATCTTGCTGGCCATGGAGACACGGACCGAAATGCGATTTCTCTACCCTGGTCAACGATGTTCCTGGGATACTGAAGCCTCTCGCTTTCACAGAGTTGGAGGTGGAACACAGCGGAAAGATTGGATATAGCGAGAATACAGTCTGGTCAAGATTGATAAACACTTCCATTTCATCACGGGAGCAGGAGGTGGGGGCCCAGTGTGGAACCGTTTAGAACCCTCACACACTCTGAAACTCTTTTGCTAAGCAAGTCCTGACTGGATCAAAGGCCCGAGTCCACTTTCTTGATCGATTGACTCCAGCAAAAACACAAAACATTGAGCCAGCACCGCTGTGATACCGAACGCCGTCCGCCCGCAATCATATGCAATCGCTCAACTTGATAAATTTCGGCCGTGGTGGTGGCATCATTTCATCAATCCTCCCAGCTCTTCTCCACCGTCTCCCGTACTCTCTTGGTGTATTCCTTCCGGTTATCTTTGTACAGGTTGGACGCTTCGACATTCGCAGGGGAAGATGTGTTGGGATCGTTGAGTAGTGATTGAATACTTGTCAAAATGGCCGCCACATCGTAAGTCGGAGACCATCTGTTCTGGAGAATGTCCAAGCACAACTCGCCCGTACCATAGACGTTGGGGTGGAACATTTGCGAGACGAATTTGACACCCGGAGGTTTGTTAGGGTAGGCTTCTTCGAATTGCATCACAAGTCGAAAAGTTCCATCTTCAAAGGGAGTGTCGGCGGGACCGATAATGACAGCGTTCCTCGTGGGACATTAGCCAGGGAAGGATGGAGGGGCTCGGAAATCTCGTACCAGGTCATGACGTTGTCAGCAATAGGGGACGCAGATACGCCAGCGGGCGGATCAGTTTGCATACGCTGTCAATGTTTAGTCACGTCGGTTCCGCGAGAAAGGATCGGATCCGTGGACAAGCTCGTCGACAGGGAGGGATCTTATCGAGGTGAATTGGCATACCTTGAAGTCTCGCATCAAGCGGCGTCTGGCGGAAGTAGACATGATTAGTGCGGGATGAATGAGTTCAGGGCGAGGATGACGGGGGTCGAGGCGTAGGGGGATATGACCACAAACAAACTTGGGACGGACGAGGTATTGGAGAAGAAGAATAAGTCTGGGAGTTGAGCTCACGCGAGGTGAAAAGCCCGCAACAGCGATTCGCCGCCGTTCGAGGATGTCAAAGTGGCCGCAGAAGGAGGCGAGTTGGGAGAACGCCTTGCCGCTTTTCGGCCATAGCGTGATACCAGCACCAAAAACGGTTAGAAGGACAAGGCCCTGGCACGTGCCCGGATATCCCCCGCGGGCGCCCGTTCTCCGGAATTGCTCCGAGCTTTAAGACAGCCCCAAAGTGCTTGAACCGAGGCCCAAAATCATTTATTCCGCCCTCGTTTTTCCTCCAGCAGCCTGCGTACATTTAGAGCCTCTTGCCTCTCCGAGCCGGCTGATATTCAGACAGCCATCTTCTCATTTCATTGACTGATTTGGAGGTACCCATAATACCTCTTCCTCCATCCCCGGTCTGTTCTTGAGAATTGGAAATATACGATATGATTTAACAAGTCGTCAAGCTGGCTTCAACAGACCCCGACTCCGTCACGATGGCGCCCGTCGTATCCTCTGTTGCTCGTGCAGCATCCCAAGTGTCGTCCAGCACAGCCCGCGCGCGCCTGACCCAAATGCGAAGTCACTTCAGCACTTCCTCTGGAGCCCGAAAAGAAATCCAAGACGCATATATCCTCGGCGCAGCCAGGACTCCGACCGCCAAGTTCAATGGCTCGTTCATGGGCGTGTCTGCTCCCCAACTAGGCGCTTACGCAATCAAGTCCGCGATCGAGAAGTCCAAGGTTCCCATCTCCAAAATCACGGATGTCTATATGGGCAATGTCCTTTCGGCCGGAATGGGTCAGGCACCCGCCCGACAGGCGTCAATCTTCGCCGGTCTACCGCCTACGATCGAAGCCGTCACAGTGAACAAAGTCTGCGCGTCGGGCCTCAAAGCTGTGGCGATCGCTGCTCAAAATATCCAACTGGGTTTGGCCGAGGCCCAAGTCGCGGGCGGCATGGAGAGTATGTCACGGGTTCCATATTACCTCCCTCGCGCCGCTCAAAATCCAGCTTTCGGACACCTGCAGATGAAAGATGGCCTCCTCGATGATGGTCTCTGGGATGTCTACAATCAATTCCACATGGGCAACTGCGCAGAGAACACCGCCAAGAAATTTAACATTACTCGTGAAATGCAGGATGCATATGCAATTCAGAGTTTCGAGCGCGCCCAAAAGGCATGGGCAGAGGGCCGATTCAAGGATGAAATTGTCCCCGTCACGGTCAAGGACAAGAAAGGAGACACCGTCATCAGTGAGGATGAAGGATACAATAACCTGAAGAAAGATAAAGTGGCTACCTTAAAGCCGGCCTTTGTCCGGGATGCCTCAGGAACCGTCACCGCCGCCAACTCGTCAACTTTCAATGATGGTGCCAGTGCCTTGGTGCTGGGGAACAAGACCATTGCGCAAGAATACGGAAAAGGAAGCAGAGTTCTTGCTCGTATCATCAGCTCCGCAGACGCATCAGTCGATCCTATTGATTTCCCCATCGCGCCCGCTAAGGCGGTACCCATCGCTTTGGAGCGCGCAGGTATCAAGAAGGAGGATGTGGCGGTTTGGGAGTTCAACGAGGCCTTTGCTGCCGTGATCAAGGCCAATGAACAGGTAAGGGTGCCGTTCAAACATGGAACGAACCCAATTGACTAATGAAAATCTCTAGATTCTCGGCCTCGAAAACGCAAACGTGAATCTCCTCGGCGGCGCCATCTCATTGGGCCACGCCCTCGGAAGCTCTGGATCACGTATTCTTACAACCCTCCTGCATCAACTGAAACCCGGCGAGTATGGTGTTGCTGCTATTTGCAATGGTGGTGGTGCTGCCACAGCGATGGTTGTGCAGAGAATTGAGAGTGTGGACTGAAGTAGTGTTATTGGATGGCCGCGCAACAGAAAAGTCGAAGGCCGAGGCCGACTATGGTGGAAAGATACGGGACGGCTGCATAATACCGACTGCGCTGTATATTACTCTTCTTGACATCCTGAATAAGATTGGAAAGTCGAAACGATACCTATCTGTCGATTTCCGGACAAAATATTATGCGATAGATGCCCCAGCCTGAACCATGTTGTCGAAAATCATTGCCCGGCGAGAACGTGAGAGAAGGGTCTGGGAATGTGCAGCGCTGTTCTTCTCTGTCATTCAGGTGCCTTCCCGTGCAGGAGTCTGACACCCTGTCTCAAAATGAGACGCTCGTGCAGCTCTGCGCTAGAATTTTCAGCAACGTATCTCGATGAAAAGAGAACAACTGACCGTCGACATTTCTATATTCCTGTACCCTAACTCGTCGCCCCTCGCTTTCAGCAAGCACAATGGCAACCACTAGGTTCCCAATCAGATCCATGGCTGCAACCATCAGTGACATCGGCGCCATCTGGAAAGCAGCCATCGATCGTTACGAAACAGTCACCAACGGAAAGATCGAATCACTAGCCAAAGCTAATAATGTGGACGACAGGGAAGATACGGGTGATAGAGGTATCGTTTAAGGACCAGCGCCATGGTGGCTCCAAAGTCGACAGAGATCGAGCCTCCGTTGAGCAACAGCCTCAACCCCATTGAATAACTTTCCCAGGTATTCGTAACGGCTGCTTCAACTGCAAGGCTTGTCCTACCTTTTTTGATTGACGAAGGCATATGTTAATACTACGACAGTCTTTCCCTCCCGCACCGCTATTTTCACGGCTATGAGTAATTTATAAACGTATCGGCACGTCCGCCTGAGCCGTATGATACTAACCAAGTCTCAGACCACCAACTTCGTCTCAGCCGACTACGACAAAATCGCTGCTTTCTTCGCGGACCTGGATCTGTACCTCAAAAATCTAAAGAGCTTGGAAGGACGAATGCCACCTGTGCCTGAGATGTTGCGAGAGCGATTAGTTCCCACTTGACACCCTGGATAACCTTTCAAATTCCATCCTTTCGGTGACACATACGAGATCTCATGTTGACGTATTCCAGTACAACCCTTTCGATCCTTAGCCTCCAGGGAAGATAGCGACTTGCAACTACCTCTGCCACTTTCGCAAAATGATTGACCACGGAACATGGACCAGTTAGAATGCTATTTTGGCAGCCATCGGTCCACTTCAAGATGAATCCATCTTCATCCGATCGGACGTGCAAGAGTTTAGCTATCACCAAGCACACGGGCACAAATACCAAGTCCATCTTGGTCAATACAGAGCTTTTGCATAAAGATTTGGAAAGTATGATACTCCTCCAAGTCCTCCCTATTGTCGAAATCTAATTTTGATGACACGCCGTCAGGCCGACCTGGAACGAAACGAAATCCAAGCAAGGCTGTCATCCCTGGAATTTTTATCGGAAGCCGGAAGACGCTTATGTCCAATATCACCCCAGCATTCTCCTATGGCTGCTGAAATCCGGCAAATTTCAGCCATGGCTCAACGGCACACAATCCACCGTTCTGTGGTATCCTAGAATTCGTAAGCCATCATTTCCAAACTCATCCACTCATGATCTCAATTTGAGACTCCATTAATGACTTGTGATCCAGCTGGCGCGGGCAAGACTGTCTTGGTGTATGTGGGCCCTGAGCCAAATTCCTTCCCTTTTTACTTTCTAGGCTTATACCCCCCGGTCTTCTACAATCAATTATGTTCGGGAAGCCATGCAAGGGAAGAATGCAGCGGTTGCCGACGTCTACTGTCGCCACAAAACCCTAAAGACTTATCCCGAATTTGAACTTTTGGCTAGTATTGCCAGGCAGTTGACAGAGCAAACAAATGCAATCCTTCCAACAGTGAGAGAATTTTATCACCAGAACGGCAAAATAAGAGGGAGTCCTACTGATGACGAGCGGGCCTCTCTAATCAAGCCAATCTGTCTCCTTTTCCAGGCAACTTACCTCTGTGTCGATGTTCTGGTAAGGTAATTCTTCACCAGTTCACTTTATAACAGGCATCATGGACACTAACTCGTCACCCTGGGATCCAGGACGAATTTCCTGAGATCAACAGAGTAGATTTCCTAAATTTTATCGAAAATTTGGAACCTTTTGTCCGGGCCTTCCTTACCCCTCCCCTAAATGTCATCCTTCAACCTGCATTTCCTCACGCATTTCGCATCGGTATTTTTAGCTAGTGACGATGACATAAAGGCCTCCTTGGACCATCAGATCAGCGGAAACAACAAGATATCTACATTCACTGGAAGGACACCAAGTTGGAGGAAGATATCATACAGAACATGAGCCAGGAGGCGGACGGAACGTAATTCTAGAATACGAAGGAGCCCCTTTATTCGAGAAGATTGATCCAGGGCCAACTTAAATTTCCCAGGTTTCTGCTTGTAAACCTTCGGGACGGATCATCTGTGTAGTCAATCACGCCTCAAGACGGTTCGAAAGACGACGACGGCAATGCCAAAAGGGTATTTGAATATTACGATGACGCGTTACAAAGAGAGCCCTCAGCTGCATATTTTGCGCTAAGTGGTCCACTGAATCTGACAGAGCTGCGAAATCCTGGCAATAAAAGCCGAGGACATCAGCTTGGGTCCAGCCGCAATCCGGAGAAAGACATCTTGCTTACCATTTCCGCTGACCTTATCTTAGGCGATGAAAAGACCAGAATTATGGCATTATACACTACACCGTGCAGGAGTGAGTACCACGAAAAGCACTCCGACAAAGTTCTGCGTGACCCACGAGGCTGAGTTTGCAAAGGTATGTCTCACATACTTAACACTCGACAATTTTGAGGAAGGGCCATACAATAGTCGCATCAAATTGCAGAAGCGATTGCATAACTTTTCGTTCCTTGAATCTTCCTCTCCCCCCTGGGGGAGTTGGGGTTACCACGTTCTTGACAATCAGCTTCATGAAACATAGTGACGTTACTTTTCAAGTTTTGGAGAGACGAGGAAAAGTTTCCCAAGCAGCATAGCGCTTTACACACAGCGGCCTTACTGGGGATTAGACAAAAATCTTGTCCATCCTTTCTGCAAGACAGATTGGCATCGATGGTCAGGACAGCCGTGGAACAGCTGCGCCACTTCTTCCCGGAAAATACGGTCACAAATCGGCAGTGCAGCAACTGCTGGAAAATGGAGCAGATGTCAATAAAAAAGGCGACAATGGAGAAATGGCGCTGATATCATTGCCGACCATCCTGATAGAAAAGGAAGCGCGCTTTCTATGGCGTGGGTGGAGTGCATGAGCTTGTCATGCAAACGTTCATAGACAGCAGAGTTGATGTCAACGCGAGGGAAGCTACGGGCTTTACTCTCCTTCGAGCAGTGTGGATAAGACGTGGGAAGCCCGTTGAAGTACTTCGACAAAATGAAGCCAACATCACACCAAGAGACGACAGTGGAAATACAGTCCTGTATTTTGTTATTCCCTATCCATCGATTGTACGACTATTGCTAGACTATGGGGCAGAAATCGACGCTCAGAATGCTTCCAGGCAAACACCACGTTGTGAAGCAGCCGAGATGTGGCTCTAGAAGTTGCAGAGCTGCTAGTTAACAGTAAAGTCTAGGTGAACGTGCAGGACGACGGTGGAATGACCGCATTGCATCTAGCAGCCCTCAACGGGGCGCAAAACGATGGTCTGCCTGTTGCTCGAAAGAGGAGCGAGCCCTAATATTTCGAGACAAGTAAGGCTGGGCACCGATGTTTCTGTAGGCGTCTTGATGGGGAAGATGGAAATTTCGCAGCTGCTAATTGAAAATGGCGTTGATGTCAATGTAGAGGATTCCTATGGACAAACTCCTTTGCATTGGGCTGCTAGGCACAATTCCACAACGACAATGCACATACTGGCTGAGAGGAAAGCCAATCTCAACGTGGCTGATCACCGGGGAAAGACAATATTGATGGGGGCAATCGAGAGCTTGTCAGGAGAGACGGTGCAGTTGCTGCTGCGGCTTGGAGTTGATGTAAATGCAGAAGCTCGACATAATGTCACTGTCCTGCATTGGCTGTCTCTTTTGGGATACGAATCAGCAGTCCAGAAATGGCTCGAAAGCGGTGCTAATATCCACGCAGAAACTCAACGGTGTGAAGCCGACGAGGACGAGATCGACATCGAGGACGAAGAGGGCTCTGTGGCCTTCGACGAATTGGATGGATTTTACGCAGCGAGTTCCGTGAACAAGATGCTTGCATTGACATTGGGAGTGATGTTGAGGATGGTGCTCGACGCCGCTTGATCGTGCAGAGAGTTTGCAGCAAGCAAAGGAAATGTTGCCGAATAAAGACTGCTCGGACTGTGATGAATAGCTCGTTAGTTTTAACACATCCCAACATATGGCACCAATGAGTCGTCCAATCTGAACGCTAGAACAAGAACTCTGGCGTCGTTCCAAAACCAAAAAAACTTCCTCCTCTGCGTTCTCTTGGTTTCGATGCCTCGGTATCTGACTGACTTACCTGAACAATGGGTCAATCTTCGATTCTCGCAACAGCAGTTGTCAAGAGCAGATGTATCTGCTCCCACCGCCTCTTCAACGTTTGCCTTTGAGAGACCATTCCCTCATCGTCACCAAGCGCCGAAATTTGCCTCAGGTTCTCAACAACCATCAGCAAATACGCCTTCAGTGCCTTTAACAACAGCTCATCGGCTTTGAGCTGATACTTGTCGCCGTCCTCGAACGCACCCTTCGCAAGAACCCGCTTCCACGTCCGCGGCGGCATACACAGCGCCTTCAACGCCACCTGCGTCCGATAGCAGATTGTGTCTTTGTCTAATTTGAAATTCCCCCAGAACCCAGCCTCATCTAGTCTGTTTTTCGTTGATTCATCAAACAACGGGCCCATGACTTCGTCGAGCGAGATTTCATCCCATTTATTCTCGTCGAGAATGAATCCATACTCGACGAGGAGGACATCGTTACTATGATTGCCGTAGCTGATGTAGAGTTCTTGACCCTGGTCGACCTGCCGATCAGGTGGGGCGCAGATCTCAAATCCGGATGAGTAGTACGAGACTTTACAACAACCACTAATGCCGGCGGTGTGGTTGAAGTAATCTGCATACGGCACGAGGGCTAGACAGTCATCAGCCTCCCGAGGCGATTCATTTGGGTCTGGGGAAGTGTAATAAAATGTCCGAGAATTGACAAGGAGCCAGGCATGTCGATATACATCGTGAGATAATGTGGGAAATTTGCTGGACACTGCGTCCCAATCACGGGTCAATTTCCGGTGCTGTTTGGATAGGAGTGAGCGCGATGTCGGAGGGAGGAGGTCTTGCAATGTAGATGGCCAGAGAATTGGCAGGGACGATTCCAATGAGGCTGGGCTGGGCAAACTTGAGCGCCAGGCTGAGTAGAAGTTCGAGTCGGAGTCGGATATGGATGAGTCCGTGACGCGTTCTAAGGCGAGTTCTGCGGCGAGGAGACCGTGAACGCTACGGGTGTTGAGGTCGAGGGAATTCCGGAGAGTTGATGGGAGTGTGTCGATGGCGCGGATGACGGAGAGGGGGATTGTCATGATCACCTCTCCAGCCTAATAGGGTGCATATGGTTGTCAGGATGGTCTCAGCTCTGCCCAGTTCCGCTCGAGATGGGAGAGGGGGAGGTAGGCATCATAGCGTATATTCGACGAGAGTGAGATATTGGAGATGGTGCATAGTAGTGATGGACAGATTGGTGATTGATGGCCAGCTGGTCAGGGGGGTGAGGAAGGATGTGGATGAAAGATGTCGTCTCCAACGCCCGTACTCACTTCAAGGTCTTTCGTAGCAATGATCCCCAGTCCTCTGCCGGGAAAGGAGTGTGAGGAGATGCCATTGAGCCTGACACCGGCGGATATGGCCCAAGTCATTAAAATTTGTTTTTCTTTCTCTGTGGTCATGGCACACGCTGGTCATCCCATATTAGCGGATGAGCAAGCGGGAAAGTTTTCGCATTGAGCTTCGGAGTGCCGCCGTATCCCGGAAAATCTATAATCCGACACCCAATCACGTGCTCTAATTGGCTTGACCCCATCGGATCCAATCCACGGCCCACCCAGAAATGGGTAGAATGCCGCCCTTGTCTGCCAGCCTATGGATCACGTGTGGACGATGTTGATCACGGTGTCCTGTGCCGTACGATATCCTCCATCGGATCCAGTCCATGGCCTGTGAAGTAGACGACGATATACCCAATTAGGAAAGCCGACAACGATATCGGCGATATATCTACAGTAGATTGGATCCGATGGCGAAGGCCCGGAAAATGGTTAATCCGGTCCATGAACCCAAAGGGGACGAGACGCTTGGCTGAGACCGAGACGAGGGTTTTGCCCGAGCTCGACTAGTCTCGCTCAGTCTCGCGAACCTAAGGTATCTAATGGCCGACAATTTCCGAAGAGTGGACCATATACGTCAGAGTCAGAACTGAAATAGACTTGCACTCCCTTTGGGTCGGCCGCCTCGAATAGAGAAATGGCCAACACGTGCGCCGTACATTTACTCACGTCGATGATAAAGCTTTCGTAAAGGCAACTCGCAGTCGGCCGTCCGATAGCCCCTTTGCACGATCTACAGGTGCACATTTGGACCAGTTTGTCTTTCACCAGCGAAACCAAGGACAGGTCTTGGATGAAAGTCTCCTCGGACGCTTCAGGCAATTGTGGCGAAGAATCCTCAGGACCAAGCCCAAGATAGTCATGCAGCGCACCGGCTATCTTTGCTCTCGAAGGAAAGACTTTGCCTCTGGTCAATTGAGTTTCCGGTCCGATATACTGGTCGATATCAAGAGGGGTTTGCGCTCCTGTGGACCATTCGTTTCGAAAGTCTAGATCTCCGAGAGCCAACGCGCACGCATATGGCAAAGCTTGGACGCATGCTCGATACATTAAATCTCGTTGGAGTTTCCAAACAGTCTTCGGAGGATTGCTTTGCCGTAAGTATTCACGCTCACTAAGCCAGCGAGAGATGGGACGGTCCGCACCAGATTGTTCCGGTGTGGTTATGGAGGTCAATTCGGATTTCTTGCGTCTTTCCGGTACTTTTCAATAGCCTGAGGACAACTCGTGGATCCTCGTCTGACGCCAAGGACCGCCCGTCGCCGAAATCAATGGCGGAAGGCGCGCCGAGGCACCACTTGACAAAGTCGACTAGCCAGACAGCTATGGGCAGCCGTTGTTATTATCTCTATGCGTTCACCTACACGGGCCAACCGAGACAGAGCCTGCGTGAGTGGCACCGCGTCAATTGGAGCTTCCATCGTTGCAAACTTCCCCTCCCCCGGTGACGGCTGGCTTTGGAGCTCTTCAGAACTGTCATTCATCCATGAAGACATGGGACCAGCCAAGAGCGCTTTCGGCAAGCCAACCTGTCTTGTACGGCCAGCATGAGCTGTTTCAGCTGCGGTGCTGTTGGCGTCAAATCCTTATCTGCCGCCGTCACATATATCAACCTATGCAATACAAGGGCAGCATTCCGAGGACCGAGCGTGCTCTGTGCGAGCGGCCAACCACTATCTCCCCTGCGATAGCCAATTTCGACTCTCAGGAATGGGAGCACCGTTGATTCATGGCTCCAGCCGCACAGAATGTGAGCTTTGTGACAAGATTCGAGGGACATGGCCACATTGGCACCGAATCTCTCGGATGCAAGAAGTGCTATAGTCTGCACATTATCGGTAGTGGCTGCCTCGAAAACACCTCGTGCGACGCCGATCAGGTCGTTGGAAGTTCTATCAAGGGGCCATTGGGGCATTACACTACCCATATTGATATATAGTCGACTCCCTGGTAATGCTTGAGATCGAAAAAGATGAACCTCATGGAGGATGGGACGAGGATGTGGGTTTCGCAGAAAGCCGTGGAAAACCGGGACTCTGAGCGTGTGTAGAGTCGCTATTGAGACTTGAAGTTATTCCAATTCTTGAAACAACTGATGCTGAACCAATATCTTGGATGTGAGATGCTGTTCAACTAAGCACTATTTAAAAGTGGTAGCCATTGAAGTGCGGTGAGCCGAAGGTAAATCCGACTGATATCTCGTGCATCGTGGTGTTGACAAAATAGGGCTAATGGGGATCCCTCAGAGGCGGGAACGCCTAATCTGTGCCCCAAAATTGGACCTGAGCATGTCTGAGCTGAACCATGTGAGCGAAATGGGGCTCACTGAGAGGCAGGTTTAGCCGGTCGATAGGGAGCCTTGTTGTACCTCAATGTTCTACTCAGGGAGTGCCCAGTGAGTCAAACCTCAGTTTGAAGCGGCCCTCTCTCACCCTCTATGATCAAACCGGATTTGGCAAATAAGTTTTCCGTTCGCGAGTAATCTAGGTACATGCACGTGTATCTCAAGATCCTCGACAAAGATTCATAGTTCCGAGCTACGTGACCTGTGTCTGTCTATGCCAGTGCATATATCTGGCTGGCGAAAAGAGGGTATCGTAGAAATGTGAGCCCAGCCCAATCTCAGTCCAGTCCAGTCCAGTCCAACCCGTGGACAATATCATGTGATGTGAAGGAGTCCAGTCGGCAAAGCAGAGATAGGCACAGGCTCCCCCATATCAAGGGGTCTCTTTGGAGCGGTAATTTCAGGGGGTGGGCATAATAAGGTAAAGGATATCGCCTCCAGAGAAATAAAGACCGTCATTCATAGTTTCATCGCCGCTTAAAGTATAAACACAACCGGACGAAGCAAGGAAAAACCCAAAGGAGCGCCGTGGCTCCAGTACTTCAAGGAGTTTTGAGACTCAGTCTCAACTCCTTCCGTATGAAAATATCGTCACGTCGCAATCGAGCTGACCACCTGCGTTCTTCTGAGTGATTTTTTCCTCAGGACCTTTGAATTATTCTTCCCCGGTACCGTGACGATACCCATCATGCCCTCTTTTTCGCCTTCGCGGTCCTGGGATGGTGATGCCTGCTCGGTATCCCCATTTCGAGACGAGTTGCTGCTGCTGGTGCCACTGGGTTTGGATCCGGGGGTCGAAGGCGGAGGCAGATTGTGCAGATCTGTCCTCGTCGGCCAGTATTCCGGGATTTGAGAGTCATAGACAATCCCACTGCGACCGACGCTCATGGATGATTTTCTCGACGGCGAAGTTGATGTGACGGATGCGCGGTGAGACAGGTCCAGTTGCGATTGATTAGGATGTTGGTATAGGGAGTTAGAAGTGTGTCCATGGGGTCGTGAGGCAGGAGATGCAACTGGTCTCGGCATCGGCAGGGTCGGCGTGGGAAAGTCATCCGTGTTTGTCTCTGGCAAAGATGTCGATGACGTATTCGCATCCGCCAGGGAAGATTGAGGAGCATTAGAGGGGGAAGGGACACGGGCGCTTGATTTTCGAGGCGCATAGGCCGCCGAGGCCCTGTGCGGAAATTGTTCTTGGATCGGATCGGTGATTAATGGTGAAGCGGTGAAATTATGTCGAGGAAATGGGGGAGATGTTTTGGAAGAGGGTGTATTTGCAGCCAGGACAGTGAGAGTCATCGACTTATGAGGATTGGGTTGCGATTGTCCGGTCAGCGGTGTGTTGTCCACCGGATGGATGGCTGAATGGTACGAAGATCGATTTTGGAGGTTCGGAGTGGACATGCTGATCATTGATTGATGAGGTGACCTCTCCGATATTCGTGACAGAGTGACTTGGGACCTTTGGGTGAGCGGTGAAGACGGAGTGCGAGAGGAGAAAGATCTGGAGAAGTTGATGGTCTTGTAAGTAGGGGAGGGCGTCGGTGATGGCGTCGTCAACTCCCAAGTCCCGGTCACAGGTTCTTTGTTCTTCTCCGGAGTCAATGTCGGGGTGCCTGTCAGCAGTTCCCTTCGTCCCCTTAGAGTGGTAGCTCGAGATGCCGGACGAGTTGTTATCGAGGCCGTCTCCACTTGAGACATTCGATCTTGTCGAGATTGTGACCTCTCCAGTATAGAATTCCACCATTCAAAAGGACTTTTCCTGCCAGTCATGATTGATTCATTGTCGGCCAGGGTTCCAAATTGTCTCATGCCAAACTTGGACCCGGTCAAGGACAGATGCTGAGAAGTCGGTACCATCCGTCCTCTTCTTAAAGTGACTCGGCGAGTGGGACCGGTGAGGCCATCGAGGTCTCCATCGGGTGAATTTCGACGGAGGAGCCAGCATCGTATGAGACAAGCGACTACGACCAACAACAATATGGAGCCAACGACAATGAGGACAATATATACCCAAAGAGGCAAACCAGTATTGTCAAAAAGGGTCGTCATGAAAGCGGCTGCTTCGAGAATCTAAGCAGCATTGACTGACTATGGTAGTGTCGGTGGGCGTCAAAGAACAAATCGAAATGCCCGTCAGTGTGGAGGGGTTATATACTCGAGGGCCGCGACATAGACCCTCGTCGGACAGGCAGATAGACCATTCCAATCCCCCCCCAAAATCCGATAGTTGACTGTGCAGGTTTGTGTTACGAACAGGAAAAAAAAAACAGAGAAGAATTTGTACAGGACTGACTAGCAGTGCCTGGAGAAGAGTTGAACTTCGAGAATGCTACGGGTCGTAACGAGGAACGAGGCCTCAGGCCCTTTTTTGTTCAGGTCGGATGAGAATGGCCGCCAGGATAGAAAGAAAACATGGAAGATGAAACCTATGGGACCATGGGAGGAAAGTGAGTGAAGAAGAAACCGGCGTGAAGGCTAATAGAACGAGAGCAAATTCTTGATGCAACTGCCAGCCGAACGGGACGAACGAAAAGCAACGGGCCGATTATGCAGGATCGGCAGATGTTGAAAAAATGTGGTTTGTCAACAGGGAGTATGGCTGGCAGGTTGGGTAAATGGGCCTAGTGGGGAGATCATGGTCAAGGAGGATAAAGTTCACGGCACAATAACCACGGACCTAGTGAACGGAAGCGTGGATGTGGATGAGGATGTGGATACGTCCCAGCAATGGAAGGGATTGTCTTTTTCGGGGCCCTGGACCTTTTGCTCCATGCTTCCCATTCTGGGGCCCCCGAGCACCGTTGGATTTAGAAAGCTATGAAATGGCCTGGTTCGATGAAGGGAGTCAAGGTAAATTACCGGGGGATGCTCTGACAGCAGCGTCATTGTTGATAGAATGACGCGGGAGAAACTCGAGCATCTGTAACACGATGCAGTGCAGGCAATCGGTGTCGCAATATGGCAGATTGTTCGACTTTTTCGCTACGATCGAGATGCGATGGCGACGGCGATGGTGAGGCCGAAGATGCGCGTGAGGAGAGAAGGGAACGAATTGGGCAAGGTGGCAAAGAATGGTAAAAGGGCCAGACTCTGAAACAAGACGCTAGAGCCTTCAAGTGACCAAGAAACAAGGCAAAGATGCAAGGGGAAGAGGGCAGGAAAGAAGGGGATTGGGTTATCAGCGACTCCTGGACAAGCCACCGTTCATCATGGCTCTGGATCGTCAGGAACAAGCGGATGGACCGTTGCGGAGACCACAGGTGGACGAGTGGATGAGTGGATGAGATACAAGGATGTTCGAAACGACAATTCATCATCAACTGAACAGCTGTCAAAATAGACACACGATTCATGCAAAAGGAAGGAACACAATCCGAAAAAGGATCGATAGAGCCACTGATTGGGTTTGATCCTATCCACCAATATTTGTTATTGCCAAAGTCCTTTTCCCGTCGAACCCTTTCTCTTCTCCCGGTGCACGCCTGATTGACAAAGCCTGGCAAATGCCATTCCTCCGTAACCTGCGGCAGATCCCTCTTCGCCTAAAAGGACCGGGGTGCGCTTTTTCGGGCATGCAGCCTGTTCAACCAATCCAACGCCAGGACTACGACGTGTTGATCGTCATGAAACAATCGAGGGGACATGGACGAGCCCAGCCAACCAAAGTCACGCTACCTCCTCACCATCCAATCTCCTCTCTTGTGGTCTGCCTCGGTGACTTGCTGACCAGTTGTTTGCCTTTCCTGATCTGTTCATTTCACTGTTAAACCCGCGTTGGTGACTCCCGTGACAGATCAATGATCTCAAGCGAAATCACTTTGAGCCATTCATAGATTATCGTAGTGCCCAATTGGGCTTGGGAACGGAGAATAAGCACGACTGTGTTCGTGTTTAGGGCCCGTGTGTCTTAGAATCAAATCTTGAAACGAGATTGACGATGCCATGAATATTTTCGTCCGGAGTCTGGACTCTGATATCATTGTTGAAACACGACAAATCGAGATGCCTTTTTGGGTTTGAGGACCGAGCACGTGAGGTGGGTTGCGCCAGGCGCCGAGGAAGAGGGCGAACCTGAGGTTTGTCAATGAAGATTCATTGCAAGTCACCTACCTTGTTGACGGTTTCAGCAGCATTATGGTGAAATACGAGATACCTCATTTGCGATGATAGCTGATTCTGGAATCTATTAGTCGGGGATAAAACCTTCCCAGCCAAGTCGCCGGAGCGGAAAAATTTGTCGTCCGGTGAGGATGTGGAGGTGAAGAATTAGGCAGGCGGACCGACCTCTAAGCACCGTTACGAGGTACTTGTCACTGACCGCCCAACGAGGGCACATCTCCAGACTCGAAAAACATCACCGTTACCTCCCACCGCTTACTGCAGGCTAAAATCTCTGTGCCAACTTGGTACATTGACCGCTTGTGTTCTGCATTTCACAATGTTACTCCCACGGTGACCTCGTTTATTGCATCTGAACCCTTTTCAATGTACAGCCACGTCCAGTTTTGATTCCTCTATGTCGCTACGCCCACCAACCTCCCCCGCAAAGTCATTATTTCCTCCACTGGGTTTCGCCGCCACAGATGAATACCTCCAGCCGTACCATCTGATCTACCTTCTACACCATGAGGAAACAGCCTGCTGTGGTCATCATTGCTCGGTTCGCCTCGTCCATTACCTCTTATCTTCTCTGCAACATCAATTACTAATACTTCAACAGGCACGGCGCTCGTTTGGACCAGGCCGACAGGAATTGGCATACCACCGCCGAACATCCTTATGACCCTCCTCTATCGTATGGCGGCTGGATTCAATGTCAGGCTCTGGGCCTCCGGATTAGCAATGAGTTGCACCAGTTGGACAAGCAAAATGATGATTCCTCTCAAGATGGGCCGCGCAAGAAACGCAAAGTCATTATCCATACCTCTCCATATTTAAGATGTGTTCAGACCGCCATTGCTATCAGCGCAGGCATCCAACACCCTCAGAATCACACTCGGCTTCGCATGAGATCTCGTCGACGTTCGTCCCGATCCACCATCTCACCTTCTGAAGAAGTGCCGGAGGCAACTACCGAGTCTCCTGAGGCCGATCAGTCCACTCTCCAGCGCGCCACCCGTAACGAGCTGCATAATACGAATTGCTTGGGATACAATACTTGCCTTCTGAGGATTGATGCCGTTCTGGGAGAGTGGCTCTCTCCCAGTTATTTCGAGCATAGTTCTCGTCCGCCTCCCTCGGCTGACCTCGTCTCCGAAGCCAAAGCGAGCTTGCTGAAACCCCAAGAGGAGATCGTAGGCGCCGATCTCTCTGCGTCGGTGAATTATGATATGCCACCGGTGAATGGGGAAGAGAAGGAAAGCGAGCCCAGCGCGACACCACCAGCCCACGAGATGACCGGTTTGAAGGCTATGGCCGCCGTGGGACATTCCCTTCCGAAACGGCCACGAAACCTCTCCTTCGGTGCTGAGTTGGCCAACGGTGGTCGACTCTTGAACAAGGCTATTCACCGACAACCTGTCGGCTACAACCCTCCCATCCCGATGTACGCCATTGGTCCTTCGGACAAGATTCCGCCAGGGTACGTGGCGCATGCTCGTGATTTGTCGGCGGACGTCGATCAGGATTGGGACAGTCAGAAGGAGCCTCTCAACTGGGGTGATGGGGGTCCCTTCGACGAGGAATGGGGTAGTATGCATCGACGATTTCGGAATGGGCTTCAGAAAATGATTGCTTATTATGAGACACAGGCGGCGGCAAAAGAATCCCCATCTCCTGAAACCGAAGCCGATGAGGATATCGTTCTCATCTTGGTTACCCACCAAGCTGGCTGCAATGCTCTCATCAGGCTTCTCACCGGAGCTCCTGCATTACATGACGTGGGACCTGCTTCATTGACTCTGGCGGTGAGGAAACAAGATCCGCCCAACTCTTTGACACCAATGTCTCCAACGCGTCGAAGAGGGTCCCTGGATTTAGCCATTTCAGATGATTATGAGATGAAGATCGTGGCCTCAACGGAACATCTTCGTGCTTCCTCCAATCCCTTGGGATGGAATTCGCCACGACCGGGGCAATCCCCAGTATTTGCAAGTCGTCGTGCCGTAGCGGCCGAATCACCGGAAGGGTTCAGTTTAGGAGAATCTCTCTCCGGACGAGTATCCTCGACTTTGATGGCGGCTCGAAGCGTGAGTCAGAGATCATTTGCCGCGGATGCCGCTAATCTCACTGAACCTCCGACCGGACTCTGGCGGCGAGGAAGTCGATATTCGCGAGATGAGGCAGCAGATTCGAGTGATGCTGGAATCACCTCCAGTGCCCGTAGCGGTGCGACGTCCGACAGCATTTCAGAAGAGCTCTGGGGAGCCAGTTCCAGCGGATCGAAAGCTGACAGCCACCTTCTTCTACCTGTTCGAAGTGCGAGCCAACGAGGACTCTGGGGTGGTGAGTCGATCAAAAGGGAGAGAAGTCCAGGTAAGAGAAGATGGACTGCTGTTGAAAGATCCCCTTGAATTGAGAACAACAAATTGTTCTCTCTCAGTAACTCGCAGATGACCAACGCATCTTTATAAAAGCCTAATGACTCTCTACGCTGAGGTGTGGTCGGGCTTACTTAATGTAATCAAAACCCTTCTCCATCTTTAAGCGATGGCGACAACAAAAAGGCTTTGCTTTGCCTGATCCTGTCTAGCTCTATGGAAAGACTGACCACTCTCCTCATCTCCACCTCTCGATCTCCTCCCTCCCCTCTTCTTGTTTGACCATTGTGGTAGACCGTCACGCTGCCATTCTGGACTCGGCGGATTTGTCCGAAAGTATTCTTTGCTGATAGAACTCATCAATTAATTGACTCGACCGCTTGATTCATGAGAACCTTGAAATCTCCCATCGACCGCGTTGCTAAATACTCGGTCGACAACAGAGTCGTCATTGGGCGCGACAAGTGGTCTGATACGTCGTGCTTTGGAAGGACGAGTGTGACACGGTTTGGAATCCAGAGATAAGACCGCGCGCTCTGTCTCACCCATTTCTCTATCTTTGATCTCCTGTGGACATTGGCCTCCTCCCTCTCGCTATCTCACGCGTTTGCTTCTGCTGGCGAGTTTTTGATCTTGAATCGGGCGATCTTTTTGATTCCGCATTGAAGAGTTTGGCGGCGCGGACGGACGCTTCACTTATCATCATCAGGCAGAATTGGTAAACTACTCATTGAGGACGTCGCACATCGAAATAGGATATCCCGTCTTCAACACGGGGCTCAGGTGGCCCGCATAGAGCGATCTTCGGGTGAACCAACAATGGGATCGATCCCGAGCTGGAAAGAAACCGGCCGTCAACGTCGGCGACAACAACTAGAATCAATCCCTCCTCAATGGCGGCTCAAGAATATCCCGGAGGATTTCGCTGACAGCCGCTACGTGATCGAGCGGTCCGGACTGCTGAGCGCGACGGAGCTGGATATCACGAACACGGTGGGCGCGCGAAAGATCCTCCGCCGCTATGAGGAGGGTCACTGGACCGTCGAGGAGGTGGTGACGGCGTTTTGCAAGCGCGCGGCCATTGCCACCCAGCTCATCGGCTGTTGTACCGAGCTCATGTTCGAAGAGGCCATCGCGCAGGCCCGAGACCTCGATCGCTGGTACGCCGACACGGGTGCCTTCGTGGGACCACTGCACGGCCTTCCCATCAGCTTAAAGGACACCCATCAAGTCCGCGGTGTCGACACTACGGTGGGCTGGGTCGGACTGGTGGGAAAACCCGCCGGGCAAGACGAGTTGACCGTCCAGCAGTATCGGTCGCTCGGGGCCATTGTGTACGTCAAGACCAACGTGCCGCAGTCGCTCATGATGAGTGATAGTTACAATCACGTCTGGGGCCAGAGCGTGAACGCCCTGAGCAGGCAGCTGATCTCCGGCGGTAGTTCAGGGGGTGAAGGCGCCCTCGTCGGCGCCCGGGGCTCCGTGCTCGGCATTGGAACAGATATCGGCGGTAGCATTCGCATCCCCGCGGCCCTTCAGGGCCTGTTCGGCCTGTGTCCGTCGGTCGGGCGTGTCCCCTACCGTGAATCGGCACGGGATCAGAAGTACATCGTACGTCCCGTCGCCGGGCCCATGAGCAATTCCCTCTCCAGCATCGAATTGTTCATGGAAGCCTACGCCAGCCTCGAGCCCTGGACGACAGATCCGACCATCCTTCCTATCCCGTGGCGCGAGGAGCTCGCCGAGCCCAGCAAAGAGCCTCTACGTATCGCGTACATCGTCGACGACGGTGTCGTGCTCCCGCACCCTCCCATCCAGCGGGCGATGCGCGAGCTAGTCGCCAAACTCTCACAATGTGGCCACGAAATCGTGGAGTGGGACGCCTCCTCGCACCGCTCCGCGTACTACGACCTGTGGGTGAAGGCTGTGCTGGCTGACGGCGGCAAGCGGTGCGCGGACCTGTGCAAACTCGTCGACGAGCCCCTGATCCAAGGCATGCTGGTCGGCACGCCCGAGACGCTCCTCGACGCCCAGCAGCGCATGGACCTGGCCGATGCCATCTGGGAGTTCAAGCGCGAGTACCTCGCAAGGTGGAAGGAGAGCGGCATCGACGCACTCGTCATGCCGGTCACTCCGTGGGTCGGCATGCGACCCAAGACCTGGGTCAAATCCCAGCAGTACTGCGGATACACGGCGCTGTGGAACGTGCTGGATTACAGCGCCCTCACGATGCCCGTGGCCAGTGTGCGTCAGGACCTGGACGATCCGGCGACCGACGAAGGCTGGATGAAATATGGACGTGAAGAGACGAGGGGGTTCACGGATGAGTTTAATCATCGGATGTACCAGGAGTTGTGGGATGCCGGCCTGGTTCAGGGATTGCCGGTCAACATCCAGATTGTCACGGGGCGGTTTGGTGAGGAGGCGGCGGTACGGGTGGCCAAGGTATTCGAGAAGTTGCCTTGAAAATAAATCACATGTCCTAATGTATCCGAATAAACGGACCGTGAAGTTTCTTTTTGCTGATTGTGGAAAGGTGGTGTCTTTCTCAATTTCCTTGTCCAGTGGTGGTGCTACCTACGTGGAGATGTGATGGATCGAACTGTCCCTCTCCACGAGCGCATTGCAAGCAAAATCAAGTGACTTTCTGGATAAAAGTCTCAATCTTGGGGCTCACAACGTCAAAGGCTTCTTCGGGCAAGTAATGCCCATACCCATCACCGACCCCAAAGACCTCGTAGTCAACACCCTGACCCACCCAGTCCTTCCAGATCCCTTGCACATCGATCCGAGCGCCGAGTTTCGCTTGGGAAAACATGACGAGTAACGGCACCCCGAGTTTTCGACCGGCCTCTTGGTCTTGTTCTTGTTCTGTTGCCTCCGGAGCCGCACCCGCTGCGTAGTCGAGACTAGTATAGTAGATGGTCTCCCGCTGTTCGAAAAGAGCGGAGTAGACGTCCAGCGCATTATGGGCCGTGATCCGGTTCAGGGATTCCGAGTTCGGACCGGCGATCCGTGTATGGGCTTCTTTGGCCCAGCGACCGCCGCCGAAGGCGGAGAGCATTTCCGTTGCAACGTCCGGGTTCGCGAGCAATGGCCAGTGGAAATATCCTGAACAAATGGCTGGGTTGGCGAAGGCTTGCCATTGGGCAAGTGTGGGCACGATATCCAGGAGAATAGTGCCGAGGACGGTCAGGTTCAGTTTTTCACACGTGGAAGGTGATTGAGGCGGGTGCGAGAAGTCGACGGACAGGCGATGCGAGATCCGCGCACCACGGTCATGGCCTCCGAGGATGATACGTCGAGGTCTTGGAGAGGAGATGGTGTTGAACACCCTGGAGAGGGATTCCAGCAACGCGGTACCGACTGACCGTTTGGAATTGGCAGCCTTGTCTTCTATTGGAGTGGAGATGCCGTAACCTGGGAGCTGGAGGAGTGGGACTAAGTATTGAAATGAAGATCTGCTTGAAGAGTGGACCTACTTCGGGGACATAGAGGGAGATCTTGCCTGAGAGAAGAGGGACGATCTGTTATTTGGGTCTGTTAGGCTTTTGTAGAGGTAGGTCGGGAGCAGAAATATACAAAGCCAAGTCGGGTGCCAATAGTCACGAGGGGTTATACATCTCTCACTCTGGGAATCCTTTCCATACAAGTTCAACGGTCAGGATGATGGACCCAGAGTTGATGCCAGGAATAACAAACAGGTTATTTATTCTCTTGATATGAGTTGAGCGTCCTCATATAAGTTTTCAACCAGGGGCGGTGAGTTGAAGGTTCGTGCTACTATCGCATAACCCGCCATCACTATTGGCAACCACCTTCGGCCCGAGAGAACAAGCGGGGTTCATGACTGACATGGCGCCATCTGCGTTGTAGTTAGCCTTGGTAGTTTTCAGGACACTTGATTGATATGCTCACATGTATGCAGATTGAGGATAACCATGGATGAGAGTCAATATGGGAGTATCTGGGCCTAGATCAGAAGTGTAGCTGTGGACTTCTGAACCCGAAGACGTCTTGGTGACGTTGTGGGTGAGATTCAAAGAGCTGTAGAGGGATTGGGTTTGTGCTGCGGCCATGATGAGATACACGATGGGGAGGGTCTTTCGAGTCCAAGTGTCCAAGAATGATGGATCATAGAATCGTTAGGTTAGATACCAAGTATGTTGTCCTGTCCGCTTTTCTTATACTTTTACGCGTATATTGTATTACGTATTGCTGGGGGCCTTTATGAGGCTATCAGTGATGTCGTGATCAGAGGCATTGGACATGAGAGACGACAAGGTCTTTTTGTCTGCGGAGAAAGGATGATGAATAGTAATACGATCCATGGAAATGCGCAGGCAGTTCACGTGAGCTCACGTGAATTGGAGTCACATGAGACCACGCGCATTCAACTCATCTGAATCAGGGCATTAAACAAGGTTCAACATTAGCGGCATCTCCAGGGGGCCGGTGAACAAATAAGCCACTCTCTTGGGCGTGTCGTAACCCAAAACGCCTGCACTTCACCGCGTGTACTTGTACCAACCAGCTCATCTGTGCCCGCGCCCTGCACCTTTGAATTTAACCAACGTCTCTATTCACTTCTCTACACCGCAGTTATCACATCACCATCACTTCTCTTACACATTGATTGTGCTGTGCACATCACCCAGTCCTAGACCTTTACCCAGACTCCCACTTTTCCCGTGCCCCGATAGCGGACAATTCTCGCCCAAAGAATCCACAAGGTCACCCTGTTTACGACCCGCGTCGTCGGGCCTACAATCCCTGGTCTGATGCTCTCCTCCTGGCCCGATTGACAATAACTCATCTTGCACAAATATGGCGTATGTTGCATCATTCTCCATGTCCTCGACATTGAGCTAACCTATGAGTTCTAACTCCGCCGCGGCGAGCAGCGGAGGAGGCAACAACATCAAAGGTTCACCATCCAACCCACCATTCACCGGCTCATACTGACTGCTCTTCCAGTTGTGGCCCGTTTTCGCCCTCAGAACAAAGTCGAAATTGCCAATGGAGGCCAACCTATGGTCCAATTCGCGGGGGATGACACCTGCCTGGTTCAGGTCTGTCCTTGCCACCGTTCCTTTCATATGATACAATATAATAATTGATGCTCTCTCCAGTCCTCCGAAACCAATGCGCCTTTCACCTTCGACCGAGTCTTTGGTATGTCCTCTCAGCAAGCCGATATATTCGATTTCTCTATTCGATCCACCGTCGAAGATGTTATGAATGGTTACAATGGTACCGTTTTCGCGTACGGTCAAACCGGTGCCGGAAAATCATACACCATGATGGGTGATATGGATGATCCCGACAAGAAAGGTATAATACCGCGAATCACCGAACAAATTTTCGACTCCATTCTCGTTCACGGTTCGGCCCAGATCGAATACACGGTAGGCATCTCCTACTTGGAAATCTACATGGAAAGGATACGTGATTTGTTGAATCCCGTCATGGACAATTTACCCATCAATGAAGGGCCCAAGGGTCCCTATGTCAAAGGACTTCGAGAAATCTATGTCAACACGGTCGACGAGGTGTACACGGCCATGCACTTGGGCCAACGATCAAGAGTCACGGCCTCCACCAACATGAACTTGGAATCCTCCCGATCACATTCCATCTTCTTGGTCACCATAAATCAGAAAGACGTCAATACCGGTTCGCAAAAGAGTGGGATGCTGTACCTGGTGGATCTGGCCGGTTCCGAAAAGGTCGGCAAGACCGGTGCGAGTGGTCAAACTCTGGAAGAGGCCAAAAAGATCAATAAGAGTTTGAGTGCTCTCGGAATGGTCATCAACGCCCTTACAGATGGAAAATCCACCCACGTTCCCTACCGGGATTCTAAATTGACTCGAATTCTGCAAGAAAGCTTGGGTGGTAACTCGAGGACGACGTTGATCATCAATTGTTCTCCCAGCAGCTACAACGATGCAGAAACGGTCAGCACTTTACGATTTGGCATGCGAGCGAAGACCATCAAGAACAAGGCCAAGATCAATGCCGAATTAAGTCCGGCCGAACTGAAACGTCAACTCAAGATCGCTCAAAACCAAGCCATGACCTTCGAGAAATATATCGCGTCTGTAGATTCCGAGTTGCAATTATGGAGAAAAGGGGAAATCGTACCCAAAGACAAATGGGTTGCTCCCTTGGGAGGTGCCGGCGGCAAGTCAGAATCCAAGACGAGACCAGAGACTCCTTCTCGAGCACCCTCGGATCTCCTCCGATCAGAAACACCCAGTCGACCTGATTCGCGAGCGGGCGAAAGGTCGAGCACCCCCAGCATTATTCTTGAGAAAGATGAGCGAGAAGAATTCCTCCGACGAGAAAATGAATTACAAGACCAGCTTTCCGAAAAAGAGACGCAAGCGGTCAATGCTGAACGAAGCCTTCAAGAAGCACGAGAAGAATTGAAAACGTATAAAGAGAGTGCCATGCGGGCAACCAAAGAAAACGAAACCATCTCCGACCGACTCAACAAGACGCAATTGGAATTGCAGAAATTGTCCTACCAAAGTAAAGAGGATGCCATTACGATGGAGGGTCTGAAAGATGCCAACTCCGAACTCGAGGCGGAGTTGATTTCACTCAAGCAACAACTCCTCGAGCACAAGATGAGCGCCAAAGAGACGACCGCGGCTCTAGATGAAAAGGACCGCAAGAAGAAAGAGAAGATGGCCAAAATGATGGCCGGCTTCGATCTTGGAGATAATGCCTTTTCCGACAACGAAAATCGTATGCGAGATATGCTGGATCAAGTGGATTCCTTACATGCCGCGAGCATGAATGGCGAAAGCGTGCCCACTCCTGTTTTGGAGGATCTCCGAGCCAAATTACTGGAATCACAAAATCTGGTCCGACAAGCCGAGAAATCCTTGACTGATCGAGCCGAGAATGATGCCGAAGAGCGCACTATCGCGCTAGAAGAGAAATTGGCCGCCGTTCAACAAGATTATGAAGAATTGCTGACCCGCAACCTGAGCTCCGAGGATGTGGATGAGGTCAAGGCCAAACTCGAGCAACTATACTCAGATCGCAAGGAAACGCAATACGAGCTCGTCCAAGATCTGAGAGATCAACTGACTCACAAGTCGCACGAAATCGACCGGCTGCAAAAATCTATTACCGACCTGCAATCCCGCAGTGTGGCCAATGGACCAGCCCCCGTGTCCAACGGAGTCACCAACAAGACTCTTCAACAACAGATTGCAGACTTTGATGTGATGAAGAAGAATCTCATGCGCGACCTGCAAAACCGATGCGAACGGGTGGTGGAGCTGGAAATTTCACTCGACGAGACTCGAGAACAGTACAACAACGTGCTTCGATCAAGCAACAATCGTCAACAACAAAAGAAGATGGCATTCTTGGAGCGCAATCTTGAACAACTGACCGTGGTGCAAAGACAGCTCGTCGATCAGAACACGAGCCTGAAGAAGGAAGTCGCTATAGCGGAGCGGAAATTGATTGCCCGAAACGAACGCATTCTGAGTCTGGAAAGTTTGTTGAGTGATAGTCAAGACAAGTTGACCGCGGCCAATCATCGGTATGTTGTTGGAACCGCAAAGGAAATATATGTGGGGCTAACAACAATTCAGATTCGAAGCACAGCTCGCTGCTGTGAAAGAACGTCTAGAAGCAGCGAAAGTTTCGTCGAGAAATGTGGCAGCCGCTGGTGCTGGTGGAGCAGGCGGGTTCAATAGCCTCATGAATGCTGGCGCCCGAATAGCAAAACCTCTTCGTGGAGGAGGTGGTGCCCCAACGGGTCTTGATGGCGCCAATGGTGCACCCTCCTTACCTATTATTTCGAATCTGAGTGCATCAGAAGGTGGTAACAAGCGGAGCAGTTGGTTTTTCAACACAAATCGATGAGATATTTGGGCCTCATCTGAGAGGGTCGTCAAGATATTTTCTATTATGCTGCAAACTTGGTATCTCGGTCTAAGGCTTGATGCATGGTAGCGGAGCGGGCGAATAGAAACAGAGGTCGATGTTTGATGCGCTTATTGATTCGCTGACTGATGGAGTGTTTATTTATGCATAACGAGCGATGGGAAACTTTCCTACTATACTATTACTGGGCTGGTTTGAGCTGACTTGACTTGGCTTGGTCTGAGTTCCCATGGTATGCGGTGCTTCGAGGTTCAAGATCAAGAATTCCAGACGCTTTTTCAACCTCTACTGCTACATTTTGTAACCTTGGTTGTGGAATCGAGATCCAGAAGACTTCCGGAGAACAGATGACTTGCTGGCTGTTGGAGCCAAACCAAAACCGTGAGATCTGAGGAGTGTCCCTTCCAGGAACCGCAGTTGTCAACACGAGCTTCTGTTCTCTCTCTCTCTGTGCATATACATAGTACTGTCCCGTGGAAGGTCTAGAACACATCTACCGATATACTTATTATATTCTCAGACTAGCAATTTTGTCGTGGCACGAGCTCTACAGCCTGCAATTTCAGCAAGAGTATGGTTACTCTCAATTACATCTGCATCCTGTAATCGAACATTTCATGATTAGGTCGGCCTTGCGCCCGACTCCCATACTATCTTGGTATTGTTCAGAGCACGATAGTCCAATGCCCCTGAAAATTTAACACCGAAGAAAGGAGAGGCTCTTGATTGGACATCCCAATCACACATCTCCACAGTCGGGTCCAGCTTGCGCCCGACGTCAATCCATCTGCCCTGCAATTTTAGCACGGAAGAAAGGGGAGGCCCATTGAGGACGCTCGACGGAATCCCTGACATCGATTCTAGAATCTCCATGGCACCAGCGTCTTCCCTCCCGATCAGTTTCCCTGTATCATTTGGAATTCCCCAGGACAAAAGTTTCAATCGGTGGAAGGTCGAATGAATGATTTTCTAAGAGGAGTCACAGCTGTCTTATTTATTCCAGTCGCGCAGTTGCAGAGCTTCCTGCTTTCACCGCTAGGTGGAAAGGCTACTATGGAATGTCTTGTTGCTCATAACCTATCGGGCGGCCCAGCAATCCTTCTCCGATCAACTCAATCCTCCTCAATCGCTCATCGCCTGTCTTGACAGGCTTTACATCGAATGACGGGTGGTCCAAACAGGACGGTTGCACTTCCACATTAAACTTGACCGGACAATTTTGGCATTGATTGAGGCTATTGACCTTGCTCAGCATCCCCTCCGAATCCTTCGGCCGTGCTTTGAAACTGCGTGTTTCGGCCTCTAACTCTTTGATGGTCGCCTCTGAAGTCGACATCCGCTGCGCATGCGTCGCTAGGACTTGGTCCAAGGCATGCACCCCCAGATCGCCAAAGTCTTGTAGTGGCTGGCAAAATTCTTCTCGCTAGATCAGAGTGGATGCGTGTCGCCATGATTTGAACGACGATATCTCGAAGACCCCGATCGCTCACCGGCGTGGATTGGTAAATCTCTCTGACCACTTCCGGAAAGTCCTTGTGCTCCCGGCTGCCGTCAGCTCGCTCGGAGAATCTGTCCTTCGCGAGCTTCTTCAGGCCGGGAACATCGCGTTTATCGGCAATGGCATACACGCGCACACTACTGAAAAGAGCAAGGTCGTTATCACCGTCTTCAGAACCATCATCCCTCCGTTATTCGGTTGTACATTTGCGGAGGGAATTTCGGGCTCGGGTTGAGCTTCAATCTCGCCATCAGGAGTGATTGGATGTTCTTCGCTAGCTCCTGTCTCTGCTGGGACGTGGTTGTCAACGTCCGGTTCCGAGGCCCGACCCTGGTGTAGTTCATCGTTATAGTCGAAGATATACATGTACAAGAGCATTCGTTCGACAGCGCCTTGATCATCGTCTTCAATCTCTATCCTATGTGACTAGGCTTCCTAGTCGGTATCTCAGTTCTACCCAGGTGAAAGCAAGCGAGCTTTGCGTTTTCTCACTGTTACTGACCTTGAAATCCCCGCTGCAAGCGGACTCAAAAAGGGCACAAAATTGCACGATGAACATGAAACTCTTTCCTCCACACGCAATTGTGAGGTCTGAATATTTTCCGCTGTGTCAGAGTCGAGACATGGCCTCAATATATTCGCTGGACACCATCGTTCTCAGAGTGGTGGAGGACGTTTTGCTGACCAAATGTTTCAAAAGTTGAAGATTGTGAATTGCCTTTGAAATTAGAATGGGGATCGCTCCGTCTATAGCACGGACCCTCGAGCGGGATAGCAGACAACGTTCTGGACAAGCAGAAGAGTTCTTATTGCGTCGGTTCCGGAGTGGGACGACGTATCAAAGACAAGAAATTCTTCTGGCCTCCCATCGCAACCTCCGAACGAACTGAGAGTTGCAACGGCGGAGGGAACTATTAATCCCAGTCTGCAATATATGCAGGTCTGTGACGTCTGCATTGGCAGTCTCATATTGGAGGGACTCGAGAGGGTCTCATGTGTATGCATACGACGCGCAAAGAGCTTTACAGGCACGACATTAACTTGATGAAAGAATCCTCTTCGATTCAAGTTCTCAGATAAGGTATGAGCTTTCATTCAGTCGTTCGATAAGTGTTGAGTTGAGTCTCTAAGAGTGGAAGGGTATTTCTAACGATAATTCTGGCAGCAGGTCTTGCCTATCCACCAGAAAAATGCTCGGTCATCTTTGCTGATTCGGCTCCGGGCTATAAGCAAACCGAGTACACTGTTGAAAGATGCCTCCTTTCTCCCAACTCCTTCTCACACCATGTTATACACATACAGCAGACCTAGCTGTGTTAGACGCCCACAAGATCCATAACACTCCCTCTGTGTCAGCTTCCGCATTAAGTCGATGTTGAATGCATTGGTCGACAACTGGTCTATCCAGTTGCTCCAAAGGTCTATTGCAACTCCAGGACGATGACCGAATTGCACTGTATGGCGTTATACGAATGGATGTGTGAAAGACGCAATCCCGACTGCGCGATGAGTGCCTCCCACTGCCTTTTTGTCCGTTCCTTGCCGCCGATCATAATTCCCATGGATATGTCGCCCACGGCGGCTTGCCAGTGGGCGTTGACGTCCGGAAGAATGACCTCGTCGATCAGAATGCGAGAATTGCTGTTCATGGCCACGGCCAGATTCTTCAAGATTTTCAGGCAGTCGGCATCCCCCCAGTCGTGGAAAATTCGGCGGAGGTAATAAAATTTGGCGCCTTGTCACAATATTAGTTCTCGGAAGTGCATGTTTGATATTTTCTCGGTTGATGGAGCATGGAACAAAACATACCCTTGATGGTTTGTTTCTCGAAGAAATCCTGTGCCATGGCCCTCACGCCGTCCATAGGAGGTAACCCCTCCACGGCCTGAGGCAGATCCTGGAGCACGATGCTTCCATGCAGATTCGGATATTTCTCTAGAAGTTGCTTGCATTGATGGCCGTGGCCACCTCCAACGTCGACCAAAAAGGGCTTTTCGAGCGTCGGTGAATCATCTCGCTGGACTGTACGGGCCTCCTGATCAAGTAAATCGAATCCCACCACCCAATTGCTCGACTGCAAAGCCGTCATCATCTTCTGCAACCCATTGAACAACTTTGGATGATTGATCATCCATTGGAATGAGCCGAGTTCGGTATTGTGGCCCTTTTGAAATGAAGCCTTGTTATCAACGGCGAAGTCGCGGTAGTGTGTCTCTGCCAGGAATGATGGACATGCTTGAACGGCTGGGCCATAGGCATCGAATCTGCCAGAAGTTTGAGAGGTCGTCGAGTATAGGTGGTCCCAAGAGTCAACTTACGCATAGCAAATTCCGGCATCCGCTAGCGGATCTGCTAGGAGATGGGTGATTCTGTTTGCTTGGAATTGATTTGGGCCAACATTCAGCATCAAGCCGGTTGACGAAAGATATCGGAGAATTCTTTCTATCCAAATGATTCTGTATCAGCGTGGGAAAGAGAAAAAACCAGGCCACGTATACCGAGCAAGTCTGGAGAGGCACTAGACTGCTTGACCAGGTCGTCGAGAGTGAGGGTCTTCTCCTCCGCCTTGACCAGCTCTTTGAACAGACCAAGTTCGACCCCAACATAGACCATGGCAAGTTGGATATTCTGCGAATGCAGTCAACAGGGTGCCAGTGTCGTTGAAACGACATGAAAGAACCTACCGAGTTAACGAACTTCATATATGTGTCCATCGGGGTCTCAAGGTCATATTGGAGGTCTCGAAGAGTATTGAGGATCTGGTTTCGGCCGACGGCATCGGCCGATTCTGCCAGAGACCGAATTTGACCAACGATAGAGTCCATCTTGTTCTTCACCAAGATATGAATAATGGCGAGCTCAAGTAAGAGCGGGTCTCCTTCCTTTATGCTTTTTGGCCTGTTGCGTATTTCCTCTGGGGCACAATTCTTTCACTTTGATACACGCCGTCGTAAACGATACCACCGTACGTCACCAATCCCGGTGGTATCGTGATTGGTCAACTGGACGACCGATGTCCGAGGTCCCTATATGTTAGTAAGTTATAGGACTAGTTTCCGCAGGCCGAACCTGGTTGCCTAATCAATACTGAGGGAATTCTGCGGACCGCCCAATGCGAATCGAGCATGAAGGGAACTTTGAAATTGTTGTATCCCACAAGTCTGAGTCAATGGCTGGTGGTTAAAATGCAGGCCAGACGGATGCCTGCTCATGGAAGCAACACAATCACAAGCAGAACTAGTACAGGATCAGCAAGGGAATGAATGAAGCCCACATGTCCATGGCCTGAAGGTCCTTGCCGCTGCTGCCTCCACTTAGAAATCGAGGCTTTCGGCTTGCTCCGATCTCGCAAGTCCAGGTTTCAAGCTCTCAATGCAAGCGCATTCCCTTCCCTCACCACACAGAAATAGGAGACAACTGCAGTTGCAACGGCTCTGAAGCCTTCAGATGCAGTTCCTGTCCGAGAAGGCCATATATTGTAACGAAGCTCAAGGAGGAGGAGGAAGAAGGTATTGGCATGTCATTCAGAGAGAAGCATGCGTCATTGCTAGGCATGAATTTCTAGGAATCCCCACCCGACACTGCTAGGAGAGGTCAAATACGACCAACATTATTGATGAGTGTCTCGCAAGATGGAGTGTATCGATCAGAGCTTCACAGTTGCGCAGTCTCTTCCTGCTCAGTCTTGAGGCTTGTCCTTAGCCCAGGTTCGCAGGGCCGGGAATTTGTCGACGGAATTTTCTCTGGGTCGAGCCAGTTTCGAATCTCATGTCTATGCCCAACGTGGACACCGAGGTGGTCTGACGATCAGATCGACCGCAGACTTAACGAACGCGCATTGAAGGGTGAGACCAGCTAACCTTACACACAGTACGTAGCTGCACCATTCTCCTTCCTCCATCACTAATAGGGACCTTTGCGATTTCAGTGGAAGATCGGGGAAATTAAATAAATGTCTTGCTAAAGGTTGGGGTAAGTTGGGCGAGTAGATGAAGTGTTGACATCGAACATGTGAATTCATGCTTAGGAGTCTATCATGACCGGATCAACTCCCACGATAATAATATGAATGAGCTTCATAACCAGGAAGCCTTCTCCTGCAGTGGTGTTGGTCACAGCCCCGGTTGTTTACTATACCACCGCAAATGTTACTCCGAGCAAAGCGCTGGGTCTGAATTTGGGCAAAACATACAATTGAAATGCAAGAGCGAATCTTATCGAACTAAGCTCTTTTGTTCCCATGAGGCGTATATGTGTATATGTTTGTTCTATCCTCCCTGAAGAGGAGATATGTGGTAGTCAGATACGACATGTGGAATAAACAAATACAACCCTTCTGAGAGTTGACAGCGGAGTGCGATAAGTGTCTCTAGACATATGCCGGTTCCAGAAATATGAAAAGGACAGAATAAGGAGCTGCTGGTTGACTGTTGGTCATCATGCTTGGGGCGAAATGGCAAATAACTTGTTGAACACGTTTGTGGGATCGTACTGTGCTTTGAGCGTCTGGAGGCGAGGATAGTTCTCGCCGAAGATGTCGCGGGATCTCTCGTCGTAGTCTGCGGCAGATGTCAGCGTGTGCCTCGTATTTTCTGCCCTGCTCGGCAGATCCAGAAAGAAGAAAACTCACGATCATAGTTGCCATAGAACAGCGATGCTGCCTTTTGGCCTCCCATGGTCCGATCTTTGGTGGCCATTTCTTTCTTGAACATTTCATTGAGATCCCGCGCCCATTGGCGGCAAGACTTGTCATTCTCCTCCTTTGTCCAGATGGGGCAGATCATGGCATTGAGATGCCAGCCTCTGTTGGCGAAACTGCCGGCTGAGTGTGCCACCACTTGGACTGGGTCGTACATTTCCCATAAAACGAGGCTGATGCCGGTATCGTCGTTTCCGTCGGTAAACTTGACATAATTGGCCAGAACTTCATGGAGGAAACCGGGCCTGATTGGCATCGTGAATGCAGCTCCTTTCATACTGGCGCGGAGACCAATGGGTGGCGCCAGAAGGGTGTTGATAACGGGGTAGGGGACCATGGCCGTGGTGTCGACGACGGGGCCAATGTCGTGGAAGGGCTTGTACATCTTCTTGCCTTCCTCCTCAGTGCCGAAATATATCACGGTGATCAGGATCATGACCTGACCGTTGGCAGGAGGTGGTCGCGCAACGCCAATACCGCCAGCGCCTCGTCCCGCCACCTTGGTCTTGCCATTCTCGTCAGGCCCGTACAATTCATTCGTAGCGGCGACGAGTTTGTCCATGACTTCGGGAACGGGGGGAAAGATGAGCATTCCCGCCCAGACATCTCCCTGATCGTAAGCTTTGAAGACGAATTCCGTGACGACTCCGAAATTCTGTCCGGCTCCCTGGAGAGCCCAGAAGAGATCCGGACTTTGTTCTTCACTGGCCTTGGTGATCTCCCCAGATGCAAGGACGATCGTGCATTCCACCAGGTTATCAATGGTCAGACCTCTCTGCCCGCTGAGCCATCCATAACCGCCTCCAAGTGTCAATCCCCCGACGCCGGTATCGGTGACGGTTCCACCTACCGTTGCAAGCCCATGCTTTGCGCCCGCTTGGTCCACGTCTCCCCAATTACATCCACCTTGAACAATGAACAACTTCTTCTCCACATCCACATCGACTTTGCGCATCTTGGCATTCAGATCAATCATGAGTCCTCCACTCGTGCTGCTCACGCCAGCCGTCGAGTGACCACCTCCCTTGACGGCAAGATCAATGCCGTGCTCCGAGGCATATTTCACGGCGATAGCGACCTCCTCGGCAGTGGTAGGAATCACGACCAAACCAGCCGGCTTTTCGGCGGCCCGTGACCATCGCTTTATGGAGGCGGGGTAACTCTCATCCTGAGGGGTGAGAATGGTGGGATTGGTGCTGGAGAGAAGTGATTTCAAGGCTGAGATATCCTCAGCGGCGATGCTGCGTTTCGGGGAGGGCGAGATGGAACCCATAGTCGACTGATCTGATGATAAGGGATATGGATATACCGAAATGCATGAGAGAAACAAAGAAAGACTGGTCTGGTCAGGGACAATATGCCTTTCTCCAAGACCGGTGGTGGGGAGGGATTTGGGGATTTATCTAGCCAGCTTGGTCCTTGGAGGTGGGGAAAAATCAGATGGGTCGAGCTGAGTCGATAGTAAAACGACAAAGTAATCAGTGGCACATATATATAAAAGTGTGTGTATGGGTAAACTTCCTCTCTCTTGATAGAGTCTAGCAACGTTTCTTGCTCCTCCTGGCCAATGGAGTCGAACGAAAGATCTCCCGTCAGCCAAATAAGCGGCCAGATGCAACATCGTGGGGCCTCACTATGCCCTTCTTCGAAGGACCCCTGGGCATCCAGTCTGCCAAGTATCCATACATGCTCTTCCATCAGGCCATTAGACCGTATGATTCAGTGCACAATCCTCCGCCGAGGCTGAGAATGGCCGGTGCCTGAAATGACTAAGACCATGAATGACATTTTCCGACACGCCCACCCAGAATCCCGACCAATCCCCCCAACCAAAATCCATCAGGCAGCCATTGTTTGTCGCGTGAATAGGACACGATAGGTAAGGTCCGGAATAACGTCGTTGAACGGGAGAGAGACAAACAGTGGCCCCATTGACCTGATGCGAGTACGAAACACATATGGATTGGAGCTGGTAGATTTGCTGGTCAATGGACAGATCATAGAGAGTCGCATTGGCAGCTATGGTTTATCACATGGGTCATCGGATTTGTTCGCAATGATCACAGCTGACGACAAGGCTAGAGAAGCACATCCCGCATAAGGAAAAGAGAAAAAAAAAATTATTACGTACGACGATATTATTGTCGAGTCTACCAGCGACGTGTCAGCTTTCGTAACGCACCTTGAACCCTCTCTCGCGGGACTCAATTGTAATTCTGCTTCATAGCCGTCAAAAGACTCTTCTCCTTACCACCCTCAATCGCATCCACTTGTGGGATTCTCCCTTCTCGTTCCGCACGATCCATCGCATCGGGATCATCAACATTTACTCCAGCGACTTCGGCCTCCACTTGACGAATAGGGCCCTTGAACCACTTTCGAGCCCACAAAACCCAACTAGTAAGGCACCACACGGCGATAATACCCACCGCGACTGGTGTATAATTCAGCGTCTGGCTGTTCACCGGGTTGAGCTCAGGAAGACAGAAAATGACGGTGATGAATCCGATCCAGAGGCAGGCGATAAGGGCAACGGGGCGTGAGGCCCACTTCAGGTTAAAGGGACCATGTATAAATCCTTCAGGGTTGATCATGCCAATCAAGATGGGCAGGCCGTAGGAGATATAAAGCCCAATCGTGGCGATCGAAGTGGCTGCCGCAAAGGCCACCGATGATCCGACGCTGGGAATCGCCAGAAGAAACGCCAATACGGCCGCGAGCCAGATGGTTCTGATCGGGCTTCGGAATCGAGCGTCCACGTTGTGGAAGAAGTGTGGGATCCCCCCGTCGCGGGCAAAGCTGAACATCATCCGAGAATTAGAAGTCAAACTGAAGAGACCGCAATGCCAGACACAGATTATGACGAGGACAAAAAGCACAATCGCCCCTGATTTACCAAACACGTCGACCAAGATTTGGAGGACCGGTTGTCCATAGTCGGAATCGATGGTACGGTCGAAGTCTTGGATGCTGAAGAGAAGGCACAGAATGAGGAACCATCCAAATAATGCGGAGCAGCCGATCGACATCAAAACCCCAATGGGTGCCGACCAAGACGCGTTCTGTGTTTCCTCGGAAAGATGGGCGCTGAGTTCGGGTCAGCAGGCCGAGCCTTTTCCCAAAAGGAAGGGACATACCTGGCATCAAAACCGGTGATGGTGTACTGAGACATGAGAATGCCTATACAAGCAACATAGGCTGAAGAAGCTCGAACTGACCAGCCTGGGTCACCCGTGCCATCGTAAAAGGTGGCAAAGACGAATTTGGCCGATTGGTGGTGGGGAGCCTTGGCCACCACGGCAACAGCAAAGGAAAAGACTCCCAGGGAGTGCAGAATAATCGACGTGTTGTTCAGATAGCGCAAAATGTGAACGCCAAATGAGTTGACGATCCCGTGCGAACAGAGAAGTGCCGCATAGATTCCCAACGTTCGTCCAGCGGACGGCTCATATCCATTGATGCTGGCCAATGTAGAGATCAGTCCAGCACAACCAAAGGTAATACCGGTTGTGACTGCAACTTGACCGAGCAAATTGAACCAACCGGTAACCCAACTCCCAAAAGGAGCCCATTGTTGCGGAGCCAGAATCGCGGCCCAAAAATACGGACCTCCCGCAGATGGGATGGCACTGACAATCTCGGCCATGCCCAATCCAACAAAGAATGTGAACTGGACGTTTGGTCTTGTCAGTACATTTTAATGTACCCACGTCGCAGACTTTCGCTGAAAGCGGGACAAGATAAAGAGAGTCGACAAAAATATGGGCCATGGTGTTTCCCGCTCCTACAGGATGGGTATCAGAATACGGAGATAACTTACAAAAGAAACAACGATCCATCCACACGACATGACTCCTGGTCCTCCGGTATTCAATCCATAACTGAAAAGGGTGGTGATTCCCGTGATGACGGAGATGATACTGAAGGAAACGCCGAAATTGTGAATCAGCGACCAGTCGCGCTTTAACTCCTGCTTATAACCCAATTCTCGCAAACGGCCTTCGTCCTTGGACATGCTGCGCATAGCAGTGCCGCCATTTTCGGTATCAGCCATCTTAATGGACCGTTGATGGCGATGATCTCCCACTGGCGTCGACAGCAATGGCTGTTTCGTCGGGGGGAACGCGGAGGTGGAGCACTCCAGTCGCTGGGCAATGCTTAAGGACTGACAAGATATACTGGCGCGACGGACAAGCTCTCATAAGAAGTTGACCAAGCTCCTGCCCAGCGGGAGGACGCGCTCCTCTTTATAATCCACAACACGAAAGATGGCTTGGCCATTAGGGTTCCAGATCCCAGCGCAAATCGCCAGGGCTGCTGATAGCAAAATGATAACAACGGCAAGTTGCGAATGATAAAGACTCTACATCCCTGTCCAGGCCCCGGGCGAGCATTTCTTCTTTGGGGATGAGCATGCGAGTGGTACCGTTTGGCACCCCGAAGTCTCACGAGCTAACCCGAAACTTTTCGATCTGTTGGGTTTGGGGGCCCTCGGGAGTTACTGTGCATGTTTAAGCACGTTGTGACGTTGACTTGTTGCATGGTTGGCACCGCATTAGCGGACGATATGGATCACTCGCGAACTGGTGTCGCGTGTTCTGCCACCCTCGGCTCCCACATATGTGCTCCGCCAGGGTTGACCGATTCATGTCCAGATAACCGGTGCACCTTGAAAGAGAGGATCTCAGATCGGCTCCAGAGCAACAACGCCAACTAACTGGGTGATCGCAATTCGTATTACCACCAAAAACTGACACTGATACCGACCGAGCAACTCCGAACAAAGTGCCACCAACCAATGGGAATATACAGCGCCTGTCCCGCTTCAAGGATACATTCAACATAAGGGATTTGACTGAATCCCGGGTACATATCATCCCAATCTTCATACGGGGACAATTCTATGGCAGCAATGTCGATTTGTGACGTGTTTGACATGTCGATCGTCTCTCTGATCTGTTCTTGGTTGTTCACGGCTACAGCATTGAAATCGACTTCTGCATTTCGACTTTGAGATATATGCGGAGCCGGCTCATCCGCGCGCTTCGGCAAGAGCGCGGCACTGTGGTGTGGTGAATACAATCTGACATATTTCTTGCCGACGACTTGACACAGAATATTATGATAAGGATCATGGTGAAGTGGAGAAATGGTCCATGCCGGCCCGAACCAGATATTAGTCTGGACCTCATGTTCAGGCTCCGCGTCGCCAGGGGCGTCAGCCAAGCCCACCTCACCGTTAAGCAAAGAATACCCAGTGGACGGAAGGACATAGGGATGGCTGGTTTTCTTACCATGCCCCTTCTTTGACTTGCTCAAACCGACGGGAGTGTCAGGTTCCGGGGGTGGAGCGTCAAGAAAACAATAATCCGGGATTGCGATGTCATGATGAAGAGCGGGAATTTGTCTGAGAAGGTCATGTTGTGCCAAGTACCCGGTGGAGATAATCTCTTCGCCAGGGATGTTGTCTTCACTTTCCGGTCTTCGCAGGATATGTTGGTCTAGGAAATCTTGAAAGCGGACAATTTTCTGACCCCAGTCGTCATCTGTGTAGCTACGGCCAACTTCGATGGGAACAAGGCGACGCCCGCCAAATGTCCGCTCTAGCCAGAATGAAACATGCCTCCATTTCTCCAGGGCCGGCCAGTGGTTCAAGATATCTGTCAGGACGGCCGGCTTTCGTGTATGTTGCATGAAATTCGAGAACTCTGTCATCGACGGCTTCTTCTGCTGTGGGACGGGAAATTGGAGGCGGGGGATCGAGACTTCATCTGTAGGGAGCAGATCAAAGGTCGAGGATGTGCGGGTGTTGGACTCTTCCACTCGCCTTCTCTTCAAAGGGCGGTCTAAATCGTCATCCGGGAATTTGGACGTCGTCTGAAGTCTGGTTAGAATGTCATGTATGATCTCTTCTCTACCCAAACCTCCTGCCATAACCAAAGCCATGTCCAAAATTGAGACAATCTCGTCTAGGTGACCATGAAGAGATCTGGAAAAAAGGGACTCGCTGCTGGGAGAAAGACTGTCTTGGATCAGATTCAAAGCTTTAGCAATGCTGGCGTCAGTGTAGAGTCGGAACCAACAAGGCTTGACATCTTTGAAGGGAAACGTGTGCAACTTCTGGTTGGCCAGGCTGATCTGGTCGTCCGCCTCATCCATCAGCTTGTCGAAGCCATCCTGGTAGCATTCGAGAATAGGATCACAAGAATTTTCCTCCCGGAGCTGGGCCGAGATCGACTGCCAGAAAGGGTCTTGGATCTCGAGTATTGGAGGCCCCATGGCTTCATCCCGAAGTCTGATGATGGGAGGTACGGTGCGAAAAGAGTAAAAGAGCGTGGGATGGACTGGCAAGCACCTCATTAGCGCAGAAGTTTGGGACGTGGAGGCTCGGCTTGGCGGACGTTCAAAGTGAGGCGCACCCGCCTGCCCAGCGCAAAGCACCACCACTGGCCCTCAGCGCGGGCACGACCATAGCCGCAGCCGCAGCCGCCATCCGCCTGGCAAGGTCAACCATCTCAGTCGCAGGCTGTGTCTTTCTTTTTCCCTTTCTCCCGCCTGCGACTTTAATGCCACCATCGACACTCTGACCTTCTCGCTGCGATCCTTCGAGCTGTTTCCATCCTTCAGCTCTCGTCCTTTGGACCCCTTTTCCCTGTCAGGCCATCTTTGACACCTCTACCTTGCCCTGTATTCGGGGGGGCGGCACCTATTTTTGGATTTCCCTGGCCGCCTTCCATCTCTGGAGCTTCATCCGGTCGATATTGGAGTCAACTATGGCGACCGACGTCTCCTCTACCCGGCTCTATCTGGGCAACCTTCCGCGCAATAGTATGCTCACTTCTACCCATTCACCTTCTTTTGGTCTGTCTGGACGATGTTGCACTTCTGAAGGAGCTGTACCATGGAAACCTGGATGCGCTGCGTAACCTCCTGGGCTGCCACAGTCGCTGACTCGTCTTCTCACCTTTTCAGTCACGAAGCAGGATATCGAGGAACACTTTGGAACTCATGGCGCAGGCACTATCAAGGAGATCAAGCTCATGAACGGGTTTGGTTTCATTGAATATGAGGATGCTATGGATGCGCGAGACGTGGTTCCTGGCAAGTTTACCCATCAACATTCACTTCCATGCGACTAATGTTTTCTACAGCCTTCCGTACGAAAATTTCCTTTCTCATCCACCGGCCGATGCCCTTCCTGACCAGTCAATAGATGGAACAGAATTCAAAGGAGAACGACTAACAGTCCAATTCGCTCGTGGCCCACGCCGTAAGGATGATTTCTCTGGTCCCCCGGATCGCAACATTCCCCGCCCACGTCGTACGATCTACCGCATGCAAATTACTGGATTGCAACCGGAAACCAGTTGGCAGGTCAGCAAACCCGACTTCCCTTACCCCTCGCCCCGGAGTCCTTGTCGGGAAACTTGGAATCGGCATTTCCATCTTTGTCAAAGACATACCTGTTCGAAACATCTCGCAGACCTGTGCTCACTCGATTTCAGGATCTCAAGGATTTTGCACGAAACTCGGGCCAATTGGACGTCGTCTATTCCGAAACAGGTCGTGAACGTGATGGCAAAGGGTAACTTCAGTTGGGTCCTTGTGAATCTCATTCTGCTTACATTGTCCCCAAAGATTTGTTGAGTTCGAGACCCCAGCCGATCTCAAGAGTGCTGTCGAAAAGCTCGACGGGCAAACCTTTAAAGGAGCAGTGGTTCACTGCAGCGCCGATGTATGTTATTGGCGGGCCACGTACCGTGCAGCACTATTTCTCTGACCCGCACATTCAAGATCCAGGATGAACGACCCGAAGCTCGAAGTTATCGACAGAGATCTCCCCCAAGAGGCCGATACATGGACGATTATGACCGTCGAGGTCCTCCCCCACGAGGATGGAGTCCCCGAGGTTACCGTGAACGCTCGCCTGGTCGTCGACCTCCCATTGATGATTATTATGATCGAGGTTACGGAAGACGTACTCCACCAAGAGATTATGGACCACCCCCTCCGAGAAGATATGACCCAGATCCGTATGACAGCCGAGGACCGCCACCACCACCGGTCCGAGGCTATGGAGATCCATACGCACGGAATGGAGACCCGTACGGTCGTCCTAGAAGCCCGCCCCGAGGGTACTATGGTGGTGGATACGGCTACGATGATCGTCGTTACTAGTACGCCATCTCCGGTCGTCTATCAGACAATTTCTGCTGACAGATTGAATTCAGATAAGTATCCCAGGGTACTTTGCTAACTCAAAAGTTTGTTTACCAAGGATTTCTGCATTGGTTTCCCTTTCTTGGGCGGATCTGGACGACCAATCCATGGAGATTGACACCCTTTTTTCTTTTTCTTTTTCTTTTTTTTTTTTTTTGGTTTGGGCATTGACGACTGCGACATCAGAGCTTGTACTGTGGAAATGGTCTCGACATCGAATTGGTTCGGCTCCTCTGCATGGGCGTTCTCTGAACTCGTATGGAAAAGCTGTTTCGGGCCAAGGATCGGTGATGGAGTCCCAACATACACGAACTTCTGATGATAACCGAAAGTACCTTGATCATTGAGTTTACGATCTGGACATCTCCATCGTGGCCGTCAAAAGGACCTCGGATATTCCGCTTTTTTTTTTGTCTTCTGGTTCGCTTGCGTCAAGACCCCCGTCCCTCATATTGGGCATGGAATCCGAGTTGTCTTTGGTCCAAGTGATCTGAAAATTTCCGAACGTTACTCGTTGAGTCTCTTCAACCCGAGAAGGCCAACTGTCTTGGCCCATGGCCCCCCAAAAAGGTATACTGGTGTTCAACCTCCTTAAGGCTCCCCGAGAACTTGGTGAGATGCCAACTGGTGAAACCCAGTGAGATCACCCACCCATGCAACAATCAAACTGTGGGCGTAGTCATAATGACCTCGTAGTTCGTTCGACGCGATTGATCGGGGGCCATCCGCCATTGCTGCGATGGCTTCCATTAGGCATACTGGCGGTTTTCATAGTAGATGCCACCACCCGACGTCTCAAGAAAGCGCTGTAAATGTGCAGCTTTGGCTCTCTCCGGAGGAATGCTACAGTTTCCAAGTCAAGGGTTTTCGAGAAGGTATGTCACAGTCGTTTTCCAAAGAACTTTCTCCGAAACCCTTGGGGTTTGGCGGTTTCCTTGACTTTGGCCGGTTCTGGGATCGTTCCCTTTTGTTTCCCTTTGTCGGGTCTACCTGGTGGTCCCCCTGTCCTCGATGAGGCCGTGCGAACTGGAAGAGCGGTTAACCCTTGTTGCTGCTGCGTGGCGATATGTGGTGTGGGAGTTGGTGCGGGAGGCCGATTGTTTACCGTGCTCCCAGAGGGAGCCGTCCGAGGTCGAGCAGCAGCGCTTCTGCTTGTGACAGGTCTCTGCTGTTGGTACTGATTTTGGTAAATGTCAACATCTTCTTCCCCCTCGACATCTTCAATTTCTTCACCCATTTCATCATCTTCATCATCGTCGTAGGATCTTTCCGGATCTCCGTTGTAGACCACCCACCAGCCGATTTTCTCTCCTTCGGCGATTTTGTCTCGCAGATCTGCCAGCGCTTCCCATGCTTTGTTTGTCAAACCGGGCCCGTCGGCGATGACTTCCTCCACGTTCACGCTCAGTGCGGTGGTTTCAGCAGGAGAATTGAACGGTGCAGATTTCGACACGGGAAGAGTCGGCGCGTGAGACTTTTTCTGTGGCGGAGACGTGGGTGCTTCAACCTGTCCAGCGAGAGCGCTTGCTGAGCCAGCACTTCCTCCTCCTGTTCCCGGAGGCGCCCCTCCCGCTTGTACCGTCGCCGGCCCAGAAGTACCCATGCCCGGTCCGGCAGCGATCATGACAACTTTGTCGCCGACAAACGCGTACGGCTGACTGACAGCGTTCGGCCCATCGATATCATCCGGGTTATACTGTTCGATGAAGTCCAGCTTTCTTCCAGGCCCTTCCAGCTCCTTCATGATTTCTGGAAACACCTTGCGGAAACTCGTCAGGATCTCCTTTCGTGAATTCTCGTTCTGGATGTACTCGACCGAGCAGTCCTCGAGGTTGTGCAGGATGGCGTGCACGCGGATGCCCGTAAAGCCTTCGCGCGGCCAGCGAAAGCCGTGGACTAAATAGACTGGCATTGTGATAGTCGAAGGGAGGTAGTGTAGCCAGAGAGGTGGTGTTTGGTCAAGGATAGGAATTTGTGCATGGGTCGACAGGCAGAGAAAATTCCTGCTACAGATGATGGTTGTTTGCTAATCCTCATATGCCGGTGCGTAGCGCAGGATAATCCAACATGGTGAGTCGTTCTTGCGGAAACATTGTTCGAAGTAAAAGGACGTGAAAGTTTGGGGGAATCTGATCTCTCAAACCGAAAGAGTATCGAGCGGACTCGTCTGGCCCAACGAGGGTTTGGTTGTACCAAAGAATTGCTCTGTACGACTTTATAGAGAGCCGGGTCTAAAGCTGCAAGCGTCTGCTTTGCTCCTTGTGGCTCAATTGGGTAATTGAATGAGAACTGGGTTGTCGTGCTTTGCCGCGAGGTTGGTGAGGAGGCAAAACTGCGGTGTTGGCGCCAATACGTGACGGTACTGCATGGAAGGTTGTAGTGAATCTCCGTACTTCTCAGCCTCGCGGACGAGTCTTTTCGATCAAGTCCAATCTACATCGGTCAGGTTCTCTTCCTTTCTCGAGAAACTCGGGAAACAATCTGGTATTTGGGGGGATTGACGGTGCCGAAGAGGACGACAAATCGGCGACGTGCGAACTTGTCATAAGAGATATGCTGCGGGACAGGCGGCCAAAATTGCTCCATCACCGCCGGATCTGCTAGACAGAAGGGAAGCGCGTTTGAAAGAACAGCCTAGAGAATAAGCACCACTAAGAAAAGTCTTATTTTGATCAGTAACGGGTTCACTCATCCCATGATCTCGACGTCGCTCCACCCATCTTCCTTCAATTCATTCCCATGACCGTCAAGAATGACACACGGCATCTGCCTGACATCCATGTGGTCCATAAAGCATCTCTGGCCCAGAATGACGCCGCTACATCATATCGCGACTGTAATTGGAGGCACGACGCTGAAGATGCTCTCCGAAAAAGAAAAAGTTTGCGGTTTGAAAGCGCGAGATATCAGCAAATCGATTGGAGAAAGTTTTCTGGTTGAGTAATCTGCCTGGTGCAGTACTCCTGATAAATGAGGTTGATGTAGTCCGTACGCTCTTTGCGAACCTGCTTCTCCCACGATTGCAGCACACATATCAAAGTCCTCAATCACGGTTATTAAGTCAAGGTCTTCGAGCTGTGCCGTCGCAGACTTTCTTTGGTCTGGAATCCAACGCATCATCGCCCATATGAGAACTGGAGAAATTGTGGTTTGCATTCACCGCTCAGATTCTACAATGATTCTTCGAGAGAGATTCGAGGAATGCCTAAACGGCCGCTCCACTTCCATTTGCCTAGTTCACAATCAAGAAACTCACCACTGGGCTATAGGGGATCACCATTTGGTCGAACGTATTTGAACTCTGCCGTAAAAAGTGGAGAAGACCGAAGTAATCAACCATTCGGGAATGTAATGGATGGGAGAATAGTTGAGATCTTCATCAAACACATGTTCCATGTGTTTGCTTTCAAAGATGTCCCAAATATTTCCTCACGAAGTCGGTCAAATAGTCTGAGGCAGCGGAGTCCCGGTGGGAAGGCCAGAATGGAGAGAGAATGAAGGAGAAAATCGACGTCGGGGAGGGCAGGGGATGTCATCACGTGCCATGGCTACTACAATAGCGACATCAATGCGGCGGACGCCCAAGCCATGGACCCATCCCCAGCGGCGGATTTCCCGGTCGAGGACTCTATGTTTTCGGTGAAAGCACCCACCATATTTTGTCAAATCTTCAACAATGGCATATTCTGGGCGATTGGCGATCATTGCTGGTGGCATTGGTAAGAAATTCTTGGCCTCGTCTGCCGTGCTAACTCGACAGGTGGCCTCGGTTCTGCGACGGCATTGCGATTTCGAGAGCTTGGGGCTGAAGTGGTCTTGCTGTACGCTCCGTTTGAGGCGTTTCGAGTCAATGATACGTTGCAGACAGTATTTGGTGGTGCAGAACGAATTCATACATTTGAGTGCGACATCACCTCAGAGCCTTCTGTCAAGGATGCGTTCAGTCAGATTGCGAAGCTGGAATCATTCCCATGTATATTGATTAATGCTGCCGGATATGTCTCGGTCCAACCACTCGAAGAGACTTCAGCGGATGAGGCATTAAAGAATTTTCTTCCCAACCTCCTTGGCCCCTTCATTGTCAGCAATGCATTTTTCCATCTTTACCAATCTAAGGGACCCCAAAAGCCACCAGGACGAATTGTCAGCATCGCTTCTCAAGCAGCACATGTTGCCTTGGATGGACATGGAGCATATTGCGCATCTAAAGCTGGACTCATCGGACACACGCGATGCATGGCCAGTGAATGGGGCTCAAAGGGCATCACCGCAAATACTGTAAGCCCGACTGTGACATGGACACCATTGGCCGCAAAGGCATGGGCAGATGAAGAAAAGAGAGCGAAACATCTTGCCCAAATTCCGACGGGAAGATTCAGTGTGCCGGAAGAAATCGCACAGGCAATAGAGTTTCTGTGCCGAGACGAAAGCGGAATGATCAATGGCGCCGATATTCGAGTTGATGGCGGATTCACAATCAGCAGGTAGTTTTTGCGCTCTTCCGCCGGAGAAACTAGCGAATGGACGTCTGCTGCTGCCCGGCAATGTCGCCCAGGCTGTATCGATCCTCCCCCGACTATTACCGAATAATGTATGCCCTTGTGTTTCTTCCGGGTCAACCTGGATGGAAATCCAGGAATGACGATCTCTGCCACGGACCCTGACCAGTTCAATTCCTGAAAGTAGGTCCAGCCTTCCACCCATCATCAAGGAGAGTTCTACTTTTGAAATTGAACAGGACACTGGCAATTCTAGTTGGTTTCGGCCGATCTATCCAAATTGTTCGTCAATACTACAGTGATGAGTTTCACAGCTTTCCCTTTTCATTGTACTGCCAAAGAAAGTACATCTCGGATCCAGAAGGGTGGATATCACCTTGCATATAATCTATGACCTAGTTCTAGAAGTCTTCCGTAAGATCTGCCGTGGTGATGATTGTGACTGGTGTAGTTAGCCACTCCACGTGGTCGCCAAATCGCCCATAATGTAGGCAATGTGGAGAGGCTGGGAAAAAATTAGTCGGAAAAACGTTGAAGATTCTCATGAATGGTTACTCCATGACTCCATTATCGAGTCGAGAGGGGATAGCGGTATATTGGTCGATAGGACTGGTTAAAAAGTCCTTGTCGCAGTTCATCATGTTGTCATGATGAGGTAGGAGCCTTCATGACCATGAAATGTCTAGCCACAGGAGATGACCCTCGTATGTTAATCTTACCTTCTTTAAGGTTCATCCCAAGTATCGCCAGCAAAGAGGGCAGAAAACTGATCAGTTGCGTTCTTCGTGTTAAGTACCATGATCATCGATTCTGGATTCACATTCTCTGGTTATTTGTCAACGTAGGACGATAATCCAGGCAATCGAGCCCAGAGAACACGTCCGTATGGTTTCCTATACCATCTAGTTATTGCAGGACTTCTTCCAGGAGTGCTCGTATAACGGTAGTCGGATCTTTCAAATCACAGCAGCGGGTAGAGCTGTGCCTTGGGCCCTCGCCTCTGATATTGCAGGTGCCATTGGCGTCATTGGGATAAGCTGAAATTTCACTTGAGGATACTGCGGCAGGATGTTTTGAAAGTTGTTACCTGGAAAATCCGCTTGCGGCTTGGGTGCCTCAGAGTCTGCGCACCCAATTGGCCTTTGTTGTGCGAGCGAAGGTACCTGGAAAACCCTAGTAGATCCATACAATCGAGGTACCAAAACATCAAAATTGAGGCGCTCACATACCTTGGTCATTTGCGGGCTCTTTACCTCGTTGTCGCTCGATTCGCACTTTGCATAGACTCTCCTGGCGTTGTGGCGCCTATTTTGACTTTGAACCCTCGCCCTCATAGCCACTTCCTTCGTTGACGACGTCTGGCAAGCCTCCCTTTGGGTGCGCTGAGTACCTCCAGACAATGCTCGCACAACAAGGGCCAATTGGGTGCGCATGACAGGTGAGTCAGGTGGTGCAATCCCTGGCTTGGCACTGAACATCGAAATAAATAACAACCCGACTCGCCGCATCCATCTATCATGTTTTTCCAAGGGGCAGAGAAAAAGTCGTATACTCGGACTATGATGATAAACTTGTTGGCTTTATGGTCAACTAATGTTTCTATCACTGAGATGAGAAAGCAACATTCAAGTCCGAGTCTAACGAGTGTTACTACGGTCACTGAGACAACCTATTTTCTGCAACTATTGTAGATAGGTTTGAACGGGTACAACTACTGACATTCGAAGCACCTATTGAATCCAGTGCTTACTTTAGAATGTGACCGACATGATCCCAAGACATCCCAATGTCCAACTGTCCGAACCTGCCCAATTTTGAACATCGCAACCTTCCGAGATCGTCCGTCATGATTGCGTTACCGCTACCCTCTACCAGAGGTTGATGGTGAGAGCTTGGGAACGCGGGATCCGTGATTGAGTTTCAAAGAAAGTCAGCTTGATCGAGACACTGCTGGGGAGATTATAAGAGATGGGCAGCCTTAGTACGTTTGATGTTGATTCTCGTCAGCGCATCGCTCCGAAAAAGCCGTATGCTCTCTCATCATCGACTATCCAGGGGAGTTTTATAAGCAGTCATCTCCAGACTGCGGATGCTTCTCAATTCTTCCCAGTATTAGATGCTATCAAAGTACAGCCCAAGACTTGTGTGATGTGTTTATGGTCAGTCTCAGGACCAGGATGAATTATTCACCTTCCCAAGGCGTACGGTGGAAGAGGCCCTTCCGAAGAAGGAAGAGAGGAAGGCGAAGGAACGGCAGGTAGTGCGTGAGAAGGAGAGAGCTGTTGCTCTTCGAGGCAAGATGTCAGACTTCTCGTTCAACTTGACTTGAAAGAGTGTGCTCTGGCTCTCCAAATGAATGCAGAATAGAGCCCATGTATATACCTATCTAAACAGTGTCCGTCAGCGCTGCCGCCTGTGTTGCAACCTGTCAATGGTTTTGTAGCCTAGCATACAACCACCCGACAGCATGTTGCAGCCTGGCGCTAACAACAGGTCAACACAAGATACGCTTTGCAAAGACAGCCTGGAAGTAAGGCTATCAAATGAGCATCGATGTTCTCAGTTGAGATAACCTTGTCGAAATCACACGACAACCCAGAGTCTGAGAAGGCTTGAACCAGTGGATCCGTCCATTGGCTGGTCCGACCAGGTGGCTGAGACGTTTTACCATGCCGCAGAAAACACTGTTCGAGACCGTCCAGGCCTTCACAACGCTGTATATTGGGTTTCTGTTGTGTCTTGTCTGGATGCTTGTCCCGGACGGGATGACTTCTGTTCTGATGCTTGATGCTTCCTTCTTGTCAACTCTAGGAAGTCTGGCGCACCCTACCACGAAAGAAAAAAAAAAAAAAAAGCAAACACCCTCTGTCCTGGGACATCTTCCAAACATCCTCCATATCTTAAGAATCCTAAAACCTTCCTTCCGTGGCTTCCCTCACCCTCACTGTCACGCCGTGGGCCGGGAAATTGATCAGTGTCAACGCATGACTGACCGGCTCGCCTCTTGCGGGCATGCCGACGCCTTCCTGGGCTTGGACGGCTTCGAACCGTTGCACCAAGCGCACGACAACATATCCGGCTTCGGTCAGCGCGAACTGTTGGCCAAGACAGATTCGAGGACCGGCATTGAAGGGGAGGTACCTATCAAACAGTCCGAGTTGGTATTTGCAGAAGCAAAGGGGGAGGAGGGAGGGAGGGTGTAAATCAGGAAAACGGAGGAACCAATGTAGATGCTTACTCAAATGCGTGGATAGGTTTCCGGTTCTGCCACCGGTCGGGACGGAAATCGTCCGCATCAGGGCCCCAGATGTCTTTCCGGCGGTGCATAAGATGGACCGAGTAGTTTACTTCTTCGCCCCGGCGCACGAAGACTGGAGATAGACCGTCTGAGCCACCACCGAGTGGTAAAGTGGTGTCCTTGATGCAGCGCCGCGAATTAAACGGCACACTAGGGTACAATCGCAGCGTCTCGTTCAGCGTCCACTGGAGATAGGAGCAATCCTTGAGTCCGGCAAAAGAGAGATTTCGAGGGCGCTCGTAGGTCCCAAAATGTTCGAGGATCACACGCCGGAGCCTCACATAGATGCCATTGTACTGAGCGAATAGCAGAAACATCCAGGTGAGCATCGAAGCGGTCGTGTCTCGGCCTGCCAGGAGGATGTTCATGAGGTGGTCCCTCATCTCAATTGGATCATCGGTTTGTTGAGCCAGGGCATGCGAGAAGATGTATCTCTCTTTCTGGGGCCGTTTTTCATGCGTAGGATCGGATGGCCTCGAGAACTGGACTCTGGATTTGGCTTCGAGAGCCCGTTTCACAAAGTGATCGACGAAATCATGGCATGCTCGGCACGAATCACGGAACTCCTTGTTGTGAGCCATCCAATACAGCGGGCCCAACCGACCGCTTTTGGCCAGATACACCTGCGCAGTGTCAAACGCCGAGGTGAACCGGTTCTCATTGAGCGCACTCGATCGTGCCGCAAACCTCTCGTAGCCGGGTAAAGCCGCCAGTTGGCTGTTCACACTTTCGCCGAAGAGGAATTCGGTCGCGGAATCGATTGTCAGACGGAGGAAGAGCGGCATGATATCAAAGGAGCTGCTCCATCCGTCACGACGGAATGTAATAGCGAGCATGAAATTTTGAACGTGACGCTCGGTGAGGTCGAGATCGCTGATCTGTCCTCGGACGAATTGGGGACGCAGAAGGGAGCGAGAATGCTCCCATTGCACGCCGTCGGCGGCAAACTGAAGAAGACGTTGTAAGCGCTAGACTTGCTGTAAGGCACGATGAAAGCTCTAAGTCAAGAAGGAGGGTGATGGGAAACTACCGGAGCTCTCGGGGGAGGCTGTGAAGAGAAAGTGGCGACCAACAATGCCATTGCCCAACAGCGGCTTGAGATCCCTCGCCCGAACATCGCCCAGAGCAAAATCCTTAAATTGCGTGGCCAGTAAAGCCTGAAGGTTTCGTGGTTCAATGGTGATGAAGGATTTCGAGCCCATCAGCTTGTAGCCGACAGTGGTCACCGAGCGGCCTTCTTTCGCGCTCGTGCTATGGAAGCGTTCTCGAAGCATATCTAGGAATCGCTTGTCGCGGTCGGCCTGGAGGAAACGTCGCGCGTTGGAGATGCCGATGATGTCTTCGCCAGGAAAGACGGGCGGCGGGTGACAGCCGAGGGATTGCGCGCGACGTGCCGCACGATAATCGAAGAGGAAATTGACGACGACCTTGAAGAGGAGATACAGGGACAGAGCAATGAGGAAGTAAATAGATATATGCATCTTTGGTATAGACTATAGACGAGGATGGATCTTGTGGTAAGTCGTGGTCTGGAAGAAACTTGACCAGAATAGTTCGCTTAACTCGACCATGAAAATTATTTAGAAACCTGGCCGCGACACCGCAGAACTGGCTTTCCTCAGGACATGTGGATGTCTTCGGGTCGCCTTTCTCAGGTGCGGGGTTTAATCAGATCACATTATGAGATTTAGGCTGTGATTCTCCCACCTCATTTCTCGCGGGCTCACTCCTTTCTCGCTCCCTTTTCCTTGTCGTCATCCCATGTACCCGCCCATTGAAACTCATTTTCTAACATCCGAGTGGGTCTCTTCTAGTGTATACCGACCTAGTCAAGTCCCTCTCAATTGGTCGACTCCTCCTGCTTGGAGGCGTTATGCTCGCACTGGTGAAATGGCTGCCCGACCAACATAAAAGATTATGGCGCCGCTGCTCCGGCCCTGGAATAGCTAATAATTTGCGAATGTAGGCCAAAGTCTCTGGTGTCGGCTACCCGACCTTCCCCCTTTTTGGGCATCATGGGTGGCGGTACATCGCTTCACACCAAAGACCCTATGAAATGGATGTCCCGCCGATGTGGCCAAATATAGCAAGGGACCGCATCTGCATCGCGACGATCCCGAATGCGTCTGTCATCGTCATCGACAGAAACATGATTGCAGAATATCTTACGGCGCCGGGTGAGGTAGTGAGCATGCAGGAGACAGCGAATGACCAAGAACAAATCCACTGGGCCCGTGGGTGATAGCGTCGGACGTTGCACATACCATACGCCGTGAGTGAGGTCCATTGCTATTTTCACATTCGTGTTCCTTATCCTGGATGCCTGTTTAATGCTCATCGTCAAACCTGTTATCAACTTGGCCGTATAGTTCTTTCCTTCCTACATCGTTGACATAGCAACCGGCATTCAAACGACTCGTTCATCAAATCCTTGTTGCGCTGTGTACACCGGACATTCTTATTGTTGTGGCATCAAGCGTGTCCAACAACCTCTGTGGGCTTAGTGGAGGTATCGGCGTCGTCATCTTTGATCCCTTTTGCCGTGGTGAGCATGGCTACTGCATTTCTATTCCATTATGTTAGAACACAAATTACGCGTACGGTCTCTTGCGAGCCATAAACCATCAGTTATCGATCGAATACGAGGTCATCGGAGCTTTGAGAGACAGTAGTTCACATACAACACTGCGACAGATATCAATACGGGCTCGAAAAGGAATAAGATTCACAGTTGAGATTCCAAATATGTCTCCCCAGTGGGACGGATTGGACATTGGCCAGATGCATTCAAAAGGAAAATAAGTGCTGCTATATCTATTCTTTGGTCGAGACAGGTTTACTGATACATCATTGTCGAAAACCCAACAAGCCCCCATTGAAGACGCGAGAGGATGGCATGTCTTCCTGGTAGTTTAAAATTACCAGTCCAACATCATCTGCGGCATTATACCGTGTCGAATTCAGAATCATGATCTGACCGTTGTTGACCGGAACTTTCTCGCCGGCACCTGCTGTTCAAAGAGCATATCCAATTCCTGATATGTCCTGTCCTTTGTTTCCGGGATGCGGAAAAATGCCCACAAAAAGCAGACAAAACTGGATCCCGCCCAATAGAAGCCCGACTTTGCTCCCCAGTTCCAGGCTGTGGGGTTCAACATGCGAGGAATGAGAATGTTTGAGATAATATCAACGATCAGGTACGCATTCCTGGCGAGTACGATCGTCTTCGTCTTTAGTCTCGTAGGAGGCAATTCTCCCACCAGTGGATAGCACACGGGACCGATAGTGCAGTTGTACGAAAAGGAGACGATGAGTAGCATCGAGCCGATAGCCCACAGCGCGGCCGAATTTTCTTTGCCGGCAAGGGAAAGGAAGCCGATGATAAGTTGCAGAGTGATCAAGCAGACCAGACCTGCCAGGTAAAGAGTTCGCCGCCCGAACCACTGCATGAGAAACCACGACGTCAAGAACCCCGCGATGGCGATGCCCGAATTTCCGATAGAGAGGCTAAAAGCTTTGCTAGCATCTAGCCCGGCCTGCTGATAGAAATAGGTCGAGTAAGGGATCAAGCTAAAGCCGCATAGCGTTTGGATTACCCACGTTCCACACACGGTCTCGGTGCGTAGGCGATTGACGCCTCTAAAGCAGTCTTGATATCTCGTCCCGGCCACAATTTCCTTTTCAGCCTCGTTGGTGTGGATCATCATCGCGACGGTCTGGTCGAGATCGACCTCGGAAGCAGATTTGTTGCCGGTGAGACGACCCAGGGCTTTCTTCGCATCGGTCACACGTTCTTTGCGGACTAACCACCACGGTGACTCTGGAGCGAATAAAACCCCGGTGATGATGGGAATCGGCCAAACCCATTGTAGTGCGAATGGGATCCTGTACCCCCACTGATCGGTCCTGGGGACCATCCCTCGCATAACCCCGGCGCTGATTAATTTGCCCATCGCCCAGCAGAGATTGACATAGCTGGTCAGATACGCTCGTAGGTGAGTGGGGCACACCTCTGCAGCGTATGAGACAGGCAAAGTCTGGAACACTCCCCATGGGATACCTAAGAGAAACTCCCCAACCAGGAGCTGCTCGACGCTCTGTGCGAAGAAGACGACGAAGACGAATGCCATGACCAAAGCCAGGGAGCCGACCATCGTCTTTCGGTACCCAATTTTTTCCGCGACGACGCCATTCAGTAGCAGCCCAAGAATCTGGCCCACTCGCGGCGCATTGGAAAGCCCCGTCTGCCATGCTGCAGTGAGCTGGTAAGAGTTGTCTGGTTGCGGGGCACCGAAAGCCTGGCGGAAGGGCTCATAGGCAAAAAGACTGCCCAAGAGATAAGTGTCGAAGCCCTCCATCACCACGGTCAGCGAGAGCAGAATTGACCAAGCGACAGCCTTTCGGTAGGTCTTGAGACTGGTTACAAGCCCGAGACGATGCTCAGCCTCCGCGGCTCTGGCTGAGTCCTCTGCTAGCCGCACGAACTTGGACTCGAGACCATGTTCCGCGGAAGAGTTGGGTCGTTGCAAGACAGCCACTTCTAAGCATTTGCTGTCGCCGACGCTCTTCACGTCTGATGACATGGTTTCGTGTAATACCGATGAAAAGCGTCGACCAGTCGATCTTTGAACGAAGATAATGATGGAATCCACAGTACTTGAAAAATTTCAGGTGAATGAAAGTCTCCTGGCATGCGGATAGCCATCCTGCTCCCATTCATATAGTGGAACATGTTATAGGCCCACGCCAGGCCGATTGTGAATGGAACTGAAAGATCAGCAGAGGGTTCCACATAAAGTCCTTAGCGCGCCGAGCTTGCGCCCGAGCTTGCGCCCGAGCTCGAAGCAAGCGAGACGCCGAGAGTCGTCAACGCTTTTGGAAAGGGCATGATTCGGCAGTAAGCTCGGCGGTGGTGCATCCACCTTACCGAGTGAGTGGCCTAGATGAGTCGGCTTTTCCAGTGAGCATTCTCGAAACTTGCTGCTCGTCGCAGGAGGTGAACATTCAACCAGAGATGATTGTGTAAGTGAACACCACACCCATCAGGTCCTCACTGCATAACGAGCTCCTTGGCGAGTATCGCATAGGTTACAGTTCTAACGTCCTGACGTATGTCGCTAAACAATTTCTCTTCGGATTCAAATACGGTGATCAGGACTGTCAAGGGCCAGCCATCAGGAGCAACGCTGGCAATTGTCTTTCAGCGCGCCCGAGCTTTGCTGCAAAAACACAAGAAAGGAAATAAAGAACCTGGAAAACTGGAAAACCAGTGCATCACCCCATCGCCATTGTAAGTGAGCAGGTTGAGCCCATTTGTCTACCGCGAATGACCCCCCAATTAACTGCAATACAGACGAGAGGAAATAGATTGTTTGCTAACATGGTGGGTTTGAAAGCTAGTCTTAACGAGCAGGAAGAGAAACTGCAATGCAAGAAAGGCGCGATAGTCATCCCAACTGAAGAAGCCGGCACTTACGACGTGATCGTGGTCGGCGGTGGGCTCAGCGGCGTGTGCGCTGCCGTCGCTTCGGCCAGGACCGGGGCACGGACGTTACTTGTGGAGGCTCTGCCGTCTGTTGGTGGAAACGGCACGACAGGTTTGCCTATAAGCGGGTTATGCGCGCGAAATTCCAACAAGATCATCGTCCAGGGTATTGTCTCTGAGATTCTACATAGGCTGTGCTCTAGGAATGGCAGTTGCAGCGACTTTTTCTGCAAGCGCTGGATCCCCATCGACGCCGAGCAGTTGCAGATCGTGCTCGGAGAAATCCTGGAATCGGCTAACGTCGACGTTCTCACCTACTCCCCTCTCCTCGCTGTGGTGAGCGAGCAGAGCACGCTTCGAGAGGCCATCTTCTACAATAAGGACGGGTGCGCATTGCGATATCAGGCTAAGATGTTTGTGGACGCGACGGGCGACGCTCAAGTGGCGCGGCTTGCCGGTATCACCACTGTAATGGGCCGCCAGCACGACGGCCTCACGCAGACCATGTCTCTGGTCTTCTCGGTGGCTGGCATAGACGAGAGTCGTGCCCCCGCAAACGATATTGTCGTCGACCTCTGGCACAAGCTGCAAGATACAGGCCACATCAAGCTCAACCAGCGGCGCAACCCTTCATTCAATAGCATGATTCATCGCCCTGGCTGGCGCTCCCTCATCGCAACCCGGGTTCAGGTCCCTAAAGGGACAGATAACCGCTTCCTCTCCCAGGCTGAGCTCATAGGTCGGAAACAGGTGGATGAATTTATCGAATCCTTTTTGCATCCGCACGTTCCGGGCTACGAAGGGTGTTTTCTGGCCCAGATCGCTGGCCACATCGGGGTACGCGAGACGCGTCGAATTGTCGGCCTTTACGAAATCACTGCCGAAGACCTGCTGATGGGGAGGAAACATGCCGACGCCATCGCCTGCAATGCTAGCTCCATTGAGAACCACAAGGCCGATTCCTCCAGCACGGAGTGGCAGCACCTTCGGGATGGCGAATATTACACGGTTCCCTTACGCGCGCTGGTGGCGCTCGAGGCAACCAATTTATTTGCCTGTGGACGATGTATCAGTGCGACCCATGAGGCCCTGGCGGCGCTTCGTGTTTTGAGTCCTTCGATGGCGACCGGCCAGGCTGCCGGTACAGCGGCAGCTCTAGCAGCTCTGAAGCGGTTGTCAAGTCACGACCTCGACCCTAACCTGGTTAGGGGGGCATTGGCCGTCGCAGGCGCGGTGATTGATTGAAAGGCAAAAGATTTGGTATGACACGGTGTATTTTCCTACATCCTAACGCCTTCCTTGCATCCAGGAAATATTTTGTCCTGGTATAACGTTTTGGTCAGGTCCCATTGCCCCCCAAAGGGGATTCCACATGCTATAGTCTTATTATTTTTTTCCTTACGAACTACAACTACTAGCTTTGTGCATAAATCGAGCAATGTCCCCTCGTTTGCTAAGATCCGACTTTCCCCAACGGGCCATCCTAGATAAGTATGTTAAGCGGATGCCTTGGATTGACACTCTTGGGTCTCTGCTCCCTTGGAAAGTTTAATCCAATGACTAACTGAACGCGGGAACGAAGCGGGGTCAGGCTATGAACTGATATAAATGCCTGAATCCTTAAGCGAGCTTCTGCGTAATGTCTTCATTTCGTCCATATCCATCCCTTGTGGATCCTCTCAAGTCAATCCAAAGAGAACCCCAGATAAACATTAAAGAGATTGTGAACTTAGGTTGCAGCGGAATGTAAAAATGGACCTCAATCCTATAGCCGGTGTTCGAGCATGTGATGCCTGTCGCTTTCGAAAGCTGAAGGTATGGGCCAGCTCTCACAAACACGTCTCGCATCTTAGTGCAGGCCCCTCAAAGTCGTGAACGGGTATGCTGACTGTTGGACTTGTTTCGGGATCTGCAGTGTTCTCGCCCTCCGACTGACTCTCTACTCATGAACTCGAACCGCATCTCAACATCGAATACAAGGTGCCAGCGCTGTATTAAGAGCAACATCGCATGTACTTATGACAGTTTTCACCGGCCACGAGGCCCTAGAACGGGGAGGTGAGTAACTCCACTCATATTGTATCTGCTCGATCAACGACTTGCATCGTCTGCGTCGAGTCAATCTTGATATCGCAGAAGATGGAGATTCGAATGGTATATATATGTATAGATCTGAGATTGTGAGGTATTTAGTCGACTGCGAGCCCTTCGAGCCGCGCAGCAGGAGCGCCAGCATCAGGGATCCAGTCCCACTTTGTCATCACTTTCGACCACCTCATCGGTCAATGGGGCAGATAAACACCCTGGGAATAAAAGCCAACGCGGATACGCAAAACCTAGGAACAGTGAGTATTGGTCGCAATCCAGCGATACTCACGTCGACACTATGGAAGATCTGGTCAGCCGCAATACTCAGACGGAACATTGTGTTTGGACAGGGTCGCCTCTTATCGAGCCCGTACCGGATTTCAACAACTTCATAAGTCAGAACACCGTCAATGAATGTGGGACGGACATATCTGCGAATGATCCCGACTCTACTTACCCATCGTTCTCCCTCTGGCCGGGAAACTCCTCTACTTCGTACCATGATGTTTTAACATTTCCCGAACCGCACGATGCGGCATCCAGGTACCTCTTTTCGGACGGGTTTGCCTCATCCATACAACCACAACCTTCTTTTGAGAGCGAGTATCGGGAGCGACGGGGAGCGCATCAAGTCTGTCAGGTCTTGCTAGAGGAATTTGCCGGGCTCGATTGGGCGCGTAGCACCTTGCCGACAAACGCGCCTGAAACTGAATCGAGGCCCGGACAGACACTCTCGGCTCCAGCCTGGTGCGCTGGATTATCCGTTCCGGTTGACTGGGCGTTGGTGGCCGAATCAACTCAAAATGCCCAGCAAACGCTGAACGATACGACCGGATTGGAGTACCACCCTTGCTTCAAGACCGACCCTCTGCCATGGATGTCGTCAAAGCAGACGCTCTTTGCCGAAGTCGCTCGATTTTTTACCGAGTCTTTCGAACGGTACCCTGTTATCCACCTAGACACTGTATTGCGCAAACTCGACGACGAAGTCCACTTGAAGGACGTAGAGTTCCGCACTCTGGTCTTGTCAATTATCATGATGAACCGCGCCAGGCAGTTTCGAGCTGAACACTTGAACTCAGGGCTGGAACGGGAACAGCTGAAATCTCTCGCATCGACAATTGAAATGATCCGAAGAACGAATGAGATGAATTATGATTTCTCGGAAAAGCCCTCACTCGACACGGTGGTGGTGTCATCCTTCTTATTCATGGCCTATATCGCCCTTCGCCAGCATAATCGCGCATTTACCTACCTGACGGAGGCTATTGGACTCTTGGATATGATAGAAACTTTGCCAGACTCAGTCGAGGTCGCGAGAATGCTGCGCCTGGAACACATACTCTTTGTTACCGAGTCGGCTACGATCTTTATCTTCGGATGGCGACGTCGCAGGCTGGCTAGGTACCCATCTACTCTAGGGCGTCAAGGTCACGAGGCCATGAAATTGACGCTTAGTCCTTCGCTACCACTGTCTCGAATGCACTCGTGGAATGGTTTTTTCCCCGTGGATTTTGCAGAGCTCGATAGGAGGGCTCTGAAGCTATTACTTTCCATGACCCGACTTTTTACCGCGTCAGGATTGGCCGAAGCCGAAATCATATATGATGATGATGGTAACCTCATCCGAGCAACGACCTCATGCGGAGGAGATGCGATCGACGATGTTAATGTCTCAACAAGCGGTTGTGATGGATATGGCTGCATCTCGACGCAATCTGCAGATGTGATTCTCACACAACAGTGGCGCCTGGCGTTTCACTGGCACAAGGCTATTCAACGAGGCTATCAGCCGCAGTGTTTCGCTGGTCTGGACGAGAAAATCCAAAAGCTGTCATCAGCCACCATTCGCTTGAGCCGAGCAGTTAGTCCGCAGCAATTTCGGATCATTGGGCTGGGTAAGATTCTAGCGTTAACGGACAGCATCGTCTCTATCACGATGGCAGTTGGCGCCTCAATAACCACTCGCGTTGGCGTTGTCGGAGAGCTAATGCGGTTGGTGGCTGATGCTGACTATGAGCGCAACTTTTCGGCGCAGCTCAGCTCGTTAGAGCTTTATGTGAGGAATATACCTCGATCACTACACCAGGATCCATTCTGAAGAAGCACATGAGCGATGACAGGGCAATGCATCGGACACAGACCCTGTTGAAACTATCGACCAGCTTCGCAAGGCCAACATTAAGCTCAACTGCCATGAGAACAAACGCAGAGCTGATTAAAGGTCCCACAGCTATACCGACAAAGTTAGGAATGATTGAAGGCGCCTCTCTCTCAGCACCTCTTAAAGCCTCCCAACGAGGAATGCTGTCATGAGGAGAAGGTCACTGTCGAGCCAATGCTTGAAAGTTTGCAGATTTTCAAATGACTCAATGGCAAGACGATTGCGGTCATAAGTCAGCGTCCTCTTCGACAAGTCTCTTTCCGTCTCTGTGGATGTTGCAGGAAAAGAAAGAACATCAAACACCCATTAAATAAGGCTTGGTAAACCAGCATTATGATCGTCGTGTTTCCACTCGACGTACGTCAATGGAGGGCCCTCAATATACTAACGATTGAAGTAGTCTTTAACAGGTTCCTACAACTCAACACCACAGTCCGTGTCTCCATAACCAATCACACCATTCCAAGGCCTAAGCGAGATTGGGAGGCGACTTCCGATGCCTCTTCTTGATAACGAAGAGGCGGAGGCGCCTCCTACCCACTCTCAGTACCGGCAACTGTGTCTTCAAGACCTTTTTCGCTCAGCAATGACGTTCCAGGAACATGTTCGAGCTTATGAACTTCCAGACTCCGAGACCAATAATGTCAAGGAATGCTCTGGCTCTCCTAACGAGTGTAGGATAGAGCCCATCTCTATATCTACACAGCGTACGTCATCGCTGTTGCCTATCGATGGTGATACAGCCTAGTGAGCGAGTGTCGCAGAACGAGTTGGTTTGTTGCGAACGATAGGTCACCAATTGTTCAACACATAGTAGTCATGAGGATGTTCAGGTTCACAGAGCAATGGCAAAAGTGGGATACAGCAGGTAATCCCTCTTTTTACCGCTGTCAGAGGTGTGATCCATGGAGGCCAAGAAGGAAACAAAGAGCTTTAATCTGGAATTTAACCCATGTCTTTTATGGCTGATTCCGGTGTCATGAGAGTTTCAAATTGCAAGCAAACGTATGGCCATTCAGGGGAACTACTTTTCCCCACGAAACTTCTGTCCAATGTCATGGCTCGCACTGACCCACAAATGCCTCTAGCTTCTAACCTATGGTGAGGACCCCGGCGATCTTTCAAGGTATAACGTTCCTGTGCGACTCGCACAGCTTGCGCCGATACGTAACTTTGTTATCCGTTGCTCCGTGCGTCTTCCGAAATGCTGCAAGTTTATGAAAAACATATTCCAGACTGTACCTGAAGCGACGTTGCTCAGGCTGGCATTGGAGCAATATCTTCACAGGAAGGCTAGGTGGGAAAAAATTTTATACATGCCACCGTGGAAAATGAAGCAAGCGTTCGATCTGTGTACCTTCACCGACTGAGAAGAAATGCACGCCTTTGACTGGCTCCGTGGGCTAGTAATTAGGAAACGATTTTCTTCGTCCTGCTCCTCGGATCGAGCACCTCATGTTGGGTCCCAACCCCACAATGCTTAGCTCCTGGTCGAGTGGAGAGGTGGATCTTGTTTTCCCAATGAAGGTTGATGTTCTGCTTCGTCGAAGGGCCGGATGGACGAATCTTTATGCTTTTGGCAAGGGGAGACGCATTGTTCACACCCAGGGTAGACGAGACTTCGACGTATAAAGTTGAGCATGTGTCGGTAAGCTCTCCTGATGGCAACACGCAGCCTCTACCGAATCCAAAGATGGCTCCAGCAACAAGTAACGAGAACTTAGCTATCCTTTCGCGAATTCCGAATGTCATATTCTCTTATCCCTTACAGCTCATAGCTGGCTTCATCCTGCTCCGTTTACTTTGGAACAAATTTCAAAGGCATCTCTATAGCATTCCGGGACCAAGGGCAGCCGGGTATACCAAATTTTGGCGATTGTATGATGTCTGGAAGGGTAAAGCCCACCTGACAGCGATCGAGCTGCATAAGAAATATGGGCCGCTGGTTCGAATTGCTCCCAACCATGTCTCTGTCTCCGATCCATCCTACATTCCAGTCTTTTACAACATAAAAGAAAACTATACTAAGACAGGATTTTATCCGATTCAATGTATCTCGTGGAAGAAGAGACCTGAGATGAATCTCTTCTCCACCAGAGATCCAGCCTATCACAGAATTGAAAAGCGAAAAGTTGGTGCGGCGTATTCTTTACCAAATTTGCTCGAATCCGAACAAGCAATCGATTCCTGCATTACCTTATTTATGGACCGGCTAGATGAGTTTGCTGCAAAGCGGCAACCCGTCGACCTTGGTGCCTGGCTACAGTACTTTGCATTTGACGTTATTGGTGAATTGACCTTTGCCAGTAAACTCGGCTTCCTCGAGCAAGGCAAGGATGTGGATGGTATGATGAAAGCTATCGAAGGAATGCTTACGTATGCCGCTCTCTGCGGGCAGGTGCCAGAATATCACAAGTTCCTTCTGGGAAATCCGCTCTTCTCACTATTGATGCCGGCAATGGAGACATGGAACCAGGTTCTTGTTTTCACGCTCAAGGCGATCAATAGCCAAGCGTCAATTAAGCGAGATGGAGAACTCATCAACGCTGACTCCGAAGGAAGAGACATGCTGTCTCGGTGGGCGTATGTGAAGTCGTCAGACCCGGACAAGATGAACACTCGTGATATTGTGGTTCACCTCTCGACCAATGTATTTGCCGGTAAGTCAGCAGCTGCTACTTCTCCTCCCGCGTTTAGTATTAATCAATAGAACAGGAAGCGATACCACCGCGATCGCGCTTCGGGCAGTGATCTACTACCTCTGCCGTCATCCGAAGTGTATGGCTAAAGTCGTGCACGAAATCGATACAGCCGACCATGAGGGCAAACTAAGCACCCCTGTCGCTTACAAAGAATCAACTGCTGTGCTCCCCTACTTCAACGCCGTCCTCAAGGAAGCTATGCGCATTCACCCGTCAGTGGGATTGCTCATGGAGCGCCATGTTCCGCCCGAAGGCGTCCAAATAAACGGCCACTTCATCCCCGGCGGCACCATCGTCGGCATCAACCCCTGGGTAACTAATCGAGATGCGAGGTTCTTCCATGACCCCGACCAATTTAAACCCGAGCGCTGGCTCGACGCACCGGAAGCCCAACTTAAGCAAATGGACAACATCCTTGAGTTAAATTTCGGTGGTGGCAGCAGGAAATGTATCGGACGCAATATTAGTATGATCGAAATGCAAAAGGTTCTTCCAGAGCTGTTGAGGCGGTATAAGATCGAGCTGACATATCCGGATAAGGAGTGGCACATCTGTAACCATTGGTTTGTCCAGCAGGAGGGGGTCATTTGCAATATAACGAGGAGAGCAAAGTAAGGAAACCGTCGAAGTCAATGGAGACATACAGAACCTGACGGGAAGGAGTTTGTTTTGGGGGAGGGGGAAATATTTTTCGTCCAGAATCCGAGACTTTCAGCAAAGGCGACCTCAAGTTCTAGGCACAGTTTCCCACAGTCTCGTTGGTTTCCGAAGCAACCTCATCCAAGATAGCCAGACTGACATATCTGAATCGTATCTGGTATCCGCAATCCTTGTCCCGATGTCGCTCTCTGTTGTTTTTTCCTGTCCCATTTCTGTCGTACAACTTGAATTTGAAAGAGCGCGCTCAGAATAGAGCTTATCTATATACCTGTCACTGGTGCTGTAGCCTGGCGGGCAAACCTTTTCTCATAGGTCCTAACAAACATGCGGGCTGGCTCCCCAAATGGGTGTAAGATATCCGAGTGGACTTGCCACCATAGCGACATCCCATCCGCCGGGCCCTTTCGACGTTTTTTGCGCATCACCATTACGAAACATGTACTGAGCTCGAGGGCCTTGCGAGTCATCGGGGACCTTATGGGCCAAGTCAGGTCGGAGGGCGATGGAGAAGTTTGTACACCCTCCCTTCTGGAATCATATTAGGAATGCTGAGCGAAATCTTTCGCACCAGTCAGAAATAGGAAATTTTGTACCACGTTTTCGATTGAATGGCGAAACTGCCGCCGGAAACCAGGATCTGGACACATGGTCATAATGCACCAACCTCTGTGTCTCGGGAAGCATCACTTCCATTTTGAAAACGGATTCGGTGTACCATCTTTCCCGAACTATCGCCGGAGCCAACGGGAAAGAAGAGTGCAAATCTACTGTTTCAATTTGGTTCGGCGTTGGGACAGGATAGAAGGTAGATCCACTGTCAGTTATTAGCCCCAAACCAGCCGATTCAGAATCAGTAGTCCCATGCTCCATCTAGAAGCGGGGATGGCAGACGATGCATTCGATGGGATCAGAGGATCTTTTGAGATGAGCAAAGTCGTTGGGCGGTATTGAGGTGTACTCGGTCGAAGGGAATGAGTTGAGATTAAGGTCGAGTCTACAACAGAAACTCTGATATCTTTACCTACCAATCTCCCGTCTGGTTCGCCACCTCGGCCTGTGGAAAGTCCTAAGAGGTCGAGTACTCGGTAAAAGCATATCAAGTTGCACCCTCTAATGATTGTTTTTCGTTGGACTGACCGAGTTGAACTTGACTCCACTGACACAGCAAAACAAACCTCCTGCCTTCTTTTCCTCGAACTGGTTTCCGGTTTCTGGTTTCTGCCGAGACGGATATTTGAAGAACAGATGCAGCCGATTGGGAAACCACGCTGTGGCAGGTGTGGTCACGAAAAAAGAGTATTTAGCGTCGCAAGGGAATCGCAGGTATGCAGGTGCCGAATGTTGGAAGACAAATACGTTTGAGGACAATCGATCTGAGAGTGAAACAAGTGGACACCGAAAGAAATGGTACACGTTAGTAGTATCCTGAACTTGAGGGAATGAAAATCAAACTCATACTTTGAGGAAAAGAAGAGGGGATGCGCCACTCTCCAGAGTAACCGGAATCGAATAGAAGAAAAGATGGGAAAGACCATAGATTTCCGCTGCGATTGTAAGAACGCTCTCACGCGGGGAGATACGCCAGACAATCTTTTCGCAATGACTCGGTACTGACGACGTGAGTGACGAAAGTCAAAAACGCGGTGCAATCTGAGGCCCTGTAAATTTCTGATGCCCGATTACGAGCACGAAAATCGTGCCGGGTCCTCGCAGGCAGTCCTAGTCGAAGGTGTAAGTCGAAGATTACTCCGAATTTCTCGATGGTGGCAGAGAACGTAGAGATAAACAAGATCTAGTGGATGAAATTCGAGGAGCTTACAAGTTTCTGCCGCCTGTCACCTCGCACAATGCAAATCATCTGCAGAGCAATTGTGATTTTTTGTCCAGACTGTATTCATGCCTGTGCCGTAGCCTGCGGCAGCCTAGACAAGTAACTGTGTCGCTCACTATCCTTAGATAGTCAGATAGGCAAGCCTCCATAGCCCAATGTGTATGCAGTCCTGCATCCATTTAACAAAGGCACCGTCAGATTACTATAGTTTCGAAGCGCGTACGAAAGCGTATAATCCTTTCGAGGGTCTTATCAGAGTGCCAAATAATATCTCACGTGATTGGCTAAACTGACAGTCTTGGCGTTACGCACATCAAGTCAAAACCACGTGATTTCCACCAGAAATTCAAGTATAAATTTTACTCCGCCAGAATTTGCCTCAAAATTGACGCAGTTGAACACCAAATCGTGGTTGACCTATCAAGGACGAAACTTAGTTGAACACTGGGTTTTGGTCGAACCGATAGAATTGAGGGACCTCACTAGTGTTAGATCATAGGTGAGGCAAGAGGGTTGTCCGGCCTGGCTCCATTGAGTTTCCAGGTGCCCTAGAAGGGTAAACGTAATGCTCCAGCCAGTGATTGTTTGATGTCATACTGAGTGATACCGTTGGGGGTCACTGACTCAAACTCTCCTTCAGTTGAACTGTCTGATTGAATCTTTCACTGGTTGTGGCGCCCCATTTATCAGTTCGTCAGCGATGGACTATAGGAGGGGGGCTTTTGGTGTTTTTTCATTTTCGTGTTGGCCAATGACGGACAGTTTTCTTGGCATTGTTGCGTGGCACTGTCGCAAACCCCTTGTAACAACAACGTATTACTTCATGTCTTATGCCATAGCGATAGAGGCACGTGAAACGTGTACTGTGATAGAGAGAATGGCGGCGCTGGGTACTCCGTAGTGATTTGTCATTTCACTTAATTACCAAATTTTATACGAGGCCCTTCTGCGACGGTCGCCTCACACGGGACGTTTACTGCCTCAGCACACCGAGCAGAGGTCTACACAGATTTCATACGCCTCGGCAAACTTGCAAGACGTTTTGGATCTTTGCACTTGACAACAGTTTCGAAGCGTGTACAACGCTTCCGAGGGTTAATCTTGTCACGTGAGCGAAGGGCGCGAGTACATTTATGTCAGACTTCGAGTTTTCCGGATTTAGGGAATAACTTGCTGCCCTTAATTTGCATGGGACGCTATACCTGTGGCCTTTAGAATCGCAGCTTTACTGTAGCACGTGACCAACATTCCCTTCTGCCGCTTTTACCTTTGATTGCAGATCCACCCACTATGAAGGTTGACATGATGGGAATCTCCCCTTTCCGCAGTGTGGACAGCTTTTCACCATCGTTGAGTGCACTTCCCAGATGATTTTTATACAGGGAACTCCTTTCATTGAGCGGAGAATTATCACGTGCTGGCCGCCTTCGCTACCATGCCAGCAAGGCAGATTCAGCCACGTCAAAGGCTGGCGCCCTGACTACGGCTAACATCTTGCAGCTGGACTCCAGCCTGACTGCGTCTTCAACATGCAACGACATAGGCTCATATATGTATCTCGATCTATTGAATGGCTTAATTTGATTCCACTATTCCTATTGATCACTGCGAACAGCATCCCAATTGCCCTAACGATCGTATCCTCCGAACTGTCGATGTCCGTATGTTCTCTCTCGATCCATCGACGAGGACCAGCCTTCCTGAAAGATCGATTCCTTGATTTCGAACTGTTCTCGCGGCGAGTATGTCTAATCCTCAGAACTACACCGTCGGCTGGATCTGCGCCCTCAGTACGGAGTACGTTGCCGCACAAGAATTCCTCGATGAAGAGCATGAACCACCAGAATCCGTGCCTGTTCATGACCACAATGATTATACGCTAGGGAAAATTGGCAAACACAATGTGGCCATTGCTGTCTTACCAGGTGGTGAATATGGCACATCTTCTGCAGCTAGAGTCGCTAAGGATATGTTTCACAGCTTCCCCAATATTAGAATCGGTCTCATGGTGGGCATTGGGGGTGGTGCACCTAGCAAACACCATGATATACGTCTAGGGGATGTCGTGGTAAGCTTGCCCAGTAATGGAAAGGCCGCCGTGTTGCAATACGATTTTGGTAAAGAGATACAAGATCAGAGCTTCAAATCCACAGGGATCTTAAACCAGCCTCCACCGATCTTACTGACGGCAGTGAGTGGGCTAAAGACCCATTATGAGCGCAAAGGTCACAAGATCCAAGATGCTATCAGAAGTATTCTCAAGAAAAACCCCAGACTGCTACAAAAATATGGACAGCCAGATCCGAAGAGCGACATGCTGTACAAATCTACCGTTGTTCATCCTCTCGACTACGGCGGAAGTTGTGCGGGGATTTGTGACAATGCGTCGAATTTAAAGCAACGACTTGAACGTCCCGAGGACCAGGATAATCCAACGATTCACTACGGTCGAATTGCTTCAGCCAACCGCTTAATGAAGGACGCCTTAGAAAGAGATAGGCTTGCTGCGGAAGAAGACATATTATGTTTTGAGATGGAAGCGGCGGGGCTGATGAACCATTTCCCCTGCCTTGTTATCCGCGGCATTTGCGATTACTCTGACTCTCATAAGAACAGAGAATGGCAAGGGTATGCTGCAATGACGGCTGCGGCCTACGCGAAAGACCTCCTGTATCGAATTGTGCCTAACAAGGTCGAGGCAGAGCAGCCGATCGCTGGACTTCTTTCTGGTTAGTTCGAACACGATTATTTTAATTCAGTACGATCCTAACTTAATTCATTTCTTTGATAGAGGTCCAAAAAGGAGTTGAAGATGCCAAAAAAGATATTGAAGAGGTCCTCCAAATTCAGCACACCCAAGAAGATAATGACATCCTTCGGTGGCTCACGCCCGTTGAATATCATTCTCAGCAGCATGACTTCATCAGCAAACGACAGCCGAGTACAGGTCAATGGCTTCTGGAGTTGGAGGAGTTTCAGGCATGGCTGAATGCTCCTAAGCAGACATTATTCTGTCATGGGATTCCCGGAGCAGGGAAGACAATTCTCACATCTATTGTCATCGACGATCTCTGCAGGAGATACAGCCGAGATAGAACTATTCAAATTGCTTACATTTATGGCAACTTTCGACAGCAAGGGACCCAGAAGGTCGACGACTTAGTTGCCAGTTTGCTGAAACAGCTCGCACAAGGCCACTCATCTTTACCAGCGGCAGTCAGAGAATTGTATCACGAAAACCAAGTTAGAAAGACGCGTCCTTCGCGGGAGGATCTTATAAGGATTTTGCACGTGGTGGTTACACAATCTTCGAAAGTGTTCATCATCCTCGACGCGCTTGACGAATTGTTCCATGATTGTCGAACGAAGCTCCTGCCCGAGATCTTCAAAATTCAGGCGAAGGCCAACTTAAATATCTTTATGACTTCACGGCCCATTCTGGATGTTGAGAAGGAGTTCCGAGAGTGCATTTCACGCAAATCACTCGAAATTCGTGCCAAAGACGAAGATGTGGAAAGTTATCTCGAGAGTCACATCTCGGAACTTCGATTAAATGTTCCAGAGAATGTTAAGGAAGAAATTAAAAAGACGATTTCAGAGGCGGCAAAAGGAATGTACGTGTCGCTTAAATTATCCAAGATACCAGATTGCTTCTACTAAAACCATCTAGGTTTCTCTTGGTCGAGCTTTATTTCGGCTTCCTCCAAGACACAACAACAATCAGAGAGGTAAGGGGTGCATTGAGAAAATTCAGACCGAAAGCAAAAGGAGAGTCAAGCGAGGCCAATACGCTCGAGGCGTTAAATGATGCCTACAACCACACCATGAAGAGGATTAACGAGCAGCCACCGCGACATCGAGAGCTTGCAATTCAGGTTCTCTCATGGATCACGTGCGCCAAACGGCCGCTTACCACTTTGGAGCTTCAACATGGTCTCGCTGTGATGCCTAACGACTCGGAACTTGACGAAGAGAATATCCATCGCGTTGATACTATCATAGCGGTATGCCATGGATTAGTCATGGTCGACAAGGAGTCTCGGGTTACTCGATTGGTGCACTATACGACACAAGAATACTTTGAGAAACATCGAAATATGTTGCCTGCCGCAGAAACAGATATCGCAATGAGATGCATCACCTACCTCTCCTTTAATGTTTTTAAGAGTGGCTGTTGTCCGACGAATGAAATGTTTGACGAACGATTAAAACAGAATCCACTTTTTGGCTATGCCGCGAGACACTGGGGATACCATTTGAAGGAAGCATCCCCGGAAGCTCAGCGGAAGATCCCGGAATTTCTTGAGAACGAGGGTAAGGTCAATTCGTCAAATCAGGCCATGAGCCTTTCTCATCGATACAGTTATTACAGCAACGCACCAACGTATGTAACCGGAGTCCATCTCACTGCATATTTTGGATTGGTGGAGATAACGAAAGCGTTACTGGAGAAAGGATTTCCAGCCGATCGCAGAGGTAGTTTTGGCCGGACACCGCTGTCAGGGGCTTCAGAGAACGGACACGAGGACGTGGTCCGCCTCCTGATTGAGAAGGGTGCTGCTGTGAACTCGATCGACGAAACTGGCCGGACACCGCTGTTATGGGCTTCAGGGAACGGGCACGAGGACGTGGTCC